GACTTTACAGCTAGAATTAAAAGTTATAAGCCGTCTGTTTTCCGGCCGTTTTACATTTATAAAACGATTAAAATAATACCGTTTAATGACAATTACTTATATTTATTCTTACAATACAATAACAAGTTTTTACGCAATAAACATTGAAATAAAAAGCAGACTTGAAGTAAATATGTTAAAAACGCGAGTTAATTAAAAAATAAAGTCGATCGGCTGTTTAAATATAAAGTGTCGCATATATTTTGTATAAGTTTGAGATTAAGATAGAATTAATTTAGTAATATTACAACTTATATAAAACAAAATATTAAAGCGAAATTAGAACGTATAAACTATTTATACGTAATTATTTTCAAAAGGCTCAAACTAAAACCTAAAATTTAAGATACAAATTTAGTTTATTACTAATAAAATAATCTCTGTCACTACTTATTGTAATAAAACTTTAAGCCGATATTATTATTTAATTAATTCAGATAAAAACTAACTATTAACTTTATTATTAAATTATTACTCTTTATACAAGTTAACTTTAATAAATAAGCTAACTTTATTTTAATTGTCGTTAATTAGTTTATAGAATATATCTACCATAGCTTATATATATTTATACTTATAGCAGCTAGTTTTGTCGATATTATATTCTATTCTATTTCTACCTTATATGGCACCTTTAAAATAGTGTTTTAAATCGAAGATTTTTATATATAAGCAGTTTTTAATAATTTTTATGTTATTAGTTTTCAGCTTAATATAAACTTAATATCATATACTACTTGCAAAAAAAAAACTAAATAAAATAATAAACCTAATTTACAAAGAATTATGTTTCATCTTTTATAAACCATAATAATATAACTAAGCTTTAACACTATTACTTGTACAATTTATAAATAATATTTTATAATATTTTACTATTAAGAATACCGGTAGAAGCTCTTCTAATATTTGAAATAGTAGCTCTTGGTAACACGTTACTATTCATATAACTCATTGAATAATTAAAAAACAATATTATAGTTATAAAACGCGTAATTAACATAACAAGAATAGGCTATAACTACTAGCCAAGCTGTTAAAAACATGCAAATCACATAAAAACCATTATAATAAAAATCAGCTTTCGATATAATTTAATATATATTGGATCCATGCGGTTCCAGACTGCAAACCATCTATACCAGGACCCACATGTATGATTAGATAAGATAAGATAGTGGATTGAGAGGGCACTTGGCCAGACCTTCGAGTCCAGCTAGATTCCTCTCAATCCAACCATCAGCAACATCATGACCTTGACACCATACTCGAGTATTATGATTGATCGTTCAAGCCTGTTCCAACAATATAAACTAATAGGTTAAGATAAATATATAGTTTCTTAAATAGCAATAATTAAATTGTAAGTTATCAAATAAATAAATCAGTCACTTTAAAATTACGAGAATTTATAACTTAAAACTTACGTATAAAATCGACTTACTGAGCCGAGGACAGCAACAACACCCACAATGGGGCTGCTTGTACAATGGATATAAGAAGGAGGGGGGAGAGCCATTGGCAAAGCCACGCAATGAATTTAAAGAGTGTGTCATATAGAGATAATACAACGTGTATCTGAACTGATCGCTCAATTGTATGTGTTATGAGAGAGGAGTGGCTGTCCAGGAAAGCAAAAGAAAGCAACGAAAATGAACGGTGGCCTTTGTATACCACAGACCGGGCTGTACATGACATTAACCCTGCCCTGACACATTACTACCGCCGTATAATTAAATATATAACGTTAAAAAAAATTCGACATAATTATGAAAAACTGGCTTTTAAGAAGCGTTTATAACTCGATATTATAGCGAAGAAAACTATAAATAATTAACCATATTATCGATTATCAAAACGCGTGCAATTGACGTTAAAACTTTATTTAATAAGAAAGGTTTTTATTGAGAAAGAATACTCAAGAGCTACATAAAAATATTTTTATAAATTCTTTTAAATAATATGAAAATAATACAAGTTGTAAAAAGAATAAAAATAAAAGTGTTTAAATAATATTCAAAACGTTATAAATTTAATTACGGCTAGTATTATTTACGTAATATTTACGGACTTAATTTATATAGGAGCTATATATAACTTATCAAATGAATAAAGTATTATTACTTTTTTAATAACTTAACGTATGTATCACTTGATATATGGATTTTATAAAAGCGGTTGATATACGATATAAATAAGATAAAGACTAAACTTACTTCAGTTTTAATACTTATACTTATAAAACTTATAATGTTTATTAAATTTCAAACTTATACTCTAAGTAAGGCAAAATATTAATTAAACTTTGAAACGATAGTAGTTAAGTTAAATAGTTCGTTTGTATATAGCGTAATATATTAAGTAATAACAGTGTAAGCATAATACTTTTTCAGTTAATTTTAAATTAACTACGTACTTAAATCGGTATTAAAGCGTATAAAGAACGTATTAGCGCGAAGTTAACTTTAATTACATTAATTATTTTTAATTAAATTATAATAAAAATCTTTGCTACGATTTATATTATAACGGCTTTTAGTCGAATAATAATCAGGATTTATCCGAATTAGTTACGGTACTAAATCGGATTTATTACGTACATACTTTGATAACGACACCTTTAGCTGCTTTAACGTCTATTTAGTTTTATTTTTACGCTTAAAAGTTTGCAAAATTACCAAAAAATATAATCAAAGAAAGCTGATACGTATTTATATAATACTCCTAACACGTTTTATAATTATTAATAACTTTTTATATATATAATACGGCTTGTTTTATTCTCTGCTATTATTAATTAATAAATCCAGCTTAAAGCGGATTTAAGTCGGATATACTTATATAATAATTGTTTTTCTACTTCTAAAAAGACCGTCGTTTACGTTAAAAAGGCTATAACGGTAACAAGTTACACATAAATTAAAATTATTTGGTACAAATTTAATAAAGAGAATTTAATTACTAATTTTATTTAATCAAATTATAAGATTTTTATAAAAAGGGTTAAAAATAAATACGAAAAGAATTTAGGTTTCAAAAATTACGAAATAAGTAGTAGGTAAATCATAATAATATATAAAAGGGCGTAATATATAATAAAATAAGATAAAAAAATCCTTATTATTAGGTATAAAAAAATTCTTAAAGGTCCCTTATAGGATCTTTTTTAACATATAAAATAAATAGGCTTTTAGCTATTTTAATTTACTACTTATTACTGCTTATTAATTTATACTCAAACTACCCACTTGCTATATATAAGCCACTTGTAGCTATATTATTATTACTACTTTACCGACGCTGTTATTTATATTTTATAATAGCTTTTTAAAAGGTTTAAAACTGCCCTTTTTAAAAAAGATAGCTTTATATAAAAAATTAAGCTAATTAGCAACATTCGCTTTAAAAGTAGCTTATACGGTATTTATAAGGGTATATATAAAGTTTATAAAATGCCTACATTAAAAGAAAAACCAGGTTTCAATTATATTCTGTTTTACCTCCTACTATACGATACTTAATTGACTGCTTTTCTCACTCTGTAACACCACGCCTTAACAATGCTGGCGGCTTGGAATACAGGCTTTCTAAGTGTATAGCGGTCTATGCCGGGTACAGGCCTAAATGCAAACAGCACATCTTAGCTCGATAATGTGGCGATAGCATCGTCCCTCTGCACGTGCTTATTAGATCCCATATTTCTTTGGCCGGTGATGAATAAGTTACGACCTCCAATCGCAGGTCAATGTAGCCCAGGAGTGTCGAAGTCGCTTCAGGCAACGCTACTTATTACCGCTTCATCTTCCCCTCGCAAGTGATGTCTGTTATTGGCTGCTGATTATAACACGTGTAGGGCAAGGCCTCTTATGCGTCCGGACGGCTCACAGAGGTTTCGAAGGGCTCGATACGGACTTGGTCGGCTTTACGCAGAGCGGGGAAGAGCTTGATGAGGCGAATGATATTACTCCCAGAAAGGGGCTCGTGCTTGAACGACATGACTACGGACAGCAGCCGAAGACGCAATAGGAAGCACTATAAGACCATAACATAGGGAGGCTGCTTCGTGACGATAAGCTACAGTCTGTCTTGGGGACCAATCTCGACTTCGGCTAAAGGCGCAAGGTGGAAGAGGCTGCAACACGCATATGTCATGCTCATCGAGCAAATCAGCGATAGCCGAGAAAGCCGATGACAAACCCTCAACACACGGGTAGCAGCCAAGCAGCTCACCGAAGCCGATACATCATACAGGTCGGGAAATATTGGTATATTGTCACGAATCTCTTGCCGTAAGCTGCCGAAAAAGCTACGCCGCCCAACCCCCGTGCAGAATCCACCAATCAAAGCTACATCACGACGTTGCAGGCCGAGCATGCACGCAATATCGATGGCAGGCCAGCCTGCCTGGGCCAGGCAGGCTGGCACATAGTCTAGACTTCGAAAGACAAGCCTGGAAATTCCCAGGACCGCTCCGTGTGACTGGCCGAGTCTTCGGCCCCCAACGACACCTGATGCGACCCGATGTCTCGTACAACAAATAGGGATCCGTCAACCAGGATCAAAGAGACCTTTATATAATGGCGAGACCTGCATGCCTCATTCTTGCATTAGCGCACGATGCTGTATCACCCGCCACTGCCGTCAGCGAAGCATGCTGTCCGCATCTGTCATTTTGCCGAGCCATTTGCAGGCTAGCTGTTGTAGGCTGGCACCTATCGCGAAGGGTCGGCGAGGGAGTCATCTGGCCACGGCACAATGGTCAGATGATGGGGCTCATCTGAGATGCTGCAGTTGGTCAGGTTGGGTGTGCGACTGGACGACACGTTGGGGACGAGACACGCAGCCCTTGCGCCAGCGCTATTGGGGCTTTGCTCCGCATGGCGATGGGTTGATAAATGGGCGACCATTCCCCATCGCACACATCTGGGAGGGGGAAGTCGGGCTCTTGGATTTGATTCGCGATGCCTGCCCCGGCGCCTGAAATGCCGACATTCACTCCTTCAACGTTAGTCCAGGAGGTCATTGGAACGCAACAACCAGTCCTACCTCGACAAGTTGTTCTCACACAGACGATCACCTACGCCGACTCTACAGCGACAGCCCTCGTGACTCTCGACGGCGTTGGTCCCACGGCTGCGCCGGCCCCGGCGGTCCACGGATCCGCAGCATCCGATGGCCTGACACAACAACAGATCGGCATCATAGTCGGCACGCTCATCGGCGCCGTGGTCGTCGGTTTGGTGATCTGGATGTTCTGCGTCGCCCGCCGACGCCGGCAGGCCTACATCGACGCCTACTTTGAGGGCTGGAGCGAGTCGAGCATCACGTCCAGCATGATCGCCGACATCCTGCCGCCGAGGAGAAGCTATTGGCCCCCGTTCCCGCGATCAATACCACCGCCCGTCGTACCAAATTATAGGGCACGGGTACCGTCGCCGAGATGGACGGCGAATGATGTGGGGCGTCGGGCGACGACAACTTATGTCTATGGGGAAGGATAGAAGGAAGGGAGTCAAGGCTGATTGAGAGGTCTGTTTGGGGGCATTGCTTTGGATGGTGGAATGGTTTCTATTCGGCGACTCAGGACTCGGAGTGTGTTGAGGGATTTATCTGCTTTTAGGGGTTGAGGAGGAAGAGACTACGGGAGGGACCATTTTCCGCCTGAAAGGCTTGAACCTGTCTAGTAGGTCGAGACTGGCTTCATTGGAGGACATCAATTTGGTAAGCGCCCACGCATTTGGTATGGAGACAGACCTTGCTCATACATCCACAGGCAATGCAGCTATTATGAAGCACCTCTATTCCGATGGGCGGAACTTATCATGTATATGTTAAAGTTTATTCTGCGAGTCCAACTCCCAGAGGCGGTATTAAATACACCGAGTCAATCAGCATGTGCAATACTCACTGCGGCCATGTCTAAACTCAAGGTTTACCTGAACTATAATCAACCGTGCCACGAGAACCTTTCTCCGTCTGATCAAGGTAATACATGTAGAGTCCCATCTCAACTTGGAAAATATCCATACCCATTCCATTTACTGAAGTCACTCTTTCACCACAGCAGAACCGTCAGACCAAGCTACAACATGGCTTCTTTCCATGCTGAGTCCAGCACGATGAACATCTGGTCGGAAACGATGCCGACCAGCGTGCCATCCTCATTCCAAAACCCCATCGGTCAGAGAGCCGCCCCAATCTTCAAGTCGTCCCCAGACCACGCCCAGCGCGCAAAGATCACATGCGTACGTCCCATCCAATCCCCTCCACCCAATCCCAAGCCCAAAAACTAACACCCAACCCCAGCCCCAGCCCCAAGAGCAAGAACGCGCCTTCGAACGCGAATTCAACGCCACCTTCAAAAAGTACGCGCACTGGCAAGCCGAGCTCGATGCCCACCACGCACGCGAGCTCTTCCAGGCCAAGTTAGACTACACGCAGCGAATCGAGGGCATAACGCACTCGCGTTCCGTCGCCGCGACGGGGCCGCGCAGGTTTCTACGTAAGCTCCAGGCGACAGAAATGGGCAAGACGGCGATGTGGTTGAGGTCGCCGTATCGTAAGGGCATTCACGCGGAGCAGAACTTGGGGATGATCGAGTTGACGGAGTCGAGGCGCGAGGAGTTCGGGCTTGAGTAGTAGGTACGCTGCTGTTTGCGGGCATCGCTATCTTCAGGGCCTCGGGTCTTGCTAGGCGGGAGGATGGTGAAGGCCGTGAGCTCCTCCGCCGTGGAGGCTATCGCGGCAGGGTGGGGTCCCGGGGTAGGTAAGGCTGGCGGACAACACAGTTGTTCGCGATGAGATGAGCAGCAATATGGTGACACTCCGGTCAACCACCCCAGTATCAACCGCGTATGGGAGGGGAGGTTATTCTACTCATTGCCAACCATTTTCAGTTTCGACATTGATGAAGCTATTCTCTAATCCTCATTCTAGTACAATAGGTTAGTCACACTCAGCCCTCATAAGTCTCCATACGCGCCACGTTGAAAAAAATCCCAGATTACACGCGAAGATTTAAAAATACTAGATTAAGCAGACAAGCATAAGCAGTTTATGGTAATAAATTTATCTTTGATACTTATTCTAGCAAGCTTATTTCATTTTATAAATACACTTTTCTCTTGGTAGATGAGGAGTATATGGAGACTTATGAGGGTTTAATATATAGACACGATGCTACTCTATCTTCGATCGTCAGGACAACACCCCCATGACAACACCCCCACTCTCTTGACATTTTCCTCTCTGTCTATAGTGAACATAATCATTTCGGTTCCCGGGTGGCTTCCCTCGCCAACGCGAGCCAGCAAGTCCGTTGTAGACTTCTGCGGTCGCCAACCACGCGTGTTACGGAACAATAACCGTCTGTTTCGTTTCTCGGAACTGCTGAGCTGGGGTTCCCAGGTGTTCATGTCGAGGGTTGGTGCTTGATAGATGATTTGCCAATCCACCCAGGATGAGACTTCCCACTTGCGCGTGATTCGCGTGGCTGTGGAGGCGGGCCTTACCGGGGGCAAAAGCGGAATGCTGAATCCCAGCATGGCTTGGCGAAGTGCTGCCATACACTTTAGAGAACGAGCCCACGCTTCGACCAGCGGCTGCATCATCTCCTCTTGGGGAATGTTCCTCGGCAACCCTTTGTCAAGTGGGACCGGGTTCCAGGAATCCTCTGCATACATTGTTTGTTTGTTTTGTATTTAACGTGGGGGGTTGCTCCTCAGTAGTGCAAACCACGCCTCCCAGAGCCTCTGCATCGCAGGGTTGTAGAGGTCTCAAGATAATAAGTACAGTCAGTCCCGCTCACGGGCCCATCCCCGTTGTTGCGGCGGTATGACCTTGGGGTCATCCTCTGCATACATGTTCAGCAACCATTCTTCCTCATCGAGTCGTCGATTGGCTCCTTTGACGTACCACGATCCCGACGGCGCATGAAGCTCCAGGTGTACGTCTAGCTCTTTGAGGCAGGGCCATTTTGGTACAGCCACATCTTCGGAGGCGTGTGGCCAGAAAAGGGTCCCGTCGAGGACGCCGCGTACATAGAGCGATTGGAGCTTCTGCGACCAGGAACGCAGAGCCGAACCCAGAACGTCGTGCTTTCGACAAAGAAGGCTCTCCATACGGCGCCTATGATCGTGATGACCGTCATGGCTGAGGTACAGCCGGGCTTCCTGGAGGGTATCGAGCTTCCCCGAGTGCTCGGTCAGGGCTTCAGCCAGCGCGTGACGATCTATCCAGGGGATACCAGCCGGATCACGCATGTCGAGTTCGTTGGCGGCGATTTGCATTGCCCGCAGGCGAGGCAATCGCGTTGCGAGATCGAAAGCGTTTCTTGTCATTACTGGGCTGGAATCACATGAAGGCAAGATCCGCAGTCGGGACACGCTGGGCAGCAGAGGTAATTTCTCGGGGTGATAGAGCAGGATCCTGGAATGCAGATCTCCAATGCCCTCGTTAACACATATAAGCAGATTCACATCGCTCAAGCCGTTCAGCGCGACGAGAGTGTTGAACAGCCGGCAAATCGCGTCTACGAAGGCGCAACTCGAAGACTGACTCAAACACGGCCACTGCTGCTTGTTCTGCACACCGATGCGATAAACTATTTTTTGGAGGTATTTCTGTCGTCGAGGGAAGATGGTGAAGGCTCTGCGCAGCTTATGCAGATCATCGTTGCTGCTGTCGAGAGTGAGCGATTGGAAAGTCGACAAGCGGCATTCGACCGCCAAATGGAACTTGGACGAGATAAAAGCATATCGACGGCCGTGAAACTTCGGGAGTATTATGCCTATATCAAGGTTGGGGAGGAAGAATACGATTCGATTGATGACCTCCTGGGCTAGTGTATCCATCGTGTCGTGTCGGTGTGGGGCCAGCAGCAAACAACGGTAAATTTATCGAATCGGAATAAACACCATGGAATAAGCATAGGGAGTGACGCATCACACCAGAGATGCTTATTCCTGTATGCTTATTCCAGTATTTCTAACCATCCCACTAGTGATCTGGAGTTTTGCTAACTTGCACGTACGGAGAACTTATGAGGGCTGCGTGTAGCTGGATCACAAGGTTCCCGTGCGAGGACACGTCTTCTTTTAGGGCTGTCGTGACTTATTAGAGACAGACGAAGGTTTCGCAGGCGCCATATTGGCGTTGGGGGTTGAGGGAGAAGATTAATATCAGCCACCAAATCAAAACAGTGGTTAATTTGCTCACGCTTGCGGGTGGCCTGAATGAATTACAGGATAGATACCACTCTCAATCTGCTGGGTCGGGAACATAAAGTCTCGAGGTGGCCGGTAGCGTTGACTCGAGACTTCATGGACTTAGGTATCTATGCATATATGAGACATGCTATGCGATACACGGGACGCATTGGACCCTGTGAAATTTAGGAATGGTCTGTATTGGAAGAGGAACAAGGATAGCTCAAGGGGATACCTTCCTACTTACATAGGTGGGAAAGGGACCTCTGACAGCTATCACATGTGATCCCACAGGATGACACATATGCTGCTCATAGCAATCATAACAAGGTTAAATACGCCACTGTTATGATATCTGACAGACCCGTTTTCAGCGGCGCCTTCCATAGGGCGTCATGGACTCATGGCCCCTTATGTGAGGCCGTCAAGCAGCTTACAGTGGAAGCTCTGGGAATAATCGAGCTTACCGTACGTGCAAGGGACCATCGAGTCACAAGTTGCCTCGACTCAAGTCCATTCGACACAGTATCAAGACGTAGGCGCTCATGTTTTATGACGAATATAGAAAGGCTTATGGACGATTATCCATTCAAAGCCCGCGACTGTCTTTCAGTCCTTTTGGCATTATAGGCCACCTATAGGCGGCAAAACACACCAGATCTTTCGTCGCTTGATGTTCACTTCCTGAACCCAAGCCTTTTTTGACAGAGAGATGGCTCTGGAGAGACAGCGTATTTTAACAGGGCACAGCCCTTTTGCATATCCGGCTATCATACGTTTGAACACGACGGTTCTCTTGAGTTAGCCCTAATCAAAACCTTTCACCCTTTCCATTGTATAGAAACTGGTGATAAGCTTTGTTCGAAAACAGAAATAGGTCAAGATCATCCGACGACAAAGTCGGGGCAAAAGCACATGGTTTTAGCGTAATGAAGCCCTTACAATGTAAGAGACAATGCATTTGTCTCTCTTACGATATTGCTGTTTATTACAATTCCCTTGTCATCACAGTTCATGCTCTAATGGGCAGAGTGTGCATGTGGCGATACATAAGTCGGGAGTCGGCACCGCCATATTGCTGTCTTATTCTCCCCATCAGCATCTAAAATTCACTCGTCCTCGTTGACTTATAAGTAAAGATCATTAACCGACTCTTCCAACAACACACAAAGTCATTAACCCATCCACCACCGCCAAAATGGTCAACACTGCACAGCTCACGTCCGCCCTCCTCCTGGCCATGGCTCCTTCGGCGCTTGGAGGATTTCTCCACGCCCAGAACAACTGCGGCTTCTCAATCTGGTGTGCGGGAGTCCTGTCTCCCAGTGCGCCCGGCCAACCCGGTCAGTCAAGCCCCATCGTCCAAGTCAACGCTAACTCGGCGTACGCCTCCCCCCTGGCGGCAGAGAACAACAACGTCGGTGCTGTTACCAAGTGCTCACGCAACTCGAACCTGAGTCCTGTCTACCAGCTGGAAGTCACCATCGACCAGGGCAGATCGTGGGTCGATCTGTCTGCTATCGACGGCAGCCCCTTTATTGACGTCTACCGCCGGGCCAAGATCCCTGGATCTGGTTGTGCGGCTCTGGAATGTGCACCTGGTGCCACGAACTGCGAGTGGCCTGCTTTCTTCGACTGTCTCTCCACAGGCGATATCTACATGACGCTTTGTTAAGTATCCCCTCTCCCAATCCTATTTCCTTGTTCTGCTAATTCATCAATACCGAAGGGTCCCGAGCCAGAATCTCTAATTTAATCCACGCTCGAAGCTAATTATCCCCCTTCCCACATTCTTTGTTCGGCTAATTCATGAATCCCAAGGAGCCTCTAGTCAAAATCTCTAATTTTATCCACGCTCGAGGGTTTTGAGTCTTAACCTGTAAGTTCTTCTAGTCAATCACCCCCCTAATAAAAATCTCCTCGTTCTTTCAATTAAATTCAGGCCTAAGCATTTCTATGCTTTCGTGACACTAGTGAAAACATGTCGTTGGCTATCCATGTGTTCGTCTAGTTTACCCTACTCAGAGGTAGTGATGTCATGAATGGCCGATGGTCTCATGTAAACTATAATTCATAAAATCGTTCTACCATAATCTACTCTTTTCGGAGACTTTTCTGGGAGAGAAAGGAGAGTGGTGTGACTATTGCAAGTTGCTATTATGGCCTAGCAACTTGCAATAGTCACACCACTCTCCTTTCTCTCCCAGAGAACTCTCCGTAGAAGGACAACTCCCACGTAACCAGCTAGCCTCCCGCCACTAATCCAAAACCTTCCACAGAACCAGACTCCAAGCCATGGCCAGAGTAAAGTTGTGAAGCATGCGTTGCGGTTGCCGACGCGGACGTGGTCGAGTTCCACCCGGCTGATGACGATGTTGTTGCCGAGGCTGTACTTGTTCGGAATGACGTCGATGTGGAAGCACTCGCACTCGCACTCGCGCTGGCCGACAGTCCCATCGCCTTCGAGTAAAGACTCAAGCAATTCGGCGCGCCGCAAAACTCAGAAGCATCTCCGCCACACAGATACCCACAGTCGGCCTCCGGCGCCGCCCCGTTCTGGAGGTAATTCCCACAATAGCACTCAGTCGTGTACTCAACACCAAAGTAGTCAAAGCCAGCGCAGAACGCCGCACAGCTCTCCACCGTCATGTTGTCACTGCGGTACGTATCCCCCGTGAGCGAACGCGCCTCGCCCTGGTCAACCCAGCACGAGCTGTACCCAAACGCCCCCACAACCGCCTTGTTCCCCGCAGTGGCGTTCTGCTTGCCGTGGTCGTGGAAGACCGAGACGCGGTTGCCGTCGCCGCAGGACTGGAACGCGTCGCCCGAACACGCCATCCCGCACTCCATCTGCGCGACCTCCGTACTGCTCGCGGTGAGTGTGGCGCCACAGAAGCACTGCGTGCTGTACTCGAGCCCGAAATACGCATACTCGCTGCAGAAGCCCGCGCACAGTTGTAGCGTCATGCCGGAGTTGTAGAGGACCTTTCCCGTGAGGGCGCGGTCGGAGGCGATGTCGGTGTGGCAGCCGTGGTACTCGTAGGTGCCCACGGCGCCGTACAGACTGAGGCGCGAGGCGGCGCCGCAGGGCTCGTCGTCGTTGCCTGCGCAGGGCAGCGAGCATTCGGACTCGGCGACTTGGCTTGTAGGGCTGGCGTTGCCGCAGTAGCATTCGCGGCCGTATTCCGTGCCGAAGTACTTGTACCCGGCGCAGTTGCTGGCGCAGACCGCAGCGGTCATATTGTCCTGGCTGATGACCTTGCTGGGCAGGGGGTGCGGGTCGCCGTCGTTGGCAAAGCAGCCGACGTACGGCGCCTCGGGGGCGGGGAGGGTAGCCGGCCTGCGAGGCGAGTAGTCGCCGTTCTGGTAGACGTCCAGACGGTTGCCGGCGCCGCAGGTTTCGGTGGCATCGCCGGAGCACTGGAAACAGCAGTCGCCGTCGCCGACTTCCGTGTTGGGGCTTGCGACCGAGTCGCCGCACCAGCACTCTCTGCCGTATTCGAGGCCGAAGAGCTTGTATCGCTTGCAGAAGGCGGCGCATTTGTCGACTGTCAGGGCGTCATCGCCGTAGCTGGTGCCGCTCAGGGCTTGCTGGTTGCCGGTGTTGTCGGTGTAGCAGCCTATACGGGTTGAGCCGCTCGCGGTTTGCCTATTCTCGAGGCTCTTGGGGTACGCGTTGCCGAATACGACGAGGGATAACAGGGATAGAGCCCGGAGTGTTGAGAGAAGGGGAGCCATGTTGACAGGGTTGCTGTCGAAGTAGCTAGTGCTCAGAGAAGTTGAGCTGGGGCTTCTGTCCCTTGCCCTCTGAGGGGCAGCAGGCCGGTGAGGTTATATACTTACATGATATTCGTAGGCGAGGCTGATCGGAACTTCTGAGACCTCACCCCCACGGGACGGGAGGCTGGCAGCATTCCATCTGAGCACCTACGCAGGGCCTTGGCATGAGGGTTGGTTTAAATTGAGACCGCCTCGGCCGAATGGTGGCAAGAGAGAAGTTCATTTCCAAGCTGTGAGCGACGCGTTGCCGTGTCACGCCTGAATCCCGAGTGTAAGCCCACGTGGGCTATCCTGAGTCAAACCAGCCGCGCGACAAATAAGGTGGCCATGAGTTCATGAGACAGGCGGCTATCCGGCAAGGAGCCAGACCGTCGCCCAGCCAACATCAAGCATGCGCTTCAATCCCAAGAAGCTGTGCAACAAGCCGCTATGACTTCTAAAGTTCTGCTGAGGTGAGTGAACAAGCGATTGTCACGGTAATTTGCATAGTGCGCTTGGTGGGAGACTGTTTGGGATTGCACACGTCCGAACCGCTAATCCTCCCTGCGTAGGGGCTGTCCGCCGCCTGCTGGGAGCCACTTCCGAGACTGTAATAGGTTGATGGATCCAGCGACGACTGACCCTCCAGCTCAGAGAAACATTCGGTGCCTGCTTCCTGATTCGTGTGAGCTGATGGAGAGGTTTGAAGACTGATGCGATGGGTACCCTAAGATTGCCGGCTATAGGTCCAACCGATGTATGTGCAAAGACCTGAAATTATTTACCTATCATGTAAGAGACGTGACATCGCTTCTCGACACTAGATGAGTTATGCGACACAGGCAGACCGAAAGAAAAGGAGAGCAGCGTTGACGTTCGCGCTTGACAATTGAGGCGTCGCTTTCATGGGTATCCGGGTAAAGCAGTATTCCAATAGCAACACATCACTTAGCACCGCGCTTGACCGGGGCCCTCCTTTTGGGCTTCTTCGGCTTCTCCTCCTCCTCCTCCTCCTCCTCTTCATCATCCTCCTCGGGGCTCTCATTGCGGTCGGCCAACCTGCGATTCTCCATCCGGCCCTTCTTCTCCTGCGGAATTCCATTCTCGAGGATCTGGAAGAATTCTTCCTCGCTGATAGTCTCCAACTCCTTCTCGTTGATCTCCCTCAGCTTGTTAGGACCAGCGCGGGTCCCAATCACGATGTAATCAGTGTCCTCGAGCTTGCTGATAACCTCGGCTCCGTACTTCATCGCCGTCGCGACCGAAGTTTTTCTGTCCATATTGTCGAAGGTACCCGTGAAGAGGAGCTTTAGGCCGGCGAGACAATCAGGCTGGCCCTGCGGGATGACTTTGCGGCCTGTTTTGGCGTGTTTGACGGCAGTATTTGAGGGTGCTGCAGCTCTCTTCTTGCTTGGTCTTGGTGCTTCCTCGTCGGGATCAGACTTGATAGCTCTCTTCCCTTTCGCTGGCTGGGTATCACCGCCAGCGTTTAGAGTGGTCTTGCAGACCCTGATCCTTGTGGCTACATGGCCATGGGGACCACCGTCCATGTGTCCATGGTACAGTCCCTCATCATTCTCATCGTGGTGGAAGTTATACTCGTCGATGGTGCCATATGGGTTTAGCATTTCAGCATAGCGAGCCATCATCTTCTTTGCCGCAGTATTGGCGGCTGCTAAGGTCTTGTAGACCTCGGTTGGTTGCAGACCCTCTATATTATCGTCATCGTCCCAGATGAACGACGAGATGGCATAGACCGTGTCCGGTAAAGCGGACTTGGGCGGCATCTTGACTCACGGCGCGAGCTTCTGTTACTGCAGGGGGGATGAAAGGGATCGCAGGCAGGTAGCAGAACTCAAAAGGCTATGGCGGCCTCCCTTCTTTCAGATCCCGTCGCGTCGGAACGTTGTTGTGAGGCAACGCTGTGGCTCCTCAATCCATTTTCCAGCCACAATGACGGATGGGTCACGGACCAGGATACAAGGTACCTTTGAGCCCAACGGGTACCCGTTTGTACCTGATTTGTACCCAACTGGGATGATAGCTACTTCTGGGATGGGGACACCACCCATCCCTTCTTTCAATCAAGCAACTTCCAGAATACAGACCAATAGCCACAATTCGTGACCCTGGTCCTTATTCTGGATACCGCTACCACTGTGGATCCAGTGCATGGACCTATATGGAGTATTCTGGTAACCCCACCAGATATGTTGGAGGTTACCTGATGAAGGCTGCCTGGCAACCCTTTGTTGCCCCAGGTACCTCACCACTGTAATTTAGGTTTTAGATACATCTCGGATGGAATCCTTTCCATCCGACCTTTTAATCAAGCACCACCCAGACCACTGATAGATTACAACAAGACTTGTGATTTGTCAGCATCTGGGAAAGCTACCAAAAGGCACAACACAAGGCACAACGCGACAAAAAGGCGGCGCGATTGCATGAGAGTAATCTCACTAGCAGTTCAGGGGTCGGTCCTGCAGCTGGCGTCGGCTGGGAGTTTCTTAGCAAACGGGTGGGTCCAATTTTGAAGCTGTTCGCCAACAGGTCCAATCTCAAAGAAGCTGCGTATAAAACGACAGATACCAATGCTATTTCACACACTTCACAGCTTTACCAAAGTCAAGTTTGTCTGGCTGTCATTGCTGGAAATTTTCAAGAAGAAGCAAGCCGCAGCCATTCGTGGCTAAAGTTCGCTTCTCGCTGCACCCAAGCCACAGATGCTGGACCCGGAGCCCGGATTCTTGACATGGAACGGCCACGATGGACCTTCCTGTATGATGCCTAAACCTCTTCTCATACAATCTTGACAGTGCTTATCCCTCCACCATTAAAGATGCCCTCCTTATAGTCACTATTACCGACCATCTCCCAAGCCCCCTCGACCCTCTGTGATTTCTCCAGCAGAATGGCCTGACTCTCTCGCACCCTTAGAGCCCAGGTTTTACAGTCTCCCTGATTTTGAGGCCCATTGAAGGGTTTGAACTCACCTCTCAAGACTATGTACCCATCGGTCACCGCCCCATACGGATTATCACCCGCTGGGTGACACTCGGCGGCAACGACTTCCGCACACATGTTGCCGTAGTGGAAGCCCATGTCTCCATGGATCCGTACCTCGCCTTTGCGCGCCGCCCACGACCACGATGGCGCCCGGTATGCCCCGGATCTCTCGTCACCAAATGTATACCACAGCAATGCATCCGGGAGCTGCGACGACCATACTCCAGCTAGATATGTCCCCAACTCCGGCGAAGCCAGGCGCCTCGCGAGCCCCGAGAGGGCGGGGAGCAGATCCGTCGCCACGGTCAGCTGCCTCACGCTGTAGTGCTCGACGACGGTCTCCCACGCCCCGTGTCCCGCCAGCTCTCGCGCGAAGAAGCTCTTCAGGCTCTGGCCCGCACCGAACTTGTTCTGCGGCGCCTTGCCCTCCAGCTCGGAGCACTCGCAGCGGCAGTGCGTGTTGCACTCCCACACCAGCTCCGTCGCGGTGAAGTGGACGATGCGGGACGCCAGGATGCGCTCCTGGAAGGCCCAGGCGCGGCTGCGCAGCACGGGCAGGCGCGGGACGGTCTGCGATGAGACGACTCGGTAACGCTGGCGCCAGGCGCTGTGGTCGTCGCGCTGCCGCACGCTTACCGGGTAGGATATCTCGCCGCTATGGAAGTCGAACTGGGCGACGGGCGGTCGCGCGGCGAAGATGTCGTCGCCTGGTGAGGTCGCCTCTGTGGCGGCCAGCACGAGAAAGGCGTTCCCATAGATGGCGGACATGCGGGGGGATTCAGACTCCCAGTCCGATTGGTCGCGTTGTATAATGCAGATTGCGTCGACCTGTACCACTGGTTATTCATTGTCACTCGGAGATGCTTGAAGCGGATCAGCCCGGTCGGAGTGAACATTCCCACAGATATCGACAGCCGACGCCGCGTGTAATTGTGACTGCGTCTTGCAGCGTCGGTGGAAGCTGCTCCATGGGAATGTGCTGTCTCCGAAGCTTCTCGGTCTCCCGCGTGGTGGTGAAGTGCCATTGCTGGTCGGTGCCCCAGCTGTAGCTCAGTGCACAATATTTGACAGACTCAGAATCACTGCCCGGCCAGTCGACCAGTCTCACAAAGGCATCTTCGCAAAGAGGCCCCGTGTCAATCAAACTTTTCGGTCCTTCGCGGGAAATGGGAACGCAGGCTGGGTGATTCGCGGAGCATTCCTCGACCCATGCATTGATCTTCTCAAAGCACTCGACACTGTTCGCGTGGCCGGCGATTGCTGTTGCCTGCTTGTATCCGGGCCACGGCAGTGCCACCCCTGATGGTGCTGAGACCTCGAGGCAAAGCGCTTCTGGCTGTGTTTCCTCGGAATCCACAACAGTGGCCCTGATGATCGTGTACCCGTCGACGCATTGCTCGTCCCCCTCAGAGCGAATATCTGATCCGTGCGAAGGCTGGGCATCCCAGAATGCTCGGGTCGCTTCTCGCATCAGTCGGCAGTGATCGCAGTTCTTCGGATCAACCGCACTGGAATTGGCAAACATACTCTCACTCGGCTCTTCCCAGTAGTGGCTGATATCATGTGTGCCAAAATTGCGAACCATGGTCTCCCAGCAGTCGAGGCAAAGCGAGTTCTTCAGTGGGGAGAGATCGGTTCCTGGTGCCTCATCGAATTTGAAGTTCTGCATCGTTTCGATCATGCGCGCAAATTTGCAGTTGTCGGATAGAGAATAGTCGAAACGTCTTGAGCCATCGGCTGGGGTTGCAAGTATAACCCCACGCACTTCGCGATCACGTTTGCCAACTGTTTTGTGGCAGCTTCGACAGCGCCTTGCCTCGTCCGCGCGTTTTAGTACCCAAGACAGCGCCAGTGTGAGTCCTACCAGGACGCACACCGTCGGAAGCCCGACCCGAAGTCCCAGGTTGAAAGGACTGGGTCTAGGAATCATGGCGAAAGATTCAAGTCCCACAATGTTACAAGTGACAGTGTAAAGAGGCGGCTGCGACTAAAAGATCAATTATGTGATAAGAAGCAGAGGAGGGCGGGCAGGTAGCAGGCAGCAGGCAGAGGCTTTGAGCCTGATATGAAGTTGATTTTCATTGGATATAGCACACCCAATCCCAGGTATGAGTTGACGCTCTGACAAGAATGGTGTCATCGATAGGCTTGTACCAGCATGCAAATGTCAGCTGGAGCATGCAAATGTCCGGCGGCACGGCTCGCATGGGGCCTCCAGGGACGTACTGGCTACAACTTCAAGCAGCTGAGTCGCTGTAGAACTGGGCCTAGATCCGAAGAAAAGCAGCGCAGGTACTCAATGCACAAACAACACAGCACCTACCTAAGTATTAGGCCTACCTAGTAAGTACGTGCTTGTAAGAGGGCATTTCTAACGATACTATAAGCAGAATCCACCTTTGTATGTAAGCAGTATGTGGTAGGCAGCACGGGTGTCGGGGCCATGGGCCCCACTCCACCTTATAGGGGTATATTTGCTACTTAGAAACAGTAAATAAACCATCCTCAAGACGACAACCATATCTCGTCCATACCGCTGTCACCTCGTTCCCAGTTTTGCCCTCAGATACTGGTATTTAGAGGTCAGCCACTCATGGCTGAAGTTCTCTTCTCGCTGCACACAAGCCACAGACGCTAGACTCAGAGCCTGGACCACTTGACATCGAACGGCCACGATGGATCACCTGCACCCGCACCCGCACGAAACACGTGGACTGGAGACTTCGGAAAAGACTCGTGCTCACTCAGAATTGCAGGACCAAGCAACGTCCAGTCCACGGGTATTCTACTGCATACGTACCCTCTCTGCCCCTCCCGTGGTGGTGCATTGTCTGAGCGCTCGAGTTACCTGTTATACCATCAAGACGTATGCGCCCTGGGCCCGTTATCGCCATGGATGTCTGCCTCAACACATACACGCGGTACAAACAGCAGCAAAAGGAGTTCACTACGTGGCTCATCGATGCAGCCAAGAAGTGCGGCGAGTCCATAGGCAAGCTCAACGCCGCCCGGAAGAAGAAGGGCTACCAGTTATCTCTGCATGATCACCTCAGACTTGCCGTTGCCGTCGCCGAGACTGGCCCCGTCCCAAGACGCAAGCTTGACATCCTCGACCAAGTCATTAGCCTTCGGAAGAGCGTGGGGAAATGGTTACAGGCTCTACCGCGTACAGGCGACGACAAAACGCTGCATGATGAGCAACACCAATATTTCCTCGACATTCTCCAGACCGTCAAGGACATCCTGCTACCTGCCTGCAGGGAGCCAACAGCGGCCACTGGCTCGACGCCGCCCCGCAGTCTAGACAATATGTTCAGCGCACTGTCTACACCTAACGACGAGAGCCTCAATATAGCTGACTGGGCGGCGAAGAGTATGGCGGCGTCCGGCCCAGCTCCATCTGCACAAACGCCCCAAACGGCCCAAACGCAGCCGCAATCGAGGAAACCGAAGACAGAGGAACATGTCCTCTACGACATGCAAGCACAGCACGACGATGTTCTCTTTGCCTGGCTATGCTTCTTCATGGACTTCAATCAAGTCCGCGACACAGTCCGACGAGTCTGGTCAATGTATAACAGGGGCGAGATCAGCCTGGTTAATGCATCTGTCATCACCAACACCGCTGTTGAGATGCTGCGACACAGCTGCCGTACTCAGTTCGAGGCCATGAAAGGCCTGCCCCACACGCCGGATGAGGCCTTCGTTTGCCGATGGATTTTTGCCCACCTGGGCTGGGACCCGGACGCACCCGACACTTGGACGACCGAGCAACATAAGCTGGCTAACTGGTCCTGCTACTCTTCGTCATACATCCTATGGGAAAGGTACTGCGAAACGGACCCTATACGTCCCCACTTGACCGGCTACAACAAAGGCCAAGAGGCGGAAGGCGACCAGTTCTTGCGAAGCCTGGACAAGCCCGTGAAGCAACTCGGAAAGGCCATGATGAAGAGCAACGATGACTGGGGTATGTGGATTTACGGCCAACTGCATAATATGTCCCTCATCGGAACCTCCTTGCTCGGTCCCGGCGTCGACTGGGTTACCTCCGGGTGGAAGGACATCGACTACAAAAACGGAACATCAGGACTTCCCCTGTGGATAATCTTGTCGTTCCAATTAATGCTCGACACACGTCAAGTAATGGGCAGAATCTTCATAAGGGTTTCTCAGATCTGAACGGTATGGCGGACTCGTATGTTATCCGCGTCCGGGATTACTTCCAATACCGCCGCCACATTCGCGGGGCGAAGGATGACTGGCATAAGGACAATGATCCTCAGGTTCTGAAGCTCATTAAATATGCCAATCAACACATCAAAAGGGACTCGGTGTGGCTTGACACCCTGGCTCGCTGCAAGCAGAACCCAGACAAGTTCAACATCATGCAGAAGCCATTCTTTCTGCTCAAGAATCACCCTTGGCTCTGTGGAATGATGGGCTATTGGATGCAAGAGTCGTATCGCTTGTTCGATTACAGCTTCGCGGGTTCATACATGTCTATACTAGGCCGTGCGCACATGTACAACGCCACGCTGATTCAAGGGCTAGCGGACAAATGGGACGACAAGGAATTCCTCATCCAGATACAAGGCGAAGAGCGTTTCTTTCTCACCCGGCGTCCCACGTCGTCCGAAGACGTACTCGTACGGTTCCAGTTGGCTATTGGGATGAGCATGCAAGCTCTGGCGAAGAACCGGCGCAAGGGGGGGAAACGAGGGCTAATTCCGCAGAGCAGTATCGATCCAGGCACCAGGATCAAGCCGCGTCACCACAGCGTCCACTCAATATTTCTGCGCCATTGGCATTCGAGTCACCTGAACGACCGATACAACCTCTCTGTTGACAACCTCTCCGAGATTGTGTCATGCATCTTGAAGACGCATCCTTCCTTCGAGAGTGCACAACAATGGAGAGATGACATGACCATTTACCGAGTATTATCTGAGACACAGTTCTCGAACTCATCAAAGTCGGCCTGGAAGACGATGATCAGATGCTGAACTTCGATATGATCAACATGCATGCTCGATGCCAGAGATACCTCGATGGTCTTTGGAACCATTACGCCGGAAAACTCGAACATATCAAGCAAGGTACGCATACCACCTGTTCAGTCACACCTCAGCCCCTTGCGCCCTCGCTTGTGTTTGATCGGTTCTGTGCCTTTCACTGGTGTTCTCGACCCAGAACAAACTCCGGCTTACTCGTCTGTTTCTCGGGTTATGCTGACACTAATGTTATATAGGGATGCTCTCGGGCGGCGAAGCTCCGCCGATGCCATCCGACGTAGAGGACGGCATAGAGCACTGTTTTGAGTATATGTTTCCGTGGGACCATCAAAGTGCGCTCAACAGTGTCATAACGCATCTCGCCACTGTCCCCAAAAAACACCCGAAGCGACGCTCCACAACGTCCACACACCGGAGGACGAGCCGTTATTCATGTTCCTATGCCGTGCCTTGAATGTGTCTTTAGTCCTTGCTGCCGGGGTCTTGAATTATATACTCCAAAAGGAGGGTGGTGTCGAGGTCGAGAAGTCACGACAGCAGGCCACGCGAGCTGTCGAGTGGCTTGAGCCCCCGGTGGCCAGAAGGCCCATACATGGCTTGAGACTTTCCAATCAAAAGACGACCTAGTGAACCTAATCTGGCCTGACATATGGGGAATCGGTGTGGAATAATGTAGCCTTTCCTATACGTGGCGGTGGTGCACCCAAGCATGCCATCCCCTCCATTCTTCCCAGCCGTGGATGTTTTCCATGTGAGCTGGACACAACTCGTACATCTGATCAGCTCCAGATCATTGCGTTGAGACTCTAGGAAAGCACTTGTCTACGGATTGGACATCACATGTGACTACTCGCACTATGCGAGGCCCACGCCGTAGCCTGCCGGTGTTGAAGGCAAATTTTGCACGAGCTTCAAAGCTATCAGACATGGACAGGCTGTTGGAAGTGTAATAAAGACATAGCGGCGGCTGTTAGACATGAGAACCAAGCCGAGATGCATAGACGGAAGCCCGTACATGATAGTATAACAAGACCGGAGATCCTTAATAGCTAAAACATTAATAGCTATATAAGATATTATTTGATACGAAATAAAGATTTATATTAATATTTAAATTAAGAAGTTGTTATAAATTGCATATTATTTGTTTTATATATTTAATAAAGATATAAAAGCCTTATAATAATCCTTTATTAGAAAAAAGATAAAAGATCGAATAATATAGTTAAAGTTAGTAAAGAAATAAATATATATATTTGTATCAACATTCGCGGCTTTGATAGTCCCGGGATAACTTATCGTTTAAATACTTATGTATTAATTATATTATATTAAAACAAAAACGTTATTAGTGTTAATAATACGTATAGTTATTATTATATTCTTTTCTTTTCATAAAGGCTTATTATAAGCTGAACTTAAACCCCGGGATATTTTAACGTGTATTAAAAATGACTAATAAAACGAAATCAATTATATATGTTATTAATTAATTGATATAAAAGCGATCGAACCTTTTACTTTGATAATATAAGCTAATAGTTAGTTCTTATAAGACTTATCTTTTCGTTACATGCGTTATTAAAAATAAGACGGAACTTATAGGATCGGCTATTATTGATATATGCCTTAAACAGCATATATAAGAAGTAATAAAAAAGGATTTTTATTATCATCATTTCGTTATTTGATAAATAAAATGATAATGATATAATATATTAAAGCTTTAATCAATAACACTTTTATATATTTAATGATAAGTGATATTTATTACTAACTAAAAAATAAATATAGCTTAAAAAGGTAATAAAGTTATGTATTTTAAATAAGTACTTAAGTTATAAACAAGCCGAAAGTCTTAAAAAAGTCAACATTTTAAAGGTATAAAAGGTTATGAACAATTCGTTAAAGTTTAATATATCTTATAATGTTTTTTTAAACTTATTATTTATAAAAAATTCAAAAAATTTTTTTTTTCAATGATATCATTAAGTTTAAAGTAATAATCTTTTTGGAGCAGGCTTGAACGATCAATCATAATACTCGAGTATTAGGTGAAGGTCATGATGTTGCTGATGGTTGGATTAGGAGGTCTAGCTGGACTCGCTGGTCTGGCTAAGTGACCTCACAATCCGGTACCTAATCTCTTATTTAATCATACATGGGGGTTCGGTATGGATGGTTTGATTGTGGAATCACATGGATCCAATATTTCTAAAAAGCTTAATAAAAGCTTTTTTTTAAGAGAGTTTATGTAAGTTAAAATTATTTTCGGCTCGTTTTAAATACTACGTTTAAAACGTTAAACTTATTCAATAACCGCTTTAAATTGTTAAACTTTATTTTTATAAACTTTTTAAAAATCTATAGATTAACGCTGAATATTTAACATTCCGATAGTTTAACGGAATTACCCCTGGGATTTATAAAAGGACGTTATTTTATAGGTACTTTTTATCGTTTATAAGCTGTCATTTTACAAAAGGAGGGGAAATTAGTTATTTTATAAAGTTAAACGAATAGAACAATTACAATGAGACCTTAAGATAGCTATTAAACCGAGCTTTTATAAACCGGTAAAATATGTTTATTTTATAGAAATAAAACGCTTATAAATTATAACGTAAAAAGTTTATACGATACGATATAAAATAAGTTATTTACACGTTTTATCGGTATCTTTTATAGCTTAGAAAACGTTTATGTTAATCGATTAAATAATCAGTCTTACTTTTAACGAAAACGTCCAAGAGTATAAAAGAAATTAAAAGAATAGTTTCCAGTTATAAGCTTAAAAAATGTATAGATAGTTAGGTTTTAAGGTAAATAAACTAATTGATAAAATTTAGAAACGTAAACGTTAAACTTAACGATAAACTGCTAGATATGATTATATTAAACGGTTAACCGTCTTTTAAAACGTTGATTAAAAGATTAAACGGCTAAGTTAAATAAAGCTCGAGATAAACGGCCGGCGTATCAAGTGCTCAAAAGGTATAAAGAAAAGTAGTTATAAGGTATAATTAAATATAATAAATAAGATAAAATAATTAATATATATATACGAGTCTTTTATCACATTATATTGAGAAGTGGTTTGATTAATAATGATTATCTTAATTATTATAATTTATTTTAAAATACTCATAAAAATACGCGTACATTTTATTATAACCTGCGATCTCTTTTAAAAAAAAGCTGATCTTTTACCTAATACCATTTTTTAAATCAACTAATAAGGGTAGAAATGTAAAGCGAGTTCTTAAACGGCTTAATACTTTATTATATATAAGTTAATTGTTTAATTAAATAAGAAGGTTATAATTATCATATAATTATAGCTTGTTTGTTTTATTTAACTAGCTATTATTAAGTGAATTAAAGTATTTACGTAATTTAATTTCCTATAATAATTTATATTAAAAGCCCGTTCTAAAAAAAAGAGTTAATTGCTTTTTATTATGATAATAAAACTTAAAAAGTTTTAATTAATCAAAAGGCTTTATTGAAAATATTACCTTATAAATCAGACGACGTATGTATATCATTAAATACATTATAAGGCTTTAAAAGCTTTGAAATTTTCGCGACCGAATTTATAATTAAGGTTGAACGAGCGTAGAGAAAAAAACCTTTTTTACAGCGTTAACTTAAATCAAGCGATTTAACTTACATATTTTTTTAGTCGCTGAAAACGGCTCGTTATATTATATTTTAACGAGATTAAGAAAATTATGAGATATAATAGCCGTAAATTAGTTCGGTTTATACGTAAAAAGATATGAAGTTTAATAATTTATACGATATAAAGCTTACCAATAATAGAAACTCTTCGATTATTAAAAACCGGCATTTATATTATAAGTTTATTTGAATTAATAAGCTTATAAAAGAATATAACCGTCGGTTACTTTAAAAGATTTAGAAGTTATTAGCTGAAGATTTAAAAGTGGTTTTTATACATATTAAATATCTAAACTATATAAATATTATTTTACGGTTACAATTAATGAAATTATAATAAGGTACGGTATAATTTCTATATTTTATTATATTTATCTTTATATCTATATAAATTAAAACATCTTTATTTAACGTAGCTGATAAGCGAGTTGGCATTACAAGCGCCAACTCGGTTATAATGTCAACTCGCTTGTGATGTCAAATCGCTTGTCAGCTACGTTAAGCTTAATATAAATAATAAAATCTAAGCCGATATAAATAAAGAAGCCTTCGCTCGATCTAAACAGTTATTTGCGTCGCCTTAAAATAATGCCTTGTTAAAAACAAGATATATACTAATACCGCTTAGAAACTACTCTAATATGACTTACTTATACGTTAAATAAACTTTTAAACCTTATTAAGTTTATATAAGGTTATTTATATATATCTAATAATGTTTTATAGGTTAATAAAACCGGCCTTTATAGCCTTTTATACATACGGTATGTACAAATTTTGGAATAAAAGAAAAAGGTTTTTTAATATAATAAAGCTACGTATAAATATTCTTAATAACTACGTTATTAACCAGTAGCTTATTTATTATTTTATTATTTGAAGCATTTGTTTTCTCGAGGTTAATGAGCTTTTAAATAACTTGTAACACTTATTTAACTATAGTACTTGCTTTTTTCAATTTTACTTTAATAATAAGTAGTGTTTAAACGATAAGTAAGCGTAGAAATTTTAATAATCGTATAAGTAAATAAAACGACTATTCTTGTTCAAAGAAGATATATAATATATAATAAGCTTAGTTATCATGAATACGTAAGTATAGATATGAATTTTTTTAAGCGTAATAACTACGTAAAAGCTACTTATAAATATAACTTAATTAAGTAACTACAATGATTATTTATTAAGAACTAGTTTTATAAAAATACCTACCTACGTATTTAATTACCTATATCGCTTTTTAAACTAGTTAGCTATTATATTTAAATTATTAAGTTAATTATAACTTCGTTTTAAATAAGTTCTTTAACGGGCCGGATTAAATAGTTGTTATGATCAAGGTTTACATATAAACCTTATACGTTTTTGAATTATTATATTTTTAAGCTAATAACTGGATTATATATATTATGAAGTGGTTATAAATAGCTAATTAAGGTATGGTGTTTATAATTTATTTAAAAATTATCTAAGTATAAGATTTTTTTTGGAAAAGATCATGAATACGTGGAAAAATATATTAAAATTTCATAAAAGGTAATCTAATGTTTTAACTATTAACTAAGCTAGTTGTGAAGTCCGTAAAAAGATTAACGAAATATAATATATAAATTAAATTGTTCTTTATGAAACCTATCGTCTATATATTACGGCCTAATCATTAAGCCGAAATTAGTTGCGGGAGGCAGCTTTGGCTTAATATTCAATAGGCTCTAGAAAATGAGCACGAGCCATGGGCATTTCACGATCCCAAGGGGATATATCTCGAGCTCGGGCAATCGGTTGGCTACGCCGTGAAACCATGAAATGAACATGTAGAACGTCACGCCAGGCTCAAGGTCGTGCCCACAAGCTGGTAAAACAAGTTGGGTTTCGGTTGTTCAGAAAATTCCGGAATCGCGGCAAGGACAAGAGTTGGACACATCGGATGAAGATCCCCTGGCCATGGATCGCCTACTAACCAACATGCAGCTACGCCGCATCTCCACGTCTGGCTCAGATCAGGCATCCGCCTGGTCGACTGGGCTAGGCCAGGCTGTGAAATAATACTGCAGTGAACATGCTCTGATGTAACCACATGGCTCCGGCCATCCATTCAAACCCAGCAAATTCAGTGACTCACACATGCAACATGCAACTTGACCGAGCCAAGCGATCCTCTCTTGGAATACTCCGGAACTCGATAGCGAATAGAAGTACAAGCCGGCTGGGGATTCAATACTGCTACCGTCCCATTGATGCGTGACCTGCATGACAGGCCTAATTAGTCCACGCATGAAGCCTTTCGGATAGCAATGGTAAAGTGACTCACCAAACGGTGCATAGACAGAGCCGGATATATTAATTAATGCTCCATCGGGGCCAGGATAACAGTTCGCCCACCATACAACTCGCTACTTACGATCTACGACCTTCAAACTCACGACGCAACGCAACGTATACACAGCCAGCACCCACGACTACTCTCGATACAATGGCGGTGACTGTTGACGAATTTTCGACCCTTGTCAACAGCTGGAACTGTTCATGTGGATATAACAACATGACCAACGCTGAGACTTGTGCCGGGAAAGTCAAAGATAACGATGGCAATATGATAACATGTGGTAGGGCAACCCCTAATGCCTGATGGTAAGTTCTTGTTCAAAGCCTCTTGGTGTACATGCTCATTAGATACTAGGGCACTTCGAGGCTACAGTTAGGGACTATTGCGGAACTTGAGGCGATGATACTGATGATGGTCAACCAAAGGCAGTGGGTGTTGGTGGCTAGAAGGGTCTTCGTTAACTTTGTTTCCGTAGCCAACTGTACAGGAAAGAGCTTAAGGTTAAAGGAAAATAAGCGCTTGACCACAGTCATCAGTTATTGAAGCCATGGTCGTCGTTTTATCCACTCCTCACTGCGTGCCTTCTCCAGCTTCTCGTACGCCTCCGTGACTTCTGGGAATCCGAGGTCCCGGAGCTTTTGCTCAACCATCACTCTGTATTCCTTGTCGCGTTTTACACCATCATCGCTAACCGATTCTGTATTCAATACGCCGCAGATGGCAAACTTGGTTCGTACCCATGCCAGGGGAGAATACCCAGCGAGTTCCCAGTCGATAATTGCAATCTTATCTCCGTCAACCAGAATATTGGTAGGGCCGAGGTCGTTGTGTGAGAGGACAAATGTCGAGCAGTCCATCCCTAACTCCTCGCAATGCTTTTCGAGCGCTTCGGGTCTGTAGTCGCGCTGGTCGTCTTCGCGCTTTGGATCCAGCCAGTTGTGGTCGACTGCAGTTATCGCACCAGACTGAAAGGTCCGAAGTTGCAAGCAGACGCTGGCAACACGACCTACCACGAGGTCTTTCTCATTTTTGTCCAAATCTGACCAAGCCTCATTGAGTCTTTTGCCAGGCAGACGAGGTTCGATAAGAAAGACCTTATTATCATTTGTCATGGAAAATAGGACGGTGGGAATGGTGAAACCGAGTTTCTGTTTGGCTAGAAAAGCAAGTGTTTCGAGCTCTCCCTCTAGCGGAACACCCGCGACGGCCAGCTTGATCTTGAGGATGAGCGCATCACCGAAGCTGAAAACCGCCGAAGCATCCCCGGCATCGTGGATCAGGCGTACGTGGCTGTTCGCGGAGACTGGCGCGGTGTCGGGCAAGGTCGCAGGCGCATCAGAAAGGGTGTAGTATGAACCATCGGTGCTGTTCTTCCACAGGTATTCGCCCTCACACGGTCCTCGCATGTGGCGTACGACATGCTTCCCGCCGATGATCCAGGAGGTCTCGTCGACCTGTCTGACGGAGTCGCGAACGTGAGCTGTTGATGCCATGGTGAATGCTGACGAGGTGGAAGATGCCTGAGGCTTTATTATCGATGGGGACAAACGCCAGGCGCTGCGTGAACTCTACCGCTTGGAAGGTGTTCGTGTTGCAATCAGAGGATGTTTTCTTCAGGATTGGGTGAGGAAGAACCTCCTCACCGCTATTTAGGTGGTACCTATGCGGGTTTGGTGGGGGGTTGGGTTTATGAAAATCATGTCGGTACTATGTTTGGTTATAATATCATGTTAAAGAGTGACATTTGTATTAATAAAACTACATTAAAATGTTAGGGCGTTTTACTAGCTCATTAAGTTACTTAAAATATAAGACTTAAAATTGTATTCATAACTAATATTATTAATAAATAAGAGTAGCTAGCTTAAATATATATATTTAAGTCATATATAATTATAATATTAATATTATATTAAAGTAAAATAAGTTTGTAATTATATAAAGCTTGATTATAAGGTATAAATGTAAATAATGTCTTAGATTATTTTTATATAACTTTTAATATAATAGTATATATTTTAACCGTAGTTCTTATTATACCGAGATAAATAGCGTAAATAAGGGCTAAGATAAGTAAATAAGCACCGTATACAACTTAAGTTTATATTATTATAGCCCTTGTAATTTCGGGTCCTTAACTTATATATATATATATATTAGTATGTATCTACAACTACAAGTTTTAATAACTTTTAAGTTTTAAGATACTAATTTCTTGAATAATTAAACATCAAAATCTTTCTATAATATAATATAACCGCTAGTATTATATAAAACAGCGTATATTTAGAAATATAAGCGTTAAGACTTTTAATAAATATTTAAACTCTCTTTTTAATTTTTAATAATAACTACTTAAACCGCGTTTAGTTTTAAATCCCTATTAACGTGTTACGAGCCGTCTAACCTTTAAGGCTAAAGGGTCCTATAGGGTTTATGTTCCGAGGTAAGTCAACACAAAAGACGATAGAGGCTTCTGTCAACTAGAAGACACTCAGATGCTGGGGCTTGGTCTGATCCAGAGGATCACTGTATAGTCGATTCGTCAGGAGATTCCTCCCACCTTAGGGTTGGCTAAGATGCTTAAATTGATCACTAAGGTAGAGACTGTCTATCTTTCTAGTTGGGAAATGTCTGTCCTTATATATCCAATCTCTTCCTCACTGATGGAGTAGGATCACCTTGTCCCAGAGTGATGCTCACTGGCCCACTCCGTGATCCAGTGATCTTCGCAGGCTCACTTTGTGATCCAGTGATCCGTCACGTGACCTTTGTTATGTAATCCGTAATACCCATTGTTCCGTTCCCAGCTTCTGATTCTATTAGTTCTTGGTGTACTCCCCTTGGCCCCCCAACAGGCCATGGTATTTGTTGGTTCATAACAGTAAGTATATATATATCTTTCCTTAAAAAAAAACTTGAAATAAATAAAAATAAATAAATAAAAATAAAAAAATAAATAAATAAAAATAAATAAATAAATAAATAAATAAATAAATAAATAAATAAATAAATAAATAAATAAATAAATAAATAAATAAATAAATAAATAAATAAATAAATAAATAAATAAATAAATAAATAAATAAATAAATAAATAAATAAATAAATAAATAAATAAATAAATAAATAAATAAATAAATAAATAAATAAATAAATAAATAAATAAATAAATAAATAAATAAATAAATAAATAAATAAATAAATAAATAAATAAATAAATAAATAAATAAATAAATAAATAAATAAATAAATAAATAAATAAATAAATAAATAAATAAATAAATAAATAAATAAATAAATAAATAAATAAATAAATAAATAAATAAATAAATAAATAAATAAATAAATAAATAAATAAATAAATAAATAAATAAATAAATAAATAAATAAATAAATAAATAAATAAATAAATAAATAAATAAATAAATAAATAAATAAATAAATAAATAAATAAATAAATAAATAAATAAATAAATAAATAAATAAATAAATAAATAAATAAATAAATAAATAAATAAATAAATAAATAAATAAATAAATAAATAAATAAATAAATAAATAAATAAATAAATAAATAAATAACTTTATAACTTTTATTATATAATTCTATTATTTTATAAATATGAACCATAGATTTTTTATTTTTATTTTTTATTAAATCAAGAAATAAATAGTAACATAATTTTTTTAATCTGAATTTGTTTAATATTTTTAAAATAATATATACATATATCATTTATAATAATAAGAATATATCAATCTATTAATCTTTTGTTTATTATTATTAATGCTTGATTAAAATAATTAATTAATTAAAATGAATAATTTTATAAATCTTCATATTAAAAAACGCATTTTTGTACTAAAAATAATAAAAATGTATATTATTATATTTACTTTTATAAAAATAAAAGGGTTGTTTTTATAGACATTTAAAGAATCAATTTAAAACATTTTATATATATATATTGTAAGCAGTCGGGTGGCTCACAGGTGTGCTGTAGCACGCTTCTAGGGGTGACAAGGCTGACAAGGCTGACAGCAGCACTGAAAGGAAGGAACAGCCTAGAAGCGGGCTTTGAGCTTTAGTGTATCTGGGATAAGGGATCTTTACCCTCCGGATCAAAGGCTGGGCATTGCTTTGAAGTTGGTATGTGTATTAGTACCTGAACAGGTCCCAAGACCCAAGGGTAGATCTGCACCAAGAATGTAAGCAACATGATGACCTGAACCACTGAACCGATCTTTTCCATATATATTAAATAATTATTATTTTATACTTATATTTAAAAAACATTATAAAAACAATTTCTTAATCATAATAATATATTTAAATCTTTTAATTACATAATATAGATGACAAGCGAGCGACAATTATAAGCGAACAGCAACTTTTCCCCAACCTTCTAAACAACATGTCAAATAACTCGACCACAACGCATTTAATTCTATCTAATCAATTGGATTCTTTTTCTTCAGACGTTTCTATCTCTATTGTACAAGTTCGCGCATTATGGCTAGTGTTGCCGCAAACTCCACAACGTCGCTCACGCCCTGCCGCCCTCATCAGACAATGACTACCTTCACCCATTTCTTGTCTTGCCAGCTCATTATTATTCTTTATAGCCTGGAGATCTACTGTATCTTTAACAGAAAGTATTCCTCTTTTTACTAGATATTTGTTTTTTGTCCTCTGACGTTTACTTAATAGGTGATTGGCCTCCTCTAGCTCGCGGACCCAGGAATCAACCAAAGCAACCTTGTGCATAAGACCGTATATAACCTTTGAAAATAAGCTCAACGTATCAATTATTGATGTAGGTGAGCTTCCCTGGTGGTTTCTGACTCGATATCGGATATAACCGACTGGTTTACCGCTTCGTTGATGGTGGTATGTGTCTTTGAAGTCCAAGTAGTGGGTGGCAGATTGGGGTCTGGCGACGGTGTTTATACGACAGCGACAGCATCCAGCTTCAAAATGACACTTTCTGGGTCGAAAGGAACAAGCCCAGTGGCATTGAAACCTGCTCGAATATCTCCTGATGTCATAACAGCGTTGTGTGCTTTGCAAAACGCTGCAAGGAAGTCCTCTTTCAAAACGTGTGTTATATGACGCCGGATGAGATCCTCAATCATGCGACCGTACGCTCGTTTGAGCAGGCTAAAACAACTGACATCTAAAGGCTAGAGCCTGTGTGACAAGTGGACAGGCATACAAAGGGTAATAATGCTGTTGTTCTAACAATAATTCTCAAAGATCTGGGAATGGTGGCTTTCGTGGCCATCTAGGATAAGGAGGTATTTACTGGCAGTCATACGCGGTCTGGTATACTTGTCAAAATGCCAAATCCATTCCAACCAAATCTCGTTCGTAGTCCAATCGTTATTGGACACAGCCACCTTCCAATCGCGTGGTAATGTTGTGTCGCAATACTATGACGCGAGGTAGGTTTTGCCCTGTAGAATGATGAACGGCGGGACCACTTAACCATTAGCATTGACAGCAGAAATTGCTGTAGACCATTCCCTGTTGTCTTGCTGAGCTTGTCTAGGCCTACCACGTCTTTTGGCACTTATAATGACCATGCCGGACCCAATAATACCCATCATAAACCCAGTCTTGTTGAAGTTATAGATATCCGCGTCTTGGATACCATGTTTTGTAATTGCCGCTGCAACTTGGCAAAACCACGCGTGATACACGTCTGGATCTTTATTCAAGACCCTCTGGTAGTCCATCCTCCAATAAAAACGCGTCCGGAGGCCTGGTGTGCGTTTAATGAAATTCCGCGTTTAGTTCTTTCCAACGCGTCCATCCCCATGCGCTGCCAATAATTGATTCGCTATATTTTCAACATAACTGTGCCGGTGTAGAAATGCTCAAGTATCCAGGTCAAGAATGAAGGAAAGAATGGCATTCTCTTTGGAAACCGTAATTTTCAAAGTATTGGGTATGCTATCGCGTCGTGATAATCGGCCGGCAATTCTAGCCTTCAAGGTATTATATAGGACATAGAAAGTCTTAAAAAGCTTGCTAATGGTAATATGAGAGTCGCGTCGCTTAGTTTGGACAGCAAGCTGTAAGTCTGATTCATTATAACGCAATGCCATTATTGTTGGTTGATCAATTAGGAGCCTTGATTGAAAGGTTAGGTGGCTGGTGAAAAGTTGCCGTTCGCTTGTAATTACCGCTCGCTTGTTATCCACGTTATATTTTTTTTTTAAATATAACTTAAAGATTAAAAAAAATTTAAATTTTTTTTAATAATATTAATTTTTTAAAAAATAAGACTTTTATTGAGATATATACGTTGATTAAATAATAATAATAATCCTAAGTAATATCAACTTAGTCTCATAAAAAGCTTTTATTAACGTAAATTAAATTAGTTAGGACTTCAATTACCGTCGTTATAGCGAATGTTAAGAGAGGCGTTATAGTTCGCTTTGAGTTGACCTTGCTTGCCGCAAAGATATATGTCTTGCGCGCGACAGGCTTGGGCTTGGGCTTGGGCTAAGAGCAGCTTGCGGCGAGATGGCCTTTGAATCCGCATCCTCGGCAAGCCTTGGTGCACACAGGGCAATCCTTCATATGTCCGCATGCATACTTCTGGCAGCCGAAGCACTGAACTTTCTCGGTATTCTGGACCATCGCACCGGACTCTTTGCCAACATTGGAGACAGCGACTGTGATCTTGTTATCAATGGGGGCAGCCATGCTGGCGTCGCAGGGCAAATCGCCTCCGTGGGCTTCGACCTACCATCCCCCACCCCCTAACGGGACACACTCCCCACCGGGACAGCCAAACCCCACAACCACCACCAAAAGTCCCCTACCTCACTTACACGGATTACAGCCCCCTTTGAGGCTATCTATACGCTCTTTAGATGGTTAGATAGCCCTTTTCTTGGTGTTTAGCCGGATGTAGATTAGTGAAATTTCAGCCATCGGCATCAGTGATTAGGAGCCTCTGTGCCCCGCCCCTAAATGCAAATTTGCTGTAGAATTCTCTCTCTGAGCCCTTGACCCTTATGCCACCACAGCATCGTGAAGCCAGCCACGATGCCTCCGCCCACGTACACTGAAGATAATATGGCGGATGCCTGGCTAGATGTGACAGATAACGGCATTTTGTGAGAAAAGCCGCCCAAAAACACGGCATCCCTAAGCAAACGCTGTCAGCACGCATCAATGGCAGAGTCACCCGAGCCGAGGCCCAGGTTAGCAAGCAGAGACTCCCCCCTCAACAAGAGAGTAAGGTGGCTCAATGGATATTGCGCCAGGAGTCCCTAGGGCTTGCCCCTTCTCACACAGCCATGCGGGAGATTATTGTACAACTGCTTGAAAAGGGGGGGGATTTCGCACCACTGGGCCCGAATTATATGGAGGGCTATAAACGCCGTAACCCTACCATCCAGACTAAAATCGGTAAGCGGATGGAATCCGCTCGGTTTAAGGGGTTCACTCCTAAGTCTGTCAACTGGTTCTTTGACATATTGGGGGATTATCTATGGGTGAAGCCAAAAATACGTACAATGTCGATAAGGGCGGCATCATGTCGGGTTTTGGTTAGTCTTTTAACCCCCTATTCACCCCTATCCTGTCAGTTAACTAGCTAACCCCTATAGACATCGATTCCCTAGTCTTAGGAACTTCTGAGACTACGAAAGCCTTCCTAAAGAGTCCCAAGGGGCGTGGCTGGACCTCCTTTATCAAAGCCATTTCAGCCACAGGAAAAGTTCTCAAACTAGGCATAATTTTCAAAGGAAAAGATCTCCAGGCCCAATGGTTCATTGAAGAATTCTACAAAATCGCGGGTTGGTACTACATAACGTCAGATAACGGCTGGACCAGTAACGAGATTGCGTGCCTATGGTTAGACCACGTTTTCCTACCCCAGGTGGATGCTGTACGAGGGGAAGACCAGGCAGAGCCGATCCTTTTGATACTAGATGGCCATGGTAGCCATACTTCCGTACGTTATTTATTTTTCAGGGGTTGTTTAATCAGTTAATTAACTGTATAACTAACAGGACGAGTTCATATTGCGGTGTTATTTTGCCAACATCTTGCTTTGTTTTTTCCCAGCCTATACCAGCCACAGCATGCAACCACTAGATAACGGACCATATAACGCGCTCAAAGCCTACTACCAGAGATTTCTTTCGCAGTTAAATTCTCTCATAGATGCCTCACCCGTGGATAAGATCAACTTCATCCGCTGTTATTCTCAGGCTAGGGACAAGGCTTTTTCTAAGCCAAACATCCTCTTGGGCTTCTGAGTGACGGGGTGCTACCCAGTTAGCCGCAGGAAGTGTTTGAAACACCCGGAAATCCAGGAGGATAAAAGAAAGACCCCGGAGCCAGAGGAAGTTGAAGACTCGGAGCCAGAAGACCAGCGGACCCCTACCACAAGCCGACAGATCATAGATTTCGCAAAGAAACGCTCCCCAGCCACTTGGCTGAAATTCAGGAAGATCTCCCATGCCTTCGAGAACCAGGAGACGGAGCTGGCCCTAAAAGATCATAAAATCAAGGCCCTGGAGGCTGAACTAGAGCGGCTACGGCCCAAAAAGAGGAAGAAGGTCCCAAATCCGAACCGGAAGTTCATGAATATGACCGAGATATTGGCCCAGGGGGGTGACCCGTTAAGGGCCGTGGTTATAGAGTCTTCAGAGTCAGAAGCAGAGCCAGAAGTTGTTGAAGATAAGGGTGAGGAGGAGGAAGAGGTTGAGGAGGCTGAGGAGGGTGAAGAAGCCCCTGTTACAGAGCCCCAGGTGACGAGAAGCGGTCGGTCAATTAGGGCGCCAGCTAGATACGTGGATTGAGGAGCCTCAACACCACAGAATGATAATTTTGTTGATTTCTTTGGGCATCTACAACCTCGATTGCGTGTAAGTGAGTAAGGGGGTATTTTGGTGGTGATGGTGGGGTTTGGCTGTCCCGGTGGGGGGTGTGTCCCGTTAGGGGGTGGGGCATGGTAAATTGTGTCAGTGACAACGAAGCGTTTCTCTCCCCGATTGATCTTACCAGCTGCATTGCGACCTGTGAAGAATGTACCGTTGAAGTTGATGGACAGTGGGAAACCGGTATCCGAAAAACAACGAGAGAAGGAGGATGTAGGTGGTTGTGTTCCTGAGGAAGGAAGAGTAGCTTGTAATGAGATGTGGAGCAGAAATCTGCTGTGCCTGGGGCATCGTTTCTTGCTTCGGATCTGGCAATCATGAGGTAGTTAGTGCAGAGTACTCTGAGGCATCCCCTCCAGTATCAGCGTGCAGCAATGACTACATTGACTTACCTGCATCGTATACGTATTATCGAGTGCAATACTGGGACCGTCCACGCCACGTATTGGCGCCATCGCCCAGGATTGTCGCCCTCCATGGGCTGATGTGGGCCTTTTAACCTCATGCCCAGCAGGACAGAAAGCAAGTCACTTTGCCAGTTTTGCCCGACGGAGATGGTTTGGTGATCAGTATATTGATATATGAGCATGTTACGAAAGCAACTGCCAACATACGAGGACCCCGTCAGATGCTTCACCTCGTGGGGCAGGGCAAGACTGGGGATCCTGGTTGCTGAGCAGTAATAGCAGAGCTGGAATTGGTCTTGTTTGGAGATATTTGCAGCTGTGTGCGAAGGCATCACCAGAGGGCAAGAGGTACCTTGGCCCTGGTTACCAAGTGGCTAGTGTTGTGGCTCACCCATGGTCGGCTGCGCACAATGTCTGGACCAGAGTAAGTTAAAACGCAGCTGTCTGATAGGGGAAGATGGAGTGAAGATGGAAGGGACAGCGGTGGCAGGGCAATGAAGTTGTATAGTGTATGTGTGTGTGCGGGGGTTGGCCGCAGTCTGCAGATGGGCCAGAAGTTGAAATTTATACGTGTGTGCTCGTCCGGGCGGTGGCCAAGGGCAGCAGCAACAATGCCGTGGATGGTCGATGCTGCGGATGGGTACGTACCTAGGAGCTCTCTGCGATCCGAAAAGTTGGCGCTCGTTTTCGACCGAGGGCTTTGCATGGACTGTGGATGGCAGCTATCGATTGTTGTGTTCTCCTGAGGCGTGCAAACGCCAGACAGGAATTTCATGAGTCTCAGAAGTGATTCATGAGGTTCGCTTCCCAGAGATATCGGAACCGTACGAAATCAGCACATGCTGGAAATGCATGTTTGATGCGGTTGACTACTACATCAGATGCCTCAGATGATCCATCAGTGTTCGCCTGGGAAGTCTACGGAAATCTTCTAAGAACATCTTGCAACGAGACGACCTTCGGTTCTGTATTCACGTTAAGTGCTTGTCTTTCCCCGCTGAACTGATCATTGCCGATACCCGGGGTAAACGGATGCGTGCAATAGATACTGAGGAGCATGACATTAACCTGAAACTAGTGTGCGCTGTCGAGATCTCGGACATCCACCTGCTTGAGCTCCTCGTCGCTGTGAAGATGATGTCGCTGCAGAAGTTGATCACAGTCTTGTCACCTTAAAGGAAACCTTGGATCATCTAAGAAATGCTCGGGAGTCATTGCATGCTCAAGGCGTGCGCCGTTCTTCCAGGCTGTTGCGACTTGAGCCTCCGTGGAGTGCGTCATGATCAGAGAGGGACACGACTGACATCAACTCCAATCAGCCATCTCATCTTCCATTGGATAGAGATATCGTTGCGAATTGGGTCTCTGTATGAATTCCGTGGCCTGGTCTCCATTCGTGTAGCTCAAACAAGGCGGCATACCGCTGACTAGCATATTTTCGCTGATCTTATCTTTTCATGAGCAGGCAGCAAGGTCCTGGCCGATACTTACTTCTAAGGAAGGGGAGGGGGGCGGGAGGGGGACAGGAGCCAAGCTCGGCAGATTTGGCCCCGCAGATGCTCACATAAATGTAAGCAGGCAGGTAGGAAGGTACACTCAGCCTTCAGAAGTATCCGTACGCACTATGTTGGTAAGACTCTATTACCAGTAAGATGGTTAGAAATACTGGAATAAGCATACAAGAATAAGCAGCTCTGGCTTGACATGTTCTTTCCATTGCTAATTACATGGTGCTTATTCCGATTTGGTAAAGCTGCCGTGGTTTGCTGGACGGGTGTTGTACGGAGACTTATGAGGGTTCAGTGTGCCTATGTAGCTATACCTTTAAGTAGGTACATATTATCACCCCTACATGTACCTAGGCACTGCGTTGCCGCGAGTATGCCTTGCCGGGTACCCCGTGGGGGCTATGCACGTCCACAGCCACCACTGGAATTTACAGCCACTGTGGCGTGCCCGCACTTTCTTTCACGGGAACAGCTGACATGCATGCTCTGAATTCCCACGGCTTTCCACATCTTCTGAGCCTTGCTTCATCATCTACCTCTCCGCGACGGAAGGAATACTCCTGCTTGCTGGCGTTGAACATGGACCCTGTCAGCGCGATCGGCTTCGCGGCGGGAATATTGGCATTCATCGATTTCTCGTCGAAGCTCATGAGGAATGCGCACATTCTGTACAAGTCGAAGTCGGGCACGACCGAAGAAAACGCCCATATCGGCAACACATTGGACGATCTACGCCAAGTCTCGCAGGATCTTCACCTACGCGCCAATATCAGCGGTGAAGATTATGATGTGAAGGCGATTGATAAGCTGGCAGAGCAATGCATCTGTCTGTCCCAAGAACTCGGGCAGATCCTGGAGCGTCTTCAGGTGAAGGGAAAGAGGACGAAGCGGCAAGTCGCCAAGGCGACGTGGTTAACAGTCACGAAGAAGGCTCAAATCTCCTCAATTGAGAAGAGGCTTGGAGAGTACCGAGCTGAGATCATATTCCGTCTCAATATCATGACGTGGTGGGTGTTGTCCTTGGTTGCTACCTCACCTCAACCTGACCGTCAGAAAGCTCGCAGAACTCGTCCTTCCAGTACCTTCTAGCACAGCTTCAACAGGATTGTCACCAAATGGGAAGAGACATAGCCAAACAGACTGACGCCCTGAATCAAGAACTGCGAGCGCTGATCCTAACCCTACAAGATGACAGAGCACCAGTGTCCATCGTGACGCTTAGGAGTACAATTTTAGACCTCGGAAACCTGACTAGGACTGTCCAGAGAGAGAACGATATCCTCGGTGAACTCTACTTCGAGTCAATGTATCTGCGAGAGAACTCTGTCAATGATCCCGAAATTGGGACTTTCGAATGGCTTTGGTACAGTCTCAGCCCTGCATCGTCGTTCAGAACAGCCCCCTCAATCATATCCTCGGAGTCATGTTTGGGGTCATCGCATGGCTTCTCCAGCTTCGATCAGCGTGGAAGCGGCAGCGATAGTGTTGGCGGCCGTCAAAACTACCTTCACGGGCTAGAAGCTTCTGCAAGAGGACGCATGTCTGACGCTTTTGCCTCTTTCCTCGAGGCTGACAATGGATTCTTCTTCATTTGCGGCAAAGTCGGGTCGGGAAAATCGACAATAATGAAGTTCATTGGCTCTCACAAGCGCTTAGAAAAGAGACTGGCCCGCTGGTCTGGCGACCGAAAGCTGATATTTGCCCGGTTTTTCTTCTGGAAATCCGGCGACCGACTTCAGATGTCCCTAGAAGGCTTCTACAGATCTATACTGTTCGAGATTCTGAAGCAATGCCCGCAGCTAATCACACAGATAACTCCATTGTTCGGGCTGGAATCCGATGGTAATCACAGAATCAACATGTTGAGCACGGCTAGACATGCCCTGAAACAGATCATCGATACTCGTCTCAAGAAACATGCCTTGTGCATCATGATTGACGGGCTCGATGAATACGAAGGAGATATACGTATGTGCCACCACGCCTGCCCCTAAACAAATAAACAGAAGCAATCAATTGAGTGGCATAACCGCCGAATCCCGGCATGTTCCGCTGCAATTTCGCTGCAAATCCACTTGCTATTCCTCCCCCAACCTCTTACGCCCTTGCACCATCGCCTGATGTACACTCAGCTCTTATAAGTCTCCGTATGCACCATGCTGGAAGGTTTCCTGATCACAGTAGAGATTTGGGAATAATGGCATAAGCAGACAGGAATAAGCAGCTCTGGTTTAATATTCCATTGTTAATGCTTATTCCGGTGTGCTTATTCCGAATTTTCGAATTTCCAATTTGATAAATATACCGATGTTTGCTAAAAGGGTCGTGCGTGTACGGAGACTTATGAGGGTTCAGTGTACCCTTTATGGTCCAATTTTTATTTTTATTTTTTGTTGAGAAATAGGAGAAAAAAAAAGCTGACCTGAGGTAGTGGAATATATACAGCTGGCACGGCTACTGAAAAGATGGTCCGAAAAGTCTGGCGTCAAGGTCATCTGTTCTGCGAGGCCGCACACAGAGTTCATCGACACCTTCGACGACACCTCCCGGTGCGTCATGTTGCATCAGTTGACCCGGGCGGATATATGGTCTTATGCTTATGCTCAACTTTCAACAACACCACAACTCACAGCCGATGAACAAGTCGAGACCGCCGACCTCATTGTGGACATGGCAGATGGTGTTTTCCTGTGGGCACGTCTCGTTGTGCGGTCTCTGTTGACTGGCCTGGTCTATGACGACTCCCCAAAGGCGCTAAAAAAGAGGTTGCGAGATACTCCGCGAGATTTGGATGCGGTCTTTCGGAAGATTTTGGGCTCAATCGACCCTGCCCTGCAGCACCGATCCGATCGAATGCTATCCTTAGCCCTCCTTGCTCTGGGCTATTCACACCACGGGAGTCTCAACGCACTTCATTTTAGTTGGGTAGAAGACTTGGACGATCCCGAATTCCCATTCAATCGGCCTTGCGTTGGGTACAAAACTGCAGAGATCGAAAGAAGGCATAAGTTGGTCCAGCGTCAGATAGATGCCCTCACCCGAGGGTTGCTGGAGATGAAAAACAATGCCTTAATGTCGTCAAATTCGTTTTCCCGGGGGATACCAAAGAAGAAAGATATTGTGTCGATGAGGTTTTATGTCACTCCTCATCCTACCGGTGATATCTTCTGGGAGAACTATGTCGGCTTCATGCATCGCAGTGTCACAGATTTCATGCGTGTCGAGGCCAGCATGTCCAGAACCAGAGCCGCAGTTTCCACTTCCGACTATGTCCGTCTACGGCTCGCTGGAATTCAGTTTTCTCTCAGTTTATGGAACTTGGATGAATACTGCCACCGTGGCGACTACCACCACACGCTTTGGCCCGCGTGTGAGGATATTGTTTACACGCTTGCGCATGGGCAAAAAATATTGGCACATGATAAGTTTGCTCGCAAGGCCTTGGGTCATTTACGCGTCCTTCTTGATTCCTTCGGGCAGCTTCAACATTCTCAGCAAGCCAATTTGAAGGGCAATTCCTCAAAGGTTGGCCCTTTCTGGGGTACTTCCGAGTACATTTCGTGGACGCCTTGTGCCATTCAGAAAAATAGAGCGTCACTCGACTATTGGGCCTGGCTTGCGAGTAAAGGACTTGGCTGGTTGGTCATTGAAGAGTTGAGGAAATCTGCGGATTCAAAAGAAGGGTTTATACCGCCACTGAATCTTCTCGCCACATCAAACCGCGAGGCACCGGATGCCAATCTGGTACGATACCTTTTTCAGAGTGGTCTATCTCCGGAGACCCTTTACAAAGTCAACTGCCCACTTCAACCTTCTGAGCACCACCCCCATGACAACCCGACAGAAGCCAGGCCCGTTTCAGCATGGCTTCTTTTCCTTCGTATGTACCTTGGTAATTACTTACATCCTCGCCTTTCGGTTTCACAAGAGCCGTCATCCAGAGACGTCCTGCTGGAGTATCTTAGGGCTGGAGCCACCCGGGACATCGTCGTTCTTGGGTATATACCTACGACTCCACCTCCATTCCCTCCGCCCCTAGAAATAACTTTCAGAGATGCACCCAGTCCCGACGATATCTTTTGTCTGGGCTTGAAACAGGCACTCACTCTTTGTATACAAGAAGACATTGACCTCGAGATGGAAAGTCTACTACGTCCTCCACCACCACCTCCCGAGGCCAGATTGTGGAGTAGTGCGACTGGTATTCTCTCCAGTATCATGCCTTCCTCGTCCAAGGCTGCGAAGCGAAACGCCCACATGGCTGGGTACAGACCGCCAAACGCGGATGAGTTGAAACATCCTGATCTCCTGGTGTATGGAGTTATCTCCAAGGACAACGAGCTCATTGGGGATTTCGAATACGATGTATACTGAGTACAGCCTTAGAACTACTGAGTTTCAACGATGTCAATACGCTGGACGTTAGATCCAAACTGAACTCTGCTCATGGGTTACGACTGTGCGGGAAACAGGCTTTAGAAGCATCAATTGCCACACTGTTGATGGCTATACTTATTGTGGACACAGAACCACATTGGGGTGCTATGCCTGAACGAGATGGACAGGGGTGTTCAAGAATCACGAATCCAGGGTTGACGCCAGCACAGCATAGGGGCTTATCGCGGCCGCAGCAATTCTCCAACCGTGCTGGACCTCGTCCGAAAACGACTTGGTACCGCAATGAGCCTTGTAGTCAGAATAGGTTCGGTTCTTATCAGCGCCAGCTAGTACTACGCTTTTGGCTCGTCTATCGTCACATCACGACCCAACCGCAGCTTGCCGCACCCGCAGACTGCCAAATAATCACACCAAGCTCGACACCCTGCCACAGGCGGGTCGTACCGGTGCCAACGTGCATTATCGAGACGGAAGCCTGAAGCTTGAACCTATTCAGGGTAACGGAACCCAAAGAATGTCTTGTACAGGTGTCCTTAGTACCGTTGGTACGTCTGGCCACATGTGGTCCTCCTTCAGTCACTTACGGTTGCTCTGATGCTGAGCATGTGTCACAACACAGCCGCCGAGGCCCAGCCCCAATATCCCCGGATCGATGGCACGATGTGACGATAGTGGGGTACGACAGACGGATAAATAGGGATAAATAGGAACGATGCGACATCCCCTCCGCCGGGACGAGCTTCCACGGATCACGGCTGGGAATGGTATACTCGTCTTATAAAAGCGACGATGATTGGAACGAAGAATACCCTTTGCTTCTTCTTGTACTCGACGAGCGTAGCATAGCCATTGATTCCTGTGCAATCGGCAACTTTTACAGGCCTCGACGACGGTCATATCAGACACCGCACTCTGGTCCGAACTACCCCTCAACACCAAGAACCCCGCTCCACGATACATCGTCTCCAACCCCCACAGAAGCTCCCAAAGCCAAAAGCCACTATGTCGCCGCCACTGATAACCCACGACTACACAGCGGACCCATCCGCCCACGTCTTCGAGGGCAAAGTGTACATCTACCCATCGCACGACCGCGAGACGGACATCGAATTCAACGACAATGGGGACCAATACGACATGGCCGACTACCACGTCTTCTCCACCTCATCGCTAGACCCTCCTTATGACTCAGTGACAGACCACGGCGTGATCCTCCGCACTGAAGACGTCCCCTGGGCCAGCAAGCAGCTCTGGGCGCCCGACGCCGCGCACAAGAACGGGCGGTACTACCTCTTCTTCCCCGCGCGGGACAAGTCGAACATCTTCCGCATCGGCGTGGCCGAGGGCCCGACGCCAACCGGTCCTTTCGTTGCGGACCCGGAGCCCATCCCGGGTAGCTTCAGCATCGACCCGGCGGCGTTCGTGGAACCGGACACGGGGGACGCGTACCTGTACTTCGGTGGGCTGTGGGGCGGGCAGCTGCAGTGCTGGAAGGGGAATTCGTCTTCTGCTTCAACAGAAAAGGGGGGAGAGGCAAAACTAGACGAGCACGGCCTCCCCCCCTTCGACGCCACCCTCCAAGGCCCGCAAGAGCCCTCCGGCCCCAACGTCCACGCCCTCTTCCCCAAAGTAGCCCACCTAGCCCCGTCCATGCACTCTTTCCTCTCCCCCGCGCAAGACCTAGTAATCCTCGCCCCCGAGACCGGCGCCCCCATCTTAGCCGACGACCACGACCGGCGGTTTTTCGAAGCAGCGTGGATGCACAAGCGCAACTCGACGTACTACTTCAGCTACTCGACGGGGGACACGCACTACCTCGTGTACGCGACTTCCAAGTCGCCGCTTGGGCCGTTCACGTACGCGGGCCGCATCCTGGAGCCCGTGCTGGGGTGGACGACGCATCATTCGATTGCCGAGTTTGGCGGGCGGTGGTGGCTTTTTCACCATGACTGCGAGTTGAGCGGGGGCGTGAACCACCTAAGGTGTGTCAAGGTTAGGGAGATATTATATGATGATGAGGGGAGGATCTTGCCGGTGGAGGGTGAGTAGTCGCGTATGTAGCAGATTACTGGATGTTAAGAGGCTGCATAGAATCTGTATCGATTGGACGAGTTGGTATGAAGATGCTGTATAAGGCGCCATGCTTAATTGTATGTACAATTTGTGAAGAACGCTCTGAACAGCAAGTGTACGTCAGTCATCTGGCCCCTGGGTATAACCGCCCGTAGCAACGTTCCATCATCTCATGACCCATGTAAAGCCTAAACGCCATCCCGAATCAAACAGATATGAATACAAGTCTTGCATTTCTCATTCGACTCATCATCTCATGTCTCCAGAACGCCCAACGTCAGTCGCCTGAGAGCATCCTCGTACCTCCCAGGGCTATGATCCAACAACATGCTAGCGCCAAACTTGACCTCCCTGAACTGTGCCTCGACCTCTCTGATATACTTAAGGACGATACGGGTGGCTGGTCTTCCGATTTGTTCTGTGCCCGCCTGCAGGAAAGCATCCCTCCTCAGGCATGGAGTACTCTCGATGGAGAAAACCTCACCGGGAGGCAGAAGCTTGGAGCTCATCATACTCGCGCGCAGAGTCTTCAATGCGGCGTAAGCCCATTTATCGTCTTGGTCGTTGGAACGTGTCGGCCCGTTATTGTACCACTGGTCGGCAAGTCCAGACTGCAGACCCTCCCATATACGACGACGAACCTCCGCCTTGGCTTCGTTGTTGTCCGTTTTGAAAGCAAGGGCAAGTGCCTGCAAGTCGTGCAAGACGCCGAGGGACAAGTATGGAACTATGTCATTGCCGTGGACTGTACTGGTGATCAGTCCTCTTGTGGCCTTTTGAAATGTTGGTGACATGGTTGCCGGTGGACCGTAAGCATAGACATGGATGGGTCTCCCTGAGGGCAAACAAATATGTGATGAGCTTTCTGACGAGCCGCCAGCGGTGAGTAACCTGCTGTGCTGCTCGGCGGAAGTGACGAATGCTGTGCCAGTCATGGCAGGCTCCGCCAGCATGGCTCCAAGCAGTGCCGTCACAGCACCACCAAGGGAATGCCCACACAAGATCAATCCATAATCCGGAAACTCCTCGAGGGCTTCTTTGAGCGTCACCAAGACTCGACCATCCCCACCATATAGAAGCCGCCGTGCGGACGCGTGGATCCCTTTGTGAACCTTGTATGGCTTTCCCCGCCAAACCAGATCGTCGTAGTCGCACATCATGTCGGCCAGCACGTCCTCAAACCCTAGGGTTCCACGACAAGACAGCACGACGGCTTTTGACTCTTTATCGAGAGCCACAGTATGAATGAGGGGTATGCCTGTGTCGGTAGATCCAGTAGAATCTGATCCACCCTGAGGGTCGACGAAAGAGGCCAACAGGATGCTGTCCGACGGCAACTCAGTATGATGGGCGAATGACCGCACATCCTGATGCAAGTCATCTGCAATATTCATAGCAGGCAAATCTTTATTGATCCCCATCAACTTGAGAAAGTTCGAACCATATATAGCAGATGCGTATCGACTGTATCGAGTGATGTTTCTCAATATGTGAAAGTTGGGGAACATCCCATCCACCGTACCATTTCGCCTCAGAGTATCAACAGCTTCCGAGTCGCTATAGGCACTCCTTGGGTGGAATGAGGACAAGACTAGTGAAGCTTGCGAGTCTCTGTTCAGCGTGTATATACTTGGCGCATACGAGTTGAAGTTTTGTGATCTTGCGCGGTGGTGATCCCGCTGGGGTGATGGCAGCTTTCCGCCAGCATCGTAGGAAGACCTTGGATTGTATACCCCGCTATTCCTGTGGCTCGTCGGAGAAGTCGGGCGGCTTTCGAACGATTGTATTGAGAACGTATCAGTAAGCGAAACGACAGAACTTCGGCGGGTGTCTTGGAGCGGCTGATAGCTGTTCCTAGAAGGACTTCTGTACACAGGGCTGCCCCCAACATTTCCCAGGTCTCTTGATGAAAAGTAGTTTGGATTTCCTCGCTGCGGTGGTTGCGGTGCTTCCCGGGTTGGTATCAAGCTCGAAGTGCGATCTGGAGCCAGGCCTTTGGTCTGTTGTTTAGCTGGCGGAGGCTTATAACTGCCCCACGGCGGCTTCACACTCGATCTCGTTTTGGGTGACAGGACGTCTGAACTCGGCTCTCTGTTCAAAAAATTCGCGAAGCCGGGAACAGAACCCTTCTTTAACACACCCCTGATTCCACCCTTCTTTTCAACTTTCGTATGAACCGGTTCCGGATTCTTGACTGTTGTTGTCTTGCGGGTTGACGAGTCGATTGTGAGACCTCTCGGGCTCTTTCGTGACTCGTCTAGGGGTTTTCTGGTACGCTTCTGGTTCGCGGCGTGTTCCGATGTTGGCTTGGGCAAAGAGCTTGGGAAAGAACGCTCACGGGGTGAGGACGCAGAGCCAGCTGAGCTGTTTGACACGGATCTCACGTGACCATCCCTGCGCTCACCGGGAGCATTGGGGCGGCCCTTGGCTGCTGATGCAGCAGTCGGACGTGCGGCCTTTGGCGGAACAGGGGGAGGTTGATCGATGTCGATACCATACGGGGACTGAGGTTCCTCATCATCAATGAGTTCGACGTATGATTGACGATCGTCCTCGTTCTCGCTCTCATCGGCTGTGTTCCTGACTTTATTTCGGCTGACCTTGTACACCACTCGGTAATTCTGACTCTCCTCTTGCGTCGTAGGATTGCTGACTTCACTTCTCACAAGGTCCAGTCCAGGGAGCGACGGCATGAGCATCTCTGTTGCGCCCTTGATGTCGACCGTGATGACCTTGGTAGTTGTGGTGGAAGTCGAAATGGAGACTCTTGCATCCTTTGGTAGAGAGTTTAGTATTTGACGTTTCAATTGACTCTCGGGCTGGTCGTCTTCGTCAGTGCTATTCCGCCTAGCCCCATGCTGCGCAATTGCTTCGATGAAATCACCAGTACCCGCCTGGGATCTTTGAATGTCACTGTCGCGAACGTCTACTCGCTCGCCATCGTTCAGAACAACTACATCCCACACGATCTCCACCTGTCCGAGACGGCGAGATTCCTCCTGTATGGTCTTGCGACACCAATTCTGCAAGTATGCCAGGCCACAGACTCCGATGAGAAGATCGACAACTCCAACCTTTTCCCCTTGTACACCGGTTGCGGGGTTCTGGAACTCGCGACGAATGAGCGTGATGATACTGGCTATGGCCCTCGAAGAGTCGGTCGAGCCGAAGAACTGATCGAGGACGGACAGAAATAGCTGGGAGATCTGTGACACACTGGAGACGGTAGTCGAAGTGATGTGGAAGCTTGCGCTGGTCCAAAAGACAACCTGTGCCATGGTCTGATGTAGACTTTCCAAGCTTCTTTCCAGTATCGTCTCGGCATCTGTCCTACCCAATTCCGAGCGCGATCGGGCGCGGACTTCCTTCCCAGCTCTGCTCAAAATGCCCTCGAGTATACCTCGACCGACCTCGAGACTAGACAGTGTAGTGACCTTGGCAGCACCCAAGCTGTAGCCGCCGATGAAAGTACCGACTCGGAGAGCAAAGGAGGTGGATCTCGTTGCGAAACTGATGGCGCTGGCTATCGGAGCGGGAAGAAGCGTTGGACCCGGGGCAGGTGGGACATGTTCACTCGGGGAACCTTGGACATCTCGCAAACGTACGAGGGCGTTGTAGATATCGTCGTGCTCGACATCATCCTCAGCTTGGTCCAGCTCCATCTCCATCTCCAAGGACTCGCGAACTCAACAAATGCGCCAGGTCGTTCGCAGGTCGTTCGCTGGTCGTTCGGCGGTCGCGTCGACAGACTGCGCTGTTGCATATCAAGCACGAGTCTGATGGCAGTTGCTGGCGCTGTATTCGGGCTTCTCTAGAGTACGATGATGCGTTGGGAGAGGCCACCGGACGAATACGTTTGTTGAAAGTGTAGTAAATACACTTCCGGGCGTCAAACGTCCCACTGTTTTCTGTTGAGACAACGGTTTCTAGGATCTCCAAGCCGCGGTCTAACATGAAGCGTTGGACTGGCAGACTGATTGAGTCGCGTGGTCAAAGAAGCGAGGCCGAGTCAGACGGCCGTCATTGTTACTGGCATACCGAGCCAACGGGGCATAAAAGGTCATCTGGGCAAGCGAGGCGTCGCTTGTGTGGTTGAATCAAGAATCAATGCAACCTCAACTAGTCGAAACTTACATGTGACAGCACGCGGAGAACTTTGAACTGGGAAACTCGGTACAAACCTTCAAGCCAAATGCGGGCAATGCGGGCAATGCGGGCGAGCCCCTGACATGCCTGATGTGGGCAAGCATCCACGAATGGCATTTCTGGTGGGATGGGAATCTTGATAGCTTGATTGCTGATGGACTTTGCTACTGCTTGGTGTCGGCGGTTCCGAATGCCCAACAAAGCTGTCCGTTGTCTGGACACAGGCAGACAGGACCATACCTGCATAGGTACTCCGTGAAGTCTTTCCGTGTTGTGGTTTTGTTTCTCACCGAGTCACGGTCTCGAGTCACAGTCCTGAGTGGCAACACCTTGACGGCCAGTTTCCAACATTGAATTGCATAAATGTGCCCTTGGGGTTGAGGGCGGAAAAGAAGCCTGATCGGGTTCCGTCACCTGAGAGGGTTGACACGACTCACGAGATGAACCCCTGTAGAGACGACGAGCATGATGTAATGTGATGCAGGAACAGCCAGCCAATTTGGAGAAAGTCTTCCCACCACAAAACTTGGGAATGCTCTGGTCGCAACATCGCATCGTTTGATTTGATGCCGGCAGACAAGCCAAGACTATCGTCATGATATGCCCAAGCACTGCTGGGGACTGGGGACAGCGGACACGACCTGAAGCGGAAATATGGAAAACAAAGGCCAGCTCGAATCGATGAGTGTACGCATAGCAGACCAAGCGAACAGTCGATGAATGGTAGTCAGTCGCTTGACTCGAAGGCGAAGGCCACACGTTTTCCGAGATGGATTTCGACGAGAATAGACTCGCTGTTGGTAAACGTGATGTCAGCAGCCATCCGACAGCCTGGAGTGCATTGGAACACATGGCCTGGCAGCTGGCTGAACGTGCTATTCTTAGCGATCTGCTGCACTGTGGTCCCCTGTAATGCACTGCAAGGTGCTGCGGCTCGCCCTGGCAGCTGTCGCTAGCGTGTTGGGGAATTGAGGCTAAGCAGCTGCTACCTAAGGTGAGATTGTCAGGGGTGTGAAAGAAGCAAAGTCCATGCGCGGATCTGCTCAGCCAGGGTCTTGTCCGGGGTCTTCGTATCCTTTGTCGTCGTCAGTCAGTCAAGTCTCACACAGTCGGTGCTGCGCCGATTCAAAAGCACACCAAATCCCTCCATGCTGCCGATGTCGTACTTCCCCTGAATCCATTATCATCTTGTCTTTGTACCAATTGGCCGTCTTGTCCAGCTGTCTCCTTCGCTTGTGCTCGGTGCTACAACCCTTCGCTCGCTACCTCCCACGCTCGCCTTGTAAAACAAACACGTCGCATCTACCTCGAGTCCACAATGGCAGAGCAAGGCCTTTTCTCGTCCGACCTCATCTCCCCGGCCGTCGCCGCCGCCCTCCCCGAAGGCTACACTGCCCGGTCTCTGCGACTGGCCGATTACGATGCCGGTTTCCTCGACTGCCTCCGTGTCCTGACTACTGTTGGGGAGATCAGCAAGGAGCAATTCGCCGAGAGATACAAGTGGATGACTTCGCAAGATACCTACTACGTCATAGTCATTGAGGACTCGAGCAGCGGGAAGATTGTAGGGACTGGCAACCTCCTTGTAGAGAGGAAATTGTAAGAGGACCCTGACGACCTACCACGGATGAGGCCGCATTCTTCCCGGCGCCGAGAAAGCATTGGCGCATGGGGGTGTATGTGTGCGCAAAAGCTGTAGAAGCGGAACAAAGAGAGGGCGATGATACTGATCCGTATTCCTGCGCAGCATCCACAGCCTTGGCCTTGTAGGTCACATCGAAGATATCGCCGTAGCCAAGGACCAGCAAGGAAAGAAGCTCGGTCTTCGCCTAATCCAGGCTCTCGACTTCATCGCCGAAAAGGTCGGCTGCTACAAGACCATCCTCGACTGCAGCGAAGCGAACGAGGGGTTCTATGTCAAGTGCGGCTTCCGAAGAGCCGGCTTGGAGATGGCGCATTACTACGAGGGCGACAAGAGTAAGACCCAATGATTGTGTCTTTGCCCTCTCAGGATACGCCTAGACTAGGTGAAGAGGCCGTGTACGAACTAGTGTCGAGAAGAACTTGGCTGATCCGAGCGTGGCAGGACTGAAGCTCTAGGTAATGGTCGAGCTACACTTGCGTAAGGGATCGTGGTCATGGTTCATAGATTTGGACGGTTGGGTCGGTCATATAGTCGCGGCGTCAAGCGATGCGCACACGCAGATGCTCCTTCTGACATAATATTGCGATGTACAGGTAGACTGGAAATAGAGACATGTGAAAGAGCACTAATGGCGCGTTGAGGCTTGGGCTCATGGTACGATGTCCATCGACGGTTCGAAACTCAGAAAAGTCCAAGCGGTAACCCGAGCGAGCGTCTCCCTGAGTCCGGGTGACTCGAGCGACTTCTTACATGCCAATCTATTTGCCATGAGATGGACCTCGTGGTCTGCCCCTGACCAGTGCATAAAGCCATGTTGACGCCTGTCAGCGAGATGTCCTCGCTACGTATCTCGGACCGTTCCTCTCAGGCGAGACATGCCCCCCTTTCTGGATCCCGCCGCATCACGCAGCACACGGCGACTCCTACTTACTTTGGACATTGCTCGAGCTCACGGACTCACACGATGGTGTCCTCTCCGAAAGGTACGCGGGGGAGTTGGGAGTCCGAAAATAGACTTTCGCCCCGGTCCGCATTCCGATTGTCGTCCCATCGATCTAGGTATATATCTGTATCATGTCTCCCCAATCATCCGAGACCAAATTCATTGCTGACAACGATACCAATATACCCATTCTCTTCACTTTCCCGTTTCGCATAGCCCTATCTACTACTACATTTATCACCTGCAGCATATATATCCCACCTTGCCTACGCCCGGACTCGGCCCCGGATCTCCCCAACTTCACCTTTGGACCCGAGATCCCCTTTCACATACCCTGCGGGGACTCGCTATTTCCGAGTTGTATCGATGCCTACTTATACCGGACCGTATCGTCCTAACAATCTACCTGTCCATCTTGAACGTCCAGAAGACATTCGAAACTTTCTGATCCGATACCACATTGCCCTGCTTCAACAAGAGTAAGTCCACCCATAACCTAACCTCTGTATGTCGGATAAGGAGTAGTGCAGTTCTTTCCCTTCGAATGAGGAGAACTACATCAATCCCAGAGATCATGATGATGTATATTAGGAAACAAGAAAGTCAACACTCACTAACACCACCAACAGGGTTCGTGAGAAGAGTAACTGGTTCGCCACACCCCGCGTCCTAGTCCGCAATCGCTGGGGTAAAGTCTACTTCACGCACCTGGGCTGGCGTCCAACCTACGCGCGGCAGAGTGGCTTTGTCAGTGTCGACGACGACCAAGCCTCGGAGAACGGCTTCACCTTATTTCTCGGCGACGACCAAGTATTGGGGAGAGATCTCCTAGATTACGACGACCAAGTCTTGGAGAGCGACTTCACCATAATTGTCGACGACGACCAAGTATCGCAGAACGGCTTCGCCTTGTTTCTCGACGACGACCAAGCATCGGAGGTGGGCGGCTTTACACTGGTGTCCAGAACGAGTCGTCCGTATCCTCCTTTTAGACACCCCTGCGCCCTTCCCACGGGCACAGCTTCCGCCGCCGCAAGAGCAACACCTACCAAGGCACCAATCATCCGGCGCCAACGCCAATCACGAAGAACATGGCGCCGCACAAACTGACCGACGAGGTCGCCCCGCGCACCTGGCTCATGGGCACCGATGCCTTCGAGCGCCGCATGCCGCACCACGACGGGATCCGCGCCCTCTGGGACACGAAGTGGAAGTTTCCCTGCACCAAAGCCGTATACCCCTTCCACGACGGCGCCTACGAAGACTTCGAGCCCATCTTCGCCGGCCTGGTCGCGCGGTCCGTCAACGACGGCACCAGCGCCGAATATACACAGGCTTTCTTCTACACAGCGCAAACCCTCGAAGAACAAGGCGACGCGGCCGCGGCGTCCGGCGACAAGACGAAAGCCAGCGCGTTGTATCTGAGAGCGGCGTGCGTGCTGCGCATCGCGCGGTTTCCGTACATCACTGCTTTTCCGGAGGTTAATGATGCGGTGAAATGGGAGGCGTGGCAAAGGCAGAAGAGCGTGTATATGAAAGCTGCGCGGTCGTGGAACGCGCCTGTGACCGAGGTCCGCATCCGGCACCGGTTCGCCACCGGGCGTGAACGCACTGATATCCCCGTCTACGTGCGCGTCCCCCCGAACCTCGCGCCCGAGTCACCGCAGCAAAAGTATCCCACGGTGCTACTACTGACGGGCCTCGACGGCTACAGGCCGGACAACACGGTCCGCACGGACGAGTTCGTCGCGCGCGGCTGGGCCGCCGTCGTGGCCGAGATCCCGGGCACGGCCGACTGTCCCGCGGACCCGGCCGACCCGGCCAGTCCCGATCGTCTGTGGGACAGCATCTTCGCCTGGATGGCGGGCGACGGACGCTTCGACATGGACCGCGTGATCTGCTGGGGACTGAGCTCGGGCGGGTACTACGCGGTGCGCATCGCGCACACGCACCGCGACAAACTGGTGGGGAGTGTCGCGCAGGGCGCGGGCGTGCACCATTTCTATGATAGGGAGTGGCTGCAGCGCGCGGACGGGCATGAGTATCCGTTCGAGCTGACGCCGGCGATGGCGATGAAGCATGGATTTAAGAGCGCGGAGGAGTATGTTGATGGGGCGCAGGCGAAGTTTTCGTTGTTGGAGCTGGGGGTGCTGGAGAGGCCTTGTGCGCGGTTGCTTTTGGTTAATGTGAGTTGAGTTCTGCTTGCTTTGCTTGTTGCCCCTTTCTGTCTTGTTCCCCGTTTCGTTTGGTGTCTAGGACAGGCGGTTTTTACCCCGTGATGGTGATGGTGATGATGGTGCTGACTGTGATGATAGGGAACGCTTGATGGACTCATGCCCATCGAGGACTCGATGATGCTGTTTGAGCATGGCTCGCCCAAGGAGGCGAGGTTCTTCCCTGGTGCTCTGCATATGGGTTACCCGTTGGCGAATGCGTCGGTCTATCCGTGGATGGAGGAGGTTATGGCTTCGGTAAGATAAGGTGTGTTTGGCTGTTCGGGATTAGGGAGAGAGGTTGGAGTTTTGCAGATATTTGTGATCTAGCTTGGAATATATTCACTCCTTATTCTCATACTCCCTCTCGTGCAAAGTGCTGGTGTGAGCAGTGACCAAAGGCTTTTCACCGCACCAACCTTTTGTGCCATCATCGTTCCTCTCCATAAGGCTAGATGTCCGCATCGCTGTGACTGTCGCTTCGTATGGGTAACGAGTTCCGTGTCAGTCTCATGATCACCAACAAACATCTCTATCGGGCACCAACACAGCTCATTGTCAGCCCACTTACTTGTCCACCCACCCGTCACCGATCACCAGCGTATGCCCTGTGACATAAGTACCCGCCCGACCAGCAAAAACATCCACACTGCCTCAATGACTTTCTTGGTGTCTGTAGCGGGATGCTTGCGCTACGAACTGTGTGTTCGTTCGGGGAGGCCGGAATATTTAAGGTGGATTCGGCACGTATTGCAAGATGGGACGGAGCCGAGTGCCTCCCAACCGACTTCCGAGCGCCACTAAAATCAACGACGAACAACGAACGATGCATCAAAAATACAACAGAAATTGCGGTCTCAGGAAGGCTCGAACTTCCGACCTCCTGATAAACTGTTCACTCAACAGTGAGATGAATTAACAGTCAGACGCTCTAGCCAACTGAGCTATGAGACCCGGTTATGGTGAAACGGCGAGGTCATCGTGGGTCTTGGCTAACGAAAATTTCGAGCAAACGAAGAATCCCCACATTTGGCGTCTCGTGGGCCCGCTACACAACGGAAAGAGGAAGAGAGTCGAGGAGTAACTAGTACAGATTTGTGGCAGAAAGATATCGCAGCCAGCTTCTGCGAGCGTGATGGCAATTGACTGGCGCGCTCATCCGCGGTCCTCGTCTTCCACGGGCTTAGCCGGGGAGAGGCGGCCGGTTGGACCGAGATTCTTCACCTTGCGTATTTCGGCCTCTCGTTTTCTTAAGTCACACTGAACCTCTAGAAGTGTGCGTACACCCCTTATTCTACCAAGCAAAAGGTCCGTTCATTATAAATGGAATAAGCAGTGTGGAATAAGCATTAAATGTGGCTAATTAGACAAAACCTGCTTGTTCCAGGATGCTTATTCCATTAATACGAATGTAATATCACTATATAAAAGTCCACTCGTCGTTATCAGGAACGGCAGTCTCTGCTATTGCCCTCAGTTGAGCCTTGGCTGTATCCTCATCGACTTCTTGGGCGCTGGCAACCTTGGAATCATGCTTCATCTCGCCCATCTCTGTCAGAGTCCTCGCCTGGGTCAATCAACTCTCGCGAGAGTTTACTTAGTACATCATCGAACATTGCAGTCTGACGCCCACGGGCGGCACGTTTCCCATGTCTAGTTTCTAATGCGGGTGTGTCGGTGTGGTAGTGTAAAAGCTGATTCCTCCGTACTTCTGGAATTCCGAGGGGAGTTGAACACACGTCGCTCTGATGGGTGAGCTCTGATGGGTGATCTTTGTCAAATTGTCCCATCTGAAAACGGGAGCCAGTCGAGGTAAGTCTGGACATCCTCGCGGACCTGAGTCCGGTGATCCTCGATATCTTCTGTGGGTGACTTATCGTCTTCTGGTTGCGTCGGTATCCACCGCTTAGCGAGGCTGAGTGTAGACTCGTCAAGATGTTTCTGGCTCTCGGGGTCGTTGCTCGCAAGCTTAACGACGTAGTTTAATTTCGCCTGCAGATGACCGATTTGCTTGATTCTGTGTCGGTGGGAAAGGTCAGACGCGACTTGGATCCGGTCCCAGATATGCGGAATGAGAATATGATGTCAGAAATGTGACGAGTGTGTAAATTGTAGGTTCGACAGTGCAGACGAAAGCTCGTGCGCGTGTAGAAGTCGCGTGGTGCTGTTGTTGTTGGTGGTGGTGAAAGAAGGGCGGAGGACCAGTGCACAGAGTTGAGGTCAATGCTTTTGTGTTGGAAACAAGGCGTCCTGTTGTCCATCGACAGTCAGGTCCCGCTTGAACAGATTAAACTCGATATTGTCAAAACGCAGCTTCACGGTTGCGCCCATATGCGGAAGGATTGCCTGGGTAGTGGAATTGTGAAGAAAGATAAACCGGTAGCTCGTTTACTAGGTAAGCGAAAGGTATATCTATAAAGTTATAACTGGAATAAGCAGCAAGGAATAACCATCAAATACGGCTAATGAAACAGAAACTTCTTATTCCAGGGTGCTTATTTCATTAATAAAAATGTAGTATTTATGTATAGGAGTCGACAGGAGCCTGACAGACGGAGACTTATGAGGGGTGATTGTAAAATGAGTCACGCCGTTTGCACCTTGTCAGGCGGTGTCACTGTCAACGATTGCAGGTGCTTTCTTTCACATTACCCCTAAATAGTCCCGTATGCTCAAGGTATCCCAGCAGCAGATTGCAGTAGCTCGTGCCTCTTTTCCCTTCCTAGCCTCCCGGGAGTTCCATGAAGAGGGTTGAGCCCCCACGTCGCTTCTTGTCGCCATTACCCTTCAGAGAAAGCCACCAGCGGAAGATATTGACCTTTTCGACGTTGGATGGGTCGGATTCTTCAAGATCGTGGTGGTGGGTAATAGACGTCGGAGTCTAGTCTCGAGGCGCCACCCTTAGATCGGTGGTTATGGCGGAAATAGTGGACGTCCAAGCCATCGGCACGCTGCATTCCCATGGACAGGAATAACTGCAGGTGTTTGCCTAAACCGCGACGTATACTGTGGTGAAGCAAGTATGACGACGACGACAACAACTGCTAGCTGAGACTATTGTTCTGTGGTGGACGTATAATATAGAAATAGTATGGGCACCACATCGTCTTCGGAATCATTGTCGACGTCCATGTCGACAGAAGCGTTAACAGGAGAGCCGACAGGAGCGCCGACAGGAGCGCCGACAGGAGAGTCGACAGCAGCGCCGACAGCAGCGCCGACAAGAGCGCCGACAGGAGAGCCAGCAGGGGCCGGTCATACCCAAATGACGGGATTGTCGATGAAGAACTCGAACCCCGGGTCATATCAGGTCGTCATCTTCGGATCGATGCGAATTGGCGGATAGAACCAGAGGTCCTCCCTGAAAGCCATCACCCGTGAAAATACGGAAACAGGGCGTTTGGGAGACATTTGGCAACGATCATGTGGTCAGGTTCGGACTACGAGATCGATCGGTTTCTTGTTGTGGAGCTGACCGATAACCAGAGGTGTGGCTGTGATGACGTCTGCCTGTTCTATAGTTTGCCGCACGAGTTGGGTCACATATCATGCGCCGGATTTCAGCCATAATTCCGGATGACTCTTTTGCAGCTCCGCCTTCTACGGATAGCTGCGACCAGGGGGTCAGCCGCGTCATGGAGGATCTTGTGAGCCACAATTTCGGGCAACGACAACGGACTGTTGAACGCCTTTGACTGCCCGTATTGCGCGTCAATCACATCTTGCTTCATCGATGCGAGCTTGACGGAGGCCTCCAGTATACTATCGACGATAGCGTCTATGAAGACCTTCGTGACGGAGTCGACGTTCGCCGAGATCGCGGCGGCCGGGCTCGACCACGTGCGCATCCCGTACAGCTACTGGGCGGTGCAGACGTACGGCGCCGACCCGTACGTGTTCCGCACGTCGTGGCGCTACATGCTGCGCAGCATCGAGTACGCACGCCGTTATGGTTTGCGCGTCAACCTCGACCTGCACACGTTGGCCGGGTCGCAGAACGGCTGGAAACACAGCGGGCGCCAGGGCATAGTGCGCTGGTTCAACGGCACCGACGGCGACCTCAACGCGCAGCGCTCGCTCGACATGCACGACCGGCTCTCGGAATTCTCTTCATCTTGTCTTGTCAGTCTCGAGATGCTCGCGCTGATGTTCGAGGCTCGAATGGTAAGCACGGATCCGCCTCTGATGGACGTCAGCATCTCGTGAAGTCTTTCCGCCGCGACATTAGCACAGTCGTTCGTCGGGCCGGTGTCAACGAATTGCGTCTTCAGGAATCGCTTTGGCTGGACGGTGATGTCCGCTTCGGGATCGTCCAACCTGTCAAAGACGGGAAGCCCTTAAATTGGGCGTTGGTCTCGGGTTGTTCTTGACCATTCGTCTTGATCCAGTCATTCTCGTCAGGTTCTGGAGATGTTGATTTGGTAGGCTTTTCTGGACTGGACTTGCCAGCGTCGTCTGCCGGTCGCGAGGCTTTCTCCTGTTCTTTCTTGTCCTCCTGGAACAGGCGTTCACGTTGATCATCAGAGTAGACACGTTCCTACGGCATTATGGATGGCTGGAACATCTGCCACGATCCTGTAGGATCGTCTGGTCCTATGCCGTCGATGAAATGCTGGAGGCCTCTGTGAAGCTCACATCGATGAAGTTCGTATTAATGCAATAAGCACCCTGGAATAAGCAGGTCTCATCCTCCTAGCCGTATTGGATGCTTATTCCAGACTGCTTATTCCGGTTATGAATCCACCGAGCCGCGTTGCTCTCTTGTCGCTCTCGTGTTCTCCGGTACCTGCTTGGGTCTGATCCTTTCCGGAGCCCCAGCCTTGACTGCTTGTGGTTCGGAGTCCCAGCCTTTACCTGCGGACTCTTCTTCATCCTTGGTTTGCTCGAGAAGAGGTTCCAGCTCCAGTCGTTTATGTTGCTGCGCAGGAGGTCTCTGAATTGACCTAGGTCATATCCCTCTGGAATTTCGAGATGGATGTTCGGGTCGTCCATCGCATCCGGGTTGGGGAGTGGTGCCGTGTTATCTTTGGGTTCGGCATACTCCTTGTAGACGGGCTGAGCGTCGGGTTTGGAGTCATCTGCGCAGCGTCGCAGGCGGTGCGGAAGACTTTGACAACGTTATTATCGAGGTGAAGCATGCCCGCTGCGGCGATGAACGCTGCGAGTCCGGAGCCAGGTCCTCCCACGATCAGGATGAGACCATGAACAAGGCTAGTGAGACTGTCGAAAAACCCTTCCGTTGATCGCTATCGAGCTTCTGCAGGATGCTAACAGTCTATCGGATTGGCTCTGCGTGATTCCCACAACCAAGGGCGATGCACATCGGACTCGCTGGAATGATGCACTGGAACGCTTCACGCTGTTGACTCGGTCATGCAGGCATGACACAGCCAAGGGCTCGTCTTCGGGGATAATGGAGTCGCAGGTATTGTTGATGGCGGTGCGTACGCAGCTCAGGCAGAGATGGGCACCTGCATCCTGAGGGGGCAGGCGCATGCGAAGGAGGTTGAGCGCGGGCATTGTGATGGTTTCTGGAGTAAATTGTGGTGTATTCGGTTGCGTGGAGGAGAAGACAGAGGGTTATCGCACCGATTCTGAGAAAAAGCCGAGTCGGTTGTGTGATGCCTGGGGATCGGATATCCCGTTGATAAAACCGCTAGGTGGGGCAATCGCGAAGCACTTCGCAGGTCGCAATTCGCATCGAGCTGCTTGTCCAGAGACGTTGTTCATTTCATCGCGGACCGCAGTGTATGGGATTGTGGCTCGCACCCGAGAACCCTGGAAGAATAGCACGGCAGGGTCGGGTTCGACGAAGTCGGTTTCCATGACCGACGGAAGGACCGGTAACCTTGCAGATCCATTGCCGCCGACGCCCCCAGTAACGCCCGGTAACCCGCATGTCAGATAGCATTGGACCGTCCCAACACTCTGTCGACTTGATACAGCGTAGTCGAGAATCGCCCAAGCTCCAGCAACGACGTCTCGGAATTCTCGACTTCCTCCCAGGTGCTCTCTTTCCCAGATCACAGCAGCGCCGTCGCCCTCCCCCATTGATCACTCCTGTTTTGTGTCGCACCTCCTGCACTGCTAGGGCATGAGTCAGCGACGTGTAGTAGAGGGGGGTATCGGTCTCCAGAGCTGATAGCTGGGCATATCTCGATGGTGTCCGAGTCGGAGTCTCGTTCTCACCATGTGTTAGTAAAGATCTTCGTATTTGTCCTTGCTACTGGTCCGCATGTTGAGAGCTGTGGTCGAAGTCTGACTTCCTGTTCCGGGACCATCGGGGGTTTTAGGAACAGGCGTGTTTCGCTCTATGCGGGGGTAACGGCGTGGGAGAGGCGGGTGCGGATTATATTGAATGTTACTTCCACCGAGGCGGTCCCAGTCCCGGTCCCCGCCGGGGTCTGTGCTGGGGCGCGGAACAGGAGGAGGCCCTGGTCGGAAGGGAGGCTCCTCGATGGTCGGCGGCACACCGTGGCGACAATAATTATACCTGCGGCGCAGATAATAACGATAATGCTCGTTAAACCTCTCTTTATCATCCATCCGTAAGGCCTCCTCCAATAGCGTGCAACCCACACCAACGCCGAGAGAAACACTGTTAAACATGTCTAATGTCTTGTTATCATCCAACTGAACGTCCTTGATCAGAGGATGGTTGTGTTCCCACCGTCTGGGACACTTATCGAACGTCGTCACTGGGTTATTCGCGCATTTGACCATCTCGTCGGCGTGCACCGGGACTGGGCATCCCCGGCCTGCACACTTCGGGCAGTTTTCCCGGCAATCGTACAGGATGGTGCCGTGGGTGCACATGAGGATGAGTTGATGTGCGCGACGTAGTATGGAGTCTGTCTTGGCAGATGCTGGAACCGGTATACGTATTACCGGGGCTTACAGAACCGGGCGTGAGAGTCATGGAGTTCATGGACGGGACATGGCGAAGAAGGTAGGAAGATGCACAGCACATTTATGGTTCTTGCCATGGTCTCCGTAACAAAGGCCTCGAGACTCACGATGTTGGTGTTGGGCGTACACAGAGTCGTGTAGTGTACGGCACGGTTGAAGCTCTTTGTCTCCTACTTGAGTCCTCGCCTACAGACTGCACAACACTTAAAAGGATCGAACAGTGATTAGCTGTTGCTCCCCTGGCTTTTTCGTACTTGTCTCGGTTGAGTCACCATCCAAGTGGCATCTGCGTCACTAGCTGGCCATTGCAGCGCAGGGCAACGTGGCTCATCGGCATCGGGCAAATCCAAAATTCTGACCTCCATTCCTGCGTTACGCAGCGAATGCAGTGAAGCTTCCACCGCCCTAGAACCTCGTGCGATGGTTCGTCATATCCACGTCGTGCCAGCCTCGCACCCGTTCTATTGCAAGTTCTATGCATTTTCGCACAGTCACTCAAGCCTGAAAAAAGAATGTCAGCTTCCGACCCAAAGAACAATAAAAACACCTACGGCAGCCTGCATGAACATGTCGTACGAAACGTCCGTTTCCGGACAAAAAGTAAACCAAGCGGACAGCGCCCCCACGTTTCGCAATGGGTGGTCTGGAACATGTTGACCTTTCCACCTCCCGGTCATGGGCATGGAAGCCCACCTCCGCCTTACAACGTGGGTGGGGTTGAGGATGGAGATGAGGGAGTATATTACGTACCTCTCGATGATATGCAACCCACTCGCCGTCTCAATCACAGGAGAAATTTCCCCGGGCTTGAGCACGAAAGAGGCTTCTTCGAACTCTTTCTGCATGTCCCCTTGGCCGAAGAAGCCACTGCGCATTTAGTCGTCACTTGTCAGCTATCGTAATTCAGGTCGTGATACTTGCTCGAAGCATCCGCATCCTCGCCGCGTGATTCTGGGGACTCCACGATGGCGCTGGGTAATCAGAGCAGACTTACAGGTCTCCCCGCTTCCTAGCTGAGGGATCATCACTCTCCGTCGTCGCCAACTCGCCAAGACTAGTACTCCCATTCTTGATCCTGCTTTCGTAGTTCTTAATGATACTGAAGGCCTCGTCCTTGGACCGCGTAATATTCGCCTCCCGCCAAGAACTGGGCCGTCTGGAGTCCTTGTGCTTGACGAGCAAATGAGCGCAGCGAATCTTCCCGTCCAGGTCTGGCTGAGCTGGAGCTGCGCCGTTTTGGTGTTGGTTAGCGGTATGATACCGGCCCATGTAATGCTTGAGTGTCTCGCTGTCGGTTTCTGGTGGGGGCTCCCATTTGGACTCCTGTATGCATCGCCATCAGTGTGTTGCCCGAACAAGCAATCACCACGCCGACCTATTCGCTGGCATTGCTTGCGTACCTTTGTTTGTGGGTTGAAGTAGTAAGGGAGATTCTTGCTGTTTGAATGGCGGACTTCCCAGCCGGGTGGGAGTCCTGTGGCCTCCATATTGTCAACGATACTGCACCCAATGATGCCGAAGAAGCATGCTCACCATCGCGGGGGACCAGGAAGGCAGATCCGGGGTAGGTGAGCGTGTGTGATCTTCCCCACAGAATCTTGTGCCTGAGTTTGGCGATGAGGCTCGTCAGTGCTCAGTCGCTACTGACGGCGGCAGTATTTCTAGCTCCGAGGCAAAATTCCCGTTGCCTTCGCGCCCGGTACTTCGTGCTTGGCTTTGAGCGGGCAGAGATGACAACCTTCAATTGGGTGATGGTCCGGTCCATTGACGGGATATTCGATATGGGTAGGTATTGCCATAATCACCGCGTTGGGGTTTGCCACGTGGTTGTTGCTTATGTCATCGCGGAATCCCTCCCTTTTCAGCTTGACCGCTAGACCACTTCGTCCGATCAAGAGACCCGCAGCCAATCTCCCACCCAATCATCCAATCTCCCGTCACGACATCCATCCATGGTAGCATTGGCCCCCAAAGATGGATTTCCCGTCGCGACATTTCCTCGATATATTGCACGTCCCTATTTGCGGTGCTGTTCTTGTTATTGCATTATCCTGTCCCGTCCCGTAGCCCCGGAATGAAACAGCCGGCCCGGCATGTCAGCGTTTGTGAACTGGACGAGTCTCACATCATGGATGTACACCGGGGCGGTCGGGCCCCAGCCTGTACCAATGTTTGAGCCCGTGCCCGTGCCCGAGACTCAGCTTGATGACACCTACGACGCACCACGCGTTTGGACACAGAATGCGCTCCTGACCATCGCTGCACTCGTACTGTCCACGCTCTCAATCTGGTATCTTCTGCGGCGGAAGAAAACGATCCCCGCGACGTCCCGGCTGAATGAACAGCATGAGGCCGTGGAGGCGGTGAGAAGGGAATGCGACCAGCGGATAGCGAGTGTCGAGGCTCGTCTCGGGGATGCATTGCGAGCTCGGACCGCGGCCAGCGAAGAGCATATGCGGAAAGCTCTGAGCGAGCAGGTCGCGGCCATTGAGGACGGTGTCCGCAAGGGTCTCAACAAACGAATCGAGACCCTAGAAGTCCGCATGAGGCTAGACCAAGAAGCGCTCGACGATGTGCACAAGGTCTTGAGCCAGCGGATGGAGGCTTTTGAGGACTACATCCGGGCTGTCGACGCCAGGCAACTGGACCAGGAGGCGAGCGAGGTTGCGCAGAGAGGACTCGGCCAGCGGCTTGAGGCGGCAGAGGAGAGTCTGCGTGGGATGGAGAGCAAGACTAGGGCGTCTTCTCAGAGGATAGAGGCGCTCGACGACAGCTCGCGCCTCATCGACAGCAGGACGAAGACGTTGAGCCAGCGGGTCGAGGCGGTCGAAGACAACCTGAGCACGGTTGATGGCCAGACGACATTGCTGGCGCACGACATTGGCCGCGGTGTTACCACAGTCGAGAAGCTACAGCGGCAGGTGAAATGTAAGCTTACCCTTAACATTCTACGGAACTTCCAAATGCGAATTGGGATGACCTACCCACTAGCACTTTGCCTGGTCATCTGCCTAAAACATCCACGTTGCATATCCTCTCCATCCCCATCATCTTGGCAGGAATGTCCGCTGACTAGATACTTCCATAACCAGTGTTACCCGATGCTGAAAAACTCAACGGATTATCACGTACCTGCGAAGCAGAGCACAAAAAATTAGAGACCAAGGTATGAAGCCCTCATTTCGGCGTCAAACGACGCACCTCTTCTCAGCCCGGTACTAACCGACGACCGATAGATATCGGACCTCGAGAACACTGCCAAGCCCGCCGAGCCGAGCTGCACTTTGACATGGTCCAACATCGAAACACAAGAGATCGAGCCCTCGGGCCCTGTCTACGCCGATCCACAGCGGTCCTTCTTCGACCGCATGACGAGGATGCCCATCTCGCCCTCGCCATCGCCGGGCGATCGGCCGCAGTACGCACCCAGCGGCCACAGCCGGTCGTACTCGACCGCTAGCTCCTCGCCTCCGATGTACTCGCCCATGACGCCCGAGCAGAAGCGCCTGGAGTCGGCTGGGTTCCGGGAGATGACGTTCTCGTCGAGGCAGAGGCAGCTTCTTTCTAGGAACAGTTGGGCGAAGTGATGTTTGCTTGCACCCGCCAGCGATGGTGTTGGCAACCAGCGCAATTCGATGGAAGGCTCAAATCTCCATGGACACGTACTACGGTACGGGTTGCTGGCGGATACTCTAATATAATCACTGTTCTAAATGTATATACCCAATATGGTGCCACACGACGCCGACTCGTTGCCATTTTAGCAGCTTGACAGTTCTTCTTGCTGTTCGTTACTGTGACCAGGTGACACATGGAACTTTCCCAGGTCTCCGTGCCCCTCTCGTTTAGCAATCGGATGATGTATCTGTTGTAACCGTATGTCTTGAGGCATTTCTTGCAAGATTACCATATGAATAAATTCCGGGGGAGGAAGGCCAGTCAGCAGGGGAAGCAGGGGAAGCAGCACACCAACTTGTATGTAGACAGAGGGCATCATCAGGTATGCCTGTTCGGCGTTGGGGCTGTGAATGATACGAACCTCGATTCATGTGCGTCCACGTTATCTGATCTGTATGTTCAGCCGATGCCATACTGTACTTCTGTAGCCCCGCCAAGCCCCTGACGGGCCATACTACACACGCGCGCACTGCTACATACCTGTGGGAGCTGTAGACATCGATTATTACAGCAGCTGTCCTTCGCTGCTTGTACCTGAGGGAGACCTGACGGCTGGGGGTATCCGCCGCAGCTGCCGTGAGACGTTTTCAGCCGGCATCAGTTGCGTCGAGAATCAAATCGCCCGAGCTCTCTTACTGCACCTGCACTTTGAGCAGCCTTGCCCTGCCCGCCTCGTCTCTCCCACCAAAACACCTACCTTTCTTAAAATAATCTTCTCCATTCCTCAAAACATCTCCTCCCTCACGAACACATCTGTTCTCCCAACCAGGAGCACATCGAATCTTCCCGCCACGAACACTTCAACTTCCCTCATCACAAACCCATCCATTTCCTGCATCAACATGCGTCCACCTTCTTCGTCACGGGAATATCTGCTTCCACCATCACGGAGGTCTCGTTCTTCCCACAGGCACACCTGCTTCCCTCCACTAACTTAGCAGGTTTCCTTCGCCCACCACAAACAGTCTGCTTCTCACACCTTGCACTCCCTTCGCCGTCCAGACCATACCTCCCACATTATCGACTTTCCTCTCCCGAGTCGTCATGCCAACGATTATCGCCTTCCCATCCTGTCTTTCGACATCGCACCGACATGTCTCCATCTGCACTCCTCTGGCCGCCAGACTCGTTGCCCTGGCAAGTACTTGACAGTACCTAATTTGCATCATCACCTGGAAAAGCAACTATCCCTGTGGTCGACGACTGGCATAACCGCCAAATCGCTGCTTATCCCAGTGCAAATTTTCATTTCAGTCGCTTGCACGGCGGTGGTACGTAACTTACCCTAATACTCACCTCAGGCATCTATGCCCTACCCACACAAACCCTTTTTCCATTGTTTGGCCACAACACATCTCATTATTTCACCACCCATTCTCCTCTTCCTCATTCACTCAACCTACCCACGCAAATCAACTCCTCAACATCAATCCTGCCCACATTCTTCCTGCAGCTTGCAACCTGCAATCTGCAACCCGTGCCTCTCTCTCCATTCTCCTCACGTTTTGTTCCCATGCATTCTACTCCCACCTCCTTCACTTCAACATTTCCTTTCCACTTCGCCCTCAATACTTCCCTTCCGCCTCGCCTTCAATACTTTCTTCCCACCTCGCATTCAACACTCTCGTTCCACTTCGACTCCAGTGTGCATCAGCCTCCGCATTCTCTTGCCTTTTCCTTTTCGACACCATTCTGCCTCCCCACGAACTTCTCTTCCCCCGCGCTTGCACCTCCACCCTCCGTCCTCGTTCATCCTACATCCTGCTCGACCTTCTCCTCTACCGTCATCCTTCGCCAAAACGTCTCGAAGGTACAACCCAATCCGACTCCTTCTTCCACACACCTTTATATGGCCCACGTCCGTCATGCACCTTCTCTTCCTCCCTTCCCTGCCGTCTTCTTCCGCAGCGTCGCCTCCACTCACCTCCTTCATCACTCCAACAACGTGTAGGTACATAGCTCCCTCTGATCCAATCAAGTCGCATATTCCACCTTACTCAACGTTCCTTCTGCATCGTGACCAATGATCCTCCTGGGCATGAGGATAAAAGGCCCACAACCAGGAAAGGTGTAGGGATGTATGATGGATCCACCCCTTATCTCGGTAGTTCGTACGCCGGATTCGGAGTCGGAATTCTTGCATGGAGGAGCATGGAGAAAGAGCCTTGATATGATCGTTGTTGTTGCTGTAAGGAAGGTACCCAGGAGTACGTGCTCAAGGGTCCTGAGGCGGCAGAAGTGAATTGCCTCTCGCCCTCGTGTATGACGTAACAGAGCCTCAATCTCATTGTTACGCCCCGTGTTGTTGACGGCTTAGCCTCACGGCCGGGAGAACAAGGCTGAGGAACCTATGATGCTGGCTGTGGCCTGCCAAGCAGTGTGAGTATGGGGTGGCAGAAGGCTGATGCCAGAGGTTGTCGGTGTGGTGTATCGTGGTTAAGAGAAATATGAGAATGTGATTAAGGGCCTCGTCGCAACAACACGGAATATCTGCGAAAATGGCACTGATTAGCATAGTTCTCTGATAGAGGCAGCGATGAACTTACCAGGTAGGTCTAGCATGTGTGCCTTCCACAGGCGATAGTGGGCAGTTTATCCTCATGCCCAGGGGGGTAGGTAGCTCGCGACGTCATTGTGGTGCTGGTGGCTGCGAGAAAAAGGGCCTCCTCGAGGGGATTTGTCGAGTGCCAGTGTGCGAGGAAGATGTAAGTAGTGATGTATGGTGGTGAGTCGAGTGTGAAGGCCGTGTGTGATAGTGCATTTCTGAGTATAGTTGTTGTTGTTACGGTAATGAAAGTGCCCTTTGAGTGCGTGCTCAAAAGGACCCGAGCGGCGGGCATCAGTCGCCTCTTCCTCCCTTTGTTCGACGTAGCAGAGCCTCAAATTCCAGTACTACGTCCGGACGTATCCGCTTGATCTCTCGACTGTGAGAATGAGGCTTGAGGAGCCTGTTGTGACGGCTGTGGCCGGGCAGTCACCGAAAAGAGGGGGGGAAATATGACTCGTTGGAATTGTCGTGGATGAGAGAACGAGAGCTTTCAAGTATGTAGTAGTTAAGGGCATTGGTGCAACAACTAGACCATGTCGGAAATGGTACCGTTCGCGGCCACCTGATATAATATGGTCAGCTCGTGTTCCTGAGTGTGAGGTAGATAGCGATGCGCTTACCATGTGAATAATATCGAAAAACAACACTGGGGCCGTCCGCGCCTAGATCAATTGGCGCCATCGCGCAGTGTTGGTGCCCTCCACGGGCTCGCACCCGCCCGACCGACAGCTCCATCGAGCGACCGACGACCTTCCATCTTCAGGCGTCAGTATTCATCGGAACACCCTCTCCCCCTCTAAGTTTTCGGGACTGGCAAGCCACAACCAGCTGCCTCGGGCTCCCTATAGCCATCTCTCGGAAGTCTGCCCAGACTAGCCGTTGTTAACGTGATACAGTAAATGCGAGTATAGGGCTCTGCTGCATCGAATGGGGAAGAGCAACTCCTGGCGTTAGCCATCTGCGAGTCTGTTCAGGTATCTCGAGCCCGAACTCGAGGTAGCCTACCTACTATTTCCATTGAAATCTCATCATCCGACATCCCTCCTATCCTCGTTCCTGAACTACTGATGCCCCCGAGAAAGAAAAACTCGAGAGCAAGAGACGCAAAAGGCCGGTTCGTATCCGCCAAACCATCACTCACTCCCTCGTACTCCTGAGAACCGAGCTGGATCCCTTGCCCCAACGAGAAAGCGATTCATGGTGGCATCGACCCCTCTCTGTCGGGCATGTTAGCATCTTGGAGGATGAACATTGGAAAGATTGTCCACCGGACAGGTGCTCGGCCGTCGCTGAAGAGTGCTTCCTGGTCGCCTTCCTTCTCCCTCAAGGACGTGCCTCCAGAGGTAAGGTTTCAACCTGCATTATATGTTTTGTGCGAAGCTTACACAGTTGGCACAGGTTCATGTTACAGCGTTTCCGATTGTAAAGTAAGACCGTTCGCATATGCTCGCACTGAGAGAACATCCTACGCATGAACCCATGTTGACCGTCATCGAAATGTTTTCTTCCTTCCTGGGACTTCACAGCTTTGACCCAGCCTCTGTTGTCTTCGCAACACTCGGTTCTTCACTGCGACCCAGTATTCCGCCTCCATGCCAACCCGGACAGACAAGCCCGTACCACACTCCGCAGAAATCGATCCTCAGCCTAGATACGCAAGCCTGCAACTTCGGGTTTACGAGCATGCTGAAAACACTTGGGACGAAATTGGCAACCAGATGGATCACCTCCGTGTCGATGACCCAAGATACTGGGAACCGTGGGGTCTTTGGGTGGCTGATCGTCCGGCTATGTCTGATGAAGCTCTCGTCATAGATTCCGATGTATCGCCACAGCAGTTCGACCTGAATCAAGCCCTCTTGGTTCAACGGACCCGCAGCAGGACGCATGGCCATGTTCAACCCGGGTACTCCTCTCTTCGCTCAGGAGAAATTCAACTTCAACCTCCCATCTGGACCTCCGGCAATTCCCTGTCCCAGCATATCCTCATGGCGTGGGAGACGGCAATGCTTGAAGCACACATGGAGAACGAACGGATAAAGCTTAGTCAGGCCCCTTCACTGCACCCAATCCGCTACGGTGATGTCGATTGGCACCTCCACATTTGCCCCGGCTGCAATACCGCTGTTCTGTGGAGTCGATTCGGCAGATGGCAAATTTGGGCTTTCGGATTTGTCTTCCTTGTGGCCTGAGACCTACTGCAGAAGAGCTTATTAGCGAATGGACGCCTGACCATCTGATGCCCAAGATCTTGATTGGCCTCCCGAAAACAGTCTCAGGTTTGACGATGTCGGACGCATTCGCCCTGAAGTTTCACCTGACTGCGTCTCCAACGGCATGGCGGTCCCAGCAGCGCTGAAGGGACGGATACACGACGCTCTTCGCGTCAGCTACGACAGAGGAATCATCGAGGGAGGTTACGGTGCATCCCGGAATACTTGGTTCGTGGTGGAAAAGAAGGACAGCGGTGGGCTTCGTCTGATCAACTCAGCGATAAAGACGAACGCAGTCACCATCAGAGACGCCATGATTCCTCGCGACTGTGACACTTTCTCAGCCCAGTTCGCTATGGCTGTCATCCTAACCATCGTCCAATTTTTCTCCTGATACGACCAATGCACCCTGGCGGAATTAGGACACGATCACCACGTCGCGGTCGTCAGAATGCGGCTGGAGCATTTAGAGCAGTCAATTTTCGAAATGGGATTCAGATACGCCGGCTACGATACACAGCGCGAGATCAAAACACCCATCGGGAAGGCAATTGCCGTCGGCCGACCTGGGCCTAGAGTTACCTGGTCTCTTGCGAAGATGTCCGGCCACCGTATTTCGGAACGATGACGACTCCTACGTCGGTGAAACAGCTTCGACACCTTTCCCGTAACCCCTACCACTGACCTACGACTATGATTCGGAGGCAGAACGGGTCGAGGATGATGGAAGAGATGGGCTCGGGCTTCCGGGCAATCACGACATGAAAGGCGGCCTGGTACCCCTTTGCTTTCGCTTAACTTTGTACGATAAATAGACATAAAATGATACCCGGAATTTCCCGAGCTAATGATGTTCTTTCCGAACTTTCCTGCTGTGCATTTTAATGGTCTAGAACTTGTAACAACTGCTGAGTTCATGATGGAACATTTCGTTGATTCGTCCATAATGCCATATTGGCCATACTGTTGCTGCTTGATTTCAGTACCAGTGTTCTCCAGCTCGTCGATTCATGGATAGCTTACTTCTACTGGCGGCTACTATACATTCACAGATAGACTCATCTCGGGGCGCCTCTCGTCACGAATAGCGTCACAACTAATCGGCTCGGCCTGTATTTGATCGTGTCGCTCTTCCGATGAGGACTACCTTTCCTTCCGTACAGACAGCCTTATTCGACGTTACGCATGCTGTCAAGATACCGCTGCACGAAGATGACTCTGCGTCAGTCCCGACGTCCCAGACTGGCAGTATGGCGTGTGTTACAGACGGTTCGACGATAGCAGGCTTCGAGTAAGACGCCTACTTCATCAATGGCCCCTTAGGGAAGTTCGTGCTTGTCTTACGCTCGGACGATAAACATCACGGTGAGGTCTTCACCTTGCTCTGACGCGGCGCATCAGTGGTGAGCATCGTGGTGGGGTACTAACAGCAGCTGGCTTATCCGATCCTCTAGGTAGGATGGTAGGTCGTTGTCAGTGGTTGTCGGAACCAGGTGCGGTACCGTCTTGATATAGTAGTGCCAGCCCAGTCGCGACCTTCGGGAAGGCTGAAACGAAGGAGTGATTTGGGCTTGTCGTGAATGTTGGACATCTTCCGCTTACTTAAGATTCAGTCAGTGAGTCGACACGTCCCTTGATCCGGTTCAAATCTACCGTACCAGAGGAAACAGGGGTAGCAACCTGACTCTCGACGGACAGCTTCTAGGCTGTGAGTTTCCCCAAGCTGACTTGGGAGGGATAGCTGATCTGCGAGTTGGGCAAGCACATCCTGTATATTACTCTCATCTTGACGGGCAATAACTTCCAGTGTAATAAGCAACAGTTTGGTGGCTATTCCAGCGGAATGGCCCTAGCACAACTGCTTATGCCAGATGCTTATGCAATATGCTTATGCAATATGCTTATGCAGTATATTTATGCATGTTATTTATGCAGGATGTTTATGCAAACTATAAGCTCTCAACCGCTTAACACTGTTGGGGGAATTCACCTGGACCGGATCTTTGTCATGACAGCATCGGTTCCTTAAGCGACAATGGCTTCATCGGTTATGAATGCCTCTTTGAAGAGGCACCAGTTAGTGCTGAGGACATAGTGTATGAGCTTCTCCCGGGCGAAACCATTGGATGGTACTTCGGGTGACCGCTGTTGGCGAGCCGGAAAACATGAGCCTTGGTACTGCTCATGTTTAAGAACGACGTCTATTATGTAGAGAACATGTTCGGCTGCTACGGACAGGATTCCGCAGACAGGATTCGCCTGACACGCGGATTATGCTCTTACGTCAATCGTGGGGGTTTGTACGCGACCGGCAGCAGTAAATCATTGAACTCACATTGGGTGACCGCTCCATCTACTGAACGGCAGTGCACTCGTCGTAAGAATACATGACGGCTCTAGATGTGAAAATCAAGCCCGCCACTCGCCAAAGTAATGAGACAAGTCCATGTAAACCTAGGAGCAGAAGAAGTCTAATCAGGCGGGCGAGACCTGTTCGAGAGAGCGCTGCTAGCTGTTCTTGCTACAATTACGTGATCACAAGTAGCAATATGACTGCAGGTCGTCTGGTGCTTGGGCAAAAACAAGGGAATAGTGGATCCAAATGATGGCGTCTAAACTCTGGCGGAAATCGACAAAAAACGAACTCTCCCGGACAGGCTTGAACTGTCAACCTCCCGATTGGAATGAAATTAACAGTCGGACGCTAGTGGATGTGTTAGATGTGGTAGTGCAAGCACAATGATGTGTAGACATACCGCTAGCCAATTGCGCTGTACATCTATTAGCATTTGATAATCACTTGGAGTGATCGTGGTAACATACCCACGGAAGACCATGCTGTGGTTGGGAATAGTTTCTCAAAAATGGCATTATATAGACCGTATTTGCTTACTCTTGACGGACCGTTTACCCTCATCATCCGTCCGAGCATCTGCCGCTGGGCTCCCCCACGTAAGATGGAACACGCTGTAAGCACCGACTATAACCGTGGGCGCAAGGGAGATGACCCACCGCGAGGCAGCTCTTACTTTGCTTCGCTTAAATTCCTTGGAACCAGACCTCGGGAGATCGAAGAAGTTTCCGTCGAAGGACGTGTTCTATCAAGGCTGGTAACCGCATCTCGCAAGATAATAGTCGGTCCCTTTGGAACGCCGTTGGGAATCGAAGACGGGCGGCACAAGACTGTGGTGGTGGTGGGTAAATTATTAGTAGACGGTCACTGTGGACAAGCGGTGATGAGCGCCGTACAGTCTTCGGCAGTAATCCACCATCAACACGCCACCGTCTAACGTGGATAGCTTCGACTCCCGTCTCAAGGTGGAATCAAGTTACACAGATAAGATAGGCGTAAGGTAGCTGGCAGACCACATCTGTATTGTATACCTGGACGATGTTGTCATCTATTCGGCGTCGCAAAAGATTGGGTTTCTTGGCTTCGTCGTAGGAGTCGACGGCATCAAGATGGACCCGCGACGGGTCGCCGCTATCAAAGAGTGAGATTCACCTAAATCATGCCGAAACATACAGGTATTCCTAGGATTTACGAATTTATATCGCAATTTTGTCGAGAAGTACTCGAAGCAGAGGCGCGCGCTGTTCCCGGACGCTGAGCGACTGGCCATGATCGCAGCCGAGTCGGTGAGCACTCGCCGCCTGTTGACTCTCCAACTGGACATGTCTATCGTAAGCTGATCTCCGCCCACTTGCAGATCCCTCTGCGTTTTCTATAGGCCGCGAAGTCGAATTGTGATATGTCCAGCCTGGCGCCCGGAGCAGAGCCGCACGGATGCACTCCGGCGGTCGTCAATCAATCGAGTTGAAGACGGGGCAGGTACGGAGGCTCACCGCGACTTCCCTCGGGCGGCAGTGGCTCTTGCCATCTTTCCCTCTGCCTGGGCATGGGCCGATCGACCGAGTTAGCCCCTGGATGATTGATTTATTCGCTGTGAAAGCTGTGAAGGCTCTCTACTCCACGGGGCGAAGGACGTCGAGTACCGAGTCAGTCGTCTGAGACCAAGTGGACAGACTCACCACGAGATCTCGCGCTGACCACCAACCCCGAAAGACCGCGTCCTTCCCATCACCTAACCCAACGAAGTCCAAGTGGTGTCGACGACGAGCCTCTATGGCTAGGTCTGCACTGATACGTCTACTACCGCAACATGCAGATCCAAGTCCGGGAGTCGCCAAGCCCTGGACCACGAGTATGCCGTCTCCCACCTCAAGCTCGGCGATCGCGTGGCCCTCGAGTTCGGGCTCCCGTGCGAGGCTTGCGCGGCTGCTACAACATCTGCCGGGCCACGCCATGACTTTCGCTCGTCGGCCAAGGCGTTCTCCGCATGTGGAGGGGACGCCGCAGACCCGCCTTGACCACCGAACGCGTTGGTGCCACGCGTCGCTGTAGTCGGGAGTGTCTTCGCGTTCAAGGGCCGGTCGCACGGCCGCAGCTTGCAGATGATCTGGCGTATGCATGACAGCGTGGTGAGGGCAAGGGCGGCGGTGTCGAGGCGACGGCGAGGCGGTTGGCGATCTAGGCGTTATGCCTGAACTCTACTGGTCTGATTCGTGTATGTATACGGCCATGTAAGTAAATGCCATTCGAGCTTTCTCCGCTTCTCATGTGCTGTTGGCCAGGCCATTGGTGGAGTACGCAAATGGCAGAGGGGTGATTTATGTTAACACCCAGCGGCAATTCTGATGGTCATCGGCATGGGGACACTCAGCATGACCCTCCCCATTTCGGCCGCATCACTGAAAGAGATCGATCGGGTAGACGTCTTCCATATGCAACACGTGTAAGGAGGTCATACCTGTTCGTGAGCAAGAAGTCATCGATGTTGGATGGGGGCGCGCTCGGCGCGCAGACGATGAGGGCCGAGCAATGTCCCACGGCGTTCGATGTGGCTGTGATGATCCAGAATGAGAGGGTAAGCTGGACCTGATGGCTATGGCCGATACGAATGATCAGGCAGATTAAAGATGTTTAGGATCAGCACAAGTATTTAGGTGTTAGAGGAAGACACTTGGGGGGGGAGGTTAATCATATCAGAGATCGTCGCATAGCGGCTATCTACCTAGGGAATCATAGCAGAAGTGCATCGTGTATATACATCGCAGTAGACATCCAACCTAACATCTCATGCTTTGTGTTCCATCCAAGGAAATTCCCAGCCTTCCGTCTCTCGGTCGTGGGCCTCCCGAGCCCTGACGAGCCCCTGAGTCACCCATGCTTCGACGAACTCCTCTATCCTAGAGAAATGATGGCAAATAAACTATATAACCACACCGGCAAGAAACACTGCAAGGCTGGCGGTGGAAGTACCGGCATTAGGCCTCCGTCGACACAATGATAACCTCCTTGGCTCCATCACCTCGTCACGGGGGTGGCACGCGTGCGCCGACTTCTTCAGCCGGACAAGCGGTTGAAATACCAAGTCGCATAAGCATATGGCATGAGTAGTCATGCCAAGGATGATCGACTGGAATAAACCACTGCTTGTTCCGTTGCAGAACACGATCTCAACCGCTGACGTGCCTTGTTCCGCTCGCGTCGATTGCCATTTTCGACCCCCCCTTCAGCCTGCTCAGCAATCTCTTATGCCACCTATTCTTCTTCGCTTCAGTCTTCGGTGTCGCGAAGTCTGATCCCAGGTGCGAAGCCTGGCTCAACTTGACTTGCTTCTCGTCGGATGTCGAGGAATCCAGCATGGCAGCCTGCTTCTCCGCTTGGGTTGTCGCTTGGTCTGAGGGCGATTCTGAACCTCCAGGGATCCCAACCTCCTTGGCTCCCCTCGGTGCTTCGGTGACATCAGTCTTTACCGCGGGATCTGGGGATTCCTGCCCTATGCCGCTGTCTACAGGCGTCTCAGCCGCCTTGTCAGGACTGCCTCCGCTGTCTTCTTGGGCATCCAGCGGGAATATCAGCTTGCCATTCTCCCATTCCTTCTCGACTCCGCCCTTCTGACGTACTACTTCCATTGTTTCTTTTATTTCTTCCGCGTCAAGGGCCAAATAACGCCTCCAATTCTTTTGCAGTCTATCCAGCTCATCGTTGCAAACTTGCCAGCGATGGTTCGTTGACCGCCTGTGCCCATGACTCAAGGCTCGGAGCATGGAGCAGTCTGTATACCTCTTTTCGTTGAATTGATTTAAGGAGGTAGAATGAGAATAATGCCAACGCATAAGTGCGTTCGGATCTGCGCCTGAATTGACCATGAGACGCATCACTGGGCAGACCGTGACCATCCAGGTCCACAGCGGCACCATGTACTCGGTGCCGGAGAATCCAGCGTTCTCTAGCGATATCGAATATAAGAATCCGCTCCATAGGCTCTCCCCTTCATAAGAGCATGTCGCGTCGTGTCCATTGTCCAATAGTAGCTTTACAACACCAACTGACGGCCTATGGGGTCTCTGAGCTGACCTGAGAGGCACGAGGGCATACGCTAAAAGTGGTAGCCCTTGCTTTTGAAGAACCCCCCGCCCTTGCTTGGATACCACGTCTTTGACGTAGAGTTCGAGACCGTAAGACACAGCAAAGGAGATGAGTGAGCCGTGAGTGTTGTCCCATAGCCTCGTTATCTTCCCGCGCATGTCGGGTGGGTAGGGATCGTAATTGTCCAGGCTGAACCAACACGACCAGTGAGCTTGAGGATCACAAGCTATGGCATTGTGAGTACTGCCAGGCTCAGGTAGTGTCGAAGAAAATGGCCCTTCGCCCATGAGATGTTTCGTCATGGCCAAGTCGAGTTGGCGAAGTAGAATGGAGTGCGGGTTTTTGACAACCCGTTCTGCGGCCTCAGCTCTTCCACCAACGTAATGCGCAAGCTTGAGTATAGTTGCACAGGTGGAGCTCGGGCTTGCCCGACAAGTCTTAACAACAAGAACTGCGCTTCGAAGGAGACATGGTAGAGGCTCGAAGGCAGAGTTGCAAGGCCCCGAGACAAAAGATTCCCAAATATGATCTTGCTGGAGAAATTCGAAGACGGACCGGTGGAGGAAGCCTACTTTCGCAATCCGATATTCGGTGGATAAATCGTAGATGTCTGAGTGTAAGGGGTTCCAGTTCCCGAGACTACTCTGATTGATCTGAGAGGACCGTACCTCAACCGGCCCCAAACATCGGCTCTTTAGACGCGCCTTCATCTCTTCAACCTTTTCCTGAACTTCCTCGTCCTCAAGGGGGCATATGTCTGTGTGGTTTACAGTATCATCGTCTGCCTGTTCCGCGAACCATAATCCGAGTGCACTTAGTTCCCAGTTACCGTAGGTACCTTGAAAAACTAGAGCCAACAGTTGAGCTGTTTGCCGGCGATAGTTGGGCTCGACGCGGAGCAACATGGCCTCATATAAGGCATGGAGATCCGAGGGAAGCTCTGAGAGGCGCTGTTGTTGCAGGTCTTTGAGACTGTCGCCTTTATCGAGTCCGAGCAATACCGATTCTGCAACAAGTCGAACCCATAAGAACACCCCAGACGACTGATCCACAAGCGCGCTCAGCAACTCTTGAGCATTTGCTGGATTTCTTTTCAGAAGAGTCCTCATCCTTGCATTTTTCCCCAGTCGTTCCGACGCATAATTACTGATATCGTCATGCGTCAACTCGTGAATTCTCAGTTTTCGATATTGATCGTACGCAATCTCAAATTCCGTCAACGGGCGACTTGAGATGACGACTTTTGACATTCGAGTGACCACCGAGGGACAGTGTCCAATTTACCAGATCCGAAACGTGGGTCATAGAGACTTTTGGATCGAATTCGTCGAGCCCGTCCACTGAGAGAAAGAAACATAGTTGAGGACTGCCGAGTAACAAATACTTGAGAGCTCTCTTCAACTCGGGCAGAGTCGGGTCTGGACTGACCCTCCCGTCCAATGCAGCTCGAAAACGGTCTTTGAACGCGACGGGTATTAGGTCTCTCCTCTGATCCAGCAATGAATGCAGTATTGATCGAAGTAGCCCAACCTCGGACTTCTGCATGTCGGACCCGTTGTAGTAGAAGTAGAACGAAGCCTTTAGCATGCATCTTCCTGCCGTCCAGCCGTGAAGAAATGCTTCGGTCCGTGGATCCTCGTTGATGAACTTCATCAAAGTAGATTTACCACTGCCTGGTTTTCCAGTAATCCAATAGCTGGTCGCGTCCCCTTCGAGAAAGTCCACGAAATTGGACCATGTCTTTCCGCTTACCCTGGGGTCTTCGTATATCCATTGGAATGTCTTCTTGTAGGCTTCAGAGATGCTTTCCTGGCGGTCTGCGATGGTAGAGTACCAGAGACAATTCAAAATCTTATCCTCTGCTGCCACTCTTTCCTCTTCGCTGGTTCCATTGAGTGTCTGGAAGCCTGGTGACATCGGGCTTGGTGATCTGGATATGGCGAATGCGTTGATGCCATCGCGAAGTTGGATGCCCAGACTGACGAGCTCTCGGTGCCGTTCCTTGCCAGACAAATCCGCATCTGTGAGCCTCTCAATCATGTGCTTGCTGTCTTCCCGAGACTCGGCTTGACCGTTTGCGACCTCCTCCAAGGCCTCCAACATGCGGCGTTGACTGTCATTGCTGGACTCGCTGACTTTCTTCCTGATGCCGATGAGAATCCCGAGACTGATCTCGTCTCGGATCCCATTTAGCTTCTTTTCTGTTTTTTGGATGTCGTCTGCATCCCACATGCCACGAGCCACGGCTTTAAAGCTTTTCCATTTGGACTTCCCGTCCGTGGCGACCTTGTTCAGGCTCTCAGCTCGTTCTCTGCCGATCTCAGCCGCTCGAACAGCAAGCTCTCTAAGTTGCTACTCTGTCGTCAGAACACGTCTCATAGCTCTGACAGTTCATTGAGCCTCAAAGCGGGCTCACTATATGAAAGAGACTAACCTCTTCATCAGGATCCAGCGTTGGCTTCTCCCCACTCCTATCGAACTCGTCCAACTGGTCCTCCAGACTTTGAGTCGCGATCTGGACACTGTCTGCGACGGTCGCAAGGTCCACATTCCGATCCGTTCCGCCTTGTCGATGAACCTGCTTCGCTTCCGTCACGAAGTCAATAGAGAAGACGACGAGCTTCAGCACGCTGCCTGCGATTGAACAGCGTGCGCACCTGCAGTTGCTCGAGCCTTTCCTTGATGAGTAGATTGAAGTGCGTCGCCCAGTTGAGTAATAAAGCAGTCGAAGAGCCACCGACTCGAAGATTCAGTAGTATAGTTAGAGGTAACAGATCAGGATGACGAATCGAGACTCTCGAGTTCAAGTGTCAGAGTGAAGCAAACACTGATTAAAGCACCACCGGCAGCGCCTCTTCGTGTGCGAGAGGCGATGAGCTGCTTCGGTTGTATAACTTCTGCCAGAGACATCATATAGCCAGTGTTGGAAAAAGAAAACCACTGTGATCAGTGTATTCATCAAGTCGAGCAAGTCGACCAATTCGAAAAAATTGATAAGTTTAAGTCAGTAAAGTTTAAGCTACCTTGTTAACTTTAATAAATCCGATATATTTTATTTTATAGGTCTTTTAAATAATTCCTAATTATAACTTTAAGTATTATAAAAGGAATACTTTTATTATATAAAATATATAGCTAATAACTAACTGCGCATTATTTTAATTCAATATTAAACTAGCGTTAACCGTTTTAAATAACCTTAACTTATTATATTTTCTATCATTATTAATCTATCGGTATGAAATAAAAAGATTAACGTAGGTCACAAGCGAGCGGCAATTACAAGCGAGCGGCAACTTTTCACCAGCCACCCAACCTTTCAATCAAGGCTCCTAATTGATCAACCAACAATAATGGCATTGCGTTATAGCGAATCAGACTTACAGCTTGCTGTCCAAGCTAAGCGACGCGACCCTCATATTACCATTGGCAAGCTTTCTAAGACTTTCCATGTCCCATATAATACCTTGAAGGCTAGAATCGCCGGCCGACCATCACGACGCGATAGCATGCCTAATTCTTTGAAACTTACGGTTTCTGAAGAGAATGCCAGTTGTTCCTTCATAATCGACCTGGATGCGCGAGCATTTCTGCCCCGGTACACTTATGTTGAAGATATGGCAAATCAATTGTTGGCGGCGCGCGGGGCTGGACGCGTTGGAAAGAACTGGACGGCGAACTTCATCAAACGTACACCAGGCCTCCGGACGCGTTTTCATCGGAGGATGGACTACGAGAGGGTCTTGAACGAAGATCCGGACGCGTATTGCGCGTGGTTTCGCCAAGTTGCGGCGGCAATCGCGAAACATGGTATCCAAGACGCGGATATTTACAACTTCGACGAGACTGGGTTTATGATGGGCATTATTGGGTCCGGCATGGTCATTACAAGCGCCGAAAGACGTGATAGGCCTAGACAAGCCCAGCAAGACAACAGGGAATGGTCTACAGCAATTTCTGCTGTCAATGCTGATGGTTAGGTGGTCCCGCCGTTCATCATTCTACAGGGCAAAACCCACCTCGCGTCATGGTATCGCGACACGACATTACCACGCGATTGGAAGGTGGCCGTGTCCGATAATGGGTGGACTACGAACGAGATTGGGTTGGAATGGATTTGGCATTTTGACAAGTATACCAGACCGCGTATGACTGCCGGTAAACGCCTCCTCATCCTAGATGGTCACGAAAGCCAACATTCCCAGATCTTTGAGAGATATTGCCAGAACAACAGCATTATTACCCTTTGTATGCCTGCCCACTCGTCACACAGGCTCCAGCCTTTAGATGTCAGTTGTTTTAGCCCGCTCAAACGAGCGTACGGTCGCATGATTGAGGATCTCATGCGGCGTCATATAACCTATATTTCGAAAGAGGACTTCCTTACAGCGTTTTGTGAAGCACACAACGCTGCTATGACGCCAGGGAACATTCGAGCAGGTTTCAGTGCCACTGGGCTTGTTCCTTTTGACCCAGAAAGTGTCATTTCGAAACTGGATGCTGTCGCTGTCGTACGAACACCGTCGCCAGACCCCAATCTGCCACCCACTACTTGGACTTCAAAGACGCCTACCACCATCAACGAAGCGGTCAACCAATCGGTTCATATCCGAAATCGAGTCAGAAACCACCAGGGAAGCTCACCTACATCAATAATTGATGCGTTGAGCTCGTTTTCAAAGGCTACATACGGTCTTATGCACAAGGTCGCTTTGGTTGATTCCCGGGTCCGCGAGCTAGAGGAGGCCAATTACTTACTAAGTAAACGCCGGAGGACAAAAAACAAACGTTTAGTGAAAGGAGGAGTACTTTCCGTTGAAGATGCAGTAGGTCTCCAGGCTGTAAAGGATGGTGGTGAGCTGGCAAGACAGGAAATGGGTGAAGGTAGTCGTCGTCCGAGGAGGGCGGCAGCGCGTGAGCGACGTTGTGGCATTTGCGGCAACACTGGCCATAATGCGCAAACTTGTACAATAGAGATAGAAACGTCTGAAGAAGAAGAATCCGATTGATTAGATTGAATTAAATACGTTGTGGTCGAGTCATTTGACATGTTGGTTAGAAGATTGGTGAAAAGTTGCCGTTCGCTTGTAATTGCCGCTCGCTTGTGACCTACGTTATTGGGTTTTAAAAAATACTTAAGATTTACATTATAATAATTTATTATTTTCTTTTTAAATTAATTATAAATTGAGCTTAAATTAAAGAATGTATAAATTATTAAACTTTGTAATATAAGTAAAAAAGTTGTATTTCTTAATCCTTCAAGTATAATTAAATATATCTTCGTCTAATAAATTATTAGCGTTTTTAAAATTAATTATAAACATGTTTTTTAAACATGTTTTTATAAGGGCTTTTAAGTTTTTTTAAATAATAATTAATCGTTAACGTAACTAATGATAATAATACTAGTTTATAACTTAATATATACCGTATCTGTAAGATCCATGCGATTCCAGCTTGCAAACTATCTATACCAGAACCCACATATATGATTAGATAAGAGATTAGATACCGGGTTGCGAGGTCACTTAGCCAGACCTTCAGGTCCAGCTAGACTTCCAATCCAACCCATCATGTCACGGGCTCCGGTACGGGCAGTATAGGCGATCGTATGACAGTTTATTCTCTACGGTTCTGGCAGGGTTACAGATAACTCTATTGATAGAACATAGCTCGAAGAGCTACAATTCAGGTTCAGGCGGGAACAGTAAAGATATCATCAGTTCTCAGGTCCACATTGGTCCACCCGGGCCGCCGACAGCTGGCGCCCGGGGTCCCTCCACTTCCTGCCCATAGGCAAGGTCCAGCGCCGTGACAGTACTCCCCTCTCCAGGCAGAGCTCCGATGACGCGCCTAGCAGGTTCACAGGCTTCCAGTTTATCCTTATAACAGAGGTCCAGGTCCGGGCTTGTTCGGGTACTGGCGATGGAAGTTATTAACAACCTTCTGTGCATTCTCGAGCCAGGCAGCAGGGGACTCCGTGGGCTCGTTATATCCTTCCCACTTAACAGTATACTTCAGGTTAGGCCTTTCTCCACGTCCTTGGCGATCCCAGCGGGAATCAAGTATCTCTTCTACAGTCCATTCTTGCAGGCCGTTTACTTCGACGGGGGGTGGCGGTTCTTGTTGTTGTCCAGGCTGCGGGTCGGCGGAATTAGGTCGCAACAGATTTATATAAAAGACAGGATGTATTCTTATGGACGCAGGCAGCTCCAGGCGGTAGGCGTACGGGCTAACAACCTTAGTTATTTCCCACGGGCCCAGGTTCTTCCAGTCCAGCTTCTTTTGGGGGCGGGCAGTCTTGATGTTCCTTACGTCTAGCCAGACCTTCTGACCGACGTAGAATCTGCGGGCAGGTCGGCGTTTCCGGTTGGCATACTCCTCGTGGCGGGTTTGGGCGATGCAGATCTCAGACTTCAGGTACTTGTGTACAGTGGCCATCTTCAGGGCGACCCCCTCGGCATCCTTGGCGGCAACACGGCATCTGGGTAGGGCAGGTTCGAATCCGAAACGGGGGTGATATCCATAATTCGCGAAAAAGGGCGTGGTTTTCAGGCTCTCGTTCAGTGCGTTGTTGATCACGAATTCGGCTAACGGTAGCCAGCATACCCAGTCGTCTTGAAGGTATGATACGTGGCCCCGCAGGTACTGTTCCAGGAAGGAATTGGCAATCTCGGTCTGCCCATCGGTCTCGGGGTGGTAGGCGGTCGACAGCAGTGCGGTGATTCTCAGGCGTTTGGTCAGATGCTTCCAGAAATCGGATACGAACTGGGGTCCTCGGTCGGATACGATGGTTCTGGGCAGGCTGTGCAGTTTCCAGACATACTTAACATATAGGCGGGCGACTTCTTCAGAATCGCAGGTTCCCTTACAGTGGATGAAGTGCTTCATCTTGGTCAGGCGGTCGATAACTACCAGGATCGCGTTGTAGCCGTAGCTGTCGGGCAGGTGCGTAATAAAGTCCATCGAAATATCTTGCCAGGCTCTCTGGGGAATCGGGAGGGGTCTCAGGACTCCTTGACGGGCTTCTCTCAAGGCGGTAGTCCTCTTGCAGGTATGGCAGTTGCAAACCCATCGTTCGACATAAGACAACATACCAGGCCAGTAGTATTCTCAGGACAGTATTTCGTATGTACGGGCTCGACCCATGTGGCCGGCGACAGGGCTAGCGTGGTACAGGCGTAAGAGCTCGGCATGCAGCCTTTTGTTCGCAGGGACATACAAGCATTCGCGGTAATACAAGTGTTCTCCGGACAGTTCGCACTCGGCCAGTGATATCTTGCGGTGGCGAGACTTCTTTTTCTTTAGGGCTCGGACGATCGACTGTAGTTCTTTGTCTGTGGTGTATCCTTGGTTGAAAAGGTCCTGGATCTGGGGAGGTAGCAGCAGTGCAGTTCTCTCGACGGGCAGTGCAGGCCGTGGTGGTTCCAAATCGGGCTGTGGTCGGTGGTCTGGAGCTCCAGGTCCACGGAGCTGGCTGCGAGTGATCGGGTACAGCTTCAGGATCGGGTCTGCGAATCGTACTTGCTTGGCGGTGCGGGCTGGTCCCGGCACGGGTTCTGGCACAGCAGGCACTGGTTCAGGAACCTCAGGAGTCTGTGCTGGAGTTGGCGGCAACTCAACGGGCTGGTCTTCCGGTTTCCTATTTATAGGTAAGAAATCGTCAAGGTTGGCTCTTTTCAGCACTACCTGACTCTGGTGTAATAGGCGTTTATCCCCCTCTTTAGACAGGTCCTCTGACCTCCTGGTCAGAGCATCCGGCTTCGCTCCTTGCTTTCCGGGGCGGTAGACAATCTTGAAGTTAAAACGGGACAGGAATTCGGACCATCTGGCTTGGCGACGGTTCAGTAATTTCGTTATTGTGAAATACTCTAGGTTCCGATAGTCGGTAATAACCTTAATCGGGGAACTTGTCCCCTCCAGCTCGGGTCTCCATTCTTCGAAGCAGCAGATAATCGCCAGCAGTTCCTTGTCATAAATTTCGTAATTACACTCTGTCATTGAGTGTTTTTTCGAAAAGAAAGCTACTGGCCTCAGGATTCCATCGTCCCCATACTGGGACAACACTCTGGCGGACACGTAATCAGACGCGTCGGTCTCTATGATGATCTCTTTTTCCCAATCGAATGGGGCCAGGACAGGCGCTGTGGTAAAAGCGTGCTTTAGACGGTCAAAGGCAGTCTGGCAGGCCGGGTTCCAATGGAAATGCATCTCTTTTCTCGTCAGGGCTACCATCGGGGCGATGATCTTCGAGAAATCCTTCACGAAGCGTCGGTAAAAGTTGCTGAATCCAATAAACGCTTGGACATCTGTCAGGCAGGACGGGGATTGCCAGTTCTGAATGGTCTCAATCTTCTTCGGGTCCATACGAATCCCATTCTTCCCGACAATTACACCCAAAAAGGTGGTCTTATCCTTGAAGAATTCGCACTTCTAGATCTTAGCGTATAGGCCGGCCTGTCTCAGGGACTCTAATACCTGGCGGACGTGTTTCAGGTGCTCTTCTCGGGTACGGCTGTAGATCAGGATATCGTCCAGATAGGCAGTGCAAAATACATCCAGGTACTCTCGCAAGGTATCGTTCATGAACCTTTGGAAGGTTGCGGGGGCACCAGTCAGTCCAAAGGGCATCACTAGGGACTCGTACAGGCCAAAGCGGGTACGGAACGCGGTCAGGTACTCTTGTCCTTTCTTCATACGGATGTTGTTGAAAGCAGACACGATATCGATCTTCGTGAAGTACTTCATTCCTTTCAGGTTGTTCAGAGATTCCTTGGTGAAGGGCAGCGGATATCGGTCCTTAACAGAGATGTTGTTCAGTCCTCAGTAGTCGACGCAGAAATGGAGGCTTCTATCAGCCTTTTTAACAAATAGAACCGGGGAGGCGGCAGGCGACGAGCTGGGACGGACGAACCCCTTGCGCAGATTCTCTTCCAGTCATTCTTTCAGTGCGAGCAGTTCATTGCGGGACATGGGGTACAGTGGTCCAAATGGGGGCGTCTTGCCATCCTCCAGGCGGATATCATGATCATAATCCCAGTGCGGGGGGAGTCTTTCGGCTTCCTTGGGTGAAAAGACGTCGGCATAATCCTCTAGTTCCTCGGGCAGCAGGTCTCGGGGCTCCGGCGGGCTGGCATTCTGTAGGTACCGGTTGATATCATCGATCGTGACAGTAAAGAGCTGGCAGTTCCTTTGGCTGTACATCGTACAGGCTCTCAACGATACTCGGGCAATATCCAAATGCTGCAGCTCAGGCGGTCGGTGAGGCAAGTTGTGCGGTCGGGCCTTGGCAGGGATGTCATACAATGCTCGGATCTTCGTCGGGCGGGCGGGAGTATTGCAGTGTTTCCAGCAGTATTCGCTGTCAAAAGTGAAAGTATGGCTCGCAAATCCAATCTTCGGGTTGTGCTTCTTTAGCCAGGGCATTCCTAGAATAACGGGGTAATGGGTCAATTGGGTCACGAAGAGCTTGATCTTTTTGCAATGGTCTTCAGTTCTCAGTCGGGTCTCGATATAGTGGGTGATCATTCCACTCTTGGCGTCTCTTCCATCGAACACTTCTAATCCGAATGGTTTCTTTAGTTTCTTTAGGGGTAGCTCGTGGCTCGCGGCCCAGTTCTGGTCTACGAAGCCTTTTCCTTCGGCTCCGGTATCGGTCATAGCGTAAGTCGGGAGCGTCTTGCTTCCTAACTCCAGGGTAACAGGTAAAATTATCAAATGGGACCTCTGATCCGTTTCTTCTTGGACAGAGACTCCCTTGGCGGCGGCAGCAGATAGTCAGACGCTGGCAGCGGTTCTTAGGCGGCGCTCCTTCTTGGGAGCCTGGGTGCGGCTTAACCCAGACTCACTCCATTTGTCGAGCTCGACGGGCTGCGAGGCGGGCTGACAGATCGGACAGAATCAGGGCTATCAGAACGGTGGACATAGCTGGCACAGAATTGACAAAGTTGGGACGAGGGGCGAGTATCAGGTTCGGGGCAGGCAGCGACGCGATGATCCTTGGAACCGCAGCGGAAGCATTCTCCGCGCTCTTTCCTTCCACCGGGGGCGAATCTTTTCTGGGAGCTCAAGTCCATAGGCTCTCCTCCATTGGCAACGGGCGAAGCAGGTCGGGGCGCTCTCCATTCTCTCTTAGACTGGTCCGGGCTCATGGCAGCGGGTTGGCGGGGGACAACAGCGGCGGCATAACTAATAGGGGTTTTGGCAGAAGTGACGACACGGTTCCGGGAGACTTGCTGTTGGTATTGGTGGAAGCGGTTATCCAGGGCTTGCAGGTGGTTGGCGTAGTCTCTATATCTCCGAGACGGGGTCGGGCTATGTAAGAGCATATCCTGAAGTTCGCGAGATATGCCTTAGAACAACAATGGGGTCAGGGCATCCTCGGGCATCTCTCCTTCCAGGACCAGGCGTTGAAATTCGGAAAAGAAGGTGCTGAAGTCCTGGTTCTTCTACTTCAGCTGGTATAGCTTATTCTGGGCATTCTGAATACGGTCGGGGTCTCCAAAGGCGTTCTCCAGGTAGGCAAGCATTTCTGGGTAATCAAGGAAGTCGAGAACTCTGTAGCGGGTCTTCAACAGGATCAATTCGTAGGCTTTCCCGGTCAGACGTCCGGTAACATAGGTCAGCCGGGCAGTAACGGTCAGGAATCGGTCAGCATTGGCGGTCATCTTGCCATAGATCTGTTGTGTGAACTGGCAAAGGTCGCTTCGAGAGCCATCGAATTCTTTTGGGTCAGGGATCTTCTCACTGAGATAGGAAGATCCGGAATGGACAGGAGGAGCAAGCGCAGTCGATCCCGGTGCAGAATCTGCAGACTGCTCAGCCAGGGGACTCGGGGTAGCGGCAAGGACGGGTCGGGGAGTCTGTATAGCAGGCGTGGCGGCGTCGAGCAGGCGGAGTTTCTCAACCTCCAGATGGGTAATTTCTTTCTGGAGAAGGGCAGTATCTTTTCAGTACTGTTGCTTTTGGTATTCGATAATTCCTTCTTGCTTGGCAATAATTGATCAAAGGGACTGGAGGGAGTTATCGTGGTCAGATTCAGCGAGGCGAAAGAAATCCTTCTTTTCCTTCAAGGCGGCAGCGTAGCCATTGATATGGCGTAAGTATAACAGTCAGTCGGACGGGTTATTGGTAACATGAGCAACAAGCTCTTCTGGAGAGTCCGCTCCTAAAGGCGGTTCAGGCCGCTCCTGGGACATTCTCGCGGTAGATACGGCGCCTATAGGGTAGGAGCTACGTAATGTCACGGGCTCCGGTACGGGCAGTATAGGCGATCGTATGACAGTTTATTCTCTACGGTTCTGGCAGGGTTACAGGTATTTCTATTGACAAGACGTAGCTCGAAGAGCTATAATTTAGGTTCGGGCAGGAACAGTAAAGATATCGTCAGTTCTCAGGTCCACATTGGTCCACCCGGGCCGCCGACAGCTGGCGCCCGGGGTCCCTCCACTTCCTGCCCATAGGCAGGGTCCAGCGCCGTGACACATCAGTAACATCATGACTTTGACCCATACTCGAGTATTATGATTGATCAGTCAAGCCTGTTCCAACAGTATCGTTTAACTTTAACGAGTAAAAACTTCTTTTTAAAAAATAGTTTTAGTTCTTTTACCAGGTATTTCTAACTTAATTCAAACTTTATAATAAGTTATAAAAGTCGACAATTTGTCTTATCTAATATTTATATTTCATGGCTTCATTTAAATATTTCGTTAAACAATTTTTGAATATAAAAAATTACTTTATAAAACTTTATTTTTTGATATCTTTGTTTAAATATACCGCGGTAAAATCGGTTTAAATAATAACCTATTTATTAACGATTATAAAAATTCTTAATGTTTCTTATGATATAGCTTTAATAATAATTATAAGAGTTTCGTTATAATTAATACCTTTTTAATTTAAATTTTTACGTATAAATTTAAGTTTTAAGCTTATTAAGCTTACCAGTACGATAGCCGGGGAATACCTACCTTATGGTGTAGCTACATGTATGTCTCAAGTGATTGAGGTAACCAATCCGACTACCGCTATTAAAATGGCAGAATGGCTGGAGAGAGGAATCTCAGCGCTAGCGGTGGAGTTGATACACAGTGATCCTCCCGCGGTGCGTAGCACCTGCCCAACACGACGCCGTTAACATCGTCTTGATACACCAGCACCCACTGATCGGCCCACGAATTGAACATGTTTATCCATGGACTTACGCAGATTCCATGCAGAACATATTGCCACAACATGCTCTGGCACGATTTGTCTGACCGTCGGTCTCAGATCAACGGGGCAAGAGTGTCAGGACTTGGACAGTATTTCTTCCATGCATCTCCATCTATGACCTTCGGCCAGCAAGGACCGTTACGTTCACCACTATGGACAATTCGACGTATTGACCTTCGGGTCAACAGGTCAACTCCGAATATCGCCTTCCTCCACTGCATATGGGATCTCCAGCTACGTTAATCCTCGTGTATGTTCCGTTTTCCTGTCACCTCAACCCTAGGCAGTAACACTGTTCGGCATGATCTTGCCCTCCAGCTTATCTGGGAACCCGAAGTTGATGCCAAAAGGCGGGTAGACGAAGCGCGTGACGTTGCCGCCGGCCGAGTAGCTGTCCAGGATTTTCATGTCTTCGGCGTCGAGGTCGACGATCTCGAGGTTGGACGTGATGCGCGATTCCGTGACCGACTTGGCGAGCACTGTGACGCCTCTCGCGACTGTAGAAGGGCGCAGACGTTAGCTGGTGTCCTGCTGTGAGGGATAGGTAAGGAACCAAGGGGGTAGGTAATACCGTGATAGCTCAGCAGCACCGTACCCGGACTGCACCCCTTGCGCTCCGCGACTTTGGTGACGGGCTCGCTCTTCAACAGCGGGCCACCGGTGCTGCCCAGGGGGCTGTAGGCCACGACATGAATCTCCTTCGCGCGGCAGAAATCGACAACCTCCTGCTGCGGCAGTGCAGGCGAGTTCTCGATCTGGTTGATAGCCGGGACGATCTCAGCGTGCTTCAGCAGCTGCTCGAGGTAGGGCACGCTATAATTACAAACGCCCACGCTCTTCGTCTTGCCCGTCTTAACCAAACCCTCCATCTGCTTCCAGGTCGCGACGTGATTGTGGTCCCACAGGATATCGCGACTGCCGTCGGGCAGCTTGGGGAACTTGTCGTCGTTGCCGTGCGGGTTCATGCCGACGGCCCAGTGCACCAGGTACAGGTCGACGTAGTCGAGGCCGAGCGCGGCGAGCGACTTGGACAGCCCTAGCTCGGCGCGCGTCGAGTACGTGTTCCACAGCTTGGTCATGACGAAGATGTCCTCGCGCTTGCAGTAGCCGGCATCAAAGGCGGCTTTCATGCCCTGCCCGACCTCGTCCTCGTTGCCGTAGCAGTAGGCCGCGTCGATCAGCTTGTAGCCCACCTTGAGCGCGTGCGTGACGGCGGCGGCGACTTCGCCGGGGGCTGCTTGCCAAGTGCCTGGTTGTTGCCCGTCATGTTAGCTGTCGGTCCGCCGTTTACCTCGGGAACTCTGGACTTGGACTTCTTGATGAAAGTGGTGAATCGAAGCGAGTTGAAAAGCTTTGAATCTGCGACGAGATCACCGCGGGGTCAAGTCAAGGCGCCCCGCCGCCGGAAAAGGCAGGCGCCCCGTCGTCGCACAAAGTGAGGGGCAGGTCCATCCCCCGCCGCTCTCCAAGCAGTTCCCATATCGCAAAATCGAACACAGCAAAAAGGGACATACCGAAACCGACAGCAGGCATTTCCTGTCCGGTGTTGAGCTTGAACGTCGAAGGAGCCATTGTGAAAGATGTGGATTGGCGGGAGAAAGAGGTGCCTGTACTGACTTTATGGTGACGATTCAGATATATGAGGTGAGGGGCAACTGAACGGATAGTTGAGACAAATGGGTATAATCTACGAGTAGGAACAGTTCTTAAGCAGGAATTTATCCTGCAGTGGTCTTCGAATCCTATAAGTATTTATGCGCCGGTAGAATAGAGGCCGAAGGGCAGCTGGTTATCACCATACCTGACCTCACTCACACACAACAAGCTCCGCTTCGGCCGTGACGTCTTGCTTGGCCGCGTCCAGAGGGAACAGCCAGATGTAACCTGTCTCCACGTCTAGCTTATCATGTGCGTGTGAAGACAACTCCCGGGTAAACAATATGCTTGAAACCCCAGATTTCCCAGCTGTTCTGTAGTCTGGTGAGACCAGCGAGACCGGGAACCCAACCCCGGAGGCACGTCAGTGGTAGGGAGGCCAGCCAATCCTTCCGGCGGCTCGTCCTCATGAAGACGGAAACCCTCCGGGCTGGCTTTGCCACTGTTGATTACATGCCGGTGTCTGATGTGGGATGTGGGGTCCTCTTCAAGTACCTAACTGTGTGGGATACGGCGGGATCTAGCACCGAATCTATTCAAATCAGGGGTAATCTTCAAGCTATCATTATTGGTGATAACCTTCATAAATACATCAACCCCTCGATGTAGGCATCTTTTTACGCCGATGGCTACTGAGAACCGTACAAGGTTATCCAACGTTTGAGAGCCATTGATTCGAGACGCAATCCACTTCAGGATCCTCCACTGAGACAAACATTCGAGAACCTGTCTTCAGCTGGGATATCTGGTAGATAGATGTAAGAATTACGAGGCCCGGCCATCTGTCTATTATAAAGTCTATGGGCCCAACTGTACAACCTGCAGGAAGCCGAGTAGTGTACAGATAAAAATACAGCAGCCCGTCGCAAATGATGCCTCAGTCTTTATCCCGCCACGAGGACCCAGAGCCTGTGATTGATAGTGTTAGCAGAGTGGAAAAGGGGCGAGAATGTGAGATTGGTCGACTCACAGGAAAAAGACCATGAGTACGCCAAACATCTTTGCTATCAGCCACCGGTTGCTGGACACTGTCGACCAGTATTTGAGTAGTTCTCGTTGTGCGCCTTGCACATTGTCCACAACGTCCTCCGTGTTGGCGTCTATCCTTTCGATCATCTCGCTTTGCTCCGACACCATTTGCGCCAGTTGACCAAAGATCGATCCGAGTTCGTTGATGGTCCTCTCGATGGACTCGATAGCCTGCCCTCTCTGTTGGATATATGTATTCTGCGGCTGTGCCTCCTCCATCAAAAGCAGTTGCTGATCGCCCACGGGATTTAGCGATAGGAGATCGGTCCCCTGTGATGGTGATCCCCTGTTCGGTGTTGCCCCGTATAGGGGTGAAGCTGATTGTTGGATTGATGGCTGTGCATGTTGGGAGACGGTGGATATAAAATTTTCTGTTCTTGATCTCGAGCTCTGAATGTTCTTGGTCCGGACCTCCAACACGTCCTTGAAATTCGCCCCAACGTCGCTCAGCTTCCCCTGCAACATTAGTACCACATTCTTATTGTGTTCGCCTTCCTGGTCTACTTTGGGATGTTGTTGCCGTGTGAGGGTCTGGAGCCCGGAGATCTGTTGGTTTAGGGAGTTGAGATCTTGCTTGATTACAAAGGTGAGCTCGTTGATTTCGACGGGTCGGTCGTCGAATAGTGTCTTCCGTTTCGCTAGCTGTGCCAGCTTCTCCAGCTTGCCCATGGTACCGCCGATTCCTCTTCCAATATCGGCAGCCCTCCTGGCGAACTCGGATCTCCGTGGTGGCGCATCGCTATTTGCAGCAGCCCTCTCGGAATCGGTGAGGAGCGATCGTCTTTGTGCGCCGAGTTTCGATGAGGCCTGTCGTTTTTGGACTTGGGTCAGGACGGATTTGAACTCGGCGGTCCGGTCTTGTATAGATGCGACAGCCATGGTGGGGAGCGTCAACCAGGATCACCGTGCGTGTTGCTCGAAGTAAGGCGGGCTACTCCTATGGTGAATGGCAAGCGACCAGCGCGAGTAGAAGACCCCAGGGCTATATAGGACGAAGACAGAGTCGCAGAGTCGAGGACAGCGTCATGTGATGCGAACAAAGGAAAGTGGTGGTGTGGAACGCGCGAGGCAATCAGCGGTTGGTTCTCCAGGGCGGCGCGAGAGGAAACGGGTGGTGGTGACTAGGAGAGTTTGGACACGATCAGTGGTGACTGTCGGCTGTATGGTCGGCTGATCAGTACCTATCAGAGGCAAGGTCATACGTAGTCAGGTCGATGTTGTCGTCGTGGGTCGGTAGTCGGTCGTCGGTGGTCGTCAATGGGATGAGGAGGAGGATCTGAGTGGGTGAGTGGGATTGAGGGAGACGAGGGCCTCATCAAACGCGTGGAAGATTACAGGTGGATAAGGAAATTACGACGACTGGCGTCTTTTGAGTTTGGCTGATGAGGCCAGGGTGTTTGTTCCAACTTCCAACTTGTATGTTTCAAGCCAGCATTGAACCGAAGAGTGAGAGGTGGCGTTGTGGCTGTGCTGCACTTACACCTTCCAGTGTTGTTGATTGAAACGCGGATGTCTTCAAGTCGGATCTACACATGTGACATTACATTTATCTTCCCACATGACTTGAAGCACCGGTTCTCGACTGTTTGGTACATCTGTTATTATTATGTTGACCTATCGGGGCTGCATCATCGTTGAACACATCTTTAATTTCCATCTTAGTTGTGTTCATTAGGTCGATCAATAGATCACACGTCTGACGCACCCCGCCGGTTGAGTGTTGCACCACTTGAGTGTCAATACCTGGTCACTGGCTCATCTGTGACCACTCGTGAAATTGCTCGAGTATTACATCCAGTGTCGATATGGTGTAAGCGATGACAACAGATTCACGAATGATCTGTATACATCGATGAAACACAGCGGGTGACGCTCCCTGTGTTCAATGCTCAGTGTTCACCAGTGGTTTGATGTATCATGTATCATGTTGGCCCCCCTTGGGATCAGTGATATGGATGGCATGGACGTTACGAAATCGGTGTCCACTTTGGATGTTGCCGTTGACGTCGAGGCTGAATGTTCTGTGCGCATAACCAGAGAAAAGAAAGGCAATGACCGCGGCCCATTTAACGGGGTATCCCGTTGATATTGCCGTTTATTTTCCCGGTCAATAAGATAGGGAATATCCATGGATAACATCATGGCAGGCTGCATGAGGTGGTTGTACCCGTCGCGATGTTCGTGGGTGACGTCGTGGCTATCAAGGCACCGCTTGTAGCTGTTCTTGCCGTTGTCTATCAGTGAGCACCTAATTGCTTCATCCATCGCCTCATCCATCTACCCACTGGGCTATGGTGGTGGTGATGAGGTGAGGTAGAGGGCGGTGTGGCGTATCGAACGCTGTCAGGTACCCGTCCAGCGCATCTGCTAGGCCTCGTTGCACTAATAACAGTACTGCACTTATAACTGTGGAGTCTGGATGGCGTGTCAGTGCGCGTCTTCCACCAAGGATTCACCCGACTGCCCGAATCCGGCATGCCTGCTCGCCTCCCTGCCTCCCTGCCTCCCTGCTGGTCTGTCCCGTCCTGTCCACGGGTTCCTTTCAGGTGGGCGGGCTATCGTCATTCTCCATTCCGTTTTCTTCAACAGCCTTCATTCTCCAAGTGTCGTGTTTTCCTCCCTTCCCTCCTCATTCATTACTGCTCGCCCTCCGACGCACATACTGTCGACGACTCACTCGTTCTTTGTACATTGTGATGTTGTAGTTGTCGAGTATCCCGTGTCCATTATCCGTGAGATACCCACCCGCCCTCGTATTGTTCCGACCACTTCACCACGATCCTCCAGCTGCGACCTGACATGCCCTTTGCGATCTACATCTGACGACCGGTCACCGACCTCCTTTTATTCCCATATCATACCACATAGTTGTCTGCCTGCGAACCATACCTGCGTACAATTTAATCAAGCATACGATTTAGCGCATTGTACTTCTTTCTACCTACCGACTTCTGGTATTCGCCTCTCAGGAGCCCACCTGTTTTGCGATCTAGTCCTAGCATGCCGTCGGCGACGATACGTGTCTGTCTTAAACCTTACTGCGATGGACTCGGGATCTTACAACAATGTCCGCCGGGGTACGAACCCGCTCCCCCCAATGTGAGCATCTCCATTCTGATGAAACTCTATTGCGTGGGGGCCAAGAGAACTCTGCGCAGTTCCTAGATCCAGCTACTAAATTACAATGTTATATAGGTCGTCCACGCCTGACGCATACAAGGCGAATGTGAATCGGACCAAGACGAAGAAATGGGTCGAGGCAAAGATGCAGAGCTACGATGGTGACGACTGGGGAAACGATTACGATGACGAATATGACGAACCCGAGCCCGAAGAGCCTCCCCCTCCGCGAACGACGGGGTTTCGACAGCCAGGCCAGTCGTTAATAGCGTCGCGAACCTTTTCCCAACCTGCCGCTGCGGAACCTCACATGTCGACGTCTGGCTTCCGCAGCCCTAGCGGTCCATTCTCTGTGCTACACACCAACTCTGCGCCCATCGATCCTTCACCTATGTCGTCGGGTGCTTCTCCAGGAGGACGCCTGGAGTACCACCCCATAACGTCCCCCTCGCCGCAATCACGCATGTCTCCGCCGCCTTCAGCACCGACGCCGCAACGATTCCCCCCTCGCAACAGTAGTATGAGCCGACAGGACGCACCAGATATGGGACGGGTGACTGCGGCCGGGTCTCGCCGTGGTTCGGCCTCGAGCGGTCGCCCCTGGATGGATGAACGATCGGCATCTCCCAGTCGAACCGCCGCCCCTCCCGAAAAGGCCTTGCCGTTTGTGAGGCCGTCCGATATATATCGGCGGATGGAGGAGGAGAAGGAAAAGGAGCGCATGTCGATAGAGTCCGGAAGACCGAGCTTAGACAGCATTCTTGGTCGGGGTGAGGGTACATCGTCTCCGGCAAACGCCATTCGCCTGGAACAACGACGGCGCACGAGTTTCGAAAGCCACGACGGTTCAGAATCCACTCGCGGCCTGAAGCCAACTTTGGCCCCGGTGGCGGAAAGAAAGAGCGAATATGGCATGGAGCGGCTAATCGCAAACGCCGAGGGCGATGTCTCTGAAACCCCGCCACCTTCTCAAGAGCAGCCACCGACGCAGCCTCAGTATTTTCCACCACCTGCAGAGTCCGACCCGCAGGTTCAACTGGACACCGTAAACAGTGGGCGCATTTCCACCAGCCCGAAATTACCAGATGTTGCGCGCATGTCTGGATTTGGCGACGACTTCTTCTCGACTTCGACACGGCGCAGTTCTCAAGGCGGCTCTCTCCAGGCCATAGCGGATAACCAAAAGACCTCCCCTCCTGAACTTGGGGTAGGCCTTTCAGACGCAACACCTGTCAATCAAGAGAAGCAGCCTCCGAGTGTGTTGGAAGGACCGAGCCATCAGCCAAACACTGACATCATAATCCCCATGACAAACGAAAAGTCACTGCCACAGAAGGACGAAAATGTGGTGTCACGACAGCAACAAACGTCTCCTAGACCAACACTACCGGGAACTTGGGTGACAGAAACTGGGCCGGCATGGTCTGAAGCACCAACACCGATGGAGAGATCAGAAGGTCTCGGACAGAAACCCTTGGCTAGTGTCCAACAAGCCAACGAGTCCCCCAGCACTGAGAGTGTCGATGAACCAGCCGACATGGAGACAACAACTGAAGTGAAGCAACAGTCATCGGCACATGACGATGCTGTTGCTTCTCAAGCCATGACTACTGAACCTAATCACCATCCTACTCCACATTCTCTTCCACCTCTGAAGACCGATGACCCGCTTGTACCGAACACATTAGGGCAAATTAGTAGGGGACCGCCGCTGCCTGTGTACCAAAGCTCTCCTGTCCAGTACTCCCCTTCCACCCAACCCACCGCATCGGGACCAGCATCTAAACCTATCCCAACGGCGCCGTTGAACCCACTGAGATCTGGATCGAACAAGCCAGATATGGCAATACCCACGTTGCAAGAACGAAAACCTACCTTAGATACGGTGGGAACCGCATCCCCAGAGAAGGAAAGCGACAAGCTAAGAGAAGAGATCATGAGGTCTTTGAGCGCGAGTCCAGCAACACCTGGTGCTACTGGTTTATTGAATCGAATTGATAGTGGCAATGAGCCAACCCCAGGCGGGTTGACACGGGAGAGCACATATTTGTCGGGTGTCTATGATGATTACCTAACACCCGCTGAAGAAAAGTCGCTTCAGGAGACGGGGCAAGCACAGAAACAGGAGTACAATATGGCCACCAACCACGGTCCGGAAGCCAACGCGACCGGCGTGTCTTCTGGGTCGACCCAGAAGGGAATTTCCATTGCAGACATAGCACCGTTGAGCCCAAAGAAGAGTTCCCCGGAGCTGCAAAGCCATCCTCTGCAAAAGCGATTCTCTTGGGAACAAGGGCCAGAACGAGTCACAGCCGTTGAAGCGAAGCCATCACCATTCTTGCAAGGTACTCACACTGCCGACCAAGCCAACACGGGGACAACTCTCTCCCCGCAGCCGGGTGTTGCGTCACCCCCTACAGATGGGTTGCATGTGCAGACGGTGGGATCTGGGACGCTTTCGCATCAGGTCTCTCAAGTCAGCAGCCGCGCCCCAGAAGATGGCCCGTTGGCGCAGCTCGAGCCCCCATCTCCGATATCATATACGGGGGACAAGAGTCCCAAGCGCCCGCACGGCGGACCTGAGTCCTCGCAGTTATCGCTTGCCGAAGAGAAAGAGCAAATGCTGGACGAAGCCCATCCTACATCGTTGAGGTCTCCTGAACAACATCCGGCCTTGTCCCAGGCGGCCGAGTCGCCAGTGCCTGTTCTCTCACCTCTCGCCCAAGAACCGGCGGCTCAAACATCTCAACAGCCCAAGATTTTGACATTTCGGGAGATACTCAACATTGGCTCGACCGACCAGAGGATCCAAAGCTTTGAGAAAGCACAGTCTCAATTCTTCGTCATGGAGTCTGGCTTGTCGAACTGGCTCATGCACCTGCAGAACGATGCAGAACATGACGATGCGACATCGTCTGGAAGTCAGGCTGGGGGGCCGTTAAGTGTAGGACGAGCGTCACCCTCGGGAATGCAGCGTGCGGCACAACAACCGTACTATCAGCAGTATCTCAACGCCAGCAACCCAGGCAATGCAGTATCACAACCTGGTCGATCATCGACTGGCAACCTGCAGCTATCGGGACAGCAGGGCAGTACGTTTGGCTCTTCGGGTGGCCAAGTAGGAACTAAGAGCAAAGAGCTGCTCCATGCGGCCGGATCCTTTGGCACCAAGGGAGTGAAGTCGGGGATGAAATTGTTTAACAAGGGCAAGAGTAAATTGCGGGAGCGGACAGGCGAGAAGGTGTTTTTCTGATATTTCTTCCATCATCTTCTGTCCCCTTTCCCTCGCTGGATGGCATGTGGCATGAGGTAGCGGCGGCGTCTACAACAGGCAACGGCACGAGAGGCAGGCAGCCCATATCTCGAGCAGCGAGCATATCTACATATTGTGTTGGAACACTCTCCTAATAATGACAAGACCATCTAATTTCGTAATGGGCCGGCCGATGCGGCATCCTGTTAACTGACAGGTGCGCCACCTGGCTTGGTGTTGCGTGGTGCAGTGCGAGGCTGTGGGCACATGTGTACTTTTCATCACCATTTGCACTGATGCGATAGGATGCGATACGATACGATACGATGCGATACGATACAGATAAGGAGGAGCAAACGGATGAACGAACGGTAGCTGTAGATGCAAAAGCAAGCGCTGACAGGAATTGAACCTGTTACCATATATAAGTCTTGTCATGCTTCCGGATGCGATACGGCATGATACGATGCCGTAGTCAGTCGTCGGACTCGTTTCTCTACCCGTGACATGACACGCAGATTACACGGTGGAGGATGCTCAGGTGGGGTAGGGATAATTGCACCCCAAACGGGAATGGCTTCATATCATCATCTTGATTCTTCGATCCTTCCTTGCTGCGAGCCAGTCAGTAAGGTCCGCCGCGCTGGCTCACCACGATCTTCATCTGTCTTCCGCGTACTAGGCTGTATCTCTCCTCGGTCGACTGAATCTCGTCAGATATGGTGGTCGAATTTGCGGAAACGGGTTTTCCTGCGCTTCAAAACCTGCCTGCCTGCTCACAGCCGCGTTGCCGCGCCTCACACGTGCATATCTGCTACTCAATACAGTAACGGCGATGATGTGGCCGGAGAATCGCATCACACATCACGCAGTCTTTAACGCCTTTCGATATTGTACATGTAGGCTGTGGCTCATCTGCACGATGAAATTACCCCACTCATTCATCGCGCTCTGCCATCCATTCGCTGTTGAGCTGCCCGCCCCCGTTCGTTGCCTGCCTCCCCTGTCTTGTCTCTCCGTCCACATCCCGCCGTCCTCTGCCCAGCCAGCCCAGCTAGGCTGCCAGCCCACCTCGCCTGACCCTTTCACCTTGCCTACAGTCGCACCGTTTACCGACTGCGACGGTCCTGCATGAGTAATTCCTGTAGGTAGAGCTGCCAACTGGAAACGGGAACTGGGTATTAATATGTGGTTGGCTCTCTTCCAAGTAGAGGAGACGTCATTGCCACCCTCGTCCACTTTTGAAAATGGGCAACCATCGCGCCAACGTTCCCGTCCATCCATCCAAGAGATCGGGACCAAACCCGAGCGAGCAAAGGCCTTGAAGTCGAGGCTGGTAAGCAATGAACGCCCGTCATCATCGTGGGGCCTCGCTAGTAGCAGCTTTCCTTCCCGCAGTGGCAACAGGGCAAGTCACCCTGGCGCGTCCTCGTCCTCGGTATCTTGGTCTGCGTTCTTGTGGGCTCTGATAATCCATCGGAGGTCGCTCGTCGCACCACCGGCCACTGGGCATTCCACAAGTACAAGCACAAGCACAAGCACAAGCACAAGCACAAGCATCATCGCAAGCTGGAGACCACAGTGACCAGAACGACCCGCGCAGAAGTACACAGTTTCCGGCGACGGGACAAACACCACCGTCCGCCGGCTGAGCCACTCCAGCCGCAATCCAACACCAACACCAAGACCAGAACCGGCGACGAGGATCCAGCACCAGCACCAATACCAGCACGGACGCCCGCGGGATCGTTAGTGACTCCACTAGCACCGTTGGTTACAACGACCACAAGCCCCAGCCTGAGCTCCTCCCGACTGGGCATCGCGAGCCCAGTCAGTCTCATACTCATCAAAACCATAGCATTGGCGCAAGTAATAATACTCACAAGCACGACGGGCACCAGCAGCATACTGCCATCGTCCAGCACTCGTCGGCCCTGACTGAGCCGGATCAGCAGTGGAACGGCGGCCAGGTTCAGGCTGTCCAGGCCCCCAAATCGGCTTACCTGTTCTGCCTGTCAGACCAAGCAGCCCCCAAGCCCAATCCCAGGCCTGCAAGCAGCAAACGTCCCCAGCAGGATCACCACCATCGCTGCTATTCCATGGACAGACAAGACCGGCCGAGTGGCTCTGGTACCGGCTCTGGTAGTGGTTCGGGTAGTGGCAGGACTACTCTGACAGCTCACACCACCTCGAATAACTGGAACCCTTCCTATCACCACTATGCCTCTTCGCCTTTGGCTCGTGCGCCGTCACCCTCACTGTCCCCGCTGCCCTCGTCACCTTCCATCTCGACTTCGTCTTCTGCCAGGCCTGACAGGCAAAGACAGCCCAGCCCGGCATTGTCATCAACTCCATCGCGAGAGGCCCCCGACACCGAAGCTCCAGGACTAGTAGGCACAGGACCAGGACCAGATCCAGGACCAGGACTGTCAGCGCCAGGGCAGCCAAGACCATCGCCATCTCCAGCTCCCTGTAATTATAATAAGCACCAACATAATAATAACCTGGAAAGCTGGGACCGCGACCAACCAGCACCCGGGCGCCCATCGCCATCCCAATTCCAATCACCGCCGTCCCAATTGTCAGAGTCGAGCGGGAGCCCGTCCCTCGCTCAGCACCATCACCAGCACCACCTCCAGGCATCCCAATCCCACTCCAGCCTAGCATCTCAGGCTTCCCAGCTCTCATCCCAGCAATCTCACCGGCATCAGCCTCTTTTAGACGCCCCCATTGCCAGCCTGCCCGGCAGCCCTGGTCGACACGCGAATAACACGTCTGATCATCCTACTTCCGCTTCTCACGCTCAAGGTCATATTCAATCTCAAGCCCAACCTCATCCCCAGCCTCGTCAACCTGACCCTCCTCAGCTGCCTCTGCTTTCAGCGTCCCTGGCTGCCATCTCACCCTTCAATTTTGGGTCTCACGACTCATATTTACCGTCACCGTCACCACAGCCGCCTCTCCCCCAATTGTCGGCCTCTGCGGTACTTTCTGTCGCTCGCTTACCCCCTCTGGCCGATGACAAAGTCTCGCCTCTTTCCGAGACACGCTCTTCAACGCCAGCATTTCGTAATCTTAATCAGAATCATCGCGACGACGAGCCTGCTCACCATCGCCCATCGCAGGCCAACACTCCACTAACTCGACGTCAGCCTACGTGGGACTCATCCGCCGCCACTTCATTGTTTGACGATCGTTATTTTGAGCTCGGGCTTCCGTCGAGCAACAGAGCCACGCCTTCACCAGCGTCGCCTTCTGCCTTTGCTGCAGTCTCGAGTGCTGTCGCAAACGATGTCGCGCGACTGACCACTGACGACAGATCAGATGATTGGTTTAGATATACCGCTAGGGAATCAACTATCTCCAGATACACTAGTTCAGTCGGGGAGCCGCACCAGACCATGACGGTAGCCATGGCCGCCGACCGGCCGACTATGCCAGACCAGAACCACTATCAGGAGCCGGGCTCGGCGTCGTCGTTCACTCCGCTGCCACCCATCCGGCGGACGTCGACGTTCGACGTTCTGCGCAAGAAGGGGTTGGTAGACTACGACAGCGACCACGCCCCATCGCCAATTGAGAAGGACGTGCCCCCTCGAGCCCCTGTGCCTCCCATGCCTCCCATGCCAGCTGGGATGGCCCAGCGAAACGGGAATGGCCAATTACCTGCAGCGAACGGGCAATCTTCCCCGCTCGCCCAGGTTCAGCCGCCATCACAACAAAATTTCATTCAGGGTAGTCAACAGCAGCAACAGCAACAGCAACAACAGCAGAACTACAACAACCAGAATAATAACGCTCATATGCAGCAGCAACCACCAAATGGATATTCTTACGCCGGCGGGTCTGGTCAATCTGGTGGGCCTCCACATCCCGCACTCGCTCAGATGCATCCGCAGCAGATGATGATGGGCCGAGGCAGCCCTTTAGCTCAGCAGCAGCAGCAACCCAGACAGATGTATAGTCAGCCAGGCTCCCAGCCTGTCAATGGCCAAGCGCAGACGCAAGCGTTCATAGCACAGATGAAGGGCAATCCCGTGCATAGGCTTCCTCCTGGTGGTCGGCAATGGAAATTGGAGGAGTCGCATCTGGCCGAGCCTCTGAATCCCTCCAACAGGAATCGCTCGACAAATAGCCCACCTCAGCAGCAGCCCGACCGCTTCGCCTATGATAAAGAGACCGGTGAGGTTGTCGCACCGCCGCAGTCGGGCGCGGCTTCATCGCAACAGTCTCAGCAGCGACAGAGGAATAACAGTGTGCCTCCCAGCTCGGCGCAACGCTTTCCCGGGCTCTTTGCTGCCCCTGGAGCCGGGCAAGACCAAGGGCCGCCCCAGCAACAAGGCCAGCCTCCTCAGCAGCGGGGTCAGATGCCTCAGCAACAGGATCAAGGAAACCCATCGCAGCATCCTCTTCTGCGCGATCAAAACGGCCTAAGTAATAACTCAAAGGAGCACTTTAATCCTAGGTCATCTAAGGACTTAGAAGGTAAGTAAGCCTAACGCGCTTAAGCTTCAAATCTGACATTTGCTTCAGTGCGTGTCGATCAAGTTTCTGTGACGAGCGACAACGCGAGTGAGAAGGGAAGACGGGGAACAGGATCTCTGTTCAACATAGGCCACCGACGCAACAATAGCAATGAGCAAGGCTCTCAACTTGGGCCGGCAGAGAAGAAGCGAAATTTCTTTGGCTCTGTGGCCGGACTCAACCAGTCTCAACCCAAGCAAAAGTCAAATCTTGGCCTGATGAGATCAGCAACGGTGGATAATTCCGACCAAGCTTCTGTCCACACGACAGGGGCAGATGGTACACCTGTGAAAAAACGTCTATCAGAGCTCAAGGGTATGATTAGAGGTGTGGGGAGTGCGAAGGAAGGTGCAAAGGATGATCAACCGGTTAAACCGAGCACCTCGCATTCGTCGAGACCGTCTTTGCAGGGCCCAACTCGAAGTCAGCCGGGACCTCTGGTCCTCCAGGGATTCCAGCAGCGGCCTTTTAACCCTCAAGGAACTCCTCCACTTGAAGAGCAACCTGAACAGCCTGGTCAGTTGGCATCGCAAGGGCCACAGAGATTTCAAGGTCTCCAGAGAAAGAATAGTCAGAGCAGTCAAGTGGGACAGCGTACGCAGAACGGTCAGATGGGACAGAATGGACAGAATGGACCAATGGGTGACGCGGGACAGAACGGAGGAGGTTTAATGCCCCCACCTCCACGGGGTGGAATGGGTCGAACCAACACAGGCAGCTCTCATCCTCAAGTCCAACCGATACAGGCTGAGGAAAACGACAGGAAAGGTTCTAGCGGAGGAGGTTTCTTGGGTGGATTGTTCAACAAACAGACCAGCAAGTCGAAAGAGCCCAAAGCGCAAGCTGATCAACAGACTTCGCCGGCTAGTCAACGGACCATGCCGTTTCCTCCTCTGCAGACTGGGCAGCAATTTCGACCTGGTCAGATGCAAATGCAGCTACCTGGACAACCGCTCGGGCCGCATCCGATGTACGCTGGTCAGCCTCCTTTCCAGCCGGGTCCTCCAGGACAGCAAACTATGCCGCGGCCCATGCCTAACTCGCCTGGGACTGAGGTCATGTCTCCCCAATCTCTCATGTCTCCACAAGCTCCGTTTGTTCAGACGGCACGGGCAGTAATGCTGAGACGGCCATCGGAGATCACAGTCTCCTCGCAGACAGCCTCCGCGAGTACGCAGCAGGTATCTCCTTCTCAGCGGGGCCCCAATGTGCAATCACAAATCTCCCAAGGGGCTACGCGTACCGGGCCGAGTCCGCTTCCACCCAACCAGAGTCCGGATACAGAACCGGACACTGGCGAGGGAGCTCAAGCGTCGAAGGATTCGCCCCATCTCTCCCAGATGTCGTCGAACGAGGAACAAAGCGTTGGGAGTGCATTTGTCGTGCCAAAAGTACCTAGCAGAAAACCCGTGGGGTCAGCAGGGTTTTCTACCCAGGAAGGTCCGCCGTTGATGACCTCGGCGCATACAGCACCTACTTGGCAGCCCGAGGGCTCATCAGTCCAAGCACCTCCCAGGCTATACGAACGGAGGATGTCTAGTCAGGCGTCGATAGTCCAAACGAGTCCTCGACTTGGCTCAAAGGGCTCGATGGGGCAGATGCGCCAACCCTCCGTTCCGTCACCAGGACCCTCGCCCGTCCCATCATCGCGTAATCAGTCCGATTCTCCAAACCCGCAAGGTGGTGAGCAATTCTCGCGGCCTTCGCCTGAGCGGCCTGAGCGTATGGATTCGGGACAAGGCCTAGGAGTCACACACGGTGGCCCCAGTCACCAAGCACCCTTGCCTGGTCAGGGCCCTCAAACGAACCATCTTGTCTGGGGACACAACGGGTTCAGACCCGGTGGGCAGATTGAGCCTCCCCGACCGACTGGCAGTCCTGCTCCTTCGATGGACCAGAGCAAATTGTCGAAGTTTTTCGGGGCGTATGATGGCCTCAAACCTGCTGCTCATCCTCAAGCCGTGAAGGAAAAGAGCGCCGCGTCCAAGCTTTTTGGGGCCTTCAAGAGGAGAGACAAACAAACTGAGAGCAATCAACCACTGAAACAGCAGCAACCACGGCCCACACCTAACGAGCAACAGCCCCAGCAGATGCGGCCTGGTACGGCCGTCCAAGCTAGCCATCCTGGGCAGCCTGGTCAACCCGGTCAGTCTCAGCCAAACAAAGGGGGCCAACCTATGCCTCAGCACCCGAGTATGATGGGTTCAAAGATGGCTGGACCTGCGCCGCCTGGGCCCCTTGGCCCGGCAACCGGTCAGCCTCAAGGCTCATTGCAACCAGGGCAAGGCCGCGGTCAGATGATGCCACCACAGATGCAAGCCCAGATGCAGGCACAGATGCAGGCTCAAATGCAAGGCCAGATGCAGATGCAGGCACAGATGCAAGCCGGCAGGGGCCAAATGCCTCCTCCCATGATGCAGGGAGGCCGTGGTCAAATGCCACCTCAGCAGATGCAAGGTCCACCGAAGCCTCAGGTTCAGTTGCAGCAACGTCCTCAACCTGGGCCGAATTCATCTGAGCCTCGATACGACCATGTCCCTATTCCACGTGGATACGAAGCTGTTCATGGCTATGGTCCCGGTAACATGATGGCTCCCTCGCCGTACAATGTCGGACGCCCAGGACCTCCACCACCCGGACACTTCCAGCCGGTGATACCACCTCAGCAGGTAGGCTCGCCTCAGCAATGGGACCCGCGCAAGATGCCACCCACACAAGCAGGATCGCCATACACTCAGCCGTCTGTCTCCTCTTATCCTGTCTCCCAAGGTTCGCCGCCCCAGCCAGTGCCGAGCCCCCACCAGCAGCCACTGGTTCAGTCAATCCCTCAGAATCCATCGCCGGGCCAGCAAAGCATGCATTCGCACATGACCCAGAGTCCACCTCAGCAGCAATTTGTGCCTCCTCAACAGCAATTTGTGCAGACACCGTTGGATCGTCAATTCACTCAGGGATCGCAGCCAGGTCAGATGCACATGCATATGCCCGGGCAGATGGCGCAGAGTCCACCTGCTCAGCAGCACCAAGTTCAACCAAAGATTCAACTGCAAAATAACTATCAGCAGGCCCAGTCTCTGCCAGCACCCGCACCGTCGAGCTCTAACGGGGGCGGTGTTCCTGAGCGTGCCCAGAGCCCAGAGTCCACACGACGACAGGAACCCCAGTCGAGATCTCCAGAACCTCAGACTGCACCTCCCGCTGAAAGCCACCCGGCACAACGATCACAGCCCCAGCATATCGCCACAGCCATCAGCAATCAGAAGGTTAATCCCGTACTGGTACAGCCGAGTTCTGGATCTATAGGTTTTATCATGGACGACAACGTGAAGCCGTCTGCCCAACCACCATTACCGCCGACACAGGAACAAGATTCACCCACCACCCAACCGGCCTCTAGCCAAGAAAGCCTGCCGCCTGCTTCCGCAAGCGAGGGGAGAGCGTCGAATGATGCTATTCGCCTGATGAGCCGTATGTCAATCAACAATGAGCCACCTAGGAGCGCATCCCTGAGTCCCGAGATCACCACCGACCGGAATATGACAGTGAGCCCCGAGCCTCCGGGACCACGATCGGCGCTAGTCAACCATGTCTCTGAGCAGCATATGAACATTAATGTGGAGCGAGCAAACGAACAAGGGAGGCACGGGGACGAGGACATTTACGACGCCACACCCCGTATGAACAACTCCCATCTTCAGCCTGAAGATCTGAACCACGAGAACACGAAATATGCAGGCTCGGAAAAGAGTCGCATTATTCCTAATGGTGTAGTCGTTGCCGGTGCTGCTGGAGCTGGCGCTGGAGCTGGTGCCGGAGCTGGCGCTGCGGCTGTAGCTAGCGACAGTGTCAGTTTCCTCCAAGGGGGATCGGAAGACTCGGATCCCGATGATACAACCCCTCCTCCGCAGCGGGCGGCCACGATGAACATGGAGCCCGAGGAGAAGATCCTCGTTGATGAGCCTGTCGAGCTCGCGGCCGTCAGCCACGACGACGATGGCATTCCCATGATGAGCGCTACCTCTTATCCTGGACAGGAGTGGAATCCTTACGGCGCGGGTGAGTTCGGCGATTGGGAATAAGACTGGTTGTGGAAGCCGACGAACCTCACTTTTGCATTGGAACATCTCCCCGCACCCTCCTCTTTGGATATCATGACTTGCATGAAGAGAAGGCCACTGTTCGATACTTGTAGACTGGTCATCATTGGCAATCTTTTACTTTGTACGGATTGAGCCCATGTCGTTTGGCGGATATACTACTATCGCTCTTATATCTTTTTTATTATTCCCTTGCGTTCTTTCCGTTTTGTTTACTACATACCCCAATCTCGATCGATAGCGAGCGACGGATTTTAGATCATACTCCAGCGTGGGTGTTTAATCGCTTAGATATTCCAGTAGCGTGGGTGGCGGTGCAATATATGTGGTTGCGCCTTATATCTGACCGAGTGACTGACTGACTGGTTGTGCTTGTTCTATCTGTTGTTGGTGCTTGATACGGTGTGACTGGTGACAGATCGTATTGTCGCTGTGTCGAGTAGATGCGGAAGAGTGGTGTAGTGTATGCACTCAGTAGAGGCGAAACGCATTCCCGGCCGATTTGCCAATGGACCTCCTTCAGTTCTCGTATTCACAATACTTGCCTGGAAGAAGTCATCATGCGGTGCCTATCGGCGAATCTCATCACAATCAATGCGACCCATGCCGAAGAAAATGCCATGAATTCCGAGAGCGCCGAGATGAACGCGATGAAACAAAACAAGTGGCTGCAAACAAGATAGGGGGATCTGTGACTCTCATGCCGCCGTGGTGATGGTGGCTAGATCATATCGTGTCCAGCGCTATGGAATATAAACCCGGCCAGGCTGGTCCTGTCCGGGATTGGCGCCTAGCACCTCGTTGTGGCTTTTCTTGCATATACACGGAGAAGTTACCTTACTCAGGCATGTTTGCCGTCGACGGGACGATCGATCTGGCATTTCAGCACTGGAATACGGAGGTGTACAAGGTAGGTTATCCCGGGGCATATGGAAGGCTGACTGACCGGTGTGGTGTGGGTGGTAACTATCGTCCGAGGTGCTGCTGCTATGGAACGTACTGTATAGCTGAAGGCCGCTTGCTACTAGATAGTCATGGTAAGTTTGATGCGAGATGATAGTTCTCGGCTTTTGCTTGTAGCAACATTATTCCATGAAGTAAGCACCACTGAGCAGATGAAGCCACCGTGGTTGATATATTGCGCCGCTGGTAAAGCCGGCAATTATCATGAGGCCAGAGGTACGGTCATCCCTGATAGATCCTCGTATACGCACTTGATCCCTGGAGATCAGTCAGGTCAGCAATACAAGAGGCAGTATTACATCTACAAGTGTCATAAGCGGTCGAGATAATAGTTTGCATATCACCTGGAATAATCAACATATTCTCGTTCGCTACCTCTGACGCATATCAACCTCGTGGACGAGCTCACATACGGAGAAGACGGGCTTCAATGCAAGCCAAATGGAAATGCCATATTCAAAACTGCTGTTGGAACGTAGGTACAATGTGAACACGCCAGTCCCCTCCTCGGCCAGCCGACTTCCCCTATCATCATGCCTCAGTTCGCCCCCATCTCCAAGGCATCAATCCACGCCAGCGCAACCTTCGGGTCCAGTCTAGTCTTGAAATCCGGATTAACCCAAGCATTCCTCACCACGCCCTCGCGATCGACCAGCAGCGTGGCCGGGATAGGCACCTCCCAGCTATCATCGCCATTGCGCGCCTCCAGATCGATACCCACGCTCTTGTGGAAGTCCCTGGCGCCCGACTGGTCGTACATAATGCCCAGCTGGCGCGCGAGCGCGTTGTGTAGGTCTGTTAGTACCGGGAATCGAAGCTCGTGCTTCTCGGTCATGGTCATGTTGCCGTTGGGCAGCTCGGGCGAGACTGCGACGAGGGTAACGCCGCGCGCCTCGAACTCGGGCAGGTGCTTCTGCAGGGAGGCGATGGCGAGGTTGCAGAAGGGACACCACTCGCCGCGATAGAAGGTGATGAGCAGCGGGCCGCCTTTGGCGAGCAGGGAGGCGCTTGTGACGGGCTGGCCGGTGGCGTTGAGCATGGTGAAGGCCGGCAGCTTGTCGCCGGGCTTGACGACGGAGGCGGCATTGAAGGTCGAGAGGAACTTGGCGTGGCCTGCGGCGATGGGCGCGGCGAATTCGGGCTTGATGACGCTACTGGCTTTGGAAGCGACCGCTGATAGTTGTTCTGCGAGACTCATCTTGACTAGTGGAGGGAGTAATGGTATGAGGATCTGATGGTTGTTGATGATCGAGGAAGAGTCGAGGATTGGTAAATGCCAAAAATGAGAGGATTGTGAGTGGCTTAGATCTCGGTGGTCGTCTTGACTGGATCTCGTCTGGTCACAAACTCTTGACCGACGAGACGCTCCTTCTTATATACACATATCACTCCATGTCATCCCAGTCGCGGCTTCGATAGGATGGATACCACCCACACCCAGAAAGCATTGCCATCACATGATGATGCACACGGTTAGCTTGATGATCGCCCGGCCATGCCTTCCCACTCGTTTCAATATTGATGAGTAAGAGCGCGACAGCACACCATGGAGGTGGGCATGACCCCCATCTGCCGCGTGACTCGCCGAATGCAACCTTGCAAAACTCGGGAACAGAGGCTTCATCAATGCACCTTGAGGCGATTTGCGCGTCCGAAATGGGGTCTGTCGCTAGCAGATCCGATATTCGATATTCAATTCGCGGTCGAGTATACCAACATGGGAAAATGGTATTCCCATCTTAACCAAGATGGGAATATGGTATCCCTATCTTGGTGGAGTAAGTTAGTGCCTGCATTAGTACCGTCAAGGGCACTGTCAAGACCGTTTTCTTCTTTGGGAGATCGGCAAGCATGTTGCCCAAACCGTCGATGCCGTGCAACCACCTCTTGCCCGTTTTTGCCGTGGTTTTCCTTACTTCGAAGTAGGTGGTGCCCTGAACGGTTCTGGCCCTTGCCTTTTCGGTACTTCTGTGTACATGTGTACAGTCGCCCCCCATAATAACCTTGTCTCCGTTCGACACGCCCTCATACGTTATAAGGCTCCGTACGCGCTATGTTAATAAGATTCCAGATCACCCGTGAAACTTTCGAAATATTGGCATAAGCAGATAGGAACAAACAGCTCTAGTTTAATGCGCTCCTTTCAATGCTTATTCCATCGTGCTTATTCTGATTTCATGAATTCAACAAAACGCTCCCACTCTGTACCTCGAACAAAGGATCTCTCAGCTGGCGCTAGAACGCACTGCTAGATGACCTCCACCCCCTTGGTGTATCCACGAAAGTCTGCCAATTCCTTCCATGCCGCTATCTCGGTGTCCTCCAGTGCCCGTAGTTTGTTTTCAGTCCGCAAGTGCAGAGTGACCTTGCCGTCGGATCTCACTCTGAACTCAAAGAAAAACGTTATAGGTTAGGCCCGTATCTTCAACCTATTCCAGTCGCCTGGCCGGAAGGGGATATAGCGTCTATACTCGAAGAAAGTCAATCCGTCAACGAAGCGCGACACTTCTAGTCGCTGAAGGATAGTGCTCCCACAAGCTAGCGAGAAGCCCATATCACGGTCGAAATATTCCCTATAGCTTGTTGGTCCATGCCCTTCTATAACGACCTCCTCAAGCCGCGTACATCGGATTGCTTGGGCTAAAACAGCATGTTGCTGGCTCCGCCACGCCTCGTCAGGTCCGCGCCAGAAGGGAGGTCCCAGCCAGAACGGATCGCATGCGAACTTGCGGTGCTGTGGCAACGCTCGCAGGATGGGAATCAACCCACCTTCTGCTGCCGAGAAATCCCGCCGGCCGCGTACATGGAAGACCCCAATGAATTCAACCGGGACGCTATCGAGAGAGCCCAGGTCAAGCTGTAGGCCTTCTGGTGGTCCGCGCAACCTCATTCTGGCTTCGTATAGCGTACGCGAGTCCAGTACACTTTTAGCGTTTTGCCAGCCATGAATTATGTCGTTGCAATAGAATCGACTGGTGTAGCGTCGGTAGATGTGGTCATCGTCGCTTGGCGACCAAGCGCTTAGTTCGAAGTGAAGTTGGCGGCCAGCACTGTGTGATTGCTAGGCTCTCAGGTGGCTAAACAGATCATGAACTGCTGAAGTGAAGATTTGGTTATGTTCGGCAATCTCCTCTGGCGACTCGGGTTGAAGACAGACGGGACAGTCTTACTTGGGGAACCGCAGTTGCAGGCTGATCTTGATGACGACCTTTCGACGTGGGCCACAGACGAAGTTAGCGAAGTCTGCAATGTCGTGCTGGTCCAGTCGCAAGCTGCGGAAGATATGTGGCTGGAAACCCGGCTGCCACTCGCGGGAGACCGTGGCGTATGGTGAGAGCCGGTGGGTGGGTTGACGGTCATCAAGTAGCGTGCTCCATATCATCAATTACCCTCTAAAAGGCAGCCTGATGATGTTTTGAAAGGGAAGATGGATGACGGAGTGGTGACAGGCACACCTAGAGTTCAGATCCAAGCTTTTGGTATAAGCACCGGCATAAGCAGTCATGTGCATAATCTGACTTGGTCGCTGCTTCTTATTACACCATGATTATCCAACTTGGATGATTTAGAGGAACTGCGACGAGTGCTGGTTGGGAAGCGACACCTGTGCCTACATATAGTCTAAGCCAGGTGCATAGTACACATGTACCCTACCTTACCTATAGGTACACTAAACCTTTAAAAGTATCCGTAAATCCCTCGTCCCGCATAATAAAGGTGTACTAATAATAATTAGAATAAGCACTGTAAAATAAGCATCGTATATATTTAATTAGATTAAATCTGCTTATTTCAAGGTTTTTATCTTATTTATACGAATATAACGTTTATATAAGTATTCAAAGGTTATTAAAAACGGGTCGAACGAAGACTTATATAATGTAGTTATATATATATATATATATATAAGTCTATATAACGTGGATGACAAGCGAGCGGCAATTACAAGCGAACAGCAACTTTTCACCAACCTTCTAACCAACATGTCAAATAACTCGACCACAACGCATTTAATTCAATCTAATCAATTGGATTCTTCTTCTTCAGACGTTTCTATCTCTATTGTACAAGTTCGCGCATTATGGCTAGTGTTGCCGCAAACGCCACAACGTCGCTCACGCGCTGCCGCCCTCCTCGGACGATGACTACCTTCACCCATTTCCTGTCTTGCCAGCTCATTACCATCCTTTACAGCCTGGAGACCTATTATATTTTCAACAGAAAGTACTCCTTTTTTCATTAAACATTTGTTTTTTGTCCTTCAGTGTTTACTTAATAGGTGATTGGCCTCCTCTAGCTCGCGGACCCAGGAATCAACCAAAGCGACCTTGTGCATAAGACCGTATTTAGCCTTTGAAAATGAGCTCAACGCATCAACTATTGATGTAGGTGAGCTTCCCTGGTGGTTTCTGACTCGATTTCGGATGAAAACTGACTGGTTTACCGCTTCATTAATGGTGGTATGCGTCTTTAAAGTCTAAGTAATGGGTGGCAGATGGGGTCTGGCGACGGTGTTCGTACGACAGCGACAACATCCAGCTTCAAAATGACACTTTCTGGGTCAAAAGGAACAAGCCCAGTGGCACTAAAACCTGTTTGAATGTTTCCTGGTGTCATAGCAGCGTTATATACTTCACAAAATACTGCAAGGAAGTCCTCCTTTGAAACGTGGGTTATATGACGCCGGATGAGATCCTCAATCATGCGACCGTACGCTCGTTTGAGCGGGCTAAAACAACTGATATCTAAAGGCTAGAGCATGTGTGACGAGTGGGCAGGCATACAAAGGGTAATAATGCTATTATTCTAGTAATAATTCTCAAAGATCTGGGAATGGTGGCTTTCGTGACCATCTAGGATGAGGAGGCGTTTACTGGCAGTCATACGCGGTCTGGTATACTTGTCAAAATGCCGAATCCATTCCAACCCAATCTCGTTCGTAGTCCAACCGTTATCGGACACAGCCACCTTTCAATTGCGTGGTAATGTTGTGTCGCAATACCATGACTCGAGGTGGGTTTTGCCCTGTAGAATGATAAGCAGCGGGACCACCCAGCCATCAGCATTGACAGCAGAAATTGCTGTAGACCATTCCTGTTGCCTTGCTGAGCTTGTCTAGGCCTACCAAGTCTTTCGGCACTTATAATGACTATTCCGGACCTAATAATGCCTATCATAAACCCAGTCTCATTAAAGTTATAAATATCCGCGTCTTAAATACTATATTTCGCGATTGCTGCCGCAACTTGCCGAAATCACGCGCAATACGCGTCCAGTTCTTTCCAACGCGTCTATCCCCACGCGCTGCCAATAATGGATTCGCCATATCTTCAACATAACTGTGCCGGGGTGGAAATGCTCGCACATGCAGGTCAAGAATAAAGGAAAGAATGGCATTCTCTTTGGAAATCGTAAGTTTCAAAGTATTGGGTATGCTATCGCGTCGTGATAGTTGACCAGCGATTCTAGCCTTCAAGTTATTATATGGGACATAGAAAATCTTAGAAAGCTTACCAATGGTAATATGAGGGTCGCGTCGCTTAGCTTGGACAACAAACTGTAAGTCTGATTCGCTATAACGTAATGCCATTATTGTTGGTTGATCAATTAGGAGCCTTGATTGAAAGGTTAGGTGGCTGGTGAAAAGTTGCCGTTCGCTTGTAATTGCCGCTCGCTTGTCATCCACGTTATATACTATCAAAAAAGTTAAAAAACAATATAAAGTATCTTTTTTACACATTTTCAATCCGGATAAACGTTGTTACTAAGCTTTTAAACCGCTTTTATTACTATCTTTCTTTTCCATCCCTTTTTAAAGTGGCGGCTAAATTAAGTCGCTCGTATTAAATCTCGAAAGAAAAACAAAATCCCATCCAAAACAACAGAGACAGAAATTCCTTTACCATAGGGAAAGATTTCGATGAACCCCTGTCCTCCTTTTATCAAAGGCTCAGTCTCGTTAGCAACGAAGAGATCTAAGACGTCAGGGAGCCAGCAGTGAATTTAGAATCTCCTCCCAAGAGACACGTGTGCTGGAGCGGGTTATACACTGAACCTACAACAGTGTTCGTCTCTCCTCCGGTCCGAGTAGTAAATGGTGGAGCAGATTCCTTACTTGAATGTAGCTACTCTTGAAGGGGCGTAACGTGTAGTGAATCAAGTTGAAACCAGTATCTGCAGGATGCTTAATCCGGGAACTGTCAGGAAGCACATCCTGGGAACAAAGGAACCATTCATGTACATATACATGGCCCCCAGGCCTGATTAGTATTGTAGCCCTCTGCAGAACAACATACATTCTACCCCCCCTTATGGTTGGCCTTCTGACAGGAACCACACGGGCCACGGGGGTCTGGTACCTAGGGGTATCCAGGGGCGCCGACAGCGCCTTATAACTAGATAGTGGGTGTTTCCCCATCCTCGTCAGAGCGCCACATATGAACTAGTCACCAAAACTATCTAACAGCAAGCCGCCTTTAGCTACACTGAACCCTCAGGAGTCTCCGTACACCACTCGTCCGTCCAGCAAATAACGGTAAACTCATCGAATCGGAATAAGCACGATGGAATAAGCATTGAAAGGAGCGCATTAAACCAGAGCTGCTTATTCCAGTTTTTTTAAATTTCCAATTCTCCACGTGAGATCTTGACATGGTGCGCAAGTAGACTCATGATGGCTGATTGCACCTTAATCTGCGTCCGCCTAAGCGACTCGGCCGATACTCACCCACCGAGTCCCCATACATTGACCACTCCGTAATCCTCGTACAGTTCTGTATTCCAGTGTCAGGAAATAAGAGCGTCGGACGGCACACATGTCTGTCTACATGCGAGGAACCACTGGAGGTAGTCGTTGCGGCACCCCAGACGATATAGGACTGAATCGGATCGGGTTTCAAGGCCACGGACAAGACTTTATACAGTCTAGGATCAAGACGCGATGGCATTGGAAAGATTTTCTATACTCCCTGGGGCATTGTCCTAGTTTCAAGTTAATACTGTCTATCGTGATGGACTCTTTCTTCGGCATACAGGGTGATATTATGGTGGCATTGGTGGCACTTGTTAACAAGCATCAGAAGACTATCTGCGAGAGTTGTTGTAGCCGCTCGACCGACTGGCACCGTCTGCTTGAATGAACTACGAGACATGCAACTCGACTTGCTTGTTTGTCAGCTATTTTCAAGTACTTTCTGTAGTACTTCCCGCATAGGACCAACCCTCCCGACATTCAACCCCAATTTCATCAGTGTCCCTTCAACGCCACTATGTATCTTATTCTACCAAATACCGCAGCCCTTGCAACGACGAGAGCGTACAGAGCGCACAACGCGCCTCGAGTCCCCCATTCCACCCTCCAATAACCTCAGCATCCGTCCCCTTGATCTTTGAGCACAGAAACCACCTCTTAAACTGCCTCGGAAAAGCTCCGTCGTCGTGCTCGTCAAACGACTTCCCCAGCTTCGCGCGGCAGTCGACGCACGTCCGCGGCTTCGCCATGAGCCACAGGTCGCCCACCGTGCTGCGCAGGTGGTGCATGACGTCGATGGCGAACTCGGGAAACTCGTCGATCAGCCCTCGCAGGCCGAACCGCGGATCCAGGTAGCGGAAGCCGCCGCGCACGTAGAACGAGATCAGGTGCAGCCGGATGGGGTTTCCGGCCACCATGGGGGATTGAGCGCTGTAGCTGGCCGAGACGGCTGCGCGGAACTTGGCTAGGACTTCCATGACGAACTCGTCGTCGGTGAGCGGGGCGGTCGGGATCGCCGTTTGAGCAGCGCTGGATCTGGTCGGCGAGTTGCCCATGCGAGACGAGACGAACTGATCAGAGTCGCGTTCTCCGATCAGAGAATGCAGTTGCGGATCGGTGCCCTCGCCGTCGGATAGCAGCAGGATCTCATTTGCGGCGCGCTTCAGGTTGATCTTGAGGGTGTTCACAGCGTCATCGCATAGGCCTGGCATCTTGAAGGCCTCGCCTAGCTCCCAGAGCTCGATGCGACTTGTGAAGTCGTATCGGCTGATCTCGTAACATCCTTTGGGTGGTCAGATCGTCAGTGAGGGATACATGAAACGCTCCAGCAGGGTGATGATGATGGCTCATTGTCGATGGGCATCGAGAAGGAGACAAAGTCGTAGTAACAGATGTATCTTACTGAAGTTGTAGATGTAGTGGATCATCTGGTCTACTTTCCATGCGCTCCAGTTGCATATCTCGACCATCTTGACATCGTCCTTCTGTCACATTTGTCAGCGAACATCTCCAAGTCGACCTGTGATATGGACGGATACCCACGCTGATGTATTCATCGAAAGCCTTTTGGAAGTGACCCGAACGTTGACAAAGGACGGCCTGGTGTAGCTTCCACGTCTTGCCTTCGCACGTGAGTTCGACGTCGGCATGTTCTTCATCTTGATAGAGCCTAGATGAGAATATCAGAGACCCCCATTCCAGAGCTGGGGGTGTAGAGAGATAGAAAAAGGGACGGATGTTCTCACCGTCGGATCTGTTCCTCGTCCATTCTCACGTCTTGCCATTGCGTGTCCCTGATGGGCGACACCCCGTATGTTGGGCTGGATATGTCCTCCATCTCCTCCTCAGAGGTCGATGACCCGGATTCGGCTCGCTGGGTGTAGTCGACCATGTTGTCGTATCTTGCTTGTCGGGTGAGTAGCCAAGGTAACCAATGTATGAACGAAGCTTCAAACGCCTGATGGAACCCTCTTCAAATATTCAGGGGATGATCAGAGAGATAGGAATGTCGATGCTTGTGGATTCTGGAATGATGAAGCATATGTATATTCCCGTGAGCAAACCTAAATGAAAGCAACTTGTACCTAGTATTATCCTGAAGCATCGTCCTTGCAGCAGTCTGCCCTTGTTGTTCTGCTGCAACATCTGGAATCCAATCCTAGGCTGAAGCGGCGTGGACAAACCGCCTTGAAGCACCATTGTGTGTCGTCCTTTCAGATGTGCGTCAACCCAGACCTGCACGAAACAGTCCAAGGTCTGGTTGCTGACTCCAAGCATGACTCTTCCTTTGACTTGAAGCCTGAAACCAAGATGTCGAATGGCAAGAGAAAACTCTGGCCGTCTCAGATGTGACTGCAGGAAGCTACCAGACAAAGGAGGTGCAGTCACAACATCCGATGAAGTGTGTTGGCAATAGACACCCGCTCAGAGGCTCCCGGAATATGCGATGCTGAGTTCCTGTCCAGGGGTACTGCTACCGTGCTACACATAGCGTACAAGAGCCAGATGTACGGCACCCTGCCTTCCCTTTCCTTCTTTCTTCGGTGCAGTGTGTCTATGTATGCACTCAACCTCAAAGACGTACACAGACGATTCCTTGAAGCATCAAGAGCCCAATCTCACAATGACCTCAGGGGCCTACCTTTAGCTGACTAACGAGACGACCGAGCTTGTTGTCATTATTCTTCATGCGCCAGCTTTTCATCAGGAGCCCCTTCTACCCCTTTCTCCTGTCCAGCCGCGTCGATTAGGTGCAGGGCGCCCTGATAGCCGAAAGCGGAACCGGCGAGGTGGAGACTCGATCGTTCAGTCGGTCGCGTTGGCACTTTACCCATGGGCGCAAGAGGGCATCACGGGTTTTCCGTCTGATCCTAAGCACGATCACTGAGCGTTGACAGCGTTGCGGCATTTTTATCTACCGAAGCTTGGGACAGCCGGCAGATCGGATGCGGCGTTCGGCACACGGGGTGTGTAACGTTATGTCGTAGTAATCATGCTGTGAAACGCTCGGCATTAGCGCCCGCCGATGAGCGAGCGAAGGAAGTCAAACATCCACCCGCCCGCAGCAAGGGATTGAAATCATCACCATGCAGTGCATACATATGAAGCCCCAAACACGCATGAGATATCCGGTATCCCTTTTTCCCACCTCATCTTCGAGCACTTAAACGATCAATAAAAACTAGTTGGCCTTGTTTTACACCGAACCATGCCCGCCCTATCCGAGCCCATCCCCGTCGTGCTCATCGGCCGGAGCATAGAGATGGGCAAGCCAGTGTCCGAGCTGCTGCTGCCCGAATACGAAGGTAAAGTTATACTCTAACCCGCACGTAATCGAACCCACTATCCACCATCCACAACCCAAAAACCTAACCAAATCAGTGATCCGCTTCATCCAATCTTTCGAATCCGCACAATCCGAGCTCCCGCACCTGCTCGCCGGCCACCAGCCCCCCACACCAGGCACCAACGCCGTCGGCACGGAGGACTACAGCCGCGGCGCACCGCGCATCGTCATCCTCGGCCGCTTCTTCCTGCCCGAGCAGGCCGAGCAGCTGCGCAGCGCGACCACGGGGACGAACGCGGACCCCGTGGCTTGGATCGTGGGCGATCCGGCCAAGACCCCGCCTGGTAACGGGCCGCCGCCGGGGTTTGAGAAGGTGATTGCGAGGACGGTTAAGGAGGCGATTAGGGGGTGGAGGGATGGGGGCGCGAAAGAAAATGGGGTGGTCTTGTTTTGAGGTGCGGTTTTTGTCGGGGAATGGGTTCTGGGGAACATGGTGGCACTGGGACTGGATTGCGCGGAATACTTCGGGCGTAAGTGGGCAGGATGTTGGGGAGTTTGTCGTAGTAGCATACTGAGATATCGAGTGAGTCCTGGCTTGTCAGTGATGGAGTCGTATGAATGATGACGCGATGCGTGACAGAACCGCTGGCTCATAGGCCGTATACTTCTATCAAATATATTCATCCCAAGTCTCCTACTTTTTGTACGATCTAAAGTCATAGGGACTTGAAAGATCTCAAGAACGACCGCTCAAGAATTCCATATAGGCCCAAAAGCTGGCACCCCCTGCACCTCCAACTCGCGCACCAGCCGAAGCGTTAGCTTCGGGTTCGAAATCACGATCACAGCCTCGCTGCCCGTCTGCCTGTACATCTCCATGACAATAGCCAACATATTCGGCCTTCCCATGGTAGACGTGTTGTGAATCCGGGTATTCGCGCCCAGGGCATCGACGATCGCCGCGATATCAGACCCGTAGGTCTCGAGCGGATCGCGCGTCGACTAGAACAGGCTCACGCGCGTCTGCCGCGCCATTATAACGGGCAGACATGGCGCGATGCCCGAGCCCGTGGCCACGAGCAGGATACTATCAAACAGGGGCGCGATGCGCAGGACGCCGCACGTGGGCGTGCGGCGGACCCAGAGCTCGCGTGGGGGGCTGGCGATGAGCGCCTTGGTCCAGTCGCCGGCGTCGGAGACGATCACCGAGAAGCCAGGGGCGGCGGGGTTGTTTATTGTCGCGAAGGCGTGCCATTCGAGTAGAGGGCACGTGGAGAGGCGGATGGTGGTGCCGGGTGGGGGGTTGCTGTAGGTGAAGTGTATGCGTAGGGCATGGGCTGAGAGGCGCTCGGTTACTATGGGGAGTTTGCGGCAGTTGAGCCAAGTTGGGGTTGCTGGCGATGGCAACGGCAAGGGACTGGTTGGGTGGAGTGTTAGTCCTGATGTCTAGCAGGGTTAGACACCACAAGAGTACGAGGCATACCCAGCCGCCGAGCCGGTGGACGGCCTCGAAGGCGTTGTGATATCTGCAACGGATTGTCGAATGGGCCATGATGATCATGGTCATGAGTAGACAATCCACCGTGTACACAACGGCCATCTGACTCCTTCCAATGGCACCTATGTTAGTTCCCTGACTGAAAGCAATAGACTTCTCGACAGAGAGAATAATGCACCAGCATGTTGCTGCCATGCCACACCCGCTATGCAAGCCGCCAAGGTGGTATATCTTTCCCACCCGGCGCCGAAGTCCCAATGAATACGTCCTGGGAACGGCTATGATGGCAGAGTAGAGAGCGTTAATAACATGCTCCTCCGGAATGATAACTGCGAGAGCGAGGTTGATCGACGTGGCTGTAGTGCAATGCTGCTCATTGATAGAAGCGCGAAGACCGACAAGGCCGGCGGCGTTGGCACTTAAGACGATGCCGCACAGTATCCTATATTCGTCAAACCTTGGCAAGCGGGTAACCATCCAGACTCTGAACTTAGACATCGTAGCTGACTGTGGTAGATAATAGCGAAAACTCGGGGCATACAAATAGGAAGATCGTGATATCATGCGTACTAAGCAATATGAAATGCATTGAGGGTGCGCGCACTCCCCTACCTTATAAGCATCATATACCGTAGTGAAGATAAGCCAGTTGGTCATGTACCCACGGCTGGCGTCGAATACGGCGAATGTTTCCTCAGCCATACTCTGTCCTCATTGGCGATTTGCCGCCGTCGAGCATGGGGTAGAAGATGCGAACCGTCATGAGTCTACTCTACCCGCACGGTGATTCATCCCAGGAGACCTAATGGCCAGCCTGGGTCCATCTGGAGGAGCAAAGGTGAATGCGCACAATACTGGTGACCTCCAGAAGCATCTCGGATTACAGCTTCTCTGCTTCGAGCTTCTCTCCCTCGCGCTTCCACTCCATCCCTTGCTTCCCCTCCAGGGTTCTTTCCCATCAACGTTGCTGACCAAGACTCTCTTCTCAAGGGGGTTGTAATGAATCCTTCGCAGCAGCAAGGGTGACAAGCGAGAGACTTGGAGCACCTCTACGGTCCTTGTGCCTCCGTCTCTGGGTACATGTTGCGCCGACATCTTTTCAGCCAGGGGTCCGGGAGCTGTAGATTGAACTCTTGGAGATCAAGTCGGCGTGGAAACACCTTTGGGATGCACGGTTTATTTCAATCTCTTGACGTGGCACAGACTACCCAGCAGGTTGTATGCGCAAGGTTATGTGTTCGAAGTGCCTCATCGGTACCTAAATACAGAAGTAGTGGCAATGGCGAGGTCGCTTTTCGAAGGGCAGCTGCTGCGCGGCTGTCTGTTCACGTGCGTTGTCTCCGAATTCCGCCATCGGTCGCGCTTGACTCTCAGACTCGAGATGATGCATACCAGTAGTTGTTGGAACGGCATCATCTTGCTACATGCTGTGTAGAACAAGATTGCAGCTGTTTTGGCACTGTATCGGTCTGACTCTTCGAGATGAATGATGATGGATGTGAGTTACTCCAGCCAGTGGATGCCCCTGCGCTTCGGATGAGCCGATGCACGATGGGCATCAGCTCATCAGCAGACAAGATGGCGATGTCTGTAATTCTCAATTTTGCGTGCGTGGCCGTCGGCGCAATTCATCAGCAATGACGGCCTAATCTTCTTTTCCGGGTCCGTATTTTCCAATGGCAATTGATCACGTGATCCTGGAAGCTCCGAGGTCCCCTATTTCTTGGGACGGCAAATGCGCGTTATCGATTGCAGATCCCGTAAGCTCGTCAGACCAGAGGAGTTAGCGCAGGGCCGAGCTTTCCTCCGGTCCAGGGGTTCAATCCAAAACAAAGTCCAGACCCGCCGTACGATCTGCACCAAGAATGTCTGCCAGGACACAACTCCCAGCCATGACAATGGCAAAGACGCAGTGCCCGGTTCTCTCAACATAGTCGCTCGCTATGATTCTATTTGCTCTCAGCTAGCATTCCTGTCACTCCTTTGTGCCGTGTAACCCTCCAGCTCATCCACCGAGCCAGTGGGCCGACTGGCCGACTGAGGCATAGAGGGTATCGCCACTCAAGTGGGTTGCTGTTGCTAGTGTAGCCCCTGACGCTGTCGCATGCTGGCCTTCCCCATATTTCGCATTTTACCATACCGACATTTCGTGTCCCGAGTTTCAATCTCAGCCTTTCAACGTCTTCACCATACACATCGACTATGGAGACCATTGTCCTGAGCCCGGAGTTGACGCCTGCCGATGTGCTGGTTCTCAAGAATCTGGCCGGCGACATACAAGACCGCCAGTCGGATTTGAAACGGCCCGCGGACGGCACGGGAACAGACTCTGCAACCCCGAAAGAGAAACTTCAGAGCGGGTGTAGGTTGCCCCTATTTATCAATTGGCCGGTACTCGGAACACTGCGGCTGACCGGCATTTTATAGCTCTCAGCCATGGCGCACCCGAGCCTGCCGAGACTAGGAATGCCCGCGACTTGGCTCATCTCGTAGGGCTGAACGACCCGGCGAGCCAAGACTTTGAGCCTTCCGTCTTCTCATCCTGGGACCTGTCGGAACTGTCTACGCGCTTGCACCCTGCCGTGCATCGTCACATCTTGCAGCCTTACATCTCATGGGCTCGCACCGTGGCACGGCATGACACGGATGTCATCATGGTCACACACCTGATCATGTACTTCACCACGTCCATTCCGAGTGCCATCTGGCTGTTCTACCGCTTCTCCTATCTGCACGGCATCCTTCACGTGATCATGCAAGGGTACTACATTGGCGCCCACACACTCATGCGGCATCAGCACATCCACCAGAGAGGCGTCCTGGCGAAACGGTCCTGGATGCAGGTGTTTGATCAAGCTTTCCCGTATATACTAGATCCCTTGATGGGCCATACCTGGAACAGCTACTACTACCACCACGTGAAGCACCATCACGTTGAGGGCAACGGGCCAGACGATCTATCCTCAACCATCCGCTACCAGCGAGACAACGTGTGGCATTTCCTTCACTACGTTGGGCGTTTCTACTTCCTCATCTGGCTGGACCTGCCCCTCTACTTCATCCGAAAAGGTCGTCTCACTACCGGCCTCAAAGCTGCGACTTGGGAGCTCTCCAACTATGTCGCTCTCATCGTCTTGCTTCGTCTCAACTTCCGGGCGACCTTCTTTACCCTGCTCCTCCCTCTTTTGTGCATGCGTGTTGGTCTGATGGTGGGCAATTGGGGCCAACACGCGTTTGTGGACGCCGACGAGCCCGACTCTGACTATCGGTCCAGCATTACGCTGATTGACGTACCGGTAAGTTAACCTCGTCTTATTTTCACGAAGTCAGTAGAACTTATCATCCAACAGAGCAACCGCTACTGCTACAATGATGGCTATCACACATCGCATCATCTCAACCCGCTGCGACACTGGCGCGATCATCCGGTGCACTTCATCCAGAACAAGGAGATATACAGCCAGGAGCACGCCCTAGTGTTCCATAACATTGACTACATCATGATCACGGTCAAGCTGTTTCAGCATGACTACGACCACCTGGCCAAGTGCCTTGTGCCGATTGGAGATCAGATTGACATGACTTTAGAGGAACGCGCTGCCATGCTCAAGCGCCACACTCGGCAGTTCAGCGAGGAGGAGATCCGGGAGAAGTTTGGGACTGCAAAGGCGATATGAAGCCAGCGCTCATCCGCATTGAAGATCATGAAGGGCCTGCCAAGCAGGTATGGTGGAAGTTTGGGAATTTTCGAAAAAGGTGACAACATCGTTTATGTTGTAGCCAATACGATGGCGCTATATACAGTTGACTCTTTCGATCCAGCGATTACCCATAATAAAACAGCACTCATGATCAGCGCTACTGCTTGATATTGTACATGTGAGCCTGGTTGTTACGAGACACGCCTTTTTCCTTCCAGGATCTTCACAAGGCCGTGTCCTTCGTGAGGTGGCCGCCGGGATATTACTCACCCCCCAAGCAATCAGAGAGCTCGAAAGAAATAGAGAATTGTAATTTCAAGAATACCCCACTTTGCAGCTACCAGATCATTGAGAGGCGCAGCCCAACCTTTCATGATCCAAGTATGCATTCAACCTTACGTTTCTTGAAAGATTGCACACTAATAGAGTGAATGAATATTGTTAGATACTAGCACAAATGTGTTGAATGGGAGCCGGAGATAGACACCGGAAGATCTCCAGTGGGGCAGAGACGCACAGGGCATCTGACCCACCAAGAAGACAGATGATCAATCTCTGCACACCGAAGAAGCAGAGCACAACAATCAACAGAATCCATCAACATCCGTGTGTTCAACAAATATACTACCTACATCACGTAGCGACAGCGCGCCATACACGAGATGCACCCACCGCAGGAGAGATAATGCCGTAAAAGCGAGATGCTGCCGCGGAAAATACTATTATAAAAGATATTACTGCGAAGAATGTTACCGCGGAAAAAATTGCTATATAAGATATTACCGTAAAAAATACTACCGTAAGAAATACTACCGTAAGAAATACTACCGTAAGAAATACTACCGTAAGAAATACTACCGTAAGAAATACTACCGTAAAGAATACTACCGTAAAAAAAAGTATAATAAAAAATTATCATAAAAAATATTACCGCAAAAAGTATTACCGTATAAATACCACTACGAAAAATATGACTACTATAAAAAGGTATAAATTTAATAATTATTATGTATTAAATAAGAAATAAAAATAGCTAATAAGAGATTATTAGATTTAAATAAGTAAACAAAAGATATTTAATAGTTATTATATATAATGTTATAAAATAACATTTATAATACTTTTAATAAAAAAGGTGTGACGGCCTGCACAGACCTTCCCACATGACAAGCGGATACTTCCCAATAGGGGAAGGATCTGACCAGAAGATCCCCTTAAAGGGGCAACCTCCCACTGTACCTATCTCTCTCTCTCTCTCTCTCTCTTCCTTTCCTCTCTAGTCTTGATATTCTCGTCAATAGAGTAATAGCTGCTTGCTGCAGGCCATGTCCCAGCTCCCTAGTATGCTCGCCGTGATAAAAGGGGGTTATTAAGTTATTAGCTTATGTCTTATATTTCATTATGTTATTAAATGTTTAATAGTTCATTTAAACTTTATCATTAATATTATTACGTCTTTAAAGTAAATAAAATAAAAATAAAAATATTTAACTTTCTTATAAGCGCATTTAATTTATTTATACCGTTAATATTAAGAGTTATAGAATTAGTGGCTTTATTAAACTTAATATATTATTAAATCCAATAGATTTAATTATTACTTATAATTGTTTATAATTTCGTAGTTTTTCCTGCTTTATAGCTAATAATTACTTAGATATAAATTGTGGTATTTAACTTATTTCTTAATATATTAAACGCTTATTTTCTAAACGATAAAATAATCCTTTTCAAAGAGCGGCTTTTTTATCGTAAATAACTAGCCTAAATTTATTTGAAAGCTTTATAAATATACCGTTAAATCGATTATAGCTTATTTGAATTTTAGTTTTCGTCTTTTACTAAAACACAATATTACAAAAACAATAATTTGCTTCTTAAAAAGGAAAGTTATTAAATTATAAAGTTAAATAAATTATAAATAGTTGTAAATTTCAAAAAACTTTTTTTGAGCGAACTAATTTATCATAAATGTTGAAAAACACTTCATTAAAACCGATAGGTTAAACTTAAATTCGAAGTAAATAGCTAATCTATTAATTTTAATTCCCCCGCCCACCGTCTTTTTTAAAAATCTAACATTTAAAGATTAAGTTATAGTAAATTATACTAGTATTAAAACCTTTTCAATTATTAAACCTTTTAAGCCGTAATATTTACCATTAATAAATATCAACAGATAAAAAGCTTAATAAAAACCTATTATATTATAGCTTAAATATCCTTTTAACTTATTTCTTTTAGTTATAATAAACACCTACAACTTAATCGTTAAATGTTAGATTTTTAAAAAAGACGGTGGGGGGTGAAAACACCACCAAGCGCAGTCGCATTAAAGAAGTGTAATAAAGAAGAAGAACTCCTAGGAACGAGAAACGTAGTGATAAGCCTCTAGGACGACTAGTAGTATAGTGTTACGAACTAACAAATACTATGGCCTGTTGGAGGGCCAAGGGGAGTACACCAAGAACTAATGGAATCAGAAGCAAGGAACGGAACAATGGGTATTACGGATTACATAACAAAGGTCACGTGACGTATCACTGGATCAGGGAGTGAGCCAGTGATCATCACTCTGGGACAAGGTGATCCTACTCCATCAGTGAGGGAGAGATTGGATATATAAGGACGGACATTTCTTAGCTAGATAGATACACAGTCTCTACCTCAGTGATAAATCTAAGCATCTTAGCTAACCCTAAGGTTGGAGAAATCTCCTGACGACTCGATTACGCAGTGAACCCAGTTCAGACCAAGCCCCAGCATCTGAGTGTCTTCTAGTTAACAGAAGCCTCTATCGTCTTTTGTGTTGACTTACCTCAGAACATAAACCCTATAGAAGCCTTGAGCCTTATAGGTTAGACGGCTTGTCACATATAGCCGCACATCCGAGACCTCGAATGCTCGGCAGTGAGGTGGCTGGCCCATGCTTACCTAGAGAAACATCACCAAGGAAGAAGTAGTCCCTATAGCTTACTAGGGACGAGAGACATGGGATATAGCCCCTAGGACGGCTAGTGGTGTGGCTGCATATTCAACAAACCTAGGATGTTCTATAGTCTAGCACTCGCTTTCTTATTAATCGTCACATGTCATGGAATTAATTCACGCTTTGCCATAACATTGAGCAAATTGAAGTTTTTTTGTTTTGTTTTCTCAGTAACTTAGCTTCTAACTAAACTCTGTTCGTCTTTTACCCTCAACGCTAATATGGCTCCAGCGAAACCTTCGTCCACACACCTTTTTCCGATGAGTCATGAGAGTCCTATATGAAGACGAATGCTCGCAAGGGAATCTCACTAAGATTTTCTCCACGAACCACACTCTAATAAGAAGAGAAGAGCCACGCAAGGAAAAGTATTTAAGAGAACCCCTTTTCGCAGAAGTACAGAAGCCAGTTTCTCACTCCTTCAACCAACAACCCTCAGATATAACTTCTCCACCACTCACAAATCCAACCCACGCACTTTCATCTCTGTAATATCCACAAAACATTCAGGTAAATCAAGGCATTTAACATGGCGATGGCAGCGATCAGCGATCGCCACCACCAGCTTTGTGGGCAGAGACTGTACGCCCTCCGTCTCTATACTCTGGGTCCGATTAAGCTCTGGTCTACCATAGAGTATCCGACCCCCACGGTCTAGCGATAGTACCTAGGTAGCAGCGATCCGTCAATGAGCGACCCGACCTATTCCTTCTACCGGACCAGTCAGTACGTTTGCAGGTTTTGCTCCGTGCCGTTCCGTGGGCGCAGAATTGGGCTTGGATCTAAAGGGGACGTGTCGTTCTTGATGAGACATGGTGAAGGCGTGCAGAGCAACGAGGCATCAGGGGTTACCATTGCGATGACAGCCTTCCGAAGTTCCTCACCTCCGCCGAAACAGCTGCGCAGAGGAATTAGCCAACATATGTTTTGCGTCGTAAGCCATTCTTTTGCTTCTGGGATCTTTCCCTCCTGGGAAAGCAGCGTCCTTCGTTCGAGGCGATCAGGTTGGCGATTGGATCAAGGGATGTCCAGCGCAAGTTGTTGACACTGGGCACTGTCCAAGTTCATTGTGCATCTACGTTTTTCCTCCTGGTTGTATATATTCCATAATTCATAGGCTAGACAAGGCCATCAGCGCAGGACCGGCTGCAAAATCATATGGCTTTTACGAATACAAGCGCACGGTGCACCTCCGCGTCACCCAACATTGAGGCGGGATTGCCGTCTTGAGAATAGTCATGGGACGTATGATGAACAAACAGCCCTTCACTGGGTCCAGAACAGAAAGCGTCAGTTAACTGAGAGAACTGAGCACACCATCCGTCTTCTGTAGGTTGACATGGATATAACTTGTCCTGGTGGAGTCTTTGAAGTCGTTTTGAGCATTTGACCTGGAGAACTTCGATTACGAGGTTTCTTCTTGGGTGAGATATCATCTCCCGAAGGGTCAACAACTATGTCATGGGCATTGCGACCTGGGCGAGATGAAGGATTGCCACCGACTGCAGAAGAGGAAAGGAACGTAGGAAGCTTACATGCTTCAGTATAGGGCAACTCGCCCTTGTAGCTGGGCGAACTAGATACCAGTGCAAATGAGAGACCTGCGTCGATTTGCCCTGAAGACGGGCGGTCGAGCCCAGTGCCGTCTCCAAGGCGATCTGAGCATGAAGCAGTTTCAGCTGTCCGCCCAGCTATATATTCGCCTCGCCCCCGACCACCTCCATTCATGAAGAGGAACTACCCCAACTTCAACGAGCCGCTTGGAATCTTCTGTAGCAACCTCTTGGTTCTGATCACGGCCGACTGAATTGAGCTTCTCCCCCAACGCTTTCAGCTGTGTCGTTTCCGGAGTAGCGCCTCTAGAACACAATCCCTCCCGCAACCACACACAGACTAATGTGCCAATCGCTTCGGCAACTCATCGGAGACCTGTTCAACGTAATATTCCGTATTTCGAGCAGCCTCTCAGCAACGTTACATCCATCCATGTCCTCAGGCACAAACTTCGTTGCATTTCGCATCCTACCACCCCGACAGAGGACTTTCAACTACTAGTTTCTTCAATTCGAGGCTCATCAATCGAGTACTACTCTCGACGGCGCTTCTTCCAAGCATCTCTACCTCTCCCTCCATCTTCCTCCACCTCTCTCAATCTCCACCTCTCTCTCTACCCCCCTCTACCTGCAACTATCATGACGCCTAACACGGTCACTACGAGCAACTTGCATGAGACATTGGCGTTAACCACCGAGGAGACGAGCGCGATGGACACGGCCCTTGAAATGGTACCCGACAGCCAAGAAGCACACTACAACATAGCTCAACCGCGTCACGACCGCTCGACTACGGGCGCATCGACATGCTCTGCCCAAGGACCAAACAATTTCGGCAGAAGCGGACGCGACTATCGAGCAAGCCGACCTCACACCCACAGCCTGGGCCAGACACACGAGGCTTCATAGGAGAATGCCTCGAATGCCCACGGCGATGGAAGAAATCCTCTGCTGCTTCATGCCATTGATGATGATTACAGTTACCACAGGTGCGTCTATCAATGAGCACTGGTTCAAGCCCTGGTTAACCAGGCTAATGACCGCGTAGTCTTCACTCGAGCGACTTGTCTTGGCAGACTCTCACAAGCGATGGCGCGCCCCCTACGCCCCAGCTGGCAGACCCCGACTGTGCTATTTCCCTTACCTTGATATCGGCTCCACTTGGCAGACTCTACCGCGTCCATGACAATGGTCTGCAACGCCTCTTACCACCTCCCAGGTCATCTGCGCACAACCGTGCCACGATAAGCTTCTTTCGGCGTACTGCCCTTCCTAAGTGTGGTCAACCGATCGGAGAACTTAGAAAAGCATTGAACGCGAGCCCAATGCGAAGATTGCTGGCTCGCAAGGCACGCGCAACCTGTGCAGTGTGGGCAGAACTCTGGCTCATTACCTAAAGCTCCGGTGCAGCAAGACTGACGAGACTGAGCAGGACTTCCGGCAGCCTCGTAGATTGTTTGTCAACCACTTTCAATTCGCACACAGTTTCGGTCGGCTGGGAAGGTGAATGGAAACGTTTCCTGAAAACTCACCAGGATAATATCGCAAGCCGGTCAGGCTACGACCGAGCAGCACCAAAAAGAGACGGAGTCGAAACTCAGGACTGGCGAATGTTGATCGAAGAGACTACCTCACACTTTTGATCTCATGAAGAAGGGACGGGCTGCCATACGTGTCAGGAAGCATGTCCCGGAGACAAAGGAACCATGGATGTACATATACATGGCTCCCACGCCTGACTCGTACTGTAGACCTCTGCAGAACAACATACATCTTACCCCCCCCCCCTATGGTTGGCCTTCTGACAATACGGTTACGACGAAGACTTACTAAAGCGTATGGCTGGTGTGCTGATAACTTCTGCGAGAAGCACAATGGCCAGTAGGACCTAGTGCTGTCGGCGAACTTCTGAACTTGGGAATAAAGGGCTTCTGATCAGACCCATGCTTTGGAGCGTTTTGGAGTCCTCTCAGGATAGCCCGGCGACTTGGATGGGGCTAGCTATAGAGGCTATGCGTTAGAGCCCCTTAGAACTCCCTTAGGAGAGAGTGGTAACTTGGATGGGACTAGCTACAAGGGACGTAGGATATAGCGCCCTATGAACTGTCTAGATCATGGCTGCTTGCGAGGAGTTGATTCGGGAGGACGATCATACCCTTCTCAACGGAAGACGTTACAAGAAGTCCCATTCTACTTTGCTACCTCTTTACTGTCTTTTTTTTTCTTTTTTTTTCTTTTGTCATCCTGAGCCCTAATTCACGGCAGTGAGGCTAAGTCGGCACTTCCGAGTCGAACATCAGGACCATGTTCGACGAATTACTCCCATATATCAATGTCCTTGCGCACGCCAAACCCCGATCTTCATCACCTTCATTTTCAACCACAGCACTGAGTACCAACCTTCACCGTCCACGACCAAAGGCATCACCGCATTGCCATGAATGTGTATCAGTCCCAGGCATCGAAGCCCTCGCTCAAATCCCGACCGACGCAGCTGCGGACGAGGACGAGGTCATGCAAGACGCGGACAACAAGGGCTGGTCTGCCGCGGTCATAGGCCTCCCCGTCATCACCGTGACAACTCCTGGAGAGTTCTGGGCTGCGGCCAAGGATGCAGTCCCGTGGGCTTCGTGTACACACCAAGAGCCCAATACTTGCTTTCCACACGGTAGCGCATGCATTTGGAGAAAGCCTCCAGTCTGCTTGGGGGCTCTTGGAGTGACGGAAGGGAGACGGGAAACGAAAATGGGCAGGGGAAGCATGTGCAGGGCGTTCGAGACATTAGGTTCTTCACCTCTGTTAGGCCAGAAGGTATGAAATATGTGACTGGCAGTCTGTGGTGGTAATACAACAATACATCTACATTATCCAGTACACTGCGATCCTCCTCCCGAATCCGCATTCAACCGAGGTTTGTGCCCCTTGGAGATAGCGTCACTCTAGTAGGAACTCTAATCGTCCCTGGCCCAAACACCACCACCCTCCCTCTTGGCATACTCATTCCCCATCCTCTCCTCGGACCTCATAGTTACTCCTCGTCGGCATCCGTCACGTCCTGGATGCGATTCTGCGTGGACACCTGCGCGCCCTGGACTTGACGACGTCCACCACTGGGCTGCTCGACTCGCTCGTGGACAGGTGCTTGGCCGGGCAGCTGGGACAGGCGCTCGGTTGTGGTGCCGGAGCCGTCTGTGTAGCTTCGCTCCGCATATGCAGTCCTCTGTGCTTGGCCATTGTTGGTGGAGGAGCTGAAGGAGCTGTAAGAGCTGAACGAGACGGAGTAGGAGGACTGTGAAGGCATCTTGGATTCGTGATTATCGTAGCTCTGATCCGTGTGTGATGCTTTACGTGTGTGGTGAACGTGGTTGAACGAAACGTGAAGGTTGTTTCTCGACTGAGGCCGGGCGGTCATATACCTACGTCCCCCACCTTACCTAATCCGTTCTATGAGCAGACGTCGCTGACATCATTGTGACATGTTTGCGAGGTACATTGACGCAAACGTACACCTAGCACAACACGGGCAGCATCAGAATACAACCAAACCTCCAACCCAACTTCTCCGCTAGGGTACACACCTTGAAAAACATTGGTACAAACACTGAAGCTCTCCAATTGTTTCCACGACATGCAAGCGGTACGGTGTATACTGCATTACGTAAACCGGCCTGCCATTCCGACAATGTCTTGGGCTTGCCGGGCTATGTACGATAACTTACTCGCGGGGGCGGGTTGACAGCTGACAGAGTTATCATCTAGAACTGTTTGAATACATAAATGCATTTCGAGTCACCTTTGCTCGCCCAAGAACCTCAGGGGGGCGCCTCGTGATACCGAATAAGTTGAGCGTAGCACGAGCTGCATCTGCGAGCTTTAAAGTCTGACTTCATAACGTCCGCGATGATCCCACCGCGTGGTCGACGGGCTCTTGATGGTATCGACTACACTCTCTTCGTTGGATCGCCTGTTGTTGACTCACATACAAGGTGAACATGGCCGAGAGACGCCTGGGATGGATGGGGATGGATGATCTTGACGAGTGCAGGTGGTGCAGTCACCACATATTGGAAGTCTCCGTTCGCGCACCTCGAGGGCGCCCCCTGCCTGCCCCGTCCCGCTGAAAGGATACAGTCGGTGGGATTTGGAAGCACCTTGGAATAAGCAATACTCTGATATGTCACGCTTTATGCTTACTCCAGAGTGATTATCCCACAGCCAGAAATCCGTCCATGAGTATTCCAAACTTCGATTACGGGGTGTACGGAGAATTATGAGGGTTCAGTGTACCCCGAGTGTCCGGGGCTCCGGGGGAATTATTTCCGTGAATAGGTAGACAAGGGGCCGGCCCGCATCCATCAAGGGCCCACCTTCGGGCTTCTGAAACTTTCAACATGCCACTCACTACCTTGGCAGGAGGATTTCTATGCGGACCACCTCTCAATACGAAACCCAGCCGAAAAGGTGACCCTCCGTCATCTGTACACGTTCCCATCGCATCGGTTTGCATCAGCGGATCTACTGCGCTTGGGGTTACTCGTCTCTCTAACAACCGGTCTCCAACCACGCCACCCCGAGCTCACTTCCGCATCGAGACTTGTTGAGCCCGGTACTTGGGTCCGATTCAACCAAGATTCAACCCACTATGGTGGGAGGATCTAACACTGCCCTGCGGAAATTATATCCATGCCGAAGTGTATCGGATTAAGAAGATGCGGAACGACATCCCCATTGTACGCGTCCTCATGAGTCATCTACTGAAGGCCTGGGATATTGGGGCATATTAGAGTGATGGAAACCGCCTCTGTCTTCTACTACGGCAGTATGCTAGGACACTCGACTCACGGCTTCCAACGTCAAATATCGCCAACATGAAGTACGCACAAGCTATCACGGCCGCGGCATGGGCGCTGCTCCCGGCAACGTTAGCCGCACCCGCGGAGGGCACGCACAAGCGTGCCATCTCATCCATCGTCAGCGGCACGCCCATGGGTTTCGCATCGGGGACGACCGGCGGCGGCGACGCGGCCACCGTGTACCCGACCACAGTCGACGAGCTAAAGAGCTACCTCACCTCGGCCGAGCCGCAGAACATCGTCATCTCGGGCACCTTCAACTTCCAGGGCACCGAAGGCACCAAGGTAGTTGACGCCTGCGACGCGTACCCGTGCACGACGAGCAACGGCGGACAGGCGCTTCTCAACACGCTCGGCGGCTGCGGCAGCATCGCAACCTACAGCGTGTCGATCGACGCGGCGGCGTACAACCCCATCTACGTCGCGTCGGACAAGACGCTCGTCGGCAAGGACAACGCGGTGCTCTACGGCAAGGGCCTGCGCTTCTCCGACGTCTCCAACATCATCATCCAGAACGTCGCCATCACCAACCTAAACCCGGCATACGTCTGGGGTGGCGATGCCATCGCGATCACCGACTCTTCCAACATCTGGATTGACCACGTGACTGTGAGTACAAGTACGGGCCGTTGCGGTTGAAACGGGGTGACTGACCTTCCGTCTTCCCTGCCTAGACGTCCTATCTGGGCCGACAACATTACGCTTTCGGCACCGGAGCCAGTAGCGGTGTCACCATCTCTAACAGCTTCCTCAATGGCGAGACGTCCAACTCGGCCTCCTGTGACGGCCACACGTACTGGGGGCTCGAGCTAGTCGGGTCCGACGACACGATCACATTCTACCGTATGTGTCTGCCCACTTCTGTAAACTGAAAAACGTGAAAGCTCACCGCTGACGAACCATGCAGAAAACTACGTATACATGACCTCGGGCCGAACCCCGGCTCTATCCGGCAACACGCTCTTCCACGCCGTCAACAACGTGTGGTCGTCGAACAGCGGCCACATGCTCGAGGGCACCGACACCGGCAAGGGCCTCTACGAGGGCAACTACATCGTCGACGCGCCCACCGTGGTCCAGTCCGGCTTCGTGGGCAGCCTGTTCACCTCGGACGCGTCCGTCGCCTCCCAGTGCGCGGCGTACCTGGGCCGCAACTGTGTTCCCAACACCCTGGTCAATTCGGGCGCTTTCAGCTATAGTGATAGCAGCTTCCTGTCGCTGTTCTCTGGGAAGTCGATCCCTGCTGCGGCTTCTGCTGCTTCGATTGAGAGCTCTGTTCCGGCGGCGGCTGGGAATAGGTTGTGAGAGGGTCTGGGGTCTGATGGATTACGTCTATGTCAGTGCATAGGGACCTAGCGTCCATGCCCAGAACTGTTGCAGGCACGGCGTGGGCAATCTGCCACTTGGTATTCATGTGTATGTATTGTGATATTCCGTTGTAATGAAGAGTTTTATGTACATGTCTCTCATATGTGCCGAGTCCCGACGAACGTCTTGTCGTTTGAACCCAATGGCTATATTCCGTGCAGACCCTGTAGCTGGTACTCTCTCACATGCGTCATGAAGCTTCTGTCGGAAACAGTTGATCTCGAATTCCGCGGGAGTGTGGGCTTAACTTATCTTAGCACAGACCTCACGACCTGTGCTCAGCCAACCGATTCTGGTACGTGGATATCAGGGTGGCTGATAACGTAGGTCACAAGCGAGCGGGACACTTTTACCAACCTTCCAACCAACATGTCAAATAACTTAATCACAATGCATTGAATTCAATCTAATTAATCGGATTCCTCTTCTTCAGATGTTTCTATCTCTATTGTACAAGTTCGCGCATTATGGCCAGTGTTGTCGTAAATGTCATAACGTCGCTCACGCGCTGCTGCCCTCCTCGGACGACGATTACCTTTATTCATTTCCTGTCTTGCCAGCTCAGTACTATCTTTTGTGTCACGGCGAGCATACTGGGGAGCTGGGACATGGCCTGCAGCAAGCAGCTATTACTCTATTGACGAGAATATCAAGACTAGAGAGGAAAGGAAGAGAGAGAGAGAGATAGGTACAGCGGGAGGTTGCCCCTATTAAGGGGATCCTCTGGTCAGATCCTTCCCTTATTGGGAAGTATCGGCTTGTCATGTGGGAAGGTCTGTACAGGCCGTCACATTTTGTAGCCTGATGTTGAATGGGAGCCGGAAATAGACACCGGAAGATCTCCAGTGGGGCAGAGACGCACAGGGCATCTGACCCACCAAGACAGATGATCAATCTCTGTATGCTGAAGAAGCAGAGAAGGACAAGCACAACAACAGAACACACTTGACAACCTGAATAATCTGAACTCGCTTGCATCTGACACCTGAAGACCTATTGTATTTTTAATAGAAAGTATTCCTCTTTTTATTAGACATTTGTTTTTTGTTTTCTGGCGTTTAGTTAATAAGTGATTGGCCTCCTCTAGCTTGCGGACCCAGGAATTAACCAAAGCGACCTTATGCATAAGACCGTATGTAGCCTTTAAAAACGAGCTCAATGCATCAATTATTGATGTAAGTGAGCTTCTTTAGTGGTTTTTAACTTGATTTTGGATATAAACCAATTGGTTTACCGCTTCATTAATAGTAGTAAGTGTCTTGGAAGTCCAAGTAATGGGTAGCAGATTGGGGTCTGGTGACGGTGTTTGTACGACAGCAACAGTATTCAACTTTGAAATGACACTTTCTAGATCAAAAGGAACAAGCCTAATGACATTGAAACCTGCTCAAATGTTTCCTGACGTCATAGCAGCGTTATATACTTTACAAAATATTGTAAAGAAGTCTTTTTTCAAAACGTGTGTTATATGACACTGGATAAGATCCTCAATCATTGTTGGATTAAAGGTACGCCTAGAGGGCACCTTGACAGTTAGACAACGGAACCTAGTTGTTCCGTCCTGATCCAGCCCTCTCTAGCAAAAAGCTGCCACAGTTGTACAGAGACACTTCAAGGACACAGAATACACACATACACTTTAACCTCACGATTGGCTCAAATCTAACAATCAAGAGTCTCATTGCTGATCCCTTTGACAAACCCTATCTATCCTGTATATCTAAGATGCCTGTCCTTTTAACCCTTCGAGAGTCTGAGAAAGCAGACTTCTTAGCATCACTGTCAGAAGCTGTGACAGCCTGCACAGACCTTCCCATATGACAAGTGGATACTTCCTAATAGGGGAAGGATCTGACCAGAGGATCCCCTTAATAGGGGCAACCTCCCGCTGTACCTATCTCTCTCTCTCTTCCTTTCCTCTCTAGTCTTGATATTCTCGTCAATAGAGTAATAGCTGCTTGCTGCAGGCCATGTCCCAGCTCCCCAGTATGCTCGCCGTGACAGAAGCAAGAAAATGGCCTGAATGGGACTATGATTTCCAACTGAAGGCAGATGCCCTAGGTCTTCTTGACCTCCTCGTTCAGAAAAAGGGAATTATACCACAACTAGAGATTCCGAATATTACACGAAAGAAATACGAGAAGAAACAAACGACTCTCGAACCAAACCAAACTATCGAAGTTAATCCTGATCCGAATGACGGAAACAAAAACGACAAAATCATCCAACACAAGCAAAATAATGGAGTGTGGATGCTATCAGATCTAACGACAACGGGGAAACAAACCTATAAACTCGATAATAGCTTCTACGATCAAATCCAGAAGCTGCACAAGAAGTAAGCACTGTCTTTGGAAAAAATCAAGAACCATATACTCAAGTCTGTCGTAAACCACTACAAGGCCACCTGCTGCATTTCAAAGCAACCAATCTGGGAGTGGTACGCAAATCTCCAAGCCCAGTACAGATGAGCAGGAGGATGCAAGACAACTCTACAAGACAGCACTCCAACCCCTCAGAAATCCCAAAAACGTAGCAAAATGGATTGCCTTTTAGGAGATCGCTTTTACAAAGGCCCATCAGAAGGAAGTTCCCGAGATGCTCAATGTGAGCTCATGGGCCAGAGACTTCCTTGACGCGATATCTAAAACATTTTTCATATAGTCAAGCACTTATGCGGTTACCAAAGACGAATAAATCCGGCACGGGATTCTCAAATATTAAGATCTTATTAACGACTTCACAAGGGCTATTTTGCGGACCACTAACAAAGCTGGACAAGCCTCTAAAGGTACATTTGGGTCTACATATAACAGAGAGGGCTCCGGCAAAAAAGAACAAAAAGTCAGAAGCAAAAAGCCTAGGAGAAAACAGACCAAATGCCGACCGAGGAACGAGAGAAGTAGGGATAAGGACTATTCCGAATGTCCAGCGTGTGGAATGGAACACGCATTGTCAAATTATTTCTATGTCTTCCCAGAGAAGGCATGGAAGGGCTTCCGACCTAAGGACTATCTCATCGAGAAAACGACCCAAGCCTTGGAAGATCCAGAACTACAAGCCCAAGTCCGCGCCTTGAAACGGAACAAATCAAAATCAAGTACAAGAACTCTTTAACCTAAAGGAGAAGAGCCTGAAGAGATTCAAGATTGACTCTATGACAGAACAATGGGCAAGGTGCCATCAGCCTTCACATCGGTCAAATCAGATGACTATCCACTGGCATACTCAGTCATTTTGGACAGTGGAAGCACCATCACGATCACAAACCAAGCATGGCATCTAACCAGCTGGAGGACTGCGCCACCAGAGGATTTTGTATGGTCGGGAGATCGCCCTCTACCCATTCAAGCGTACGGCAATATGCAAGTACGCGTTGGAAGTACGATTATCAGCTTCTCAAATACAGCCTACTGCCCCTTACTCCTCACCACTCTCGTATCCCTACGAGAACTCAGACGAAGAGGATATTGGTGGGATAACAAGAAAAGACAGACCAGTCTCAAAAGAAGAGACAATACCTTGGTTGGCCATATCAAGGATATGTACGGCTAATATGTCATCGATTACTAACCAAACGACCCGAACGCTATATTTCACACCGCACAACAAAGCAAGAAGCATTTATACAACTCATGGTTCAGAAGATCTCCCCTCACTGGGAACGCGTGGCTATGACATCAACGACTAGGACATCCTGGCCCAGAAGCTTTGAAACACCTAGTGCGTACATCTAAGGAGGTGGTCATCCGAGGACCAATAGGAGTGGAATGCGAGTCATGCACAATGTCCAAGGCCAGACAGCATATACGGAGAGCACCACAAGCCAACTACGAAGATCCAGGAGAAATATTAGCTCTTAACTTCCATGACTACGAGAGGTCCCTATTAGACGAGTCAGCTCACATGGTCTTTACATGTAGAAATTCTAATATCTTATGGGACTATGCTCTCAAGAATCGAACTACGCAAACAATCATCCATGTGGTATCAACGCACCTCTTGTGACTAGAACACCAATACGACATCAAAGTCAAGGTAGTTGAAATAGACAATAAGATATATATTAACAAGCCAGATATAGGAAGATGGCTAGAAGCCCGCGCGATCAAGGTAGAGCCCTCGGCTCCCAATACACAAGCACAGAACGGAGATGCTGAGCGCTCAGGGGGTGTACTGAAAACAAAAGTGCGCGCGATGCAAATCGGTGCTAGATTACCGACCTTCTTATAGCCAGAAATACTCAAAGCGGCTACATATCTCTACAATCAGACACCAAGAAGAAAGAGTGAATAAAAAACCCCTTTTGATGTCTTTTTTGAAGCAGTCATAAGGAAGACAGGTCGACCAATGGCCCCAGATAAGCGCCCTGACCAGACACATCTCCGGGTGTATGGCTGCAAGGCCTACGCAATAACAACCGACATGAATTTAGGTCGCCGAAGGCTAGACAGACTCATTCCCAAAGCATACATTGGATACTTGGTTGGATATCGGTCCTCCAATATCTACTGTGTGTGGGTGCCTCACCTGAACAAGGTGATAAGTACGAGAGATATCGCTTTTAATAAGAACGAGTTATTTGATAGGAATAAAGAGCAGTTCTGAGATGACTTAAAGACAGCGACTATTAAAGAGATACAGGTCATGGTCAACAAGTATGCTCTATCTGAGTCCGACGACTATGTCCAGGACAAGGAAGAAAATCCTGATAAACTGCAAACAGACCAATATCCTCTCCTGACGGGGGTAAAGGATGGAAGTGCGGGAGGCCCGGTGGTCCCAACGGGGATACAAGTCCAAGAGGACGAAGAGGAAATAGATATGGGTATTGGGAATGAGCACCCATACACCACGGCGAAGTTTGCCCTATTACCTTCACCACCGCCTAGTCCTCCGTCCGCCTTGCTATGTCATAGTATTCAGAAGGGGAATAAGGAACCTAAAAATCCTCTCTAAGACCCAGGACAAAAAGAGCTCGAGCCTTAGAAAGCGGTGTTTCTAACAGGCCTCAAGGCTTTGCCCATAGAATGATCGGGTAAAAACACCCTAGATCGGGCAAGCATTAAGAGAGCCTTGCGAAAAGGATTCAAGCTGTACAGGCGACTCCTATAAGAAGCACCACTGCGGCGCGACAAACTAGCAACCCATTCAATGGGGCACTTGTTCAAAATGGCCGAAAAGCATCAACTAAAAAGTCATGATAGCATGAGGTCATGGACTAAGATTCGAAAGAAAGACCCATCTATACGAGGGCATTAAGCCTTGGACTGCATATGGGTGTATGTCTACAAGTTTGATAAGCATGGGAGGTTCATCAAGTACAAGGCACGTCTCGTGGTCAGAGGAGATCAACAGAAGGGGCTGCATTCAGAGCAGACGTATGTAGCTACTCTTGCTGGAAGATCGTTCAGAACCTTGATAGCCCTGGCAGCCAAGTTTGACCTTGAGATGATTTAATACGACGTTGTTAACGCCTTTGTGCATGCCCCTATCAATGAGAAGATCTTCATGCGGATATCATACGGCTATCGCAAAAAAGGTACAATTCTTTAGTTAAACAAGGCACTCTATGGGCTGAGGGTTTCTCTATTACTATGGCAGAAAGAGTTCTCAAAGACTCTGGCCAGCTTGGGATTCAACCCGGTTCTATATGAGCCGTGCTACTATACAAGAAAAGGAATCATGATATTCTTTTACATGGACGACGTGATTATCGCATATAAAGGACACGCACAAAAATATGTTCAAGACGTGGTTCAACAGCTTCAACAAAGATACAAGATTACTAGAGGCGAGCACGTTCAATGGTTCCTTAGAATGGAAATCATTCGGGACCGGCACCAGCAAAAGATTTGGCTCTCCCAAACCTCCTACATTAAGAAAGTAACCAAGCTAATCAACCTGACCGACATAGTCCCTGAGGTCCCAATAGGTACAGAAGAACTACTACCCCGGCAAGATCATGCCGTCCCTCACAAAATCCAAAAATACCAATAAAAGATTGGTTTTATTCTATTTGCCTCCGTTTCTATACGACCAGACATAGCCTTCGCAACGTCACGCCTCGCTAGATTCCTCACAAACCCAAGTCAGATCCATCAGAATGCCGCCGACCGAGTCATTCGATACCTATACAGATCAAGATACCACTCTCTCCAGTTTGGAGGAGGAGACGATTTAGTGGTGGCCAGTGATGCTTCCTTTGCTGACAATACTCTCGACAGAAAGAGCTCTCAGGTATTTGTCATGACTCTTTTCAGGGGATTGATCGGCTAAAGGGCCAATAAGCAAGACACGGTCACTACATTTATCACAGAAGCGGAACTACTCGCACTGGCTCAGGCAGTCAAAGAGACCCTATACATCAGCCGGTTGGTCACGGAACTTAGTGTTCAACTCGAATGCGAAAAGATCAAAGTGGAATGCAACAACACACAGACGATTAAGCTAATAACTGCCAAAATCGTCCTCTTAAAAACCAAGTTGCAGCATGTAGATATACACAACCATTGGCTTTGACAAGAAGTGGAACGAGGAACTGTCAGTATCGAGTACACACCATCAGCACGGATAAAAGCGGATGGGTTAACCAAGGCCTTGCCGGCTCAACGGTGGGCAGGATTTCTAGATTAGTTGGGATTGGTGGACACTCTGGCAAGACAGGTTGATTTGAGATCGCAAGAGGGAGCCATTAAGAAGAGAGAAGAGATTTTGAGTCAAGACCTTGAAGTAATTTACTCTATAGGCTAGTTCAGCCAGAGCCGTTGCCTGCCTGGCTGAGGGGGTGTGTTGGATTAAAGGTACGCTTAGAGGGCACCTTGAAAGTTAGACAACGGAACCTAGTTGTTCTGTCCCGATCCAGCCCCCTCTGGCAAAAAGCTGCCACGGTCGCACAGGGACACTTCAAGGACACAGAATACACACATACACTTTAACCTCACGATTGGCTAAAATTTAACAATCATTCAACTGTAAGCTCGTTTGAGCGGGTTACAACAGCTGATATCTAGAGGCCGGAGCCTGTGTGACAAGTGGGCAGACATACAAAGGGTAACAATGTCATTGTTCTCCCAATAATACCCATCATAAACCCAGTCTCATTGAAGTTATAAATATCCGCATCTTAGATACCAAATTTCGTGATTACTGCCGCAACTTGGGGAAACCACGTGCGATACGCGTGCGGATCTTTGTTTAAGACCCTTGAGTAGTCCATTCTGCGATGAAAACGCGTCCGGAGACCTGATGTACGTTTAATGAAGTTTGCAGTCTAGTTCTTTCTGACGCGTCCAGTCTCATGCGCCGGCAGCAATTGATTTGTTATATCTTCAATATAAGTATACCGGGGCAGAAATACTCGTGCATCCAGGTCAAGTATGAAGGAGCAAATGGCATTCTCTTCAGAAACCGTAAGTTTAAAAGAATTGTGCATGCTATCGCGCCGTGATGGTCGGCCGGCGATTCTTTGAGCCAGTATAGAGATTGGTAGGTGAGAAATTTTAGCAAGCTTTCAAACAGAAATATGAGGGTCTTATTTTTTAGCTTGGATAGCTAGCTACATGTCTGATTTGTTATAACGCGGTGCCATCGTCGTGGGTGGAGGAATACTGGTTAGAAGTTGAAAGTTTGAGAGGTTGGTGAAAGTGCCCTACTCGCTTGTGTGTCCCGCTCGCTTGTGACCTACGTTACTGGACAGTCCACTTCAATATATGGAACACGTCACAATACGCCACACAACAGCCACATGACACGGACCACTCAAAATCAGTACGTCCCCACATCACTGCTCGGTCAGTGGTCAATCATGTTTCCATCTGGGGCTGGCTGTCTACCGGTTATTCCAGCATTTCGTGCCCATGATTGGGATCTGGTGAACTGAGGTAAAGCAGGGCTACTATGAGGGCCCTTTAGTATCCGATCTCGAGTCTTTTTTATTCTAAGCTCTCCTAAGGTACCGAGAGACGACGTCTCCTGGCCGGGCACAAATCCCCTGAAGATCATTCACTAGCTCGAGCTTTCCACAAGGGAGAAGGTTCGTCCTTCCCTTACACCAACACCCGACTTGACCATCAGCTCCTCAGCCAAGAAGCCTCCAAGCTTCCGGATAGTACCAGCACCCATGATTTCTAGGACGCTGACACGTACCCCGAGCCTTTGGCGACACCAATCGTGCAGCTCGATCGCGACCAGGGAGTCTAAGCCCAGCGAGGTCATCGTAGCTGTGACTTCCAGATCTTCTACCGGGCGCATGATGAGGTTGAACAACGTTGTTCCAACATAACGTGAGAGCGTCGTGACGTGGGTTTCCTCAGCAAGCTTTCGTGGATTCGCCTGGATATCGGTCAGGAAGGATCTTAGGCCACCGTCGCTGTCATTGTCTGCATCCTCCATGGTCTCATCCGACATTTCCAGGTTGCGGTAAACACCCATACGGGGGTCTCGTTTCCATGTGGTATGATTCTGAGGCGAGCTGAGCGGCATGGTTGTTGACATTCCGAGTCCCAACTGGCTTTCGCTGATGTACCCATTGGTACCGGTCAGACTGAGATCGGAGAGATAAGGACCAGACTTCTTGATGGCCAGCTCGAGCGCATCGAGGAGATCCTGCTCACGCATGACGTGAACCGCGGCGAAACGAAACTGATTCAAGAGCCTCGCATTCTCACTGATGACTCCAACGTCGCCCATGGCGCCTATTTAGAGCACAGAAGCTGGCAGTCCCTGACTCTGTCGATACTGCACAAAGGCATCGAGGAAAGTGTTACCCGCTGCGTAGTTGGCCTGACCGCGAGGACCGACGAGGCCCGAAAGCGAGCTGAACAGAATGAAGAAGTCTACGTCCTTGTCTGCAAATGCTGTATGCAGGTTCCAGGTCCCTTGGACCTTGGGCGCTAGGGCTTCTTCCCAATCACTGTGTGTCATATCGGCAAACATTCCGCTCTGTCATTGCGGATGGGTGTTAGCGGTGGTTCACAGGGGCTCACAGGCTTGGTAGCATCACTTACCCTCAAGACCATGGAGGCGTTAATGATACCTGCAATCGGAAGTCGGGCTTCTTCGATGACGCGCTGGACGTCTTCCAGTTTGGCTACGCTGCCAGCAACAACCTGTACCGTTCAACCAGCCGCTGCCAGCTCTTGGATCAGAGCCGCATCGTTGGGCCCCTTACCACTGCTTCGTGATAGATATATCAAATTTCTAGCTCCGGACTCAGCCATCCATGTTGACATCGAACGGCCAAGCCCTCCGAGGCCTCCGAGCAGAAGATATGAAACATCGGACCTCAGGGCGAATCGCGAACGCGTAGGAGCCGGGGCTAGTACCGAAGAGTCTTCTGGCATGCGGACTACGACCTTGCCGATGCGGCTGCCTTGTTGCATTGAGCGGAACCCGTTCTCGATGTCTCCCGCATCCACAATTGCTGTTGGCTTGATGGGCTGGATATCGCCTGCTCGATACAGGTCCGCACAGCGTTCTAGCAGTTTTTTAACTCTCTCCGGCCGTTCGTAGCACATCTTCCCGAGCTCCAGACCGCAAAACTTCCGATTGGCTTCGAATAAGTCCATCGCAAGCCTGCCTTGGCCGACAAGATCACGCTTGCCAATTTTGATCATTGCACCATAGGCCGCGACACATTTCCACTACAATCTCCATTAGCTGAATTCTGTGATGAAATGTTGAAAGATCACAAACCGAGTCGTGCAGAAGCTCTCCAGAGAGCGAGTTGAGAACGAGGTCAACACCCCTACCAGCTGTTGCCCTCATGATACCCGTCAGGAAACCATCGGCTGAGTTCCTGGAGTCTCTAGAGCTGAAGATTTTGCCCTCGGGAATGCCGACTTTTTCCCGCAGGTAGTTGACTTTGTCTTCGTTGCCCACAGTTGCGAAGACCTCGGCGCCTACCATGCGACAGACTTGAATGGCTGTTAAACCAACACCTCCACTAGCAGAATGCACCAATACCGTCTAATTTTACCAAAGAATGAGTTGTCCGAATGAGGAAAAGCGTTGAGTACTGTCAAGGGGTCTTACCTGGCCTGCTTCGAGCCTCCCAAGGTCCAACAAACCGTGAATAGCAGTCGCGTAGACACATGGCATGGTTGCTGCGTCCTCGAAACTTAGGGCCTCGGGTATCACGACGCAGAGAGTTTCTCGGGTCTTCGCCATGCTTGCGAACGAGTTGAAAGCCAGAGCCATGACACGGTCACCGACGCGAAGACCCAATACTTTTGGACCTATGCCTTTTATAATGCCGGACAATTCGAGACCGAGGGTGTCTTCATCGACAATACCCATAGCAATGAGGTAATCCTGAATGTGGTCAGAAAAGATGACGAAATGAAGTCTATAAAGTTAGAGGATGATTAACGGTACCTTGAAGTTCATGCCGGCTGCACGGACCTCAATCAAGACTTCGTCTTCCGATAGAGGATCCTCCGGCGAGGCTACCCACTGAAGAGTCTTGAGTGAACCTCTCTTCCCTATGGTCAGCCGCTTGGTGTTCCAGTCTTTGGAATCAGCAGCGAGCTCATCTGTGACCGAAACCCAGTGAAATCGCGAGACGTAAATGACGCCTTGCGTGAGGGCGAACTCGCAGTCGACGTCGACCTCTCCGCTTCCTGTTGCAGACTGCAACTTCTGGTATACTGTGCACACCGCGTCCATGCTTTGAGCTGTGTCACACTGGTCAAGCCCCAACGTGGAGATGCGAACACCCAATTCGTTGCGTAACACACGCGCGAGTCCGATGATCACTGCATATTGTGGCTCAGGGCAGCCCATCTGGCAGGGCTTCGTGAGCAACAATAGACCGGAGGACGCATTCAACAGGAATCGTTTGAAGCTCTCATAATAATCTGCGGGAACTTCCTCAAGAAAAGGATTTCCTTCGAGGTCAAGGATGGAAATAACACCAACACCATCTTTCAGCGTGTCGTTGAGCCCTACAGTCTCGACTCTGAGACTGTGCTTCACTAGGGCAGCTGTCAAATGCAGTAGCTACTGGGCCGTCTGGTTGACTTGAGAGTAGGGACACTGTTCCTATGTCCTTTATTTCACTGCAAAGGTGAGCAACAATAGTCATGCTGTTCTGGAACCGAGCACGCTGGGCGTCTTTGGTGGTGAGGAAACCCGAGGTTGCCAACTTGTCGGTCCACTGCTCTGGAGTCAGGTATGTGTCTTTGGCTCTGTCGCCTGCCCCGTCTGCCCACCAGCTAGGTACTGCACCCTAAATTCAATCATTGTCAGATATACGGCTCAGGTAGAACTCAGGAGCCGAAATGACGGAACAAAAACCTACCATGGCGAAGTTGATCCACGGTCGACGGTGGCAAAACTCCTGAAGTAGGAGTTTTCCGGCTGGCTTCATCATCTGCTTGATGTTTCGCAACGATCCTCCGACATCCCTCGTTGAGTGCGGCGCATTGCTGGCAATGACTAGATCGAACGATCCGCTACTGACGCCTTGCGCTACTGGATCTTCACTTACATCCAGTAAGCGGAATTCAATCCCCTTCACGTGCTTGAATCGTTCCTTCGCAGAGTTCAGCAAGTTCTCCGAGGTATCCGTGTATGTGTAAGAATAGAACATTCTCTCTCCAAACTGGGAGTACAGGCCCTCGAGCACCTTCTCAGTGGTGCTACCGGCACCAGCACCAATTTCCAAAATGCGAAGGTGCGGCGTATGGTGACTGAGTAGGTGTAGAAAGGGCTGGTAGTTCCATGATTCTAAGAGCTCCTGGGACTCGGCTATCGAGACCGCCTCACTCTGTTGAATGAGCTCCACGGGATCGATGTTGTTGTCTAGGACACCCTCAAGGGCATCGTAAGCATGAAGGATAGTAGTGGCCACCTTGCTCGGTGCTGTTGCTTTCAGGCCCCGTATGTGCTCCGCCAGGAGGGCAGGCCTCTCAGCTAAAGAACATGCCAATACCACCTTGACTTCTTCGGCAAAGGGGGCATCTTCCGTCAGAGATTCTGCAATGTGTACACATAACCAACGGTAATAGTCGTGTGCATATTCGGAGTTCGTGCTGGAGAATCTTCTGTCCAACGCATCTCGAGCTCCAATGCAGCAAAGTAGCGTAAGGTGCTGTAGCAGCTGTTGACCCCTCTGAGCTCCAATGTCAGATGCGATGAGGGAATCGACATCCTGGAAGTCTATGTCCGGTTTCCATTGAAGTCGAACGCCATTCTGGTGGACCTTAGCACCTGTATCATCTTCATCCTTCAGCGGCTTCATGGAGATGCCTTTCAACTGTACCACGGCGCCTTCGTGGTCCATGCATAGACAGTTGCCCTGTAGGACCCCATTGGCATTGACAGTGGCGGTAGCCTCCACGGTAAGAGGGCCTGTTGGGCGCCTGACGTATACCTCTGTTAGATAGGTAGGCACGAACTTGTTGTGAAGATTTCGAGCCATTCCTCGAGTAGTAGCGGCGGGAAACAGTTGAATACATGTATCGAGGTCGGCCGGATGCACGTAGTATGATGATCCTTCTTCGAGATCGTCGTGTTGCATTGGGATATGCCCAACGACTCTGTTGTCCAACGGATGGGCGGACACATCCTCAATGACCTGAAACCGGGGACCATAATTCAGGCCGACCCGGTTCAGTGTCTCATACCAATGTGCTTTGGGCACCCTCCTTGGCAAGTCGACGATGTTCCGCGGCGCCGGAGGATCTTGGGCTCCTGACCTGACTTGACCAGTGCAGTGCTTGACCCAAGTGTTACCGTTATAGGATGAGACAGTAAACTCGTACCAAGGCGAGTCGAGGGTGGTGGTAATACGAAGAGGTCTCAGGGTACATAACGTTTCTGTCGTATTGGATTCGTGAAGGACCATCGCTGAACTGATGGTGACTTCCCTTATGTTTGTTTGTTTTGTATTTAACGTGGGGGATTGCTCCTCAGTAGTGCAAACCACGCCTCCCAGAGCCTCTGCATCGCAGGGTTGTGGAGGTATCAAGATAATAAGTACAGTCAGTCCCGCTCACGAGCCCATCCCCGTTGTTGCGGCGGTATGACCTTGGGTCATCCATCTGGTCCTTCAAGAACAGCTATCTATCAAGGGCAGATTAATGAAAAGAATTTGCTCTTTTCCACGAATTTTGCCCATTCTGTGCTCCTCTCCCCTAAGTATTGTAAACAAGCTGTCCTAGGCGAGTACCTGGACAGCAGCCGATTTTTCCCCAGCCTCTTACAAAAGAAAATATATTATGGTGTTTTTTTCTCACCACAGTTACAGTGATCATTCGAGTCTGTATGCCCAAAGCGTTCATAATATCTGGCAAAGTCGCCATGTCCAGATCTAGCCGCTAAAAATCCGTGTAAAGTATTCCTTTTAAAAGATATAAGGTCTTTTTTAGTTACTGTATATAAGTATATTTCTTGATACCTAGATTCTGATTGATCTTTTTACCATTGATTGAACTTTTTCTTGCCCTTTTTTTTGAGATCTCTCTGAACCCATGAAATTGTGGGAAGGTTTGTTGTGTCTGATTTTAGCATGGTACCCTCTTTTGCTAGTGTGTCGGCAGCTTTATTGCCATCAATATCTCTGTGTCCAGGAATCCACTTGACGGTCACTCCAGGAGTGTGTGCCGTGGCAAGTTCTTGGAATCGTAGAAAAATGTTCTGTGATGTCTCGGGTGGAGTCCTATTGAGCCCATCTACCACTGCTGTGTTGTCCAGGCAGACATATAGCTGTTTTCCGTGTCCAATTGCCCTGCCTGTTGCAAGCCCTTGGAGAGCGCCATGGACTTTATCATCTATTATTTCTGCTTGGAGAAGTCTGCCCTTTTCCCGGTATACTTCTTGTGTAGTGTTGCCTTTCCTGATGGTGTAGCCCCATCCAGTGCGGGTTGTGCCTTTGTCGTCCAATTGTGATCCATCTGAGTAGATGACAAGGTCAGTGTTCGGTGACTTCCCTTAGAGAGCACTCATTGGCTCTTGTCATCTGATTGATAGCCTCGCATGCGATGGCTACGTATCCAGCGCCAGGGAAGACGATGTCGGGGCCAATTACGTGGTCGCGGATCCACGGAACCTTGTCCAGTTGCAGCAGATTCCGCCACGCGGGCTCCAAATGGCTGCTTTCAAGAACCCTGGAGCCTAGTATATCGTTGTGGGGGAATTCTCGGAGTCTCCATTCTCGAGATAATCGGCTTTCGTGCCAGCAATGGGTCCCATAGTTCCAAGGATAGCCAGGGAGGTTCGTCAGTACTTGTCCTGAAGGGACAATCGAGGCGAGGTCGACATCGACTCCCTTGAGGAAAAGCTCTCCGGCTGTCGTCAATAGAGCTATAGTATCGTGCTTGTTTCTGACCAGTGTTGAGACATGGAAAGCATCTGCCGAAGTCGAAGCCACGATTTGCCTGAGCGGGCCCGCTAGAGCTGAATGAGGTCCAATCTCGAGCAAAGCCTTGCTCTGAGATTCTGTTGCAAGTAGCCGCTTTACTGCCGGATAGAAAGCCACCTCGCACTCCAGGTTCGATCGCCAATAGGATGGGTCTAGCAATCCTTGATAGAGTATGACTTCTTGTGAGACACTTGAGTAGAATGGAACCACCGGTTTCTGGCTGGAAATCTGGCCACCGAGCATCTCCTCATACTGGCTACCGACGTCTTTCATATGATCTGTAGTGGTATATCAGTTCATGTCTTTGATATTCGTATTGTGGCGGGTTAACTCACGGGAATGGTAAGCGGTTTTCACCTGTAGCCGTCTCGCAAGGACATCGGGGCTATTCTGCTTGATCGCTTGGAGGATAAGATCCAATTGGTCTCCGTCATCGGACAAGGTCGTACTATTGGGACTGTTCTCGCAGGCAATCACTACGCCATCGATCAAGAATGGCTTGACAGCAGCCCGACTGAGCCCAACGGCGGCCATGGCTCCTGCTCGTGTCTGCTGCTTGACAGCGACACCACGCAAGAACGCATTGATAATGGCTTCGTTCATAGTCAGCGCACCACAAGCATATGCCGCAGCTATCTCTCCGCTCGAATGTCCCACCACAGCCACTGTGAGACGCCCCAGTTCCGTATAAGATTTACGATGACCAGCTGAATGGCCGTACAGAGAGGCTGCGCGAATTCTGACTCATAGAGACGACTGGTATTTGATGGCTTGAGAAGCTCCTCTGGTAACATTCGTTAGGAATCATGAACGCAATATGAGGCGACGCGGTAGATCCGTACCTCGTATAGTCCACACAGGGACTCGGTCCTAGCCCAGCCCTGAGAGTGCTTGGTCCATTATGTCGAGATCCCCCAGCACTGCGGGAAAATCAGCAACCAGTTGGGACCCCATGGTAGCCCACTGAGCTCCTTGGCCGGTGAAAACGAAGATGACTTCAGGGGCTCGGGCTGGGATTCGCGCTGGAGGAGAGAACTCTGGTGATGAGATGCCATCAGCAACGGCGAAAGCCCGGTGCGAAAGGTGCTCTCGGCGAGTATCCAGAGTGTACGAAACATCGTCAATGGCTTCTGGATTCGCCTCGAGGAACTGTGCATATCTGCTGGCTCCCTTTCGAACTGACTCCACATGATTTGCAGTGAATGCTAGTAACCTTGGCCTCAAGGCTGGACCACCCCTACGACTGTGTTTACCGACGCCAAAGGACTCCGCCGAGTCCAATACCACATGAGCGTTAGCCCCACCGATGCCGAACGAGTTGATACTCACTCGCTCGCGGCGATCTTCAGGCCAAGGGGTGTTCTCGATGGGGACTCTAAGGCCGGCTTGTTCGAAGGGGACTATGAAAGTCAGCATATCTTAAGCGACAGCTTGTACAAAACATGAATAACTTACTATCAGAGTTTGGCTTGCTAAACTTGATGTTCGGCGGTATCGTCTTGTGTTCCAGTGCCAGGATGCATTTCATGAGGGACGTGAGCCCCGAAGCACCCTCAGAGTGGCCTAAGTTTGGCTGAGAAGAGATTAGAGATCTTCCGAGCACGGCATGAGAACAACTCTGCTCTCACCTTCACTGAGCCAATGTACACGCCTTTCCCGCCGAAAACATTGGCAACAGCTGCGGTTTCGATTGGATCTCCCGTGCGAGTTCCTGTCCCATGACACTCCACAAACCCTGTCTGAGTGAAGTCTCGGATCCCGCCAGCAAGGTAGCATGATCTAATGAGTGCTTCGTGACTCTCGCTACTAGGGTGTGAGATCCCTGCGGTCTTGCCGTCGCAGTTGCTGGCCGTCGAACGAATGACAGCCCGAATAGGATTCTTGTCTCGGAGAGCATCGTCAAGCCGCTTCAGATACACCACTGATACCAAAGAGATTAGCTAAGCTTTTAGACCCCCCTCCGCTCACTTTCGTGTGTGGGGTTTTAATGTAGGGCGAAAGAAATGCTTTCAAAGAAGACGTATGAATTATGACTGCATACTGTTGACAGCTTCCGCGCGGGCATATCCGTCTGCTTCGGCGTCGAATGTGCGGCAAGAAGCCTGGGGGCTCAAGACACCTTGCCGAAGCAATGACTCCGTTGCTGTTCTAGTAACCCAACATGATATTGTGGTCAACATCCAAAACAGAGTCTTACATGCTGGGCTGAGGATCAAATTACAGCCGCCAACAACCGCAGAGTGCAATTTATCATCTTGAACGGCTTTCACCGCCAAATGAAGACCTATCATTGCCGCTGAACACGCGGTTCTGATGGTCATGCTGCGATGGATGAGCCCCAGCTCACTGTAAGGGGTGTCTGGGTGGTACTCACCTAGGTCCTTTGAAATCGTATTCGTATGAGACCCTGTTGCTGTGCATGGCGTCTGCGTGGCCGGTTATCTTGTAGACATGTGAGTCCAGCGTGTCCCTGGACATTAACTCCAACCAGTCATCACCCCATGACCCAATATAACATCCAATGTCCTTGCCGCGCCAATTCACTTCGCCGGCGTTCTCAAGACACTCCCTTGCAGCCAGTGGTCAGTTTCGTCTTGCGAGGTAACGCCGCGGCTTGGGGCTGGCCTCAGCTTTGAACAACGTACCGTGTTACTTCGAGAAGAAGACGTTGCTGAGGGTCTATCCACTCAAGCTCCTTTTGCGTCATAGAGAACAATGGGGCATCAAAGTGGGCAAGGTCGGCATCTTTCAGCATGTAACCGTAGGCCATACCCGGGACGCCCGCCGAAGATGGGATACCGCCTTTCGACTCATCATTGGGCACTGACCAATTGCTCTTCCCCTTAGTACCACCGAAGAAGCCATCCACATTGTACCGGTCCGCCGGAATCGTGTCACGCGCATCTCCTTTGTTCACAAGAAAATCCCAGAGTTGCTCTTCGGTGCTGATGCCGCCTGGCAGTCTCATGGCCATGCCGCAGATAGCCACAGGGACTGGGATGGGACTGCCAGAGCTTTCTGAGGGCACACCGAAGTCATGCCGGCAGGACGAAGTAGGCTCCGGAGCTTGGGTGCCATTAGGCAGTCCTTCGGTCGCGGTGTCGTCCCCGGAAAGCTTCACGTGGGCGTCCCTCTGAGGCATATCGACCAGTGCTGGTGAGACACTTTTGGGATGGAATGGCGATGCCATGATTCGAGCTTGTCCAGGAGAGATAGAGGCAAGAATAAACAAGCCAACGGTTGAACGAGTACCAGACCTGTAACTTAGCGGTAGAAGGCATCAAGGTTTAGGTTAGAGAAATATTATTTCTCTCATTTGTGACTACTCGCACTTACTTCTTCGTCCGCATTGCCCTGAGGGAGCCTGCGCTGTGTAACTTGGTTACCTGTCGAGTTCGTCCGCCCGCGATCATCGCAACCTTCCTCTCCAGCGCTAGGTATGATCGCATAGAGGCCCATCGCTTTGTCCTCACTGGACACCCTGGCAGACCGTTGGTACTTCAACCCGGCGTGTAACCCGGACCCATGCTGCCGCAGATCAACCAACTAAATCTCAATTCTGTTGTGTATCCCGAAGGTGGGTGGCATTGCCGTTGGGACTCAGCTTCCGGGCGGGTTTGGATCCAGAATAGACAGGACTTCGTCACCAGTTGTGATGTGACCTCTCGCATGCTTGATCCGCGCTCAAGAATGGCCAAAGGGGCCGGCCCGCTTAGAGCCAACAGCATGATTTCGGCCGCGTACCAACGGCAGCAACACAGCCAATGTTGTAACGCATTTTCTGTGCCCCGTTAGCGAAGGCGGGCTACGCCGCCCCCAGGCCGGCTCGCAAACCAACACGCAAGGCAGATGTCCTGATTGGTACGACTAGCCACGGTTCGAGTGATTAATATGGTTCGCACCCAGCCATCACACGCTGTCTTGACGACCATCTCCAAATCCTACCCTCTGTAGCTTGGGTGCTGATCCCATGGTGGTTATCAGGCTCGGTCGAGCCGCATGCCTGCCTACATTAATCACATCTGCAGCTGCCTCAGATAGGAGCGTGCCGCGCCACTTACTCACCTTTTGGTCCAAGTCTACATACGCACTTCGGTCCAAGGTATGGCTGGCTCCTACAGTTGGCCGGCTAGTCTCAATGGTTTGGGTCACCTGTCCCGCATCTGATAGCAGGTACTCTCGGTCCCGGTGCGTCGGCTGTACGATGACTTCGGCCCCCAAGGGAGAAGAAGGCTCTCGGCCCCTTCAGCGCGTTCTCCATGATGCAGTTAAACGGAAATGCAGTCATCTCATCTACCTCGCGTCAATGATTGAACCGTGCTTGCCTTAGGACGTGGGATCTCAGCAGCAAGTTTCCGGGAGGTCTACTGCTATCCTTCGAAAGAACACAATCATTGCAAGAACTCTCAAATTGACTCCGGTATCAAGTGACATGCTCGGCTGAAGCGTGATTCAGCGGGTCTTTGATATTACATGTACGAAAGGGACATCGAGTATAGAAGGTCTCGTGGATAGACATGACACAAATGGCCTCAAAGATGCGGTTTAATCTGCTCTTCCGTCCATTCCCAAAACTTCTCTGCTGTGCCAGTACCACCTACCGGTACTTCCGTCGCCGACTTGGACGCAGCCAAGATATCAGATCGTACGGTCTGAAACCGTCCCCATGGAATCACTTAGTAGCGGCATCAGCTGGGGGACGTGATCTTTTAGAGGGCCGCGTAAGAATCTACTTACCCCATTGGCCTGTTCGCTCAATAGTTACATCCGGAGACAGCCCGGCGAACAGCAACGTGTATGCCCCCTTGATGGTAGGGTGCAGTAGGAGAAGCTTGAAAACGGCATGTTCCAGTCTAATGCCAGCGTTTGGGTCAGTGCCTATTCGGAACACGTTTCCAGGTAGGCTTCCAGTCCTCTTACCTGCCATTACGTGTGTGTTTAACACTCATCATTGCTGCCAGAAATGCTCGACATCGCCTCTCAGATGGTACTGAAATGGGCCCGCTTTGGCCCTACGAATCCCATCAACGTCGTTCAGGATTTCACTCGCCTGACTATTGACACCATCGCCCTGTGAGTCGGCGTCTAATTGCACTTCTTTGCCGGTGTGGCCTGCCGCCCCTTGCTTACATACACTCAGCTGTGCCATGGACACTCGATTCAACTCATTCTACATGAATGAAGTTCCGCCCTATGTCGAGGCTATGGTGGGCTTGCTCAGGGAGTGCCAGCAACGAACATATCGACCATGGTGGTACACTGCCCTCTGGCGGGAGGCAAACCAAAAGTACGAGGAGAACAAAAGGCATGTCCATCAAATTGCTGCTGATGTCATTGCTCGTCGCCGGGCCAATCCGTCCTCCGACAAGAAAGACCTCGTCGATGCTATGCTCAACGGTAGCGACCCTAAGACGGGGAAGAAGCTCACAGATGAGACCATTATTGACAACATGATCACTTTCTTGATTGCCGGTACGGTCTACCACCTCTTTCTCCTGGACCTCGGTCAATTCCATGTATTTGGGAGATCCACGCTGAGTTGTCATAGGACACGAGACAACATCGGGGTTGCTGTCATTCCTGTTCGCTCTGCTCGTCCAAAACCCAGAAGCATACATGAAGCTTCAGAATGAGGTCGATATCGTGCTCGGTGCAGAACCCATAACAGCGGACAAGCTCAAAGACCTACTTTACACGAAGGCATGCTTGTGGGAGACGTTGAGGCTTCAGCCCCCATCTGGAGTCTGGACCGTGACGTGTATGGAGTCAGACCCCTCGGTACCAGTAGTGCTGGCCAACAAATGGGAGGTCAGAAGCGGGCAGACTATGATAATCGTCAACCCGAAGCTACATCGAGGTAAGTCCGAGCCTTATATGTAGACTCGCACAAGCTTGCGTCAAGTAAGTGATGATAAACTAATGGCTATTGCAACATGATATAGACCCGCACGTATGGGGCGACGATGCTGAAGAATTCAGGCCCGAAAGGATGCTGGGAGAGAACTTTACCAAACTGCCCAAGAATGCCTTGAAGGTAGTAATAATTCCCCTCCCCCCATTACACGGCTGTCGAACGCGGCTGATAGACAGCAATAGCCATTCGGAAACGGACAACGAGCATGCATTGGTAAGTACCCCACTATGCCCGACCTGCTCCTGCTCCTGGCCTGACCATGATGAACAGGGAGAGCGTTTGCCATGCAAGAAGCCACTCTGGCGTCGGCGCTACTATTCCAGAAGTTCGACTTCAAGCTGGTGGATCCCGGCTTCAAGCTCTCCGTTCAGCAGAACCTGGCTCTCAAGCCCCATGAGTACTTCATGTACGCCAAGCTTCGTCCACAAATCGACATCATGTCTTTACAGCGGGACCTCTTCAGCGCTGGCTGATTTGGAAGCTCATGGGCGAGCGGCAAGCGTCTTGGCTTCTACGTGTAGTCCATTAGTGAGAGAGGTGCGTTGGTCAAGCCACTCACCATGAAGCCGATCTTGAAGCGCACGACCTTGAAGCGCAGGCGCAGCAGGGGCTGAGTTATGAAGAGGCAAGACGAGTCTGCGGGCCCAGACGAGGAGGCACCCCCCTTCCCATGGGCAGGAACATTCACGTGTGCCCCCTTCCCTTTTCAGTATAGCATCTCAGGAATTGGATTCGACTCTTTAGGAATTAAGTAGTACCCATTGCTTGGCGTCACTAGGTCGCTGGGAGCTTACCCAGTGTTGTGCGCGTGACAACGAAGTAGACGATCAGGCCGTGACGATGTTGCAGAAAGGGGTGATGTAGTGAGGCCTAGACATCATTAATAGAAAACACGCCGGCCTAGCCGGTATAGATTCTGCTCGGTATCTGCCCCTTTTGACATGTTTGCCTCTTAGACAGGGTGATGATGCTTTCATGGGTATCGAACATTGGCCAGGAGAGGTTTGACTCAGTGTGTGCTTTGCCGGTGTCTGAAGTGGCAGCGATCACTTCGCCACGCACTGCGCACCGTCGTGGTGAAGGGATACGGAGTGTTGATGCCACCAGCATGGGTGCAAACCCGTGTCCCGAAGAAAGGATTGGGGTGAAGAAGCGCAGGCAAGCAAATTACCCTTACTTGATCGGCGTCCTTGATGTTGGTAATGCGTAGTCGAACATCCTTGGACGAGAGACCCAGGCCACGAAAACAGCAGCGATATTTCTGCGGTGATCGATGACTAGGGAGCTCCTTGACACATGACGGCAGTATCCTGCCAGCGCAGAAGCAAGGTTCAGACTTAGAGCGTGGTTGAGATCTGTGTGCCTCGAATCGAGGGGAAAGCAAGCCCTATATACTTTGTCCTTTCGAGTACCGATACCCCTTCTGAGTACCTTCGCGCCAGTCTATGTATGTATATGCGTTCAAGTCGTACATGTTATAGATATACTCCAGAGCCCAGAGTCCAGAGCCAGATGAAGCCCTCACTGTCCAGCGTAGCTATATATACCATCATAAACCGTCCCAAGCCAGCCCTCGACAGCACCCCCTCTCGCCACGACGCCCAATCCACCAGCGGCCCACAGCCCGGCCACCGCGACGGCCGCGCCCTGGATCCCCCACCACACGCGCCTCCGCCGCCGCCTGACCTTCCTGTCGACCGTCGTCCGCCTCCAGTCCCGCGGCGGCGCGACGTCCATCCACCACGCCCACCCCCAGACCATGTGTCCCACGCCAGCGGATATGAGTATCGTGTACGCGATCCACGACTGGACGGCGTCCCGCGCGAAGCCGTGCGACACGTACTGCAGGCCGATGTTGCTGCTGTCGCCGTCGACGAGGAGGGGCAGCACGCGGTTCATGCCCACGTGCGCGGCGAGCACGCCGGCGAAGACATATCCCGAGATCGAGATGTAACTCAGGGGCGGCCATGCACGAAAAGACGATATCGAGGATGAGGACGAGGTCGACGCGGCGCTCTTGGACCGGTTCAGCGGCCACATGCCGGGCGTGGCGCCGCCGCCGTAGCGTTTGATGTTCTGCCGCCGGCGGACCAGGCGGATGGCGAGGCCGGAGGCTACGTGTGCGAGCACGGGCAGGCCGACGAGGAGCGGTTCGCCCAGGCGCGTCTGGTAGAGCTCGCGCGCCATGAGGAGGTAAGGTTCGGAGTAGGGGACGGAGCGGTAGATCAGCGGTATTACGGACGTGTTGGCGATGTGCAGGCCGGCGAAGAGGGTGAAGGTGTAGCTGGAGTAGCGCTGGATGCGCGAGACTAGATTTCGCAAGAGTGAGCATGGTTACTTACTACTCCGGTGAACCGTGGGTTGGTAGAGTGTGAAGCAAGCGAGAGGAGGAGGCTCTTACGGTAGTATATAGGTCCATGGCCATGTCCGCTGAGGCCCAGCGACGAAGACGACCCCGTCGGTGTGGACGAGGGTGCTATTGTGGACGTGGATGATTCCATAGCTTCATCTGGCAGATCGGGAAGCTCCTTCTCCTTGGTTGAGTCATTGTCCATTGGCGAAGGGTCCAGCTGTAATAGGGAGACCAAGGTCTCCTGCGAGGCGTTGGTGTGTAAAGAAGCAGAGTCGGACGCCATCTCGGCGGCGTAGAAGCTCGCGATGTGAGATGGAGCCGAAGCTTTGGTTGGTACAGAGCTTCGTAGGTGATCGGTGAGGTCACAATTATTCCAGCAGCAGGCCGGTCGGCAGTCGCTGCCAGCTGCGGCCGGGGCCAGAGCTCCTGCCCCGCGACAGCCCCCGTACCTGTCTGCCTGCCTATCACGACCATAGTATTACACACCACCAAGACGAATAGTGCAGTAGCGACAGTCCATCGTACAATACCTGCGACTTGCGAAGAATATCATAGTCAAGATGCCTCCGGTAAGCCCCAAGTCACCTTTCCCCATGCTGTCGGCCATCTCCGCGAGGCCCTACACGGCTCTACTAACCCGCGCTTGCGAACAGCGACACCAGACCCTCCCGCCCGCGCAGACGTCGTCAGCGCGCGCCGCCATGCAGTCCTTCTACTGCGACCTTTGCTCGAAAGGCTACTCGCGGATGAACGACTACGAAGCCCACCTGAGCAGCTACGACCACAGCCACCGGCAGCGCATGAAGGACATGAAGCAGATGGTCAAGGACCCGACGGCCGGCGCGCGAGCTCGAAAGGCGGAAGCCAAGGCCGACGGGCTGATCAGCATCAAGCTGGGCGATGCCGGCGCGAATAATAACAACAGTGCTTCGGCCGCTGGTGGTGGTGGCTTCAAGAAGGGCGGGTTCAAGAAATCGGGCTTCAAGAGCGCCTTCGCACCGCCGGTCGCGGAAGACGAGGCCAAGGATGAGAAAGAGAAGGAGAGGGAGAAGGCTACGATACCGGGCAGAGAAGAGAAGGCTATACTGAGGGATGAGAACGTGGAGAGCGATACGGACGATGAAAGGTATGAGGTCTACAATCCGCGATTCCCTACAGAGTGATCGAACCTACGGTGACGAGGAGATATGATCACGAGCACGAATATTGCACTACGACGGCTCGCACGATGCCGACAGCAATGTCGCAAGACCCTCCAGACGAGTAGCGAGGTCATCCCATATACGGCGAACGAGCAACTGGCTGCACGGTTTGGAGAGTCACGAGACGGCGCGAAGAGAGATGGTCGTCGTGGACACACATATCCCGCCGAAGGCATCATATCAGAACTCGCCGAGTCGCGCGGAAGAAGCTAGAGGAGAAGTAGGTAGCTAGTAGACCAGATGTCGAGCATGTAAGCCGTGTCTACCTAGCCGTGAGGCCACAGGCCAATACAGGAGCGAGAGATTCGTGCACTGCCATGGATTTGCATTGTACCTGCTATCAATACATGTGTCTAGCCTCGGCGGTATCTTGGTCCATATTCACGCGCCCAGCTTCGTTCACTTGCACCTTCACAGCTTTAACAGCAGTACGGCAGGGCGCCGGAAGACCTCACCCTCTCGCATCCTGTGTAGTGTCGCGGTGCAGCCGCAATTTTTTCCCACATGCAGGTCAAGGATACGCAACCAACGAGTGTTATGCATTTAGTGAGGAGTAATCTGAGTGTGGGTTTTGGCTAGCAAGATATTCTTCCTCAACACGCTCCACGAGGGAACGAAGCTGATGAAAAACGAATATCTCCAAACGAGATTTGAGTTACAAAAATTCTCTACCCGGCCGAAGCCAAGTAGAAGTGGTCATGGTTTAGTTTTCAACTAGCAAAAACACGCACTCGGATTACTCCTCACTAAATGCACAACACTTGTTAGTTGCGTATCCTTGACCTACAGAATGTGCGTATGACAGGGTGAAGGTGTTTGGCAGCAGTGTTTGAGGGTGATGGGATAGGGGATTTGGGTTGGGATGTTGAGACTTACCTGTGACGCGTAAAGCCCGTGCACTAGGATAAAGAGCAAGATCAAAGAGCAATCCAAATTCGGAGGGGGAGAAATTTCTTTAAGTATTGCTTCAGGGCGGTGACACAATCAGCCAGGAATTCTGCCGGTGGGGCAGGCCGTGCTTATTGTGGCCAGGCTGCCAGAGTGGCATTGTCCCAGTGCTGAGCTTTCTGATTGGTTGAGCTACCGTCAGGCTTCAGCCAATGAAAAATCTGCTTTTGTGTCGAATCTTTTGATTGGCCGAACCTCAATCAGGTTGCAGCCAATGGACAACCTGCCTTTCAAGTTTTGACCAGCTGCACTCGCCTGCCACGGGCTCCCAGGGCTGCCAGGCCAGCAGCACATGCAGACGGTTCATGTCAGGAGACATCACTCAGAGGGATCTCGGTTTGGCTACAGGTAGATTAGAGCAGTGATCATTCGCAATCCATCTGTTGTGTGTCACGTCCATAGAATTACAGCCTACCTCAGCGCACGGTACCTGCCGTACGTGTTCCAACCGCAAGTCAGAATGTCGCATCTACAGCGCCTCAGTCAATGCCCCCCGGGAGCCTGATATGATTATGGTACCGCAAGCCAACGACTTGGCCGTGTCGAGAGATGGCACGCAGCTCCATGATAGTCCCGTTGATCAATAGGCACTTCTCGTCCACTCGGCCGTTGCGTGCGCACTGGCTCTTGCCGCGTGTAAGAGATTGTGGCCGTACCAAAGAAAACGTCTCTTAGATGGTGGGCAACGGATACAAACGGGGCTCACTGCAAACGCAAGCGATGGCAGATCTATGACTGTACCTGTATATGAATGTTTTATGAACTAGATAAATAGTCGTGTTACGCCTTTCGCTCCAGCTCGTCTAAGGGGAACTCTTCACCAGCTGTTCCGACTAGATCCTTACAGTATATATTCCAACAACTCACCAGGACTTCAACGACGACTTGACATCCGGCTCATTATCATCCACGCTGGTTGAGGACATTTTGCTTCTTGGCCTTAAGTACTTGACTCATATTTTTCCAAGGTTACCGGGAAGTACGACAATGCTGCCCAGTACATCGTCCGAGTCTACGAGTCTCGTGGCAATGAACTTCTACCTTATTATGAACATGGAGCTGTCGTGGACAGTTCCGATAATTCCATTTACCTGGACGTCGAGGCCACAATCGCCTCCTACCCAGCAATTTCGCAGACCAGTTCGGACGGCATCCCCTTCAATCTGAACCCCTGGGACCCTATTGATGATCTGAAGGCCTGGATACACGTCGACCCACGTCATTCCGCCTGGTTATAACCGCTCCGAGAATATTCTACTTTGGCACATCTTCCCCAAAGCTTTCGTCTAGGTCTTTGGTCGTGGCCTCCGGTCAGAAGAAGGAGGCCAAGGAGGCTATCTACAAGTCAGAAGAGTTTGTCGTCGACTCTGAGACGTCCAAACATGATGACAACCATGTCCCATTTGTGGACGGAGAGACTGCTGCTGAGACTGAGGAGCGCCGACAGCAAAGTGAAAACGCTAGCTTTAAGAAAACCTTCACACCGACGTCTGTGCCTTCTTCTCAACTGTGCAGTGGTTAGGTTCCTTCATCCAGGTGGACATAGGCAGAGTATACCTCCCAGTGACTCTAACCGAATACATGGTGCTGATTTTTAAGTGACGTCTCGTCTTCATATCAATATTTGCGGCTCCAGGACTCCAAAGTTCCGTCAATGGCCAGGCTTCCAATAAAATTGGAGGAACATAACGAACGAGATCTGCTGGAAACTATAGTCTGTGGGCAGGCTGCACAGTGTCCTTGGTGGAGGTATCCCGGCTTTCCGGAAAACAGTTCGCGTTGTTGTTGTCATCATACTATCTAGGAAATCTTCGGGGGATATGCTAATATAGAGTGATCAAGGCGTACTGTCTGTGCCGTGTCCTTAACTCCATAGCAAACCAATGGCCCATTATATAGAAGCCATAGCAAAGGCCTCTGTCCGCCTACGCCGGGTGACCAGTAGCCCATTGCATAATGAAATGCTTGTCTCATGCCTGCCTGATAGTGCCCAAATCAAGACCGTAACGCCCAATAAACTCATAGTTCTCGGCCAACTTAGCTAAGCCCAGTTATCCTTAGTATGCCCCATAGCTCAGTAGTTAGAGCTTAGCTAGCGTCTCATGCTTCGTCGTATTTGAGTACTAAATACGTTGTAGGACAGGACAGGAGCGGCCTCCCAGTTACCTTCTTGAAAGCAACCTTTCATTTTAGCAGCCGAATCCTGGTCTATATAACCCAATGACCCGTGATACATGTCCCCCTGTTCCGAGCAAGCGAGGTTGGCGTAGAGGTAGACGAGGGGACCGGCAGGGACATTCACGACCTCGTATGAATTCGCACTTTCGTCTTTGTGGAATGTGGTGCACTTTTCATCTCCTTCGAACCTCGTTATCTTATGCTGACAGTTGTTGTCCTTGTAGAAGTTGATTTCGGTGGAGCTTGTTGACGAACGATGTCATCCTTTGCAAAAGCAAGAACATGAGCAAAAGCGATGAGCGACGGCGAGAGCTTCATGATTGGAGGGTTCGAGTTGTAGAGAAAGTTGAAATTGCTATTGGTTGTATGTTCAGTAGTAGTGTAGTGTAAGAGCTGTGGTATGACGAGCGTTATATGAAGTCAGAGGAGGACAGAATAATCCGAGCAAGCGTCGGTAGTACATTTATATCCCTTTGAGTCTAAGTGGCCACCACCTTCGGGCAGATCAAGGCTTCAGAGTGTGAACCACGTCGGATTTTCGGCGGATTACGTGGGTTCCCCACAGGGACGTTCGCAACTGCCTACTGATTCCTGGACATTCATCGGCGTACGGTTCGTACCAGTTGAATGGAACCGCGTTGGTTCTTGCCATGGGTTGGGATTCCGGTCGGATTCATTTGAAGTTTTGGAAGATCATGAAGGAAATGGAGGATTATATGCGAATCCTGGTGGCATCGACTATTCTTACGAAATTAGGCTTGGGTTTGATCGTCTCTCGGGGGTATGGGCCGTGTGTTGGATGGTTAGGAGTCCCCGCCACTGTAGTCCGTATCAACGTTTCCGCTATTCCCGGAGATTCCTTCCTTCAGCATCCTTACCATCATCAATCGAAACAATTGGCGGAGAGAGCCCCAGAGGGTGGCTACAGCCGTGCGTAACCCCTATTGGCCCCTAAATATGGCCACGCGGTCAGGGGCAACGTCGGCGCTCGGGGCCCCATACTTCCGTGCCCAATCGATGCCCCGGGCACGTCGGCGCTCAAGGCCCAATCTGTCCGTGCACGATCAATAGAAAAAGCTCTTACGAACCGAAGGAGATGCTACCATGTCGGATCATCCAGGTCGGCAGCGGCAGAGCTCAGGAACGGTGATGTGTTCGGGAGGTCTAGGATAGCTGGTCCCTGGCAGCCTACCTAGGTAGATAGTAGGAAAATCACACCTAAAAACGCTGTCAGAGGCCCACACATATGACAAAACCCTACCCCTTTTCGACCAGGTGTGACCAACGCAGGGAGGCAGGCATCCCACATCCCACATTCTGACACACATCTTGGAATGCAATATAATATTCGTAATCCTTGTTATGGCCCTTGCTGGAAAGTCTACCCAGAATATCCTTTGCTTTCCGGTACTCCGTCCTGTCCGTAGCCTTGCGAACCCTGTCCATAACCTTATAATTCTCGTATAATTGCTAGAGCGTTATAACGTCGATTATTAAACGCCTTTATTAATAGTGCCGTGCTTAACAAGGTATTAGTATAGTAAGTATAAGTCTATATAAAGGATTAAGAGAATCGTAAGTACTTTAAGGCGTTAGCAAATAGTTACTAGTATGTAGTAGATCACGTATCTATAATTATAGCCAGCAATTATGCTATAAGCTTTAGAAGTTAAAACGCTTTGTATAACTCTCTTAGATTTAGGAAAGAACTAATAAACAATGTTTATAGTTAAATTAAATGTCAACAACTTGCTATTATTAAATGATTTATTCTTAAAGATAATAATAAATTCGATTCATAACAATAAGTCTTCGTCATTAGCAAATAATCCGTTAACGAATATAAAAAGTTTAGCAATAAATAGATTAAGCGTTAGAAATCGAAGTCTACGTAACTTATTATTGAGTTACAACTAAATGCGTTTGTTTAACATTTCGAAATTTTTATCGGAAGGTTTTTAAGCTTAAGCTGCGATAAAATAGTCTAATGCGGCTTTTAATTAATAAATAAAATCAATATAAGCGCTTTTTACTCGTTGCTTAATAAATAATCCTTGTGACGGCCTGCACGGACCTTCCCACATAACAAGCTGATACCTCTCAATAAGGGAAGGATCTGACCAGAGGATCCTCTTAAAGGGACAACCTCCCGCTGTACCTATCTTTCTCTCTCTTTCTTTCCTTTCTAGTCTTGATATTCTCGTCAATAGAGTAATAGCTGCTTGTTGCAGGCCATGTCCCAGCTCCCCAGTACACTCGCCGTGACAATCCTTATCCTTTATATTAATAAAGACGAGCTTATTAGCTTGTCTTTTTAAGTCGCTGTTATAATCTTAGTTTAAAACTCTAGGCAGTATTTATTAAGTCGCTAAAAAAACAGTATTTGACTAGGTTCGCGGCTCTGTCTTATAGCTTACTTTTTTTATCTCGGCTTTTTCTTATTTTAAAAAGCCGTTAGTGCTAAAAATAAAAGTATCGTTAGTTTAAAGGGCAGCGATAGTAAAGTTATTGCCTTTTTCGTAATAAATAAATAAAGGTTGTAAGCCTATATCTTTATCTTCAATCCTTTTTATAGTATGCGGAATGTATATTATACTAAAGATTTTTAGCTTTTACCATGTCGTATAGTGGTTTATTGACGCGAAAAATCGTACTTTTTAAATACTTTCTTTCAATTTAATAAGCAGCTTGCATAAAACAAGCCGATTTATCAGGTATTATAACTACGTATAGGCTAGAATAATGTCTTAAAAGCAGCGAGGTATTCTTGCTATTGTAGAAACGAAGTAAATGCTATGGCTAGTCGCTAGCTAGATCGTATAATTGTTAAAACTTAAGTTATAATATCGTACTTTTTATAATCGTTATATATCTAAATACTAAGTTTACTCTTTTCGTAAAGGTGGTTATAAACGCCATTAATAATACGGATAAAACGAGGATTGATTAGTTAAATAGCGCTATAAACTTTGTTATTAAATAAAATAAAAACAAACACTTTATCGGCAAATAAAGAGTTAATTTTAAAGATATTGAATGGCTTCAAAGGTCTTTTAAATGCTATAATCTTACTTTTAATACGCAGTTTTAAAGTAAGAGTATTATTCGCACGTTTTTTATGGAAAAGAAAATGTTATTTACGTTTTATTAAATAAAGGAATTAATAAAGTTCTCTTTTTTACTTATAATCGTAATAACTATATGTATTATGTACGCTTTTTTAAGTCGGCTTCGCGGTCATTTTATACTCTAAAAGGGTTTAAAGAGCGTTTAAGGACGTTTATAACGACGAAAAAGTGTCGACTTTAAATATTTAAACGAAACAAGGGCATCGAGATCGTGAAGCTTATCTGTATTAAAGATTATATTAAGGTAACGGTTATACGGCTTAACATACGTACGGTTAAATAAGGTTAAGCCGTTAATTGTTTTAACGGTTACGTTTCGATCCGTTATTAATAAGACTTTGTACAGGCCTTAATATTTATGTTTTTTACAGTAAATAAGAACTTTACTGCCGATAAAAAGAGAGCGAGGCAGTATTAAGGTTATATCAAGGCCGTTTTTTATATTCAAAGCACTTTAAACGTTTTACCTAGCTCAAAGCTTACGTAGTTTACTTATTGTTTTACCTTAAGCTCAGGCACGTTAAATTTATAATAATGTCAGGCCGAATTTATTATAACACGTAAATAAGCTTTAAAACTAACAGCATTAATATAAGAATATTAAAACTAACTTTATCGTTTACGGCTTTTATTACTATTTATAGTACAGCTTTTCGAGAAATTTTGCATAATTCGGCATAGATAATCTCGTAAGAGCGTCGAATAAAGGTATAATACCGTTGAACCTTGCTAATTAACTAATAAGTTTTAACGGGAATTTAGTAACAAGTGATTTTAGGTAATCGAGTTTGAACTCGGAATTTTATAGCTGTGAAATTAGTACTAACATTGTGCGTTAAAACATTTAAAAGGCTAAGATAAGTGTTAATTTAATATTGTTTTAATGCTTTTTAAGTCTTTTCAGCAAATACGTTGAAAAGGAATTAAACTGCCTAAAATGCTATAGCGGCGTCGACGTGGTAAAAAAAGGGGTTGCTTTTTAAATATATAATTTTAACGATAACTTCGTAGTTAAAATTAATATTCTTTTTAATAAAGAACTTAAACCGCTATAATAACGGGCCTTCAACCTAGTAGTAATAGTAAAACTTTTTAATTATTATAATAGTATTTGGATTAGCTTTATTACTAGATTTCTTTAAAAGCTTATAAAGCTTATTAACGGAAAATTAGTTAAAATATGTGTAAATACGTTACAGGCTAGCTTTATAAGAAATATACCGGTTAATGCTATTGTTTTTGCTAAGAAAAAGAACTAAAGGTGATGTGACGTTTGGATATGTGAATAGAATATAAAACCCCTTGTTTACTATGTACGTATAACTATCTCTGTCTAAAGAGGAAAAAGAAGATCAAGCGGCACAGCCAAATCTGGTGGGCAACTAGATAAGTGTGTTCGCCCCACAATTCAGAACTCTAGTGGGTCTGGGACAACCAGTCGTCCAGGAGGTCACGTGCTGTCACGTGATCCCAGGACCATCACCGATGGTAGCGACGTAGCACCCATCACAAGTGTAATAATAAATAAACGATTTAACTTTTCGCTTAAAAAGCTATTAAGCTTTGAATAAAGCTTTTTATATTAGTATTTACGCCTATTAACTCAAACATATGTTTTCAAAAGGATTATTATAATAATTTAGATGAAAAAATATATGTAAAATAATTGTAAACAGCCTTATTATAATGTTATTTAAGAAGAAATAATTTTCATCATTTTCACATTTTTAAATAATAAACATCATAACTATTTTAAAGTAAATAAAAATTAACAAGAAATTTTTAAAAAAGATGTGAGATTCTAGCAGGGTCACAAGCCTTAGGGGTGTGAGCGGTCGCTGCAAATGTTGTTGTCATTCTCAAGTATGCTCGGCAGGGCTAATCTACAGTTAAATACCATACTGCACCATGCCAGGGTGGATCCACTGTTCCCTTGACAGCCCCCTAGTGTGACGGCCTGCACAGACCTTCCCACATGACAAGTGGATACTTCTTAATAGGGGAAGGATCTGACCAGAGGATCCCCTTAAAGGGGCAACCTCCCACTGTACCTATCTCTCTCTCTCTTCCTTTCCTCTCTAGTCTTGATATTCTCGTCAATATAGTAATAGCTGCTTGCTGCCGGCCATGTCCCAGCTCCTCAGTACGCTCGCCGTGACAGACATTAGCCCGACCAACACTGGTTGGTCTATCAGGGTGGCAACCAGGCGGATTAGGGAACAACTGGAAAAGGCTGAAGTGCTGGCAGAAGAGATATTAACACGCTTCTCAGATCACAACGACCTGGACTATGATCTACTGGAAGGGTGGGAGCCCTCTGAAGCCAAGCTCTACTGGGACATTAAGGTGTCTTTGGAAGAGGTCGAGCAGTATACTGTCGGGGTTACCAGCACCTCCACCGGCGTAGACGGGATCACGGTGAGGCTGCTCAAGGGAACACATCAAGGACGCCGTACGCGAAGTTTTCGGGCTCTGCTTATAATTACGGCACTTCCCCGCAGCCTGGCGGGATGCAGAGGTGTCAATGATCCCTAAGGTCAGGAAAAAGGACCACTCTTCGGTCCGATCTTGGCAGCCGATTGTACTACTCTCTTGCCTCAGCAAGGGGCTGAAACGGCTGCTAACAAAGCGAATGGCCTGGACGGCGCTCTCTCAAGGTATCCTCAGTACCCAACACGGGGGCGTGCTGCCTAAATGGTCATGCATGGACCTCATTCTGTCCTTCGCCCACGAGGTTGAAGCGGCACTTGCTAAGGGACTCAAGGTCTCTCTTATTATACGGGGCCGTAATACAGGCAGCTTCCAATGCTCTAAAACCAAATTATAGCTAGCAGCTTGCTTGCTACCCCCTATATAGCGGCCCTTATTGGTACTGCCGCGCTTCATACCTGGCTGTAGGATCGATCCAACCGGAGGTATCTACAAGGAGCAGGCTGCCAAGAACTTCAAGACCTGGTTTGAGGCTCTGCTACTACATGACGTGGTGGTCTTCTCAGACGGCTCGAAGGAACGGATGCATGTCAGATACGGCTATGCGATCTAGCAGGGCGGGCACCTGCTCGCCACTGGCAAGGGTCGTCTAAACCCGTGTTCTATTGTGTTTGATGCAGAAGTGCTCGGAGCCTGGAAAGGACTTCAGCATGTGGTCAAGTCACCCCCGGAGCTTAGTCAGCGCCGGATCTGGGTGTGCGTGGACAATACAGGAGCGATCTGGGGGCTCTGCGGCAATGCCGCGGTGTTCTGCCAGTGGGCCTACCTGAAGTTCCACGCCGAGGCTGAAGTCCGTAATGTCAACGTCAAGTGGTGCCCGGGTCAAGTGGTGCCCGGGTCAAGTGGTGCCCGGGTCAAGTGGTGCCCGGGTCAAGTGGTGCCCGGGTCAAGTGGTGCCCAGGGCACTGCGCCGTTGAGGGCAATGAACTGGCAGACAAGCTGGCTAAGGCCGGCTCTAAGCTCTCCAACGTTGACTCCGACTGTACGCCGACGGCGTACAGCATTAAAGCAGAGGCGAGACTTAAACTCGAAGTCTCGCGTAACATGTGGTGAACCAAGGCCCAGATCAAGCTGTCAGCCCGCTACAAATACTAGGACCTGAAGTACAAACTGCGCTGTCATAAGGAGCTATAGGTACTTAATAGGCCGTTATTACACCGCTTCCTCGCTGTCCGCTCAGGACATGGCGACTTCTCTTGGTATCATGTCAAGTTCAAACATCAGGACGTCGTCCTCGACTGCTCGTGCGGCTGGAGCAAGACTCTGACGTATTTCATCCACTGCTGGAAGACTTTGGCACGGTACATGGTCTGGCCGAGGGCCCCGGCATCCCGGCCGGAGCTCGGAACCAGGCTCGAGTATCTAAACGAACTTATGACTACCCCACGGGAGTACATGGACCTACTCGTAGCTATCGACTTCTACGGCAGCATCTGCCCTCCTCGCTAAGGGCATACTCACTCTTTCCTTCTGTTATGGCGTCTAGGGGCTTTATCTTTCTATTTTTCTTTTTTAACGTCTCACAGGGCGCGTAATAACCACTGCGGCATGCCGCAGCATCTACTATAAGCTCTAAGAGCACTGAACCTGGCGTTGCGCCCTGAAAACTGAACATTTGGGACCCCAGCCGATACTTCCCCTCACCCGGAGGAGGGGGGACACGGTGTGATCCGCCGCTTAAGTGTGGTAGCTGTTTACGGACTTGACCTGCTAGATGGGCAGTGTATGTACATAGAAGACCTAGCCTAGCACACCTGAGCGGCCTCTTGGAGCCCCTGGTTGACGCCGCTACGCGGCAGTCCCCCCGGCGTTAAATGCTACAACAACAACAACAACAACAACAACGACGGGCTTGTGATGGTATCGACTAAACTCTCTTCGTAGAACTGTTCGAATACATAAAAGCATTTCGACTCGCATTTGTACGCTTAAGAACCTATGGGAGGCGCTCCGTGAGACCGAGTGAGGCGAGAAGACCACACGAGCTTCTTCTGCGAGCTTTTAAAGTTTGACTTCATAACGTCGCTGGGCGGGCTCAGACTTGATAAGCTCAGACGCGGCGACCTCGGACTACAACGCGAGAGTCGAGCATCTCGAGATACGGCTGCAACTTTTCGTACAGAACCATCGAGAAGCAGAAGAACTTGTCCGAACAGTCGCGACGGTATTTCCGTATGGTTCCCTTTGGAAATTTTCGATAGCGCGACCTAGCGTGACTTATACCGTTTAGTTTAGTTAACGAAATTGTCTGAAATAGTCTGGTTGAAAAGGCTGTCCACCATGTGGCGTACCAGGAGGCTGACCACGCATGTACTGCTGGGCCTGTCCGCCATGTTGGCCAAGGCCAGACTGTCCTTGCCTGTTGAAAGAGGGCTGTATTTGTCCATTATACCTAATAGGAGGCGGTCCAGGCGTGTGCTGGCCAGCTGCGGAATGCGGACGGTTCAGCCAAGACAATGCTGGACTGAGAAAACCCGAGATATAGCTTTTGATCTTGGGAGAGGACGTTGCCTTCTCCGTGAGGGCTGATAGTGATCGTGCATCATCATCTTAACAGTTCCATTGCCAGGTCGTGGAGCCCTGATTGAAGGGGAAGCATACCAGGATCTTTGACATCTTCGTCCTTGACAGGGGACATCTTGAGGGCCTTCTTAATGTTGAGCTTGCGCTTCTTGGTGTGAGTCTCGAAGTCGTCGTCGGAGTCGTCCGCGAAAGCCTTGTTCTTTTTCGTAGTCGAACGGCTGGCAGGTAAGTTCCCGTCTTACACCCTTGACCCCGAGGGGTCTCGTCTGTGTATATCCTCGCGTCAGGTGCGTGCTCCGCCAGCCAGGTCTTTCTTGCGAGAATGTTATAGCGGGCTGTATGCGCACAAATGGGGGTCACTTTGGCGTCATTTTCAAAAGTTCCCTCCGTATGAAATAGGTGTAGCTCGAGAGGCGCTTGCCTTTGCCGTGCTTTTCCCGTAAAGACATATCTTTCGTGGTCATGCCTGCTTCTGGTCAGAATAGCGACATGACTCTCGATACTCTTTTGAACGCGCACTGGGGGTAGGAGGTACACCCTGTGCGTTGGCTGCTTGAGAGGTTCCGTTGGTCATCTCCCTGATCTTTTTTTAAACTTCGGTCTTGTCCTTGCTCGTTTTCGACTTCTTATGTACCTTGGACTCGTCCTGGCTGTCCGACTCATAGATCCGGGATAGCTGTGCAATGCTGGCAACGTGCTTCTGGTACGGCAAGGAACAGGTTTCGAAAGATTATGTTTTGTTTAGAGTGCTGTAACTTGCCCGGCGGGCATGCGGCATGAAGTCGAAGTAAAAACACGGGAGCTCGTAGTTCAGCTCGGAGAACTGGGCACCGGTGAGGATTGCCCGGGGCTTGGGCGGGCCGCGGCCAAAGGTAGGTGGGCAGGATCGGAGAAGCCGTTGAGGGCATTGCGTGATTCGTTGCGGAAGCGGTCCGCGAGGGCGTGGTGGGCTCGCTTTTTCGCCTTTAAGAGCTGCCTAGAGCGACCCATTTTATGGTAGTCGACAGTAGTGGTAGGAGAAAATAGCAGAAGGCTATCCTGAACTGGAGCTGATGATGCATGACCGACTGGTTGAGTGAGTTCTCCAGGTCGCGGGACATGAATTGCGCTCCGGGAATTTAGTCGAGTCTGATATTAATCCATATAGCTCTTAGCTCGGCGATATTTCCCGGGGAGTCCTGCTATTTGCACCTTGTTTCCACTCCTAGCGGGTTAACCATTAAGCTTACGGCTTACTATTAGATCGAGGTTGTCGGTATAGTAGTCGGTGCAATTCTTTATGCAGCTGTTTGTGTAATTGTCGGCGTAGTTTTTGGTGCAGTGGTGTCAAGATAGGGGGCTGTAATGTAGCTGGCTGGCAGGTGGGTTGTGGAGACAAGGTGCATATAGCAGGACTTTGCCCGGACGGGCTTGCCTGTCCGGACCGTGCTAGATCTGCTTCGCCCGTTGATGCACAGTCAAAATGCGCCTGGTTGTGTTCTCGTTTGTGCGGTGGGCGACGAGAACAAGTGGGTTCGAATCCTGCTATGGCCCCCTTCTGACCCAGCTTGTGCGAGTCGATAACCAGCACACGATAGTGGAGAGGCCCCTTATCGCAGAGCCTGATAGCCAAATAACTTGTCTCTATAATACCCACTCCTGTGAGGTTTTTCCCCTTATGATTTTCCTCACCAGCAGATAACAAACACCTACTTCACCCACCAATGCAACATATATCGAACGACTACTGGAACGATGTGTTTACCAGAGGACTGAGGTTCACTGGGTCGCTTTGTCACTGGACAGGAAGTTTTTCTGACGGAATCGTGCTTGGGTATTGACTAAAACCATCTGGTCACTCCAGGTTGGTACCGCTACAGCGAGGATGGGCTCATGTGCGGATCTGAATGTATCTAGACTGACACCTCTACAACCTTGCGATGCAATGGCTCTGGGAGGCGTGGTTTGCCCTATGGAGGGACTGCACCCACGATAAATACAATCAATCAATCAATCAATCAATCATGATGCACAGTCAATGTGGTGGTAAAGATAAGGTCTGTAAGCGTATAGCAGGCGTTGATGAGTCTTGTTTGATCGGCAGTCGTTACTTCGTAGACGGTTAGATTCGCCGGCGTCAGGCATCCTGGGCTGCGCAGCTCGCCTGCCGCTGTTCTCCAACTCGACAACACCCATGACATTTGACCCAGCGCGGGAAGATTTGGAAATCCCGAGAAGGCCAGTCACATATATGCAATATTATCTCGGGGATGGTTCATGGAGAAGGTTGCTGACGACATGGTCAGTGTGTCGCGTCTGAGGGATACGACCATCTTGTGAATCGAGCTCTTCCCGTTCTGGAGTATGTGCGCCTCATCTCGGAGTCATCGTCGGAGTCGTCCGCGAAAGTCTTGTCTTCTTTATAGTCGAACGGCTGGCAGGGGCCTTCTTGATACGGGTTTGCCGTGGGTAGAGTGCACACTGCTACCTCCTGCCTTAGCGTCTGCAAGCCAGCCGTACCTCTTGGAGATCTGGGTAAAAGAACATTGCACAAGCCCCAACATTAATCTTCGACGGGACGGTCAAGACTATCTGTCTCCTAGCACCGTTATCCGCTCGTTGTACCAAGAATTCGGTGTATGGGGGAGGCGGCTGGCTATGATGGGAAGAGCTCGAGCTGGCCATGATTGCCGGTGATGTGATTTCTTTGTTGATGAGGCGTCGTGATCACCTAGGCGCTCTAACCAGATGGATGACCCCAAGGTCATACCGCCGCAACAACGGGGATGGGCCCGTGAGCGGGACTGACTGTACTTATTATCTTGAGACCTCCACAACCCTGCGATACAGAGGCTCTGGGAGGCGTGGTTTGCACTACTGAGGAGCTACCCCCCACGTTAAATACAATCAATCAATCAATTCTTCAGTCGTTCTTTTGTTACTGTCGTCCAGAATTCCTTCGCCACTGTCGTGGGAAGCAAGTCGTTCGTACTCGGCTCGGAGCAGAAGCGATCGCAGATGACGATGGAAAGATCGAATACATCCTCAGTGGCAAGGACCTTGTCGATGCTCTGATGAATGGGCATTGCGCTGAGGCTACCAACTAGTTATGCCACTAGGTACACTTGGGACAGTAGGTACACCCTATTCATTGGCTGCTTGATACTTTCCGTTGACCTTTAGGTCCTTGTTACTAGGTTTGGTCTTGCCTTGCTCATATTGGACTTCGCACACCTTGGCTCGTCCTGGCTGTCCCGCGCAGAAGGATGTCCATGTTACCGTCTATGGGCAGCTGTCGTTGAGGGTTTCCGCTCTGTCTACGCTTCGCAGTAGCTGTACTTGCTCTAGTACGGCCTATTCTTCAGCGATTTGAGTAAGGAAACCCTCAGTGTATGCGCCCCCTAGGTCTGAACCTACCGTTGCGACAACGATCTGCCCGAGTTTCGCACGTGTTGTCCAGGCCGCCATGTTTCGGGCATTTCCGATGAAGCTGGGGTTATCAGTGCGCGTGAGACAAATGATGACAATCCATGCTTCTGAACCTTGGAATCCCTTGGACTTTTGAGGGAACGTACTCGGCGTCGTTGAGCTGAGCAAGGGCGTATCGAGACAGATTGGATCATAGTATCGGGAGAGATAGTGTGAGCATGTGGCTGCCCTTGATGTCCGTCCACCAACAACGCTGGAATCCTAGAGTACTTGGGACAGTCACGAGCGTGAAGCTGGTCCCTCAGAGGGACTGGTGTCGTCAAAATGTCCTAATCTTCGGAAAGCCAGCATCGAAATTACGGCCGATAACGGGCCGTAGACGTACCGGAGCCAGCGGGTTCCGAACTCTTGGCTTTGACCATGGTGCTTGGTGTTCGGAAGTTCTTGGATGTGGGCCGGTAACTACCAGTACGGTCAGGCGTCGTGTGTTAAAACTGTTGTTGGTCTTGAAGATCATCTCCACGGTCCTTTGTCTAAACACTTGAGTGACCTCGCAGCTTCGGGACGTATGTTCTTGTGAGGGTCGTATTATCGAGTGATGAACTGGCCAGTCTATTTGGTTCCGGGCTTGTCCGCGATTTTAGTGTCGATCTTCTGGTCTTGTACTCGGCGAAAGCGAGATAGGCAGTAACCTCAACATCAGCTAAATATTGCCATTTTGTTGTCCTTCAGAGCCTTTCGGGCCAGCAACGAGTACTTCGTGAGCCGTGACCAAGTAGCCATACTTGCTGTTCTTGCGGCTCGGGTGCTTGAGTTTTAGAAGAGCCAGGAAAAGACGGCAAAGCTCTTCTGACTTCGGATCTAAATTCCAGTTCATGTCTTTCAGACTGTAACAAAAGGTACAAACACTCTACAGTTAACAGAGTCGGAGTATTGTAATGCATGTCGAGGGTCATGTGCGCCAGACCTGAGGAATTTTGCCCCTGCAGCTGTGGTGTAAGAGGCAGCGGCGTGTGTTGTTTAGAAGCCAACATCTGTCCCTGGAGGTGCTGTGTAGCAGGCAACGAGGTGTTTGGCTGATTCTTGACAGGGTGTTGCTGGTTCTGGACGGGGTGTTGCTGTATGTGGGATCCAGAAGTCATGGCATGTGCCTGATGTTGCTATGTAGCAGGCTCTGATAGTTGAGCTGATACGTCCTTATGGATAAGGGATGACTGGAGCCTGTTGGCTCTCAGCGGCTGGTGCCACGTCGGTATTTGTTACTGACTTTAGCCGGACCGCTCCCGAAAGAGCGCAGGGTAAAGCATATGTCTTCTGGTGGCCCACCTAACCTTGGATTTCGCTTCTTATTGTGTATGCTTGCTCCTAAAATTCCTCCGTGTTTTGTGACTGGTCGAGTCGATCGTCATCATGCCGGCATTGGTCTTCCTGGGCGCCTGGTAGGACTTCGTCTTCCCAACCCAGCAGATTGAGATGTTACCGATGATGTGGAATCAATTCAGGCTCTGCCGTAGCGTCCGGTTGGAACAGCACGCTTCTGACCTTCGAGGCTGGGAGTCCGGACCACTGGATTCCGATGGATGATATCGTAAAAGTACGGCATGTTCTGACCAAGGTCCGATCGGAGACGGCGTCCGACTCGTTGGCGTGAACATCGCGTTCGCGGGTCATGGATACTCAGTTCGTTATGGAGCCGCTCTGCCATCTCCTGCGAGACTTACAGAACCTGAACAACTGCTGTGGCGAGCAGTCTCTGTGCCGCTTTGATGCGCCGCACTTCAACTCCGTTCAGTTGCGATCTGTATCGGTTTGACATTGCCTTCCAGTTGGGATTGACTGGGATTTGGACTGTCCCTACTGACAAGTTGTAGTGCAGCGTCACTATGCAGCTGCATTCGTGCTTGATCTGCCTGTGTAGGTCGGAGCTGCAGAGTGAATTCTTGAGCGGGACCTAGTTCTTCGACTTGGTTGTGAAAGGCGATGAAGCAATCGACCAGCTAGGTGAGCTTGGTGTCGACGGGTACGCGCTGCGGGTTATACTTATGCTTGGCGCGAACGACGACAAAGACGGAATCGTGACGTCGCTAGCTTCGAGGTGGTCAACGACCTCATAAAGCTTTGCAGAATACTTCAAGGCTGTGTCCGTCTGTGATGCCTGTGTTGCCACTTGTCCAGCCCCTTCGTAGTACTGACTTGTGTTTGGTATTGTGCGATGCTCTACTAGGATTCGTTTGGGTTATTTTTGGCTTGCTTCTTGACGCGCCTTCTGGCTTGGGTATGATAGGGGGTAGCGAACTATGCCGAGGGCTCTGTATAGTAGCCATGCTGTGTGCCTGGTATGCTGTAAGTTACCACATGAAATCGAGGTTGGTGAGGTTACCGTGTTTGTTGTATAGCTAGAAGCAGAGTGTTCTATGGGCTCTGCCTAGTAGCCATGGTGTGCCCCTGGCCCCTCGATGATGCGATGTAGCGGGGAACGAAGTGTGTTCCCGAACGTTGATAGGAAGTGGTTGATATTGGCAGGACGTGATTTCGGCTGGTGGCGGAGGCTGCGAATGTCTCCAGTGCCGGCGTCCACAGAGTCTGAATTCAGGGGTCGAGCTCGACGTCAGGTCAGGGGTCAGGGGTCAAGTTTCAACTTGGGGGGTTGGGAAAGCGGCAACGGGTGCTGTCTGACATGCTGCGATCACTTCTTCGACGTAGTTACTGGCTGTTCCTGCGGGGGGGATTGCTTGCAAACAGTGATCGCCATCTTTTGATCCTCCTGAAACTGAGTCATGTCATCTCTGAGTGAAGAATTATCGTCTTCTACGAGAGGATTTGAGAGCCTGTTCGGATGTGACTGTTAGATGGTTTTCGGGGTGAGAGATGAGTGCTACTTACGTGAGGATTTTGAAGCCTGGTCGAGTATGCCTACCAAATGGGTCTTTGTAGTGAAGGTTTCGTGTTCCAAACCCAGCAGATTGAGAGATGGTATCGATGTTTTGGAATCAATTCGTAGTGAAGGTATAATTGCTTCTTGCGTGAGGACTTGGGAACCTGGTTGAATGACTCCGACGTTGAGATCAATACAGGGATTTGATCTCGCAGTGTGAGAAATGGACGATGGTGCAAGGAACGGACAGAACATAAGAAATGGAGAGAGATGTATAATAGTCGTTAGGTCTCTCAAAGAGGTCTTCCTCGTGTCTAGGAACAGTCATGCTTTCGACATTTAACTGGTCGTGCCGTTGGACCTAAGCCAAGGTCTTTGCCTGGAACTGTTGGTCCTGAGCTGAAACATCTGGTGGAACTGTTGGTCCTGAGCTGAAACATCTAGTGGAACAGGAAGCAGTCCTTGAACTGAAACGGTTTAAAAAGCGGGTTGAAAGGTCTGAAGCGACGGATCCGACTGAATGTGCTTATGAGCCTTTCGTCGATGAAGAGGCAAGACTGCGAGCAGAGGTTCCCAACTGATGTATGGCAATGGCCTCTTGGTTCTTTAGGTATCTTAGTCAGGATGCTACCATTTGGTAGACTCAAACTGGGTGAATGTTCATTGATTATTGTTGTCGAGGTATGACGATCTGTAGATGGACAGTGGTCTGCGGCTGCTGGATTTATGGTTGGAAAACGGTCTGCGGTTGGGGTATGACGGCGTGTGCTTCGGCGGTCGGCCTCCACGCTTCATCTGCATGGCATGATCATCTGCCTGTTGGAGAATCTGTGGCGTAATCGGCGAGGGATTGGTATTGAGCTGTGCGAGCGAGCGCAGTCATCTGGTTTTGTCCTTTTTGCACCATCTTCGCGTAGACCGGCGCGAAGGTGAAGTTCGGTGGGATGTGTGTCCTGCCATGATGGACTTCTGCCAGTACACGGTGATCTTTATGGCACCAACGTCATTCGGCTGCGTTAACCAGACGAGTCCAGTTTGTCTAAGGAGGGTGTCGGTCGTATATGAGTTCGGATCGAAAGTGGCAGCCGGGTCAATGTGAGAGGAGCGCAAAAGGCAATAACAGGCAGATATGTCTGCCGCCTGAGAAAGGGAGATTGGGAAGGTATGTGAGTATGGCCAAATAGCCATCCCGTGTCCCTGATGGTGCTGCGAAGAAGGCACCGAAGTGTATTGCTGATTCTGGCCAGGATGTTGCTGTTCCTGGATAGGGGGCTGCTGACCCTGGACAGAACTCGCTGCGTGTACTGTCCAGAAGCCATGGCGTGGCGCGGATGAGGCACCGTATAAAGTAGTGGAATGTATTGCTGAGTTTAAATAAGTTCTCCTGTCAGCAATCAACGGTCGCGCTGAAGTGGTTTCATGATTGCTTCTTGCTTGCTTGTGCTAAGTGGCTTCCACACGCCACGTCTTCTGTCTTGGGGACGAAGTTATCACCATCGCTAAGATTATGTGCCACTGCTTTCGTAGCCAGCGGAACTCTCTCATTCGCAATTTTTGTGTTCTTCTGTATCGTGAAATTGTCGGCGTACGTAGTCGTCCCAACGCTCCTTCTGCTGCAGTGCGTCGGCAGCCGACTCTGGCGATCACCTTTTGTAGTGGTTAATTACGGAGGGTCTGCCACTGGGGCTAGAAGACTTTGGTGTTGCTGTTTGTAGAACGGGGGCTCTTGATCCTGGATATGGTATTACTGCGCGAGATATTGGCAATGATAGCGTATTGTTGATAGTGTTATGTCGAAGTAAGTATCTATGTGGTTAAATCTTGACCAAATGTTGTTGTTCATGTTGGTTATTCTAGACAGAATGTTATCAGTATATGATTCAGTAGCCAGGAGGTGTCCATACTGGTGCTGCGGGTAACGGAGTGTGCTGTTAATCTTGAACATGATGCTGCCGAGTATATTGTGTTGTAGCTGTGATTTTTTGTCGATGCTACGATGTGTCAGGAAACAAAGCGTGTTGAGCGTTGTGTGTAGGCGACTGTCGAGGCCTGTATGCATGGCTTGCCGGGACTGGATACCTACTTGCGGTGGCGGGTCTATGGCCGTGTGGTGTAGCAAAAGACGAAGTGTATTGAGGTTGTTGATGGAAAGAGAGAACAAGGTGGCCCGAGCATGCTATGTGTTAATGGGTAAGGCTTTGCACGTATGTTGTTCCACATGTATGTGACGCATCAGCCTGAGCCCGTGGAAGCCATGCCGGCGTTCTTGTGGAATGAGCTGATATGCGACTCTATTCTCAGTTAGATTTTGAGTGTAGCCCGAGGGCGTTGCTTCTTGTAGTATTTCGCGGGAACTTACCGGGTTTGGCTTTTACACTGCCGTTGAAAAGCTCAATGCTAAAGTAACTCGTGTTGATAGCGAGAGTGTCCAGTCAACTTGTTGTTTAGTTGCCGCGTCGAGTCCATGGGATTGATTTGCAGCAGCTTATGGATGACTGTGTCTACGTGCTGCTCATGGGCCCGTGTCAAATGTTGGTCCTTGAGGGTGAGGTGTAGCGGGCAGTGAATCATGCTAGGGAGAGTGTGCGAGCGCCATGGTGACTGCCGCGGGTCGCTGTGTATCGGGCTGCCGAGGATTATGTCCCTGACCTGTTGAGCAGATGTGTTTCAAAAGGTCTCCCATGGTATCATAATATGTACTTTACGTTAGGCTGGAAAGAAAATGTCTGTCCAGTGTGGGTCGCTTGTAGGTGCCCAGCTTGGCCGGGAGGAGCGAGTGCGGCAGGCTCGACCGGGGCGAGAACAGGGCGGCGGAGCGAGTGGAGGAAAAGTGGGGCCGTAGAGCGGGGCGGAAGAAGAAGAGGCGGAGGCGGAGGCGGAGCCGGACTCCGAGACGACACCCGGGAAGGGAAGTAGGAGGAGGCGGATGAGGCGGGGGTAGACGTCTTCATGATGATGTTGGTGGTGTTGTTTACATACCTGCAGTGATTGGGTCCAGAACTGCTCAAAACCGGACAGTCAAGGGGTTTGCCCAGGATAAAACCCACTCTGACGGTTTATTCGGGGAGAAAAAACGTGCGTGCGGGAGAATGATTGGGGTTTTTGGGGGTGATGTAGTTAAGGAGAGGTGGTTGTGATCGAGGAACAATGTTCACCATGTGGCAGCCCCTACCACCGCTCGTGGATGTTTTGGTGAGAAAGGACTGGCAGGTGGTGACAGTATGTGTGGCGGAGTCGTGGTTCCGGTTCTCTTGTCACGAAAAGTTCCGGACTTGTACCTCAAGTGACAAAGAAAATGGTGAGGGATTGTCTCACAATGTGTCGACATGCATGTTGGCGGAACACAGAGTAGGTGGGTTCGGTCAGTGACTCATCATCTCTTGTATAGTTATGCGCAAGTAGACTTGTTGCTATCCCAAGAACAGCAATCAGCATACCCTCGCAGCTTGATGGGTGCTCTGGTGATTAGCAGCGACTGAAATCAACCCCTCGCGGCTGACATCCACCACAACGCCCCTCGCGGCTGGTATCCACGACGATGACCCTCTCAAGGGATTCTGCTCCTATCCCACCCATTATGGAGCCTACAGCTGTGGCAGCACCTCCTGTCCATCTGGCCTACTCCCAAGCACCAAGGGGCAGGGACATGGCAGGCAGTTCCGTGATGGCTCTCTTGATCGCTAAGCACTGACCGCTGACTTAGTTACTCCGTGTGTTGGCCCTACTGTTGGCCCTTCTGCTGGTCCTTCTATTGGTCCTTGTGTTGGTCCTTGTGTTGGTCCTTGTCGAGTGTAAGGGTTTGTGTACATTCGTTTACGCACTTTCTACTAGAAGGAAGTCTATGCCAGCTGCGTTGAATGCTTAGAGTACCTAAATGTATGCAACTGCTTTTTGGCCTCGGCAGATGTATGCAGTCCTCGAGTATCTCGGACCAGGAGGCCGCCTGCTTTTATCCGTGACATAGCCTGGCAGTCTTCGACCTTTCTCAGCAATATTATGAGTATTTTTGAGCATCAATCGTTATACATTTTCCTCGTCAAACAAATGCTTCATATATAATTTTGAAAGCTAGTAGATATGCAGGTAGCTCCGTGACAGGAGCGCTATTTACCTTGGCAAGATTATTTCTCAACAGAACACATTGTTGTCCATGCGGTATGTAAAAATACCCTTCCGCTGGTACCTGGGGATGTGTAGCTCACTGTAGCAACGTGCCTTCCTCCCTTTCCTCTCCGAGTCTCTGAGGCATCGCTATCTCCCTTACTATTTTCCTCGCGTCTGTTGGAACGCCAACGCGCCACAGATGCAAGCTGACCTGTGGACTCTTCCTTCCTTTCACCAAGGACAGGAACCGCAGGTAAGGCACCCTCGCCTTCATGCTGACATCACCTGCAACCTGTCTTACCAAAGTCCATCGTCCATTTTCAAATCAGGTACGTACATCAAAGCTTCACTGGCGGTTCATCACAAGCGCACCGCGTATTATTTTGTTTCCTTGACACTTCCATGCCACCGTCTGCATTCAATGTCATCCACTGAATACTTCTACCCGACTAACACAGATCTCATTCAGTGACGACACCATGGCAGCGAACATGAAGGACTTGCCTTCAGCACATGAGGTGTCCAATTCTGAGGTACCTGCTCCGCAACCTGGACATGAACCTGCCAAGATTCGATTTACGATCAAAGGTCAGCACCCTAAGGAATATCATGCAGCACAGCGCAAGAACGAATCTTCCACGGCGAATGGACTCTCATATCTCGAGTTTGTAGATGCGGTACGTGGCCCGGGAGCCCAACACCGAGCTGTCCAGACGACACCCCCCAAGCAGACGAGTGGCGGAGCACAATTCTTTGTTGCCCCAGAAGCCATCGTAGAGGTGGTAGTACACATCGACGAACGTCACTGTCCCGCGTTCAGGCAGTTCGTCTCAAGGTGGATTATGTCGAATTGGACCGTGGACGCCAGCACTGGAGACATTTGCAACATTCGCCACCAGCCCTACTATGGATGGCAAAGTATGGAAGCAGGCAACGATTGGACCCCCGTCCAGCTCGCTGCATATGTTGCTTTTGCACGATACAAGAACCAGGTGATCAGTGCGGACCTCCGGGGCAAGCTAGAGGCATTCAGAGATCGATTCATCCGAGATGGTGTCGGTTGGCCGGTACTTCATTGGACTCTGCCGTTCGGACCGCAGTTCATGTCTCGCAATCTGGAGAACTACACTGAACCAGTTGGCCATGCGTCAGCGGCCCTAGTTCAGGATAGCCTTCTCCAGCCACAGCCCGATGCGCGAGGACCTGGTGTCCCATTCGCCGCAGAGGTCCATCTGGGCAGGACAAAACTTGTGGAGAAGCCGAAGGCCGCTTCTCGATTCACTGAACAACCGGTACCGACGCAGAAGCCGGAGAGGGCTCCTCGACCCAAGAAGCGAAAAGCAGAACCGGTCTTTGATGAAGCGAACGATAGAGCCATGAGAGCGTTTTGCAGCGACGTAAATTACGTCCGCGGTTACGTCGATGCTCTCAAGAAGCAAAAAACGTACGGAGACTCTCAGCTCATCGGAAACTCTCAGCCTTTTGGAAACTCTCAGCCCTTCGGAAATTCTCAGCTCGTCGGAAACTCTCAGCCCTTCGGACCTAGATATATGTCGAGTTCTGCGCTGCAATCGAACGGTGATGAGGCAGGCCATGCACCTACGAACCTCGGACATCCCCGCTTGTCAGGAAGTCAAGCCCAGTACGAGCAGGCTGCGCTGGCGCGAGAACCTGGAGGCTCCTCCGTCATCAATGCTCAGGCCAGCTTTGGTGCTATTCCCCGAGCTTCCTCTACGGGACGAGGTCCGCTGTTTCAGGGCCCGCTCCTCCAGGGCCCGCTGCTCCAGGGCAGCGCAGCACCCTCCTCAAGCCTGGGTTCAGGCCAAGGATTCGTCCAAACCTCGACTACTAGAACTGCTGGTTTATCGGACCCGTTCATTGGAGGTAGCCAGGGACACCTCCGCGGTCTCAACGGCTTACAACGTGTGACTCCGCAGCCAACGCACGACAGACGTCCATACAACGGGGTTCTGCCTACCGCGCAGCGCGCTTATCACGCCAACAACCAACCCCGGGATGCGTATGACTACTCTTCGAAGCCTGATGATGTCGAGGTGCTCCGTCGCTTCCAAGCCCAGTATTATGCCAACAGACGTCATGGACAGTAGGATCCAGGGGCAATTACAATGCTTGGCATTCAGGGAAGATTGTAAAAATTGGCGGCGAAAACTTGTATTCGTTGCCCACTCAATCTATAGCAAAATCGACTTGCAGATAAAAACCGTGCGACGTAGCCTAGTGTTGACCTTGTGACACTGAACCCTCCATCCAACATACAACGGTAAATCTATCGAATTGGAATAAGCACACTAGTAAAAGCATTAAAACTGGTGTACGAAACTATAGCTGCTTATTCCTGTGTGCTTATTCCAGTATTTGAAGATGGACGGTCCCCACGAGGAAAGAAGGGGTGGAGTAACATTTTGTACCAGCACTACGATCAACTTCGTCTATACGACCTGGAGATGTTACCATCAGTGGAAAAATTCCCGCCCGCTCCGTCATGAATTATCTAGATTGGAATGTTCCCCCTCCGCACTACCCTGGCTCGTCTACTGCAATACGACGCTGCTGCAGCATCGACCCGAAACCTCCAACTTCCCCTCACCTGGTCGATGGCTGGGGTGGGTCAAAGCATATTATCCCACTTCGACTGCGGCTGACTCCAGAATGGCTTTTGTCGTCGTACGTGAGGAAGAAAATAATCTTGAAGCTAGCTAGAAGACATGCTCCGGTATATATAGGGGTCAGTCCTCTGGGGCTACCTAGTGCGTGACACGTAGGCAGACAAGGTTTCCCGCTCACCTGGCCTGATAGAATACGACGAGGATGAGCAAATGACTGCGTAATGTCCACTGCAGCTCGAAGTTCCCCTGCATTCGGTGCCAGCTTGACCAGACAGACACATCGTCATGCAGTGGAAGCCGCTCTTGGAGAAATACCTACCGCTTCTGCATCAGGCAAGCATGCGGGTGAACCCAGTTTCCTGCACGAACTCCCCGCATGCCTCTCCGGATGAACGGGCCACACTAGAGTGGTGAGCCGTGCAAGTATGCAAGTATATGAAGACTGGTTGGACCGCTACCGTTCCTGGATCAAAAGCTCGGCGCCATTCTTCCTCGGTCAAGGCCAGATATCACCAACTCTCCAGTGAACTTGGAAGCCATCCCGTGCGACCATGAAAGCACTGGCACATATCATGCTATCGCTCACACCCCTTTTCGCTGGCTTGGCCGCTGCTATTGGCGTTCGTGGCACCGCTGGCGTCAAGAACCTCGTGGTCTTTGGCGACAGTTACACCGATGAAGGCAGGCTGTCTTATTTTACAAGCCATAATGGCACTGCTCCTCCGGCGGGCACTGTGATCCCAACCTCCAACTTCACTGCCACGGGGGGATATGCCTGGCCCCATTTTGCATCACAGAAACTGGGCGCGACGACGCACAACTACGCTGGTAGGATACCATCACACCCCAATCACAGGACTCGCTCGGCAGAAGAGTGTACCCGAGTCTGACATTATCGTGGTAGTCAGCGGAGCGGTCTGCTCTAATGAGATAGTATCGCGGTTCCTATCTTCGATCAACGGCCCATTCCCATCTGTTATCGACTACGAGGTTCCTGCTTTCAAGGCAGACGTCGAACTCATGGGCAAACCCCCACAGAATTCTGTGTATGCCCTCTGGATAGGAACCAATGACCTGGGCCAAGCTGCGTTCATCACGGATTCTCAGACGCCAGGCGCAACGATCTCCGACTACATCGACTGCATATGGTCAGTCTTCGACGGCATTTACAGTGCCGGGGGCAGGGATTTCGTGCTCTTCAACCTAGCGCCTTTGGACAAGTCACCGCTCTACAATTCCCCTGAGAACGGCGGCGTCGGGGATGGCAAGTACTGGGCTAACAAGACAGCCTACAACACGACGGAGCTTGAGCAGAAGATGCTGGAGTATACGACCACTGTGAACACCGTATTCGATTATGGAGTTCCGTTTCAGCTTTTGGTGAAGAAACGGTGGCCCGGGGCTTCGTTCAGCATCTTTGATGTCCATCAACTGCTCTCGGATATCATCGACGAACCCTCCAAGTACCTGAACGCCCTGGCAAATGTCACAGGGTACTACTATCAGTGTCCATGGCCTCTTCCGGACTACTCGCTATGCAAGAACTCGGAAGATCCCCTCTCGAGCTTTCTATGGTCGGTCACTCTACCATCACGTAAGACGATAAGCTAACGAGAGTCAGGTACGACGAGCTGCACCCGTCGGAGAAAACTGGTAAGTGAATCATTCAGTAAATGAGAAAACTTGGGCGTGCACTGACTCGATACGCAGATCAAATCATTGCGGCCGAGTTTGTGAACTTGCTGCATGGCAATTCCACCTACGGAACTCATTACCGCTGACGGGGCTGGACGCATTCGTATGCCATGGTGAGGTTAGGCAATCAAAGGCTTAAAGAGGAATGAGAAAGCATGAGTGCAGAGAAGTTGTATCTATTACATAGAAGGACACCGATTTGCAGCAGCACATATGATTCCCTACACTCCGCTAGTACGGCCACGTCTTGGGGTCAAACTGTGTACAATGAAGTGGGATAGGTGGACCCAGGTCGTTCTAATCACATCATCGTATCATGGTGAAGACGTTGGGTTGAGTCTATAATTCAAAGCTTCTGCTCTGGAGAGTGTTTTTCTGTATGTGAAGGACTTTCAGGGGCAATCACTGACGAAAATGTATCAAAGAGGGCTCTGATAAAAGTCTGTGCTTTCGCCGGATGACACTTGGGAGCTGCGAGCGCATAGATTCAAGCGAGAAGCAGGTTGTGTCATCGTGATTACTCGGCGTGTCACCAATGGCTCTGCCGGCGTGTGACGCGGTGACACGACATGCACATATGAGCTGGCAATCGTGTAACCCCTACATCTCATTGTCACCAGCGAGCGATTCACCGCCAAAGGAACACGGCAGTCACCAGGGCCATTCGGCGAGTGCCAAAGCTGCAGCTATATCTGTTACGAGCCCCCTGGTACCTCCCGGATCTTTCAAGCCCACTTCGCTCTCTGGCCTTTGCAGCTTCCTCAGCCATACTTCAGAATGTGCCGTTGGTTCGCCTACATCTCCCCCGCGGAGCCCACTCTACTGGCCGACGTTCTCCTCCTGCCAGCCAACGCAATCACGAAGCAATGCTCAGAACACTACCTGCCGTATCTCCTCCCCCACGGCGAGGAGAAGGAGCTCGACGACGTACAGTCGAACAACCTCCTCCGCCTGAGGAACAGTCTGCTGAACATGGACGGCCTCGGCATAGCATGGTACACCACCGCCGCGGCAGCCTACACGGCGGGAAAGGAGGGTCTGCGCCCGGCCGTCTACAAGTCGGCCAGCCCGCCCACAAACGACTTCAACCTCCGCAGTCTGTGCGAGAACACCGAGTCGAGGTGTCTGTTCGCGCATATTCGCGCGACTAGCGGATCGCTGGTCACGCCGGCGAACAACCACCCCTTTGTGTTCGGGCGCCACATTTTCATGCACAACGGCGTGGTGTCCGACTTTACGCGCGTTCGCCGCGAGATGATGGGCTTGATGGCCTTCGATGCGTATGCGGACGTCAAGGGCAACACCGACTCGGAGCACGCGGCGGCGCTGTACATGACGTTCCTGTGCGGCCCGCACGTCGACAGGGAATACTGGGAGAGCAGGTACCCACTCGAGATAATGCAATGGGCCCTGCAAGAGACCGTAATCGCCATCATGAAGCTGCAGAAGCAGATACTCGGCAACGCAGCATCCGCCAACAGCCTCAACTTCTGCGTCACAGACGGGCAGAAACTGGTCGCCTGCCGCTTCCGCAATCATGCCTCCGAACAGCCGCCGAGTCTGTACTGGAGCGAGTTCGCCGGACGGATGCTGAATAGGAAGTATCCCGGTGATCCAGACGGGGTGAAGACCGACCCCGAACCGGCCGAGCAGGGCGAGAAGATTGGGAAACACACGATCGTCGCTAGTGAGCCTACCACATACGACGAGAAGGAGTGGCATTTGATTGGGAGGAACTGCATGCTTCTTGTTGACGAGCAGGGCGTTGAGACGGAAGTTCCATTGGAGTACAGCGCTGACTTGAACGGCAAGCAATGAATTCACGAAGAAACAACCGCAGGTACAGATGAACATTGCGGTGGAAAATGCACCGAGAACTCTCGAGCTCCCGATACCAGCATGGCTGGCTTGTGATTTGGCAAGATCAAAGTTAATTTTTCTTCGTCGAGGGGTATGCATCGGGTGGGTGTCCTCTCTCATCTAGCTCCGCGCATTCACATCACAACCTTCATCGGCTCCCTTGTGTCATTATTTTGTCACTGCATATCGTTCTGTCTACCGCTTACGTAGTATAACATCAATCATCCCTCGTTATTGGCCTACAGTACGATGCTCAAGGTACCGTCCGTGTTGATACAGTCCGCCATACCATACCGCCGTGACTCCAAGCTCCAGTACAGCACGCCCGTGGTGAAATACCGACACCACCTGATGTAGTCCTCAATGTTCCTTTTCAATTGCACGTCACCAGACGCCATGCCGGTAAGGGTGTCTGCCGCAGCCTCAAACCGAGCCATCGTTGCTCGCAGGGCAGAGTCGAGTTCCCTCGACACAGCACCGAGGTCCTGCTCCTCGGACTTCATGTTCTTGAACATGACCGGGACGATGTTGAGGAGAGAGCCTTGGGCCTAGTCATACTGACTTAGTACATATTGAGGGAAGTGGGAAGTAGTTGCACTTACTATCTCCTTCTGCACGGAGTAGACGTCGTTGAGGATTAGACATATGTGTATCGTCTCCTTCCACAGCGCTCTCATGGCTTCGGATTCCATTACGGACTCAGGTAATCTGACCTTGAGCATGTAACTGAGAGCGATTAGCGATGCTCCAGGCTTTTCTGGTCTCCTGCCGACTCACTCTGTGATAGCGATCTGGGGCCCGCAGCCGACGGAGCCCGAGCGGATATGTAGGTACTCCTCCACAGTCGGTATGGAACCGGCCGTGCGATGGGAGTGCTCGACGCCGACCTGCAGCATGAAGTTCTCCAGCTCGCGGAAGAAGCGCTGTCGTTGCAGCGTGTCCGTCGAGCCGCGGACGCCGCGGCCGACGTCGCCAAACAGCGTCATGTTCTGCAGCGGGGCCTCGACCTCGACCTGGTCTTCGCCGTCGAGCCCCAGAACGCGACGGATATAGGTGAGGGATTCCTGGTAGTAGGCCTGGGCCAGCACCTCGTTGGTTGCGGCCTCGGTCTCGCCGCTGTCGATCTCGTCGTCCCATACGAAGATCCACACGGAGTACGCTGTGGCCACGACCAACTCGGGCCAGTCTGCGTCGGGATACCAGCTGGATCTACTATCAGTACAAGGCTCGTGCCGGCTTGGTTGAGTTCTTACAGAGACATGAGCCGGGCGAAGCCGGCCTGCTTCAGCGCATGGAGCTTTCGCTCATTGATGATGACCCTCTCCAATAGTTCATCGACCAGGACTTCCAGCTCCTTCGTGTGCTTGTTCGTAGCGGATGGCCACGTCTCAAAGATCTTTGTGAGGTCCGGAAGTTGAAGCACTTTGCCACTCAGCTGGGTGGCCACGGTCAGGGCATCGCCGCTGAGGCCCTGGTGTGCGCGAGCCCGCTCTGAAGAGGTTTCAGAGGACTGCTCTTCCTCCTTGTGATACGAAGAACAGGAAGATCGACGCGAGAACACTGAGCACGACAGCGCACGGCGCAACTGTCGGACAAGGTGTAGTACTGCTGCCTTCATGTTGTCGACTACCTAGCCCAGCAAAAGGAAGTGGACAATGAACGGGACCGATCAAGGGCACGGAGCTGTGCCATGAACGTGCGCTCGGTCCGTCCCGCTCGTGTTTATATCCATGATCTAGGCTTCCCAGCTCATCAGACCCAGTTGGAACTCTGGATCCCTCTAACCTTACCCGTCACCCTTGTCTGTAGGGGGCCCCAAGAGGCAAGCAGCTCGAGGACGGCAAGGTTAGCTGTCTCACCGCTCTGCAACCGGCAACCAACTAAGCCATTGGTGAAAGAAACGGCGGGGATGGTGAAGCAGCCATGTGCATCTCTGAAGGCAGACTGGCTGTAGGTATGGTAACAAGGATGTGTGGACTCGCAGCTAACGGGTAGAACTAACATCCGTGGGCCGCGGCTCCATCTTCAATGCTCAAGATGGCATAGCTCGCAGTTGTTAGCTTGACTATAGGTCACCCATTGGTCGATGAGTTGGCTGCGTGAATCTTCAACGGCACCAGAATACTGATGAGGATGGTGCAGGGTTGAGCGTGGCCGACTTTCTCGGTCTCGCGTACCACCACTCATGCCACTATCGTAGCGAACTCTTCCCTCTCCATGGTGGCGACCCTGGTGCCAACCACTAAAAACCGTTCGAGAGTCGAAAGAGGTCGAGATGATGGGCCCGAAGACCCGATATAGGGTTCGGTACGAATGGCCTTGCAGTTTTTGGGCATTTTGGTGCTGTAGTCCGCCATGGCCACAGTAGCACCCACAAGGTGTCGCACCATTCGTTATTAGCCTGCCGTCGACAGCCCGAAGCTTCCAACTGTTCCTACTCCTCAGGTCGGGTAGATGTTCCTGGCTCAACTAGGCCGTCAGACGTTGGTGTTCTGTAATTTCTGGCCGCCTACGCGCGGCTGAGCACTGGAGCCCATGACTGAAGGAAGTGAAGTACGCGAAATCCACCGATCGAGTCCAGTGAATCCCAACATTAACTGGCCACGTGGGGGACAGGAAGGAAGGTATGATATGGTAGCTGCAGGTATGCAGTCAGCAGTATGTCAGATGTCAGGTGATCCATATGTGGTCGGTTTTAGACAGGGGAATGATAAAGCGCCCCCGCCTCTGGCGTAACCAACTCCACAGGACCCCTGTTTAACAGGACGCCGTCACGCCGGTTTTCAAGTGGCCGGGTCCCAGTCGTCTGGCACAGAGACACACTCGCATCCTGCACACGGCAGTCGTGACTCGGGAGGCACAGTTAATATTCCCCGAAGAGTAACAAGTCCCGGTAAGCCGGTAAGTCGATTATAGAGTTATTTCAGACCCTGATCAGTGATCGTATACGACGAAGCCACTCGGTATTATTGACAACGTCCGACGCAAGGACAACATTGCGGAATTCGCAGACGCAAGTGGACCAATACCTGACAAATCACAATGCCACCCCGCGCTTCCTACCAATGGCCAGGCTGTCTGGCTGCCCGACAGCGGACTATCCAAGCGTGGTGGATTCATGTTGAAGGATCTGGTCTGGTCTGGTCTGGCCTGGGGCTAAAGTCTTAAACTGTGGACACGATAGTACGTACGCGGGCACTTCTGGCTAGCCGCTTGTCGATTGACCGATCAGAAGCCTGAACGATATCATCCGAAGTCTGCTCACAACCGCTCGTTCATCATCAGGCTGCGCGCCATGTCTGCTTTGTCTGCCCGGTAAACTGCAAGCAGCCCGGTGCCACGGCTGAGATCACTGACGGCTGGCAAACTAAGACCACTGGGTGGGCCAAGCGAGCCGCTGTGGGTGACAGTGAGATTTGTTTGAAAAATAAAAGGGGCCGGGGAGATATTCAAGAGAGCCGGGATGGGTTGCCACTCATGTGTCCACCAGACTCCATCCCTATCCACGACCTCGGCATGACGGTGCGACGGTGCTCATGGCCCAGCTATGCCCACTTGGAGTGGTCAAATTTCGTCGTTGCAGGCCTCGCTTCGAGATGCCAGTCCAAACCTCTCTGCGAATCCGACGTTCCACACAAGACTCATGAATGAGAAAAGTCGTTGAGAAACCAGCGTTCAAGGTTGGAAGAACAGCTGAAAGTGTCTACAATCGCGCCATACGTGGGGGCCACCGGCTGTTGCGAAAGCAGGGAAGAGCCTGCGCAGGGATACGATCTGTCAGCCGCAGGGGTGACTGATCACCGACCGCCCACAGCGTCACCAACAACCCACAACTCGCGGGGATCGAAAGTTCGAAACCCTGGAGACTCTTTGACATTTCGTCTTTATCATCATGGGACGACGTGGCCGGGTTTGACGGCATGGATCCCGATACCTGTCAGCACCCCCAGTTCTGAGACGCGGGTGATCGACCCTCGTCGACGCCCTGCGATCCCCCTACGGCCCAAAGAACAAAAACAAAGTTGAACATCCTGCCTTCCCACCGTTCTCCGTCTCCGTCTCTCAACGTCATTAACCGGGCGTAATGTCACCTATCATCGTCGTCGATGAAAGATGAATCGAATCAGAGAGACCCTGGCCCGACTGAAGCGCGCCTCACGCGAATCGCGAGACAAGTCTTCTGGCCCGCGCCTGGATCGGGTGGGCCGAACCAGCAGTTCTGCCGGGAGTTCGCGTGAAAAGGTGCTGGTGCAGGCAGACGGCCGGGGACCCCTCATCCTGTATGACGGGATCCAGCCCGGCGAAGAGGGAATCGACATCGTCTTGGTTCACGGGCTCTTCGGTGCCCGGGTGAGCAGCTGGACGAAAGGAAGCGTCTGCTGGCCGCGCGATCTCCTCGGCCAGGATGTGCCCAACGTCAGAGTCATCGCATGGGGCTGGAACAGCTTGTTTGGCGGTAAAGACATCTTTGCTGAGCACGCCGAGACCTTTCTTTCGGATATTGCGCGAGTCTGCTCCGGCATGACTCGGCCCCTCGTATTCATCGGCCATGGCTTGGGCGGACTGATCCTCAAGGAGGCCTTGGTCACGGCTGCGGTGTCGCGCATCTACGGCTCACACGTGTCGATGAGCAATGCCTATCCACGGGCAGTCGGGTGCATATTCCTGGGGACGCCACACACTAGAGTCGGCAAGCGGTCCCTGGGCGAGTGTATAGCCGCAGCCGCGACCATCTCGCCGTCTACGCCGAGTCCACAACTTCTTCGCGCACTGAAGGACAACGATCAGCATTTTGAGAACCAGCACAACACTTTCAAGCTTGTTTCCAGAGACATACGGGTGGTCTGCATAAGGGAAAAGCTGCCAACCACGTTGACTCTTTCCGACACCACACGAGACTCGATTGAGACACAGTCTGGGAGGGGGACGGTGCAGGTTATGGTACCGAGGGAATCGGCAGCTTATGAGAATTTCAACGTGACGAGGGACGACATGCCGACGAACCATATGGATTTGGCGCGGTTTCGAAGCAGGGAGGTGGGATATACGCAAATCATTGCTCACATTGCGAAGATCACATCAGGTCCTTCGCAGGACGAGCTAGAGGCACGGGAGCCTCGCAATCAAGGTATGCCGTCTCGCTTGCTGTCCCTGGAGTCAGCACATCCCAGTCCCGCTAACCACAGCCTTCCAGAAATCCTCAACGCACTATACTATGACACTATGATGGAACGCGAATCTCGTATCGACCGCGCCTACGGCCACACGTGCGACTGGATTCTGGATCCCGAGTTGTCCCCGTTCACTTCGTTTTTGAGCTCCCAAGACCCCGTTCTGGTAAGTGGCTTGGCAATCTTTCACTAGCTACTCCTTTTCGTTTCCTGTCGGCTGTCATTCCTGTTACACTCCTCAGGGGTGGTGACATGTTCGCATGTGTACCTGATAAGGCACTGAGCAGCCGATATCTACTTGAGACAGTACTTGTTCCAGACGCAAAGCCTGCCACAGAATGCTGCTTAGCTCCAAATATTATCTGCTTTTCCCAAGCATGCACTGACACGACTGGCTCTAGTGGATCAGCGGCGAAGCAGGGAGTGGGAAATCCACGCTCATGAAATATGCTTGGCACGCCGAGACGACGAAGCGGAGGCTCGAGGAGGGATGGGCCAAGAATGGCGAACTACTAATGGCAGCCTTCTTCATGTTCGAGGGCGGCAACCGGATCCAAAAGACCTACGAAGGGTTCTTGAGAAGTGTCCTGTACCAGATCCTGTCTGCGCGGCAGGATCTCATCAGGGTCGCCTTCCCCAGTTTCTACGACTGTCCCTGGCCCCCGCCAGTGCAGTTCACCAGCACCACCAACCTCAACCAGGGCTTCTATTCCCTCTTCTCTCACATGTCCGAGAGACTGCGGCTTTTCGTCTTCATCGACGGCGTCGACGAGTATCGCATCATGGAGCGTAAGGACCACTACGAGCAAGCCGATCTCGATGTCTCCTACGACAAGGAGGTCGGGGACGAGTCCTGGGGCCGCAGCAAGTGGCGTACGGACTCCAACACCGAGATCGCCAAGCTTGTGAGCAGCATGGGGAACAAGGACGTCGCCAAGTTCGTCGTCTCCTCCCGCGAACTGCCCATCTTCGAGGAATCATTTGAGCAGTTCCCGAGGATCAGGCTCCAGGAGCACACGGAGTCGTCCGTCACACAGTACGTCGCCGGCCGGCTCGAGAACGAGGCCCCGGGCCTGCCGGACAGCAAGAACCTGTGCAGGGAGATCGCGCGGAAGAGCGGGGGCGACATACTGTGGGCAAGGCTCGCCATCGACATGGTGGCCGAGGGCACTCTGAAGAGCTTGCGCAAGACGCTCAATTCGTTGCCGGCGCAGCTGGGTGGGACCGAGGGCCTCTAGTATGTACATTTTCGAGTCTTTTATTTCCCCATATGGCCATGTCCTGAGCGCGAATTCCCTCTTCTAGCCTGTGTCAAGAGCCTCTGCTCCCGAGACAGCATTACGACTCCATTTTTTCTCGGCAAAATACCCAAATGAAGCAATTACTGACTCAAATTTGCGAGAAGCATGCGCATGATCGAGAACTTGACCCCGGATAATCAGACCGCTGCTTATTCCATATTTCACCTGGTGCTACGGGCGCAACAGCCACCCACGTTGGTGACGTTGGCTTTCGCCGACCAGGGGTATCTCGACCCCAACTCGGGCAAGCTGCGCGTAGTCCAGGATAGCATACGACGAGAAGATGTGACATCGGTCCAGCAGCTGGCGGATCAGATGCAGCGACGACTCCAGGTATGCTGCGCTGGACTCCTGGAGGCCGAAGTGCTCTCGGGCTCCAACCCGATTGAGGAGGCCGGACAGCGTGTGGTGTTTACGCACCAGACCACCAAGGAATGGGTAGGGCGGCGGGATATCTGGCACAAGCTACCAGGCATCCAGCAGGTCGGCGACGTCGATCTGGACTGCGCATTGCTGAGCGGATGCGTGCGGACCCTCAAAGCGTTCGAGGCGGTGAGACCGCCGGTGCTGACATGGCCCAACATGCGGTTCCGTCCCGACGCGTGGCTCCTCGTCGCCAACTCGCTGCGGTACGCCGAGAGGATCGACAGCGAGGTCAAAGACGTCACGGCGTACGCGGAGCTGCTGGACGAGCTGAACGCGACGAATCAACGGGCCTGGCTCGCAGCGCTGGACAACCACAAGCCCCTGGTCGAAGACCCGGACTGGTACGAGAGGAAGCTGCCGAACCTCCGGCGGAAGCACTGGTCGAGCTTCGAGCCCATGGAGGCCGGCAAGTCGCCGAAGCGGAAAGACTTCCTATCACTAGTCGTGCAGGCGAACCTGGTGCGGTACGTGGCCCTGAAGCTGGGCGAGATGGACCGGGACAGCCGGAGGCGGAAGGCGCAGGAGCTGCTCGTGTACGCCGTCAGCCCCAAGGGCGACGGGTTCAGCGCGTGCGTGAACCTGTCGGGCGACTACCTCGACTTCCACCACGACATGCCGGACACGCGGCTCCTGGACATCCTGTTCGAGGCGGGCGCGGACCCGCGAGACGACGAGCAGATCTGGATGAAGGCGCTCAAGGCCGGGCGGCATTATTTCTCGCGAGGAAGCGCCACCATGACGCACCTGATGGAGACGTGGGCGAGCAAGCGGCTGAGCCTGAACCGTGAGCGCTGGGTCGCCGCCGTGAAGTCCCTGCTTCTTCACGGGGCAAACCCGCACGCCGAGCTGCAGGTCACAACCGGCAACGAAGAGAACCGGTCGACGACGACGGTCGTGGCCGTCGATCTGATCCGGGACACCCTGGAGGGCGAGCCGGATTACGCGCTGGATCTGCTGGAGTTGGAGGCGCTGATGGGACGGAGGGAAAGTGTCGGGCTGGCGCGGTGAGGGACTTTTCGGTCTCTGGCTGCTCCAGAATCAACTTTTTTCCTTTTTCGACTGCAGATATCCCGCAATAGCAGCAAAAGTTGGCCTCATGATTAACAAGAAACATGATAGACAAGCGGTTGATCGAACAATTTACAGTGGATTAAGCAGCGGTTTGGTGCTTATTGCAGTCGATTGCGCCTCGAATAATCTGCTTGTGCAAATTATTATTTCAAGCGCTTGACAGAAGCAAGTCGGTGTATTCCCATTGATGAATGCTTCCGCTTTCAAGCCAAGCTTGGGCTGACCAGGCTGGACTCCCGAGGAATATTCATCGACCGGGACTGGTGTGTTATTCTCTAGATTATCGTTCCACCATATTCTCGAGGGGTGCATGAGGTCGGTTGCAGCGTAGCTTGAGACGTGTTTCACCCCGGGATGATCGTGAACTCAGTCTGATATAGAGTTTACCCGTCAAGCAACGCTGCGGCCGCCCGCATTCCGAACTGGATGCACGTGAGTCGTGATTGAAAAGCAGCAGTCAGCTAGGCAGTGCACATGCGAGTGCGGACGCAAGAATGGAGGCGCGCTACCCACATTCATCGAGCCGAAAGCCGACGGGTTGTGTGGCTATACTCTAGCGCCAGCCGCCAGTGCCTTTCTCCAGACCCGACTCGCGGGACCTAGATCGAGTAGGTCCTGGAGAACTGTCCAGATCGTCCATTTAGGTTTGGTTGGGGCGACCTACCGTCCCTGAGCCGCACAGGAAGTCTACCTAGCAGATGAACAGAGTTCACCTGGACTTCGTGCTTGCACTTGATTTTGACTGGAAGCCGAGTCATTCTTCCCCAGCACTTTCCTCGGTGTTAGAGATATCACATTGACGTTCGCCTCACAGGAGCATGGAATGAAGCTGGCTCCAGAGCCGTTGGACTTCTCAATACTCCTTAAAGCTCACCACTCTCGACCGGCAAGAGTGACTATGGACCGATATTGTCGCCAAGATGGCAGGAAATTCCACCGTCCCGGTCGGGCTGTTTGTCTCCCCGAATTACCAGTGGAAACCTCCAACTGAGAACGAGTATGTGAACTCTGTTGTCTGTTATACTATCCTGCGTGTAACCGTCGTGTCGACGCATGCTTTATGAGCGCATTGCTCCCGAGGCGTGCTTTTGGACTCCTCGCTCCTCAGGAAAACGTCTGCAAAGAGTAATAACTGACACCTCTCTATTTAAGGCTCGTAGGTTCTTCCATCTTCTTTGGTTTGTTACTCGGAACGGCGGTTCTGGCTGCGGGTCGAGCCGCTCGGCAGACTCGGGGAGTATGGAACCGCTCAAGCAAGTTCAGGGGGTATATCACGATGGTATGGGTTCATTGGACATCTAACATGGCTATCGCTCTTCTGGAATTACTTCAGTCGGGAGGCATCATCAAAAACAGGTAAAGCCACTCCAACTTTAGGCTCATTCGATATGCTCAGTTAATTCGGTGCCTGCAGTTTCTGGCTTTGGTTCTTCATCGGTTGGTCTTCCCCTTGCTTAACTATGATACGTGCTTATCGATTCACGACAGCGGTATTGTGGTGTTTCCAGGCATGTTCAACCAACACTCCAGTGCTGTCATGTCGCACTCGCTTCTAACGAAGCAGTACAGATTCAGTTCCTGATGCAGATAATCATCAACCGCCTATCACTAGTATCCGATGGTCCGTCAGCAGAGACCTGGTTGAGATGGTCCGTCGTCGCATACATCGGCCTCATCAACATAAGCGTCTTCATCATATGGTATCTGCAACCTGCGGCATTACCTATCTTCACGCAGTCCACGATCTGACATGACTATAACTGCAGGATCCCCTCCCAACTTCATGTATCCGACAGGTGGATGCACATTAACAGCATCTGGGACAAGATCGAGAAGGTCCTGATTCTGGTCATCGACGCGTCCCTCAATTGCTACTTTATCTACATCGTACGAACGCGGATGATCGCAAAAGGCTTGACCAAGTACAAGACGATCTACAAGTTCAATCTGACTATGATTTTCTTTTCCATCAGTCTGGATGTACAGCTTCCCATACCCGCCAACAATCAAGCTTGAGCAAGCTGACACCAGCACAGTTCATCATCATCGGCTTAATGGTCTTACCGAATCATATCATGTCAGTATCAACCCCTTCGCGACTTGAACCTTCAGAAGTTAACGCCCATCACCAGGTTCATGTTGTTCCAAAACGCAGCCTATATGGTGAAGCTACAAATAGAGATGACAATAGCGGACCTCGTCGGCAAAATCCGTAGATCGGGATCGAAGCGTTCAGCTGGGAGGTGGCCTCCCAGCCGCCGAGTTGACAACCGTCGAGAAAGCTGGACGTCAGCCCACGGGGCTCGAAAGTTCATCGCAACGATATCCCGCGGAGCCAATCACACTGAAAACCTCACACAGCATAGCGCGCACGCGGAACACGTCCGCCCTATGGACCTCGCAAGATGTGCCAGCAACCTAGACGCCCTGTTCCCCCCGCCGACGGGCATCAAGAGAACCATCAGGACCGACGTATCTGTGAGCAGGAGGGGTGATGAAGGGAGCTTTACCAGTAGTAGCTTGACCTCCACTGAGCACTTACCTGACCAGGCAGAGCTGGGAACAGGCGACTGGGACACGGCATTTGATAACATGACGAAACTCAGTACCCGTGAGCATACACATACAACCTGATCATTGGACTATGGATCTATCCCCACGGCACCCATCTCCCGAACCTCGACGACACCTGGTCGGCTTGAGGGAGCGCGACTGAGACCACAACTGCAGCATCGTCGGCTTCATATACCACCCTACCAGCGAATCTAGGGCCCATAGAGTCCACGTCCCCTGCTTGGAGTTCGTCCTGTACACACCATATAGCCTCGAACAAGCCTCACGCCTCTCGTTTTCGACACCTTCCACGATGCACATATACCCCCAGTTTTCCTTGCCGTCACACATGACTCGAGATTGACCCTATTCACTCCCTTGGCCGCATACCTTCCGTACAGCGGCCCCTTTTCCTTTCATGTGAGTTGTAGATTTCCTGTTCATTCACACGAGCCATCATGTATCCTAGTCGTATAGAAGGTATGTACGACTGGAGTGCACGACAACTCGTGCAAATGGATAGGAAATCTATATGTCAGTATGGAAGGAACAGGGGCCGTTGTAAGGAAAGTCCACGAGAGCATCCTGATCTTGTCGGCTCGTGACGAGGCAGTGCCGTGTTGGCGGTCGCCGATTTTACATTCGTGGGACTGGGTCTGAACTCAAGCACGTCCTGGTCCACATCGATGCTAGTCGCCGCTGGGGGCCGAAGGTCCATCTCATACTGTCAGAAGGCCAACCATAGGGGGGGGTATAATGTATGTTGTTCTGCAGAGGGCTATAGTACTACGGGTGTGGGAGCCTTGTATATGTACAGATGACTCTTTTGTTCCCGGGACATGCTTCCTGACACATACGTCAGGCTACAACCATAGGCTCATGCTATCCAACGTTCACGACGACATCAGCGACAGCACACATGTCTCTGATTCCAACTTCGCCAGTCTACTTGGATGCTGTCCCGTCAGTGGCGGCCTTCCCATTCCACCACGTGACGGAAGTTGGAGTTTGGGCGTCGACGAGCGCATCCCGCTCTTACAGGCCCGTGATGAATCGGTACTCTGTTGGCAGTGGCCGGTCTTACGCGGATGGGTTCTGTACTCCGGCACATCCAGGTCTATACTGTTGCCAGCCGCCGCGTAGGACCGAAGGTCCATCTCATCAACACCTCAAATACGAGAAACATTGGCCTCTGATCTCGGATTGGCAGATTGGGTCGTTTGAGTACTAGGGCTTCTTTCTATTTGGACCAAGCTCAAGCTTAATTAAGCCCGTGCGAATGCAACAGAAAGCTGGGTTTTTCTTCAAAGAAAGTTGGGACGCAGGGTCTTGAGCTTTAATACGAACATAGTATGGGGTAAATGACTTCATCCGGGAGGCCGGAAGGGCACTGCCGTGTGCCGAATACGAGAACAGCATTGCCGGCTCCACCGATCGTCATTAAACAGCGCTCGGTCGAGCAAGTAGACATAACGACTCGTATTTTAGAGAATACAGACAACACAACTACCATGTGTTAAGAATATAAAGTCGGCTCGGTTCTGCTACTATATCACTAAACAATGACCCATCACCTCGAAGCAACCACAACATCTTAACCCTTCTCCCGCTCGACAATCAACCCTTAATAACCGACTCTACCCGGCCAAACCAGCTTCAAAATGCAGATCTTCGCCATCCTCTCCTCCGCGGCCGTCGCCTCTGCCGCTGTCATGGCCAAGCGCGACATTATCTTCAAGGTTTCCGACTTCAGCGCTGGTTGCGTCGCACACTCCACTCAGTGTTTGTAAGCTGCCGTCTCGATCCTCCATGTCACGCACGACCAGCAGCTAACATTGTGTCCAGGTACTATTTCAATGTCACCCAGCCCGGCAGCCCCGGTGCCCCTGACGTCCCCGTCACCTGCAAGGCTCTCGTGACCGCCAACAACGATGGCACCCTGCCCGACGTCGACGACGGTACCTGCCTGGAGTCGGCCCGCACCTGGACCGCGCTCCACGCCGACGCTGGCATCACCTTGGCCCTCTCGCAGCAGGTGTCTCCCGCCTCGTACGAGACCGGTTCTCACCTTCTCGCCAGCAATGAGTTCACGATCTCCAATGAGACCAACGCCAAGGTCCAGAGCTACACTGGTCCTACCGCTTTCGACTTGGTTGATTAAATCATATACTAGAAGATCTTTGGACCAAGGGAACCTTCTTCGCTACTGGCCCGAGGATCCCCTAACATTAGTAGTCGGGTCATCTTCATCTCACTACCAGCCCGACGGCCCGACTAGCAAAGCCAAGGTTGGGCTGGGTCAATGGCGGCATTTTGTATATAATCACACATTCACAATTGTATAAACACTTCTCACCCCAAACAAACTCGCCCATGTGTACATAGTACCCGTGACCTAATGTCCAACTTTAAGGCTCCCACTTACAGTCAAACCAAGACCTGTTGGACAGTAAGTATTCGGTGGCAACTAGTAACATTTATGTTACTAGCTGAGCCTCCTCAGCTGCCGCTCCGGTCACACGAGTTCGATAAATCGGCAGCTAGCCGCAGAAAACGGCGGGCTTTCCAGGCGTAGAAGCTTCGAAGAGAGCCAATCACATCTTTGCCACTACGAGGGCATTGAAGGAACTGAATAACTAGCCACATGGAGACTTATCTGCATGGACGCGGTACCAGGGAGGAAACGGAAGCATTCCACGGAATCATGGTGAAGAAGGACTGAAGAAATTGGATCGGACCAGTCTGCATCACAAACTCCTGGCGTAAGAAATAGACCAAGGCTTGACTCATCCTCCAGATCACAAGCCGCAAACTTTGCTTGTCTGGCCAGCATAAGCTGGAGGTATATAAGCGCCTACCTATCCTCTGCCGGCATGTAGTCGTCGTCGATATGGGCATCAAGTCACAGTCGCCCACACTAGGATTTTCCGCAGCACCAGAGCGCCAGAAATGATACCTCCTCGACCCAGACCGTATCACACAGTTGGAAAAGATCCCGGAGGACATCTCGCAAAACTCGGACCAAGCTTTGGGAAAGAAATGCAGTTAAGAAACTCCCGATCCTCATGTCCCAGTCCCCATTTCTTGCCATTGACTAACAACAGATACTTAGTGGGCAATGAAGTCAGCGTCCCGGCCTGAGGCACGATATCAGTGTTGACATATCCATCTCCCACTCCACTGCTGCCGAGCCTCCTGTCGACCGGGTTCCTGAACACTGAGATTCCGACGCTTGCTACCCATTTCCAGTCCCTTGTCAATCTCCGTGTTGATATGGGTAAGTTCGATGTCGACTTCCGCGCCGTCTGGCCTCAGCCAGGCGAGCGACTTGCGGCCCTCCTCAAAGTAGTAGTAGTAGTAGTAGTAGCATTTAACGCCAGGGGGCCTGCCGCAGAGCGGCGGCCGTGGGCCTCCAAAAGGGCGCGCGGGCGTGCTAGGCTAGGTCTCATAGTATATATATATATACAGCTGCCCAGCTAGCAGATCTCGTTCATAAACAGCCACTGCATCTAAGCAGCGGTTCTCATCGTGTCCCCCCTCCTCCGGGTGAGGGTTGGTGCCGACGTCATTCGCAGTCTTTAAATTCCTGACATATCCAAGTTCAAACAGCTTGATTCGAGCTGCAGGGTAAGGTTTATGGAACTTATGCTCCTGCTTCACGTGCGAGTGCACTATCGGCCCTCCTCAAACCCGCCCCGCAAAACCAATAACCGAAGCGATTCGGGAATGAAGAGGACGATGGATTAAACGAGTGCCACGATGTAGATGAGGACGAGTGGGGTCAGATACGCCGACTTATCCTAACGCATCGAAGTTCCGAAGTCGACGAGCGTTCCGATGAGTGTTCCCTCGGGACATGCGTTACACTCAGCCCTGTACAGCCCAGATCATCCACCGGGCCGTGATGCTCACCAATCTCCCCAGCTGCTGGCGACGCGGTGTTCTGTTGTTTGCGGTGTGCGCCTTCTCGCTCAGGTTCGAACACGCCGTTGCTTATCCGTGAGCTATACTGAACCTCCGGAAGTCTTCGTACAGCCCTCGTTGACCAAGCGAAAGGTGTATTCATTATAAATGGCATAAGCAGTCTGGAATAAGCATTGAGCTTGGCTAATTAGAGGAGACCTGCTTATTCCAGGGTACTTATTCCATTAATACCAATGTGACATTGGTATTTAAAAGTTAACAAGAGCATGAGGGACGGAGACTCATGAGGGGTCAGTGTAACCGGCAGCTGGCTCCCCAGTTTTTGATGGGCCGAACACTGTACGCGACTACCTCGTTTGACAGGCTGTAGGTTGTTCGGAGGGCCGCTTTGATGATGGCTCTGACGCAGAAGGGCACACGTTCCGGACATGCAGTTACGGCCTCGGCACGGCCTCGCGATCATTTCGGTGTGGTACAGGTAGTCGTCGTGCCACAGTCGGTGGTTTATATCAATATAAACATGGAATTGATATCCAAGAGTTGATAGCTCTAAGAGTTGATCGAGGCATGCCGAACGGGACTCATGGGAGGTGACTACCATCATGCGACACGTCGGAACAAGACCCCTACCAGTGTGCCGGTAAGCACTCCAGGGTACAATGCGTGGACAAAAGTCTCCGCCCGATCCCCAATTTTACCCCTTCCATCTACTATACCCTCCAACTCAATTGAACCATAACGCATCCAATTCTGGTGATAGAATTCTCAAATAAATTATATTTAATAACTAAGTCAATAGTGTGTATACCAACCACTGGCGCGCCTCACTGCAGGTATTCGGTCCTCCAGTGACTCCATCAAGGCCCGAACCTGCTCCGGATCGATCTCTGACCACGCCTGCTCAATTAACTCGTGTGCATAGTAGCGATAATGGGGGATATTATCCTTCAATTCAGAAAATTCAGGCTCGATTTCACGTATATTCTTCTTCAGAAGTCGCCAAACGTGCTCAATTGGGTTCATATCGGGGCTGTGAGGAGGCCAGTCGATACAGTGGATGCCGTGCTCCTCCATCCACTCCGGAACACCACCAGTGAGGTGAATTTTCGCGTTATCTTGAACAAAAGGATCTCCAGCCTCGTAGAACGGAAGCAGGCCTTCCTCGAGAACCCATTTGTATGACTCTTCGGATACTCCTCCGCGCGGAGCATCCGGATCGAGTGGGCAGAAGACCAACTTGCCTAGTCCTCCTTCTCTGCCGCGTAGCCAGATCATAGACCACATCATTATCGAAATACGAGATTTGCCGTGATCCGTCTCGTTCACGAGATCATAACGATACCGCTCTGAAGAGAATCGGATGGCCCAATCGCCTGGATTATCGGATGAGTTTTGGACCGTATATTCGTCTGAGAACATAGCTCGTAACAACTCCTCCAGGCGTTCTGGTGTGCTATAATAATTGGCAAAAGCGAGCCTCTTCTGAGCGTCCTTATCTGTGAGCTTGATTCGCTTCGCTGCGCGCCACTTTGGAGGCCGTGTGCGTGACATATCCTCTTGATAGTCTTGGGAGAGCACGAAACGCAGGCTTCGTTTCGAATCTTCTGCCACGTCGCCCTGGGGAGCTCTCTCGCCTTTTCGATCACATGAGCGCGTTCGCGAGTATTCAAAACGGGTGGGCGACCGCTCCTTGGAGCAGATTTCGGTGTAGAAGTGGCCTCAAAGTTAGTGGTAATATCAGAGATGGTTTTCAGGCGCTTCGTTTTAAACGCGGTTGCAACATCCCTATGCGTTCTGCCGTCGATTCGTGCCGCCACGATTGCCGAGCGAGCTTCTGAAGTGAATTCGCCGTTAGCGACGCGATTACCGCTTAATTCGTCCCCAAAAGATCGTAAATCCATTATTAATTGCGGTGTTGAGAGAGTGGTGAAGTCGAAGGGTGATTGACGCGTTGTTTTGATCTGAAGGAGATTGTGGTGGGTCGGGCGGAGACTTTTGTCCACCCAGTTTAGCAGAACCACCCCAGATGTGGCCGGCTTTTGTGAGTCGCTGACTGCCGGTAAGCAGATTCGGGAGATTCAATCAATGCCGGCATCCCTGCAGTTTTGATCCTGCATCGCATTAATAATAACAAAAGATAATGGAGGCACCGCCGCTCAATTTGGCTTCATTGTCGTGTCTATCATCGATCATGCCCACGGACTGCATTGGCGCAAGTGCAGAGAGAAATCCTGTCGTTAGAAGGTTCCCCGGGCGTGCACGAGAAACACCTTGTTGCGTGGTCACGTGACCACTAGTCCCCACTATTGGGGGCTATTTGCCCATCTGCACTTTGCCTTCCTTTTTGCTGTGCAATACCTCTCTCTCCATATGATTTTCTTACCGACTCGGAGGACGAACAAGTGTTGTATTCGCCGTTCGACGCGGCAGTGCACGCCCGGGGCAAAGAAACGAAAGCTCGAGCTCTGCAGTGAGGACTCCACCAACGAGTGGAGGACCGGGGTTGGTGAAACGATGTCCACTGTCGAAGGGGGCGCCCTGTTCTGGTTCATGGTTGTCAACGATTACCTACACGCGCGATCTCTAACCATCTTGACCATCACATTTCATATCCCGTCAGGCCCTCTGACGAAATACCCGAGCGATAGGAGGATTCGGGACGTAATCATAATACTACGTTGGTAGACTGTGCACCCATTGTGCATTATCACCGTCGCAGCTGCGCAGCGCACCTGGGCATCGGGCAAGGATCATCCTCCTCATCTGGACGGGCTGGACGGGTGATTGATGACGAGATCTCTCGCAATCACAAAAGCCGTTGGGGGGCTGTGGGCCAGCCTTACATGCATGCAGTTGACTGTTTCACCAATGAAAGCACACTGCAACTGCAACTGCAATGCCTGTCTGGTCCAGTCGGGCAACACACCACTCACGAGGCCTGTGCCCGTCTGGCCTATCGCCTACGCTGGCTGGCTGGGTCACAGCATGCAGCACCTACCTGACAAATTTCCCAAGTTTTTCTTTTCCGTGATGAAGAGAAGAAAAGAGGGGCATGGGCCCGTGGAAAGCTGCACCGAGGGGAGAGAGATGCAGCGGGCCTGAGCATTGGGCGGAGAAGAAGAGGTTATCCACAGAACAATTCTGTAACATCTTGCGTGGACCTGTCGTGCCGCCGTTTGACTGATGATGATAGTGATGAGACCAGAGCACATACAGACATCTGGTTCGTTCAGATCACATAGATCAAACGACCGAACACACCTGGCAGCAATCACTGATCACCACCACTTGGTTCCCAAGGACCGTCGACTCGAGAGTCGAGACCAGGCTAGAGGAGCAGAGCGAGGACAAGGATAAGGACAAGGACAGCGGCAGGACCCCTGGCCAAAGGCAAAATACCCATGCGGTTAATCGTTGGACCCACGCAGCCACGCAGCCACACGGCCACGCTGCAAGGTCCAACGTCCCCGGGCCAGGCCGATGTGACCCCAGAGCACGCCGCTCCTTTCCCAACGCGGCCGCCTGCACTGACAGGTCACAGGCAACGGTTTCAAGACCGGCGCCACCGAGCCTCTTTTGTAACCCTGCCGCCCTGTCCGGCCCAGGATTGGCGCCCTGTGCGGCATGTTCCTTTGCTGCCTTTCCCTGTCGAGAAGGTGGTTGGTTGTTTCTTTGCTTTTTATGTGAGTCGACGACGGCCGTGAGGTTTGTGTTTTGGGCTTTGTTATTCCTTGCAGTGCTACAGTACAAGTATACGGTACGTAAGGAGGTGGATGAGAGCAGGGGGAAGAAAAGAGAGGAGGCCGTTGGATCCATCCCTACCCTGCCTACCTACCGCGCATTATTCAACGCCTCCTGCAGGCTGCGATCACGGCCCCCACGATCCACGGGAATCTCAAATGAACTGCTTTTATTGATAAAGGCTCTCTCTTAGCATTTGCGGTCCCTTCCCTTCCCTTTCGCTATCCTGTTAAGGCCCGCAAATCTAATACGTGTAAACGATGCGCCGCGACTCGCGCCCCTGGATGACCATCAGCTCGCCCATGCGTCTTCAGTGATCGATCTTGTCTGCGTCCAAGACAAGCCCAGAAGCGGGTTCGAATACAACCTCGCCGCACAGTTGTCCTGTCGCGTTTCGATTGCTCTCTTGATGTATCTCCCAGCGAGAACTTCCTCGTCGACATTCCCCACTTCAGATCTTCGGACGTAGATCAACCATGTCGGACTTCCGCTTCTCCGACTCCAACTTTGGCGAGCCGGAGCCGGTCTCCAACCGCCCGGAGACCATCTATGGCCTGGTCATATCGTTCATGGTACGCTGGTGCGCAATACATTCCTTGTTCCATATGCTCGTTGTTGCGGTCTCGAGTTCCAGGACCATAGAGCCACTCTTCTGACACTTGCTCGCTCTAGATACTATCATGGGCAGCCGTTCTCCTTCGACTATACGTACGCTTCAAGATCGTGCGGGCCCCGGGTTGGGATGATCTTTGTGTTGTAATGTACCTGGTGAGTCGCCCTCCAAGCCACATCCCAACAGTATCGACCACAACGGAAAACCTCTGACACGCCCACAGCTCACGACGACGGCTGGATCGATCGCCATATGCATAAGCACAAAGTACTACGGGCTAGGCCAGCACTTCCTGCTACTAACGCAAGCGCAATGGCTCGGCTACCTTAAGACCTTCTACGTCGCGAACGCGGCCTACGTAGTCTCGACGGCCTTCATCAAGCTGGCGCTGCTCCTGCAGTACCGGCGCGTCTTCGAGCGCGGCTACGTCATGCACCGCCTCATCACGGGCCTGACCGTCTTCACCGCGCTGTGGGGGCTCGCGTACTCCTTCATCGCCTGGTTCCCGTGCTTTCCGGTGTGGGAGTTATGGATCGCCGACCCGGGGGCACATTGCTACGGCTACGGCTCTAAGACGCCGGGTCCGTTTGTGGCAACCTACGAGAGCCACTCTGGCATCAATATGGTGCTCGATATCATCGTGCTGTTGATCCCGCTGCCGCTGTTCTTCAAGGAGAGCGCGACGTTCGCGACGCGAATGCGGCTCGTCGCGCTGCTGTCGATGGGCACTCTGTAAGCTCACCCTCCCACCACGTCTCACCGTATGCAAAAGGGGTCAAGCGAAAACCCGCGCTAACACGTCTTCCTGCAGCGTCATCGTCCTCGCCAGCTGGCGCCTCGCGAGCATCGTCGAGCACCAGGTCACGTGGTGGCCGACGCCCGACCCGACGTGGTACGGACCGATCATTTACCTGCTCGCAGTTCTCGAGGTCGACGCGGCGGCCGTCTGCGCTAGTGTGCCTATCTTCTGGCCCGTGTTGACGGTGCAATGGGGCAAGATATTTGTGACGCAAGAGGTCGCCATCACGCACGAGACGCGGTATGGGTACGACGACCACCACAACCACGACGACGAGGACGGCCTGAGGCGCGGCACCACGCACAGTCGCACCGGCAGCGAGCTCGAGATCATCAGCGGCAAGGGGTCGCGGCTGAACGACCCCGGTCACTACCAGGACTCGTACATTCTGTCCCAGGTCGACCCGCTGCGGTCGCCGTCCACGCGGGTGCAGACGAGCGCGAGGAGTGATGGCATCAGAGGGGGTTCTAGGAAATGGATCAAGATCTGATAGATAATGCAATGATATATAAGCCGTCGTCGTTGGCTGCTCAACTCAAATCCATGGGCGTTTGTCGTCCATATGCTTCTACCGACGTACGCGATGTAGCTCCCGACTAACTTGTGGTCACGGCAATGCCCATCCCCTTCGATACCTCCCGGTTCTTGACTCGAACTCAGTAAGCTGCCGAGACGAACACTGTGTGAAGTGATTGTTATGATAACTCAGCTAACTTATACCTACCTTACAAACCCAGTCCCAATTGCCAAGTATTCCCCTGCAGATGGGTGTGATGTCCTCCGGCCGTAGCAGCTCGTACACTGAACCCTCATGATCTCCGTACAACACCCGTCTCAGCAAGCAACGGTGTACCCATCGAATTGTATAAGCATTCAAGAGGATGTATCAAATTAAAGCTGCTTATTCGTGAGGGCTGACTGTACTCAAGGACTTCACAGAAATCAAACAAACATCCACCGACAGAACAGAGCGCTTCGTCGTATTGCCTCCGGACGGATGGGGCTTTGGCTAAAGGATGAAGATAGTGTGGACCTTCCTGATCCCAGGAGGTGGTGGCGGGAAAGGCCGCACTGGTCCACAAGGTTCCTCGTCGTCCGAAGAGCTTGAGCTTTCGTCATCGTCGTGACAACTTTTGTCGTCGTTGCTTAGAGGCATGTGCCGCTCTGTAGAAGGGCTGATCGGCCCGGCATGATTTCCACCGTCATCCGCCTTGTTCGCGGCGTGCTCACGGTCCAGTCCGGCATCATCAATATCATCGTCGGTATCGGACTCTGGTCCTGTTGACGTCTTTTCACTATCGGAGGGGGTTTCGAGATCCTGGGGTGTCCATTGTTGGGTAAGAAAGTCGAGTTGCTCAAAAGCACACCGCCAACAGCCGTGATTATCGAAGAGGAAAGTGTGATACCCACGCTGGACGCATATCGAGACTGCAGTTAGTCGCGCTTGCCAATTGCCATAACACTTGATCACGCCAGGTAAACTTGGGTGAGGGCTCAGGAGCTCTTCCCAGTTTTCGACTGTGACCAGCTCCCGCTCCGGGGCTTTTCCGACAGCATCACCCGTGCAGCCATTTAGAGGCACGACGAATTTAAGCCAGGAACTTGAGAGCGCACGCAGTATGTTCACGTCGCCAAGCCAATCACCGCTGTCGTAAGCAGAAACAACGGCTTCGACAAAGCTCCCGTTAGAGATCTTGTTGTGCGCACCAAAATCGATCTCCCTGGTATAACCCGTGAAACGAAGGTGCAGCGACGTGCTCGTGAAGTGATCTTCGAGTCTACCGTCGAACTGGTTGTGGTTGACGATTTGCCATTTGGCGAGGTCGGATTGTCGGCATTCGACACCGGACACTCGAGAAAACCATCCGATGAGGGTCAGTCCGGGTCTGTCCGGACTCACTAGTCAGCAACTGTGGCAGTCATGGCGTCGTAGCGACAATACAGGGGTGAAATATATGTAGGGAGACATGTGGAGGAACCAACGGTGGGGTTGAATACCCGGAGACATGCAAGGGAACAGGGCCAACCGGATGCTAGAGGAATCTGACACACGGATACTGACCTTCCTACGTTCCCCCGGACTCGTCGAAGATCGTTTAGTGATGATGACCGCGAGGTAGGGTTACCCATGATCGTTGAATCGATATAGAGCGTATTTTCCGTAGACACAGCGAGCACTCCGTCCCAATCTGAGGCAGGTTGACCCGGTGTTGACGAGAATAGAGGGCCTAAATCGTGACCTGTCTCTAGGAGAACCAGCAGCCTGAATGTGCGACCGCGAGACAGGCGGCAATCAAACGTTCTCTCTAGATGTTGTGGCGTTTTCGATCTGGGCAGTGGCGCCCGGGTCATATTCTGAGCGAAGACGTGGTGCAGGGCCTTAGTTCCCACTATACCAGGGGAGATCGTTGCCCCTGGCAAGTTCGTATAGAGATCAGTCCCAGCAGAAAGAAGCGGGAGGAAAGAGAAGAATTCGGAGGCCCGCATAAGGCGGAGTAATCCTCGTGCATCGAGTGTCTTGGTGCGAAGGCAATGTTCGATTTCAGCTCGTGACTGGGGGACACCAGATACCGAAGGGGAATGTCGATAAAATGGGGTGAAAATGGAGTATTGATGGGTTTGAGCAATTTTAAAGAATGAATAACAAGGTTGCTGTCTATCATTTTCGTCCTTGACGACCCCGTTGCGTCGCAAAAGGGATTTGATTGCTTTGGGCGGCTTGTACCAATACAGACGGGTAGCTAGAGGCTCATCGTTGCTGATATCCACAGACTCAAGCGGGGTGTGGATTAAATACCCGCCGTCAGACCGGATTTCTTTTATTTTGTCGTATCCAGTCTTGGACCGCTCCAAGTCCGGCGGCGTTATCTTGGAGTAGAACAGTAACTCAACCCATTCCGCACCCCGCTCCCCGACAAGCAGAAGGAAGTGGTTTTTTACTGGTCCAGCAGGGGCTGGCGCATGTGGCCGCTTAGCCATAAACTGTTGTATCGACTTCTCCAGGAACATGTCCTGATCAGCTGTTTCGTGTAGGGCTTCGACAAACATTAACGTGTCAAGCCCGAAAAGACGATACCGGGGTGTCACAGTCGGGTCGAAGCGCGTGTGCATGATCGTGGCAAAGCCCGGGCGTCGCAGGCCCAAGTGAACCAGCTTGCGGATCTCCTCACGCTTCGCAGGTAACCTGTCATTACACAAGCCGATGGCGTCCTTTAGGATGCGGATCCAGGATCCCTTCAGCATACCTTGAGCAATGCTTGCCTCGTATGAGGCCGTGATCGTTTCTTCGAACTTGGTTACGGCAAGTTCGATGAAACTCAAAGCTGACTCCAGCGAGACTGTCTCGTTCTCGGACCATAGTCCAATCATGGCTCCGAGAAAGATCAAGACGAACTCGGTGAATGTGAAACGCGAGTTGCCTGAGGGTGTAGAAGCAAGTGAGCGAGAAGTTGTTCTGGTAGTGCCGTAATAGCGAAGATGTCCCAGGCTTAAGGACCAATGCACACCACTGCCTCTCGAGGTGTCTTCGACGGCGATCGGTGTCGCTAATCCAATGGTGACGACGCCTCCAGATTCTATCAAGACGTCGTTTTGCTTGATATCTTGGATCTGAGGGCCTAAGATGATGAGATCGGGGTATAGATGCCACGCGACGAGGGCCACCACGACAGCCCCATCCTGAATACTGTAGCTTGTCCCAGTGATGACATTCTCAAGAGTTTCAAGTGAAAGCTTCCATGCTTCTGTGACGCTGGTGTAGAGATCTTGACGACTGTTTACCGAAGCATTCAGGTGGTTCAACAGGCCCCTGACCGATTTCTGGCGTGAACGGATTACCGGGGCGTCATCTGCTGCTGCAAGCCATGCTCTTGCACTGGCATCCCAGTTGGCGAGTTGGTCTTTCTCAAGTGTGAGCTTGGAGCTTATCGCCTCAGTCAAGTCGAAGTAATCTGCGCTCGATGTTTTCTCTTCCAAGCGTCTCTTGCGCTCTGACACTATTTCCAACCAAATGGCAGTCGCCTCGTCAGCTCTCCAGCAACATGCGATAAGGCATGCAAGTAGGTGGGCAGCGATGGCGGCAGACCCTGACGTGGCAGCAGCCCAGATTGACGTGCCACTGTTACAGAAGATCGTTAGCAGATGTGTCTTCAATATCCCGACTTCATCCTGTGTACACCAAGGCAACGACGTACTCCACTCCGACATAGTCACGGATTGGGCCATATTCCTCAGTGCCGCGCGGGTTCACAGCTGGCGACTTTGCGATCTCGGAGGCTCGTGTACCGTAAGCTCTAATGAGATTCTAAGAAAGTGTCAGACTGAACGAGGCGAAGACGGAGCTTTCGAGGCCTATCCGACTCTGCAAAGCATGTTTTGCGCAACTTACGGGTGTTTCTGGGAGCATGGTATGGAAAAGGGATCCTAAGCGTCGAGCCGTGACATGAGCTGATCCGGCCTCAGCCTCAGACCGCTTCTTTTCCGCAAGAGCTAGACCGAGTTCTTTATACTCCGCTGGAGCTTCAAACTTGATCAACGAGAAGTCAAAGTTGGCATTGGCCAAGGCCAATGTAGTTTCCTGCGTCGCTGAAGCTAGAGAGGCCTGGATCTTCCCGATGGAATTCATGTTCGTGTTTCGCAGTGGTGGGGTCAGGCCTCGCCGGTGTCGAGTCTGAGGCTTGGAGCTGCTATTGACTCGACAGTGAAGATCTGGGCTATTGGGAAGCGAGGTCAATCCTGGAAGTCGTTGTAAGAGGGAATATGATCACATCTAGTTTGCTTCAGGAGAGGATCTCCCCAGCGGCGTCGTAGGTGTGGCGATTACTCCGCATGTTCAGGATGGTGACATCTGCGCAGCCTGCCTGCCTCCTCAAGGCACCTGCATGGTGCAGCGTCCTACTCGTCGCCCCCTCATGGTTTCCGACTGCCCCTCAGAAGGCTGCGGACTTGGCCCCCAACGGCTCGGGCTGTCATACGCAGCGTGACAGAGGCGCAGGCACCTTGCTCGGCAAGCGGAGTGAACCAATTGGTTATAAGTAGGTGGTGCCTCATTCCGATGGTGCCGATCACCAAATCGAAGGCGTTGAGCCGTGAGATGTGTAAAATGGCCATTGCACGATGAAGCACGGTCGTACTCGGCGAGGCTACATTACCTACGTACCCGACTTAATTAGGTGACGCCACACCGCCCGACACCAGCCTCCAAGTGGCTTGGTATCGGTTACGATGTGCCTTTTGGTAGCTGTGATGGCCTGCACAGACCTTCCCACATGACAAGTGGATACTTCCTAATAGGGGAAGGATCTGACCAGAGGATCCCCTTAAAGGGGCAACCTCCCACTGTACCTATCTCTCTCTCTTCCTTTCCTCTCTAGTCTTGATATTCTCGTTAATAGAGTAATAGCTGCTTGCTGCCGGCCATGTCTTAGCTCCTCAGTACGCTCGCCGTGACATCGTTTGTCTCTGTCGTCGCTGCTCAGTGCAGGGTCAGGGAGCCTTTTCTCCTTGGCTGAGCCAGCACCTGGATTATCAGTGTCGCAGAGAGCACCCTCTTCGTAGATGGGCAGCACCAGGCTTCCTTTCGGGCAGGGCTGGCCGGTTTCGATATGGACTTTTGGGGGTAGAGTGACCTCGACTTTCTTGTCAAGTTGTAGGATTTGAGCGATAACCATTGGATCGACGCCAAGGAGGTTGGTCAGCAATTTCAGCTTGTCTAAGTCGATAATAGCGTTCCCTCCGAGTCCATATTCTGTGGCATTGATTTGGTATACCGGGATCGCCTGGGTCGCCTCTCGCTTTCCTGGTACGGTCGTGTCGGGTGCAGCAACGGCACCCCATACGTATCTAGCGAAAATGCCAGCGAGCACGATAGAAACCCGGCTCGAGTACATGACGCTTGTTCTTCGTGAGTCGCGGATGAGGGAGTCGTTCGCAGTAGGGGGGATCTTCTGATGTATCGCTTCCTCTCGTGTAATGGATGACAAGTCTGGGTTCATCTCGGGAAGGGGCTCCTCCCATGAGTTATACCGCTATGTTTAGCATGGGTAGGAATATTCATGTGGTGAGTCTGCGTCATTACGAACCGACCCAGTCGACCGTCAGCCAGGGTTGGTCGGTGAGGGGAGGTATTGGAACTTAGTGAGCCCCGCTACGCCGCAATCCCCATTCCAGAGAAGTAACTTCCTTGAAGGGTTCAAAACGTTACCGTGGGCATGTGTCCCGTCGATCTGGTCTTATCACTTGTGCCAACGTGTTTCTGCCTATTTTTATATTTTAGCAAAAAGTACCACCCGTGCCGCTGGCCTGTCTACATAGACCCGCTGAGCAGTAACATGATTACAGTACTGGCTGCCGGTGCATCTGTATAGGGGCGGCTCGGCAGTCATGATCGAAGGATTGTTACCTCTAGCTGTACCAAGGCCAATCTGCACTCAAACCGAAAAACATGATCTGATTGCCTCGAGGTCGAGCAGTCGGGTTGAGATTAGAAAAGAACCTGCCGGAATGCTACCGAGCCTACCACGCAAGCGTCGATCTCACTGAACCTCCGTGCGACTAGCATTCGATATCTGTGCAAACATGTTAAATTAGAAGTTGTTCGCAGCTTCAGGAAGATGCCCGACCCGGCGCAGATACCGCATGTCGGTGGGTGGTTTTTGATCTCGCCAGAACGATGTTGTCGTGCCGTACTAGTTAGGTGCTGGGGAAACGGCCTCCCGTTTACTGGGTCATAGAACGGGGCATTGCGTTGTGTGAGCTGGGATCCTATCCTAGATCCATACTTTTGATCCTCCCGTGCACCCAGTGCCTCGCTTCGGTCTACTTACTTACACACCGAAGGATCCGCGTATGGAAGCGGGTCTTTGCGTCACTAAGGACCGGTTGCCTCCCTTGTGGTTTCCCTCACTAGCAGATAACAAATACCTGCTTCACCCACCAATGCGACATATATCGAACGGCTACTGGAACGATGTGTACACCAGAGGACTGGGGTCCACTGGGTCACTTTGTCACTGGACAGGAGGTTTTTCTGACAGAATCGTGCTTACGTATTGACTAAAAACCATCTGGACACTCCAGGTTGGTACCGCTACAGCGAGGATGGGCTCGTGTGCGGATCTGAATGTATCTAGACTGACACCTCTACAACCTTGCGATGCAATGGCTCTGGGAGGCGTGGTTTGCCCTGTTGAGGGACTGCACCCACAATAAATAAATAAATAAAATCAATCAATCAATCAATCAATCAATCATGTTGCGGGTTCGTCGCCTGACTGTTGCCCAAACGAACATATGCTGAGATGGTAGGTAGGTGGTCGGGATCATGGAGGCCTCCTTGGGATGATTGACGCGAAGGAGAGTAGCGACCTTGTTGGCGGCACGAGCTGGTCATACATAACGCCCGGCAGACGTCTAGTTGACCTGCACTGCTGTGCCAGTGGTAGTGACGCCACTTGAGAGCTCCAGCAGCAAGTGTAGTTCCGGCCATCGGAGAGGACGCATGCCTCAGTCTCAGGAACGCTTGCTCAAGGGATACCCTCATAGTTGATTGTCCTCGTCTGGGGAAGACGAAGTATCACCTTGCAGGAAAGAACCGACATGAATCGGCCGCCAGATTTGCCTCGACTAGAACGGGGTTTGTGATTGAATTACTTGAACATCAACCATGCAAACATGGCATCTCGTCAATGCACCATCTTATAAACCGTTGGTTCTTTGGACTGGAAAGACAGCACCTGCTCAAGTTCCAAATATTGTTCGTTTACGGTCATGACGACGCTCAGCTCGCCCCCTTTCTCACGGCGAATACACAGGCTTGGTTCGCTCAAGACTGATGCCGATCATACTTCCAGTTGAATGCCCCCTTCCTGCGCGTTGCAAGTCAATCTCCCTATTGACTGCTTTGTTGGCTTCGTATTTCAGCTATAAATCACAAGAGTGCCCTGCGGATGCTGCCTCTAGTGTTCTGGCTCAGTGGGAAATTTGCCTTAATCACCAAGGCTAACCTGCTGCAATTACGACATACGAGCTATCGAGAGAAACTAGAGTTTTAATAGCTATGAAGCTGTGACGCTTGACTCTCATGCAATCTTGTTGCATTTACAAGTACTCAAACTTGTGGACGAGGCGTAAGTCACGACAAAGAACTCATACAAAAACGTAAAATTAAACAGAAATCGAGGTAAGGTAACTAAGTTGAAAGAGCGCAAGACGTATAAAAACTCTAATAATTGATTGTTATGTTCTTGAATACAGGAAAGGTCGTGCCGGACCGAACCCGGCCGCCTCGGACATTTGTAATGTCCGAATTTCACTCAAGCCTGAACCCGGGTCTGGCTGGTCCTTCATCGAGAGATTGGCGTTCTCGGACTTCGGACTATGGTATAGAAGATCTAAAGTATGTATATAATACCCGAAGTAGCATCCACTCTGCTTTTCTTCGATAGTTCGCTCAACAGCTAACGACGGAAAAGCCTAACAGTCCTCCCTTATCATTTTCTTGAGTGCAGTGCCAACCCTACCTCAAATCTTACCTCACCATGTCGCCAACCATTGCTATTGTTGGCGGAGGCCCATGTGGCTTGACTCTTGCACGCCTGCTAGAGTGCAACGGCTTCGACTACGTCGTCTACGAGCGAGACGAGACCGACGACGCCAGCCGCGGGGGTGGCTCTCTCGACCTCCATAGCGAGACGGGCCAACTCGCCATTCGAGAAGGCGGACTGTTCGACGAGTTTAAGAAACACGCCAGATACGATGACACCACGTTCAAAATCACGGATCAGCATGGCGAGATCTTATTGGACGTTGGTCAGGGTCGCGACGCTCCGGAAATTGACCGCTTCCTCCTGCGCAGAATCTTCCTGGAATCGATCCCGAAGGACAAGATCCGTTGGGGTCATGCTGTTACGGGTAACAAACTCGACGAGGACGGCGTGCCGGTTCTCGAGTTTTCAAACGGTTCCACAGCATCTGGCTTCAAGCTCGTCGTTGGAGCGGACGGCGCATGGAGCAAGGTTCGACCACTGGTATGCATATAACTGGCACAATTCCATGCCATCTACAGCCTTGCTAATCATAGCTACATTAGATCAATCAGGCAAAACCCATATACTCGGGCAAGTACTTTGTCGAGTCGAGGATATACCCCAGCAGTCCCCAATACGGAGCTCTGGCCACCAAAGTAGGGACTGGCACACTTGACGCGCTGGGCCCGTACCAGCAGATGATCGTCCAGAAACAGGGCGACAGCTCTTACAGGATCTATTACGGATTTCTAGCACCCGAGGACTTCGCGAGCAACGGAACCGTTGACCTGTCCAACGGTGAAGCCGTGCGAAAGCTATTGCTCTCCAAGGATTTCTTCGGAGACTGGGTCGAAGAAATGAAGGACCTGATCCGCCACTCTGACACCTTCCGCAGCTGGGCTCTATACTCCTTGCCAGCCGAGTCACTGGACTGGAAGCCTGTCCCCGGGGTGACCCTCATCGGGGACGCGGCGCATGTGGCCGTCCCATTCGCAGGAGAGGGGGTGAATTCTGCCATGAAAGACGCGCTGGTGCTGGCAAAGAAGATCGCAGAGCATAGGACCGGCGACGGCTTAGAGCGCGCCGTCCGCGAATATGAGCAAGATATGTTCCCCCGCGGTCGTGACGTAATAACCAGGAGCATGAAGAACGGAGAGCTCCTGTTCAACAAGGAAGGCCCGCACGCTTTCATTCGCGCGTTGACAGACGGCTCCTTCTGATAGGTATTGGGGAAGAGTAGCAGCGTGTACACATGTATAAGAAGACGGGGAAGGCACGGGCAATCCCAACTCATTCCAAGTAGGATCAGCAAAACCCCTCCTACATATCACAGAAGTCCAGCAGAAATACAGGATGGTTCGCCGACCTTGAAGACTTCCCCTTGATAATCTGATTTTTCTATAGCCCCCAGCGTCAACTACCTACTGCAGCAAGAGGGATCTGGTCAATCATTTAACTAACGAGCCTGGAACTAGCCGTGCTGCCGGCCCTTCCACCTACTGCATCCCATCGTCCCTGAGCTGTTTCGAGGGTTGCTAAGATTGCCGTAGACGATGGGTACCTCTTCAAGCTAGGTAAGCTCCATGCAAGGGCGAAGATGTTCGCCTAACCGGCTAACCCAGTGTCTGGAATGCAGGGATAGCATCTGAACCTGCTTGTCACGCCAGCGAACGCCCGCAAAGCTATTGGCCCTTGAATTCAACAATACACCGAATCCTCATAAGTCTCCGTACACCGCCCGTCTCAGAAAGAACGGTTAAATCATCGAATTGGAATAAGCATATTGGAACAAGCATTGGAAGTAATATATCAGACTAAAGCTGTTTATTCCTGTATGCTTATTCGAGTATTTGTTTCCTATTTAAATCTGGTTGACCTGGTTGGTCCGGTCTTGCCATCATGCGCGTACGGAGACATATGAGGGCTGAGTGTACCTACGACCTGTCTTGTGCTCTTGTCTGTTCCTAGCCCTATATATGGCGCAGGCTATGATAGCCTCCAAGCCTTCCGCTTCTCAGTCGACATCAGATGTTTCTTTAAGCCCAGGGAAACATCTTCGTCAGCTCAGTGCATCGGAACAGCCATCGTCAACCAAGGCGTAACACCTACTTCTTAGCATTTTCAAGAACAATCTTGGCAACAGCTCGGCTGGGACCTTCCCAATGATGCCTGGACTTCATGAACCAGAGAGTAACAGCGGCCACAAGTACGAGGCCCGTCACAGGTCCGCTGTAATTCAAAGTTGAACCATCGACAGGGACGGTCTGTGGCCAAGGGAACCATATGACGGCGTAAATGGTATACACCAAGGCAATCACATTAATGGGAGCTCCCCATTTCCCCAAGTTCCACTCTCCGAGTTTGAAGCCAGATGTAAAGCGAGCGTACAAGACCACGGCAAGTATGATCGCATCTAGGTAGAGAAGAACGCTTGATTAGTTGCCGTAGCCTGTGATTAGGTAGGTAGGGCGGCAGTCAGCGATATTGCTTACTATCGAGGCGTCAGCAAAGGGTTCAAGTTCATAGGGGACCACGGACTCCACGTTTCCAACGGGGTAGTTTTACGTACCAACTGATATATAGAGCTGTAGTCGCTAAGGAGGAAATGGCTCCTAGAGCGACAAAGGCGCCGCTTCCTAAGTTCAGTAAGCTCAAGAGGGCGATGATAACCGAGTTCAAGCTGACGGCACGCAGAGGAATACGGTATTTGCCATCGACATGACCGAAGTACTGCGGCAGCCCACCGTCTCGCGCCCATGCCCATGTCAGTCGCGAGGCTGACGAGATGGTGCACATGGCAGAAGACCATTGCAAGAATAGGTAGAACGATCCCATAGCAGTCGTGGCTTTTATAGATCCAGTCACATGGAGCATGGTGGCGATTTGCGGGTTGGCGGCTGCGATGAGCACTTCGGGTGACGGGATGACGAACATCAAGACGATCGAGAAGATGAATCCCATTAGGCCGCCGGTGACGACAGACCATAACAGCGATTTCGGAACAACGACTTGGGCTGTCTTCGACTCTTCACCCATGTTGATAACACCCTCAAAACCTGGATGATGATATCAGTCGCAATCCACGTCGAGACGCACGGAGTGAGAGGAAGTATTTAAACTCACCAATGAACAAGAAGAAACTGGACAGTGCTCCTACATGGGAAGATGCATAAAAGTCCTCCCAGCCGGACAGAGTACCGGAGGTGGTAAAGATATCGACGCTGTTACGTGGGCCCATGACGAGGTAGATGACGACGAAGGCCAGGAAAAGAATGAGGGACAAGATTCCCGTGATGAGTTCGACGAACGGGACCACGCGGAAGCAATAAAGGTTGACAAAAGTCATAGCGGACAATACCGCAAGAGTAATAAGCATCGTGCGCCAACCTGTTTGCTCGTAGTCCGAGTAGTTTATCTGGACGAGAGCTTCGAGCAGTGGTGCTGGAGTTGATTACACTAGCAAGAATAGCAATACAGCCAGCCCAAGTCAACCAGCCCTGGATCCAGGTAAGGCATCGCCGGCAACTAGGTGGTGCAAAGTGGTAGGTCCAGTAGTACTGGGCACCGGCGATAGGCTGGATTGAAGACAATTCTGCGAAGGAAGCAACTTGAAAGCAGGCGAAGAAGAAGATGATGAGGTAGCCGAAAAACCATGCCGAAGGGCCGCCGTTGTACATGGCGAAGTACATGTTGCCTCCAACGCCATACCACGTTCCCATGTAGTTGAGATGGAAGGCAAACAGCTTGTTCAAGCTGAAGAGCCTTCTTGTGCGTGTCTGGACGTGTGCAGTGTCCTCCTCGGAGGATACATCGTGAGCTGAGGGCAAGGGCGGCTTCGCTTGCTCCGTGACGTTGACTGATTTCAACTCGTAGTCTGAGTTGTGGCCGGCCATGGCAAATTGGTGAAGAATACAGAGCCGCTCAAGTCAATGAGGAAGAAAGAGAATGATCCGAGATTGAGCCACGACGGCGGGGCCCCATGACACGAACAGCGGGTGCGGGGATTCATGCAGAGAGGACTACCACATCACCTTCTTGGCAACCGGGGTTGTCGCCCCAACCGCCTCATGTTGTGCGGCATGATCCCGCGTACTTCCGGTACACTCAGCCATCATAAGTCTCCGTACACGACCCTTCCAGCGAAGCACGGTAAATATAGAGAGACTCAGGCTGAATGATCACAGTCCTACAGCTATAACCTTCCCTATACTCTCTCGTCATCATGTTACTGGCGTGAATAGTTATGTTTGAAAACTGGCAGCTGACCCTACTGCGCATAGATGCCCAATCACTCTCGCGTTCGCGCTGCCCACCACTCAACATCTCTATCACGACCACATGGACTTCACCTGGTTGAGCGTGCAACCTACATTATGGCAGCAGATCTCGTACGGCTTCTCGATCATCACAGCTTGCGTACCCAGCTTGAAAGTCATCTTTGACGGCGTCCTCAACGACCATGTTGGTTTCGGAATGCCCTACCAACTCGAACCGTTGGCTGGCAGGGCCGGCTTCCAGGTTATCACCAGGTCAGAAGACCATGAGCTCAAGACAAAGTCAAGCGCAGTTTCACGCAATAGAAGAGGTGATGAGGACTTGAAGCTGACGCCTTCGTTGCTGAACCGAGCAAACTGTTACACTGGGAAGAGCTCGCGCCCGGCGGACAAGAGACACAAGGATAACGGAGAGAGGAAAAGCGTACAGAACTTGACAGGCGCTGTCATAGTCGTCCGGAATGAATTTGACGATGAAAGGGGGTGGTCGTCGGGCGGTTCCCACTAGATGTTTTGAACCCTAAGGCTTAATCAGCAAAACCGTGGATGGGTGCTGCGCCACAGGACTTCTTGCATGTGAAATCGGGTAAATGGGTCTCTAGCACTGGCCACTTTGTGACGTCATGATTCCTGCAAGGTGACGAGATGCCTGTCACAACATTGAAGTGACGAAGGGCTCTGGACAACGCATGGCTGGCATGGAACCGCACATAACAACAAGGCCAGTCAATTTCAAGCCTGTCTGTCAAGATCTTCGACTTCGAGCATCGGCAACTTTCCATTTGCCTACTTACTACCTACCTTGAGTCCTGCAGCCAACACTCTACCTACGACTCATCAATATCTCACCTCGCTCAACCCCCGCCTGCCACTATGTCGAGTGGTTTCGTGGGCAACGTTCAGGCCAAGGCCTCGGAAGTCGCGTAAGCTTCAAGTCTGGTCCTCGCCATCTCCCCGCCCGTGCTAATGTTACCACAGGAAGGAGGATTTCGACAAGTTCAAAGCTCTCGCCTCTGATGCTGCCAAGTCCGGTGCATACATGTACCCTTTCAAGTATCTCTCTCCGTATCTCGCTGAATAAGGGTGCACCGTTGCTGATCTCGCATCACTGATTAGGGGCATCGCCTACTTCTGCACTCACAGAGCTCTGTGGAAGCCCTTCGCCTCGCGCATCCTCCCCACTCTCGGCCTCACAGCTGGCGTCCTGGGTGGCATGTTCTTCTTGACCTACCTTCCCCAGCTTGCAGTCCTGGTTTTCGTCAACGGTCCCCTGGCCGTCTTCACCACTGTTCTCTTGATACTCAACGAGAGCTCCATGATTGTGAACATCATCTCCCGCAACTTCATGCTACAGGATGCGCTTCTCGACACGTTCGATGGCACTCTCGTCTCTAAGAACGCGACCGGTATCGTCAGCGAAGGACGCCAGTTGAAGTCGGGTAGCGATCCCATTGCGAGACTTGGCAAGATCATGAAGAGCCCATTCTCCAAGTTCACCCCGAAGGCTCTGGTCCGATACGTCATGTATCTTCCACTCAACTTCATCCCGAGTACGCACGCATCCCGCCTTCTCTTCGTGGGACGATGCTAACGAGAGATGCGCCATTCAGTTGTTGGCACCGCCATCTTCATTCTGATTCAAGGTAAATATAGGTGCCCGTGGTAGTATCCAGCGTGACTGACAATTATCAGGTCGAGGCAGAGGCTCATCAGTTCATGGCCGGGTTTGTTCCTTCCCCGTTCGATTCTAAGACAACGTCTGACATGGGACCACAAGTACTTTCAGTTGAAGGGATGGTCTCAATCTCAGCAGCAGGATTGGCTGGAGCGTCACACTGCCCCGTACACCACGTAAGTACTGGCCATTCAATCGATGTATCCCAGTTGTGGTGGTGCTACAGCCTGTTTCCCACGATATTTCAGCGACCTCGACTGGTCCCAGAGCTGGACATGCTGTTTTCAACGATTGCAACAGTTGGTTAGCACTATAATACTGACAAGAGACCAGGTTCGGAACCATTGCAACCCTTCTCGAGATGGTACCCTTCGCATCAATGTTCTTCGCATTCACCAACACTGGTAGGTCCTGTCTCACCCTGCCACACGTATCTTGACTGACAGCTGGCATTACAGTTGGCGCAGCTCTGTGGGCAGCCGACATCGAGCAGAAGAACACGCAGATGACCGCGGGCACGGCCCCGAATCTGCGAGAGTCTGCGAAGAAAAGCGAGTAGGGAACACAGAAGCTGCACACGGCCGACATCGCCGAAATTACTTTTATCGGAGATTCTGCACAAGTATGCGTAAACGGGCCGCATCTGAAGTTTCTGGCCTGTCACATTCAACTTCGCTTGTAGTGGGTTACAGCTTCGTCAAACTGCCATTGACTAGGTTTGTGTACCGTTCAAGGGAGACTCATAGATGCTACCCGAGATTGCCACCGGTTCCTGACTCTCATTGGCGTGTAACATAATCCTACTAGGAGTTGTTGTCGGAGAATGAATTCACAGCGATAACACTCTGATCTGCTCGGGATATTGCAGATCTTGATGAGAGCGCTCGCTGTCGCGCTATTCCATATGTTAGGGTCCGCCCCTCACGTGCTATCCTAAGCACCGAGCTGGCTGTCTTGGAAAGTAGAGTGTGCATCGCCCAGAAACTGATACATGTTCAGCCAGTGCTGTTGATCAATTAAACCGGGATTAACCAGTATAGGGCTGGGTTGTTAAGATGTGCTGGTACCAGCAGCCATCGAACAAAGCCGTTTCGGCCGTTTGCTCCTCGCAAGAGCGGGGAGTAGCCAGCCGCATCGTGATGCCGCCCGGCTTTACGGACACGGTATATGGGTCTCATTCATCATGATTATGTCCTACGCCATGGCTGCCTATGTATGCCGGAGACTGTGGGCCCGGGAAGCACGGAGAGAACACGGTAGTCCAAGACTCAAATCACATCGTAGTACGTCCCTGACGGCGTAGCACAGCTTTGGGGGCCCTTTGAGACTGGCAATCTATTCGGCGGATAGGCGCATTTGGCATCTGCCTGCGGATGAGGCTCTCTGCAGCTTGGTACATGCAGCCTCAGCTGGGCTGTGGGCACAGTGTGCTACGGCCCCATCAATGGGTCGAGACATCGAAATGGAAACGAAGGTTGACGGTCTGTCCGCCCATAGTCTGGGCTCTTCTTCATCCGAAGGGTGTGCGTCACGATCATCCCGTTCATGAGCTACCAAGTCATCTGGCGGCAGGGGAAAGAATCGCACGATACGACTGTCACTCGAGGCTTACATCACACAAGAGCACACATGTAGCATGACATAATGTTCGACACGACCTTTTCGGACGAGCTCCGCGAGTCTACGGACAGTGTTGGATGATATATGCCGAAGAGTTTCTCTCATAAATTTCGACATGTCTCGGCTCTCGAAGGGTAGATAGGCTGGTGGAATGATTGCAACATGTGAGGGTGGCAAACTACCTACCTACCTATTCACCACGAGCAGGTCCGGTGTGCTCAAATCTGGGTCGACCAAACCACTTCATGCAACTAGACACCTACGAGTGACTCAACCACATTCAGCACAGACGGCAGTGCTGAGATCTTTTGCGTTGGACAGACCGGTCAGTACCTGCAGCCGGCTCTCAACGGTGCTGCGTAACCACAATGCCGAACACTGAGTGGCAGTATGTAGGTCGGGATGGACCTGTCAACGGCTACATGCCTCTACCGGTCCATATATGGCGGGTATGCAGGTCAGATGCCGTCGATGCCCGTTTCTAGAATATCCAGCATCTAGCCCGGTCCCAAGAGGCAAGCAGAACCAATCCTCGGATGCATGCTCGAGTAGTTGGAGTCGGGTAGTATCTACTTGTAGATATCTGATACTCGGACACCCCAACTGAAGCTTCCTGTAGTGGCCGGGGTGCTGGAAATGGATAGAATAGCCGGTGTTCAAAGCTCAAGGCTTGATAATACGGCACTGCGGTACGTACAGGTATTCTCTGGGTAAGTGCAACCACATGGTTGTAAGCAGTATGGTACACAGAAACGGCGTGGTATCTTCGAAGCCAAGATGGAAGCCTCAGGAGCTCATTTCCTAGTGGAAGACATGGCCGTATCGTATCTTCCATCGTTGACGCACACACATTCACATATCTCAGATCAATTACTTCGAGTGTGCTCTCCTGAAGTAGATGTACCTCTTACAGGTATTGAGACATTGGCGTAACGCGACCCAACGCGTGGATGTTGATGTGTACATGTACCTAAGTACAACTCTCGATGCGTACGCGGGTCACAGCTCGAGTGTAAAGGAGGTAGCGAGACCAGGAACGACCTCGAGTGCCTGCCTGACTGCGATGTTTCTGCCTCAAGACCTCGCACCTTCTTCGTTCATATAACTGCCACCTTTCTCGACGACCAGTCCCAAGACTGATTTAATTCCTCGCCGCCTCCACTCTTTTCCTCCATCCGCCTCCAACCCAGCCCTCTCCCTTGAGGTTATCCTCGTCACTCTCCTCCCATATTCGGGTGCTGGCCGCGTTTTTCGCATCACCACGCACTCATCCACACACATCGTCAACCTGCATTCTTTCATTCGTTCCACCCACCTCTCGCGCTCAGGTCCTCACTGAGCCGAAGCACACTCTTTCATCCCCCAATTCCATTTTCGTTCCAAATCCCATCACAATCGCGTATTCGCGTCATCGCACCATCCCTCAGTTTTCCATTCGTCGTCGAGCACCGATCCACCGCTCTCCGTTTGCCGCTCTCTAGGTCTTGGCCTGAGACGCAGACATGAGAGCCTCGACTCTCGCTGCCGACCTCGTGTCGGTAGTACTGCTGTTCGGATGCATCACAGGCATCCTCGCAGCCCCCAACGGACGCAAGCTCCTCGTTCGTCAGGACGCCCCTCGTGATGATACCTCGACCCAGCCCAGCTACGCCCTCTACGGTGGTCCCCAGCCTGATCGCGGTGCATACAACTATCCCACCCAGAGCTACGGAGGATACGGCCCCCCGCCCCCTCCACCCTCGACCACTGAACTTCCGTCGTTCTCGTCTGCCTCGACCGAGTCCAGCCTCAGCTTGGGCTCGTCTAGTTTTCCGGGCACTGGTGTTTCTACGGGTTCATTTGGTAGCTCAACTGCCACGTCAGGTATGTTTACTGGAACTGCCACTTTTCCAATCCGGATACTCACCCCAGTTTAGGTACACCCGCTTCCGGCTCGTCCAGCGCCTCGGTCACTTCCGCCACTGAATCGACATCCAGTATAGGCCCATTCTCGCTTACGTCGTCAGTCCCTGGAACTGGAACTGGAACTGGAACCGGAACTGGAACCGGAACTGGCACCTACTCGGGCATCAGCGCGTCGGCATCGGGTACCACTGGATTGAACACCACCGCCTCGGCGTACCCGTCCACGGTAAACAGCGAGATTAGCAGCCCATACACATCAATTGGAGGGTTGACTTCCTCCGGAAGTGAGACACAGCCTGCAACTGGATCGCTCAGCACATCGGCATCGTCTCTGCCTGTGACCACATCGGGTTATGCCACTGTAAGTGTTTCAACTCTTTTGTCCATTCAGAAAAGCCATACACAACATGTATCCAGCCTTTCAAGGCGTGATGATTTAGTACACAATATTGTTCCCCAATCACTCACTCCAATGGGCTGCGGAGCAAGTCTCTGTTCAGAGGCAGTTCTGTCCTTCCAAACCCCATGTCTCCATCGTAAGATTGGCTTCCAGTGAGACTGACGTGTAATTCAGACGGCTTCTCCATTTCCTAGCTCGGAACTCGTGACGATTGTTACGGTCTCTTCGGGAGTCTCGATAACTAAGACCATTTACCAAAATGGAACGCGCTTCGGTACATCGAGCACCGGACCTGAGACTGCGAGCGTCCCAAGCGCTCCAGGTACTCCAGGATTGAGCACGAGCGGTACCTCCACGGGGCCTGGGTATTCAGGTTCACTGAGCTCAACGATCTCTGGACCGACACCGATCGAAAGTAGTGGAACTACATCGTCAGGCATTTTGCCATCTGGCTCAGGAAGCCCTACTACTGCGCTTTCTGTCACGCCAACTGGTTCGTTGTCTTCGGGCAGTGAAACCGCATCCTCGGGCACTTTGTCATCTGGCTCTGGAAGCCCTACCACTACGCTCCCAGTCACTTCGTCTGATTCGTTGTCTTCGGGCAGTGAAGTCTCAACTCCTTATCCTCTGACGAATTCTTCGTTGAGCGCAGTCTCTACCAGCAGCACAGTTGGTGGCAGCGGAGCTTCTTCGGCACCTCCAAGTTTTCCAAGCATTGGGTTCAACAGTACCTATGTGACGGGGATCCCGAGCAGTACGCTTACGACTCCTGCGTCAGGTGGTAGCAGTTCCAGTGGCACGAACATCCGATCAACAATAGAGTCATCAGTCGCAACCCCTAGTGGCACATCCGCCACGCTTCGATCAACCAGCAGTCTGATACTGAGTAGCATTCAGGCGTCTGGAAGCCTCACGCGCACTCCATCTACCTCTGCTACCACAGCACCATTCCCAAGTTCTACCGGCAGTGCCATTGTGACCACGCCAACATCAAGCATACTTACGGGAACGGGAGTTACCATATCTTCGCCTTCAATCACGGGACCCCTGACGTCGGAGGGAATCGAGTCGCAGCCGACTGGCTCAGCGACCATTCCAGCACCTTTGTTGACCAGTGTGAGCAACTCTTCCCTGCCCACTAGTCAGGGTACTGTGTCTACTTCCCAAGACACCAGCAGTACTGCACAGACGGGTACGATCACGAACAGTGGATCTAGCACTGTCAGTGGATCTGGATCTCTGCCTCCGGGCACGTCATCTGCGCCATACGGTATCTCGAACTCGACAACAACCGCGGGTCCCACAGGCAGTGGCTCGGCTACTGTATCCTTAAGTCAATCTTATCCGGTTAATGCTACGACATCTGGAAGCGCGTCGTCGGCAGAGGCTATCTCAGCCAATGCCACGCGCAGTTCATCTGGCTCAGGTTCAGTTCCCAACGTCTCTGGAAGCCCGACCATCTCAGGAAGTACTGCGCCCAGCAGCATACTGTCGGGCAACTCGACCACTTCATCACCCTCGGCTAGCGAATGTGGTTCGACAACAACGATCATATCGGGCTCATCCACATCGATCTTCGCTGTGCCTTGCGCAATCACAGGATCGTCTGCTCCTCCATCACCCTCGGCCAGCGAATGCAGCTCGACTGTCATATCGGGCTCATCCACATCAATTTACGCTGTGCCTTGTGCAACCAATGGACCATCAGCTGCCCCATCAACGACTCCGGGAGTGAGTGGCTCTATTCTGACACCTAGCGAGTCTTCGTCCCCATTGTACACCAACTCGACCGGAATTTCTGTTCCTCCTGCTGGAACGACATCATCGGGCACAATTCCAGTACCTTTGTCATCAACAGGTGCTACCAGCGCAACTCCTGGTACCGAGTCCTCTGCGACAAGTGGTCCATCGAGCAGTCTGACTCCGCCACTAAGTACTGGTTATGGCAGCACGATACCATCATCTCCTGCAACTCCCGTCCCTTTCGCGAACTCGACTTCCGGATCAAGTAGCCAACCTAGCACCCCTACTGAATCTGGTAGCGAGACAATCTCTGGTACGACGAGTGGCAGTCTCTCTTTTGTCAGCAGTGGATTCAGCAGCTTCTTGCCGACTGGCACATACACTGTGTTGTATCCCACGACGAATTCGACGATCCCAACGAGCGGACCGACAGGGGTGTCTACCAGCTCACCTCCAGGCACAGAAGCATCCACCCTGTCCTCCTTCCCTGCTACATCTTTGCCAATCGGTAGTCAAACGACTCCTTACCCGCTGAGTAACTCAACACTCCCAGCTGTCGGGCCTACCGAGTCCGCGTCGGGCAGTCTATCTGCTACTTCAAAATCTGGTTCCGTTTCCCTGACTGGATCTTCCATATCGACCATACCCTCATCCGAAGTGACTCTGCCCACTAGTTCGCAGGCAACACCTTTCCCAACGAGCAACTCGTCTTCGGCGGTGATGGGCCCCACCAGTACCTCATCAAGCGGGTATCCTCCTGGTTCGCAAAGTGTGGCACAGGTCCCTCCACCACCCACGCCTGGCGTGTCCTCAAACAGTAGTACACAGGCAACTCCATTCCCGATGAGCAACTCAACTCTCCCGACGAGCCCACCCAATGGTACAGGACCCGTTTCTAGCGTGCCCGGAACTGAGACTGTTTCAGCAACTCCGTCTTCCACTGGTACCGAAGGGTTGACTCTACCTCCAACAAGTGGTTCTCTGTCACTGGTAGGGCCCGTTGGCACCAATATTTCCAGTATCCCTGGCGTCGTGAGCACATCTGTGACCGAGTCCGCTAAAACTCCCAGCTCGCAAACTCTGTCATCTATTGGAAGTCAAACCATGTCTTTCCCAATGTCCAACTCAACCTCACCAACAGCCGGGCCTTCAGGAGTTTCGATCCCTTCATCTACGGCAAGCTTAAGCATGACGGTGTCTGGGCCTACCGATATCTCATCGAGTCCCGGGTTTGGAGCGTCCAATACGGCTGCGGTTACTGGTTCCAGTAGTATGACAGCTACCCAGAGTGCCGGTCTCCCTAGCACTATCTCGCCGGCTGTTCCTGGATCTTCCATCATTCCCGCTGCTTCATCGAGTCCCGGTTTTGGAGCGTCCAATACAGCTGCGATTACTGGATCCAGCAGTATCTCGCCGGGTGTTTCTGAGTCTCCTATCATTCCCGGTATTTCATCGAGTCCTGGATTTGGAGCGTCCAATACGGCTGCGGTTACCGGTTCCAGTAGTGTGACAGCTACCCCGAGTGCGGGCCTTCCCAGCAGTATCTCGCTGGGTATTTCTGAGTCCTCCATCATTCCCTTCCCCAACTCGACCACATTGGCGAGTGATACCACGGGACCATCCGGCACCACCAGCGGGGTGGCGACAATTTCGGGTGCAACTCTGACAGAACCAACGAGTCTCCCTAGCAGCCTGTCGTCTATCACTGTATCGTTTTCTGCAACTCAGACGCCGAACGGATCGCTAACATTGACATCGCCCACAAGCATTGGTCTCTCGTCGGAAAGCACGAGTCTTGCAACCGCGACAAGCCTGGTACCCCCGGCTACCCTACCTCCGCCGCCGCAAGTCTCGTCAGGAGCCTCAAGCACCGGCCCCAGTATTCTGATTACCACGGGATCTGCCCCCATCATTGACCCATCAGCAGCGAGTGAGATCTCGTCTCTATTGTCAACATCGCTTGTGTCGACGCCATACCCGTTGTTCAACTCGACAGCATCGAACAATCCTACAGCGCCTACTAGTGTAGCTTCTACCCCGAGTAGTTCCAGCAGCATCACTTCAACGATACTCACACTGACAGTCTCTCCCACGACGGTTTCTCCCACCACAGTCTCTCCCACCACTATTGCTGGGACTACTCTCACGACGGCAGTACCTGTGGTGAATTCTACGCTTGTCTTCAGTTCGCAGAGCCAGACTACAACCGAGACTGGTAGCATTTCTGCACTCGTCACCCCTACACCACCGGGTAGTGTTTTTACCTCTGGCAGTATTACGGTGACCCTGCCAGGCTCGATTCCGCAGACTACGCCTGTCTCGAACTCCACTCTCGCATCGATCCTTACTTCAGCGAGTAGTTCTTTCAGCCAGTCTTCTATCTCGAGCGCGTCAGTAGTTGACACCAGTTCCATCCTTAGTCTAGGCGTATCCGGCTCTTCAGCTACCGTTCCTTCTTCAATTTCGTATCCTCAGACGAACTCGTCGTCTGTTTCTGGCCCCACCTCAGTTGGGCCGTCGACGGCTACTGGTACGGCATTTACATCCATACCCCCCGCGACTCCAGGTCCATCCGGACCTCCCACAACTTCGGGATCGTTCACGTTGTCGAACAACAGTTCGTCATCGGGATCTTCGATTAGCACAGTGACGAACACCGCATCATTGGGATCTTCCATTAGCCTAGTGACAAGCGGGGCCGATACCTCTGGAATCTTGTCAACCGGAACTACAACCGCTTGGATATCGAGCACTGCTCTGGGTTCAGCAAGTTCATCACAGACTAATACCGTTTCCACAACAGGATCGATCAGTTTGATCTCGAGCCAGACCATATCCACAGGCCCTGCCACCAGCGGTCTGTCTTCCGTGCTGTCGAGCGAGCAGTCCATGACTGGCCCGTCCACGCCCTCCCAATCTGCATCTTACCTGCTGTCAAGCTCCAGTGCACCAACGGGACCTACTGCCTCAACAACGGCCTCCGCGGGGCCCCCGACGGTCACGCCGTTCTCAACCTCGGGAACTCTGATCTCAGCAACTGTGTCATCCGCTTCGTCGGCCTCTTCCCTGTCAATCGATACGACGTGCAGCGAGACGACGATCACGCAGTCTGGTACCACGACTGTTTTGACTCTGTCGTCAGAGTCACCGAGTTCAATTGACACGACCTGCAGTGAGACCACAATCACTCAATCGGGCACCACAACCGTCCTGACTTTCTCGCCAACTCTGACGCCGACGCCTGCGTCATCCGCTTCGTCGGCCTCTTCCCTGTCAATCGACACAACTTGCAGTGAGACCACACTTACGCAATCGGGCACCACAACTGTTCTGACAATCTCGCCAACTTCTTCGACACCTGTCGACACGACCTGCAGCGAAACAACAATCACTCAGTCAGGCACAACGACTGTGTTGACTCTGTCGTCAGCATCGTCTACGGGGTCCGAGGCCCGAACTGTTCCAGGTAAGCTAGGAGAAGATTGTTCACTGAAAATGGCATTATATACTGACAGTACCTCTAGGCAACACGACAACCCTTGGTGGCGGAGGTTATCCGAGCACTTTCAGAACCTCGGTCACGTCATCACTGTCTGAGCCGGTGTCCAACAGTGGTACTGCCAGTACTTCGTTGACAGGGTCGACGTATGCACAGACAACGCTCCCCACTGCCATGGTCGATAAAGATCGTTGGCACAGCACTCCCACTGGACCCCCAGCAAAGGGACTTGTTGGCCGTGACACATCTGGTACGGACGGATCCGTGAAGCTTACTCAGAGTGGACGCGAGAAGCGTCTAGGTGCCTTGTCTGAATGGCGACGACTTGCCTACGGACAGATTCCACGCCTGGGACATGGCAACGAGGATGTGGAGGGTTAGAAGATTGGGCTGAGAAGCACTTGAGAATTCTTCTTGGGGTGGCACATCATTAATGCTCAGCCACGGAAAATTGGCGATGTCCAGAGTTCTGTTGGGATCGATTGATCTTGCAACGTTGTGTCATAATATGCTGGAGAGATGGAGACACCATTTGCTTTGTTGTACACCGAGAGCTTGCGAAAATTGTAGGAGGACAGAGAAAAGATAGGCACAGAACCTCAGGTGTACGTGATCCTGTAATAACACATTCCTTTCTCGCTCTCTATTCGTCTTGACGTTAAACAGCTTGTGTGGACCACTGTTGACATGCATGACGCCGCTGTGCTCATTGTGCTTTGCTTGCCGTGACACCCATTCAAGTATAATGAACGCCACGACGGTGAGTGTTGTGCGGCTAGATATATCCGGCTTTTGGGAAGTCTCTGGATGCAAGGAGCTGGCACCCAAACACCCATCTCTCCCTCATCAGCAATATGCAACGCCCTCAGTCGTGCGAGACCACGGCGACGGGGGCTGGCTGTGGATATGCTCGGGTACGACTACAGCATCCAGTGACAAGGACCGAGCGATGCTGGAGGGTGCCAGGCCGTCTCTTCCTGCGTCAGGGTTGCGCGATCTCCCGGGTGAGGCCCTACAAGGCGAGCCTCGAGTCAAGACGTCACTGGCAGGTCACCGGCAAGGGGCCAAGGGTCTAGGTGATAGGGACCATACTGAGTTCAGCTGAGGATGGCGGACGAGGACAAGCCCGGCCAGCTTCGCGGTAGTCTCTGTGGGTGTCAGAGCAGCGCTGTTGAACACATATCGCCGGAGTTGATTGACATGGCCATGAGCTCGGTTTCGTTCATTCCTTCGTTCGTCCCGAACAGCCCGGTCCTGCGCGCCGTAGGATCGGCGCGTGCTGTGTGACATGGGCAGCGCCGAGCGGCGGCGAAAGAACAATATACCGATGTTGCTTACGCCCGGGCTTCCCAGGCCCGTGAGGTCGATACAGTCAGAGTCGGGAGTCGGGTTCCCGCAAAAGCCCACTCTCGACTACTTTTGAATGTAATCGGTGTTGGTATGATGGGACTGCTCTACGGTGACCGCAGCTGAAGGTACGGAGAGTCGGACTTTCAAGGACCCGGATGTGTCCGTTCGCCTGCCTATCCCAGCAGGCCATGTCGCATGGCTGATATTCCAGTGGTACCGTATCTTGTTCACCCAGCTGTTGAGGAAGACGAGAGAGGCATAGATGGGACGAGGGAAGAACAGTCAGCTGAAGCTGTTGAGTGATTGATGGATTCGATGTGGCTTGTGCTTGTTTTGTCAAGTGGCTTGGCCGCAAATAGCGTTAAATGAAGTAATGGAAAGGGCCCGACACTTCATCAACGGTACAGGGGAGCACAGAGGAGGCAGTTGCTGGACAATACTACTGTTTTATCTTCACAGATATAGCACGCGTGGCCCGTCAATCCCGGTGTTTCGCAATTTACTTATGAGGACATCGTCATCTGGCCGCGTGGTTCGTGAGTAAGCCGTTTCGGGACCACGTAGGTTTGTAAGTGTGTAGCTCTATACGAATAGATCGGATAGGAGGATGATCACTCCGCGCAATCCCACGTACAGGGGCTTTCTCCAGATTATGCATATACCCGATGCCTGCAGGCGCCGCGAATTGCATCATGCCGGCGGCCGCGCGCCGCCCGCCATCTCAACTTTTTTCGGCTGTCGGTGCCAGCATATGCGCCGTTAACTGTCCCCCGACTGGGCCCTCCGCGATCGACGCCGGACGAACCCAGCTTCTCTGTAGGTACCTACGGAGTATGGAATCGGCAATTTTCAATATCCTCAGCAATATTGCTGAAGCAAGCATTGGAGCCAGGGTTTGACAGCAGTTGGTCGCCCTACCTACCTGCCACTGGCTGCCAGGGAACCATACGCCATCCTGACCGCTGACTGCAGAATCCTCATTCATCCCATGATCCGTCAGCTTCTGCTGAGAAATCTTTCGTTGTTTGTCTATTGAGAGCAACAGGTACCAGGCAATGGCGAGCACCTAGTGGTGAAGAGTCGCCGGTCCGGCAGGTTAAGGACGCAGCTTGACTGGTTGCTGAGCACGCCATCAAGGCTAACCACCATTTGACGGTTCCAAGGGATCCATCTTTTTGACACGCGCAAAGTGTGATGGTTAAGACAATGCCATGTTTGCTGCCATGGTCCTTCCGCCGATTACGTAGCACGCACGGCATCAGAACCGGCCTATTTTTACTCGAATTTTCTTTCATTTTCCTACCCGTGGAACACTACCTTACGCCTCACCGACCAGGGTCTCTCTAGGGCCAGGTATAGTCGTTGCGAAGATCCCATCCGTAGCTCCGTAGGAGAATATCGGGCGTCCGTCTAGCATTTCTTTTCCCGTCTTCGTTAAATACACCCGTGCGGCCGGCTTCTCTGCCTGCTTGCTTGTCCTCCTACTCACTTCCTCTCTACTACACACTCACCCTCTACGACCCTCCCTCACTCTACCAACCGGCGCAGACGCTTCCGCTCCTTACCTCGAGATACTGCCCATCTTTAGCGACCTGACTCGAGTCCCCCGAAGACACAATGGCGAACCCTCCCCATGGCGGTATCCTGAAGGATCTCATTGCGCGAGACCTCCCCAGACAGGCCGAGCTCGCAGCAGAGGCCGAGACCCTCACTGCCATCACCTTGACCGAGAGACAGCTCTGCGATCTCGAGCTGATCCTCAACGGCGGTTTCTCCCCCCTTGAAGGTACGTGGGTTGAATCTTGATCGTCAGGTGCGCAATCACATGTGGTGGGGGTGCCACGTAAAGTGTCCCACTGTCGGCGCGGCCGCCCTGCAAATCGCAACGGTCTTGCGTTTCAACTTGAATCGCAAGTAGTCTTGGCAGTATGGAGATTGAGGCTTACGCAACTGCGTGTTCTAGGTTTCATGAACGAGGCTGATTACAAAGGGTATGCGCCAACCAGGCCGCGAATTGGCTCCAGTACCGGTACCCAGCTAACCACCCCCTAGCGTCGTGAAGGAGAACCGACTTGCCGATGGCGTCCTCTTCAGCATGCCCATTACTCTGGACCTGTCCCAGGAGTCGATCAAGGAGCTGGGCCTGAAGGCTGGTCAACGTGTGACCCTGCGCGACCTCAGAGATGACAGGAATCTGGCCATCCTGACCATTGACGACATCTACAAGCCCGACAAGTACAAGTTGATCCCATTCGCTAAATCCTCCGCTCCTGGGTCTGCGCCGCTAACCACAATCGTATCACAGAGTCCTCGAGGCCAGGGAAGTCTTCGGGGCCGACGACGAGGCGCATCCCGCCGTCAAGTACCTACACAGAACCGCTGGCGACTACTACGTGGGAGGCAAGCTGGAGGCCATCAACCGCCTGCAGCACTATGACTTTGTCGATCTCCGATGTAAGACAATCTTCCGCTGTCTGCCACCCCTCGCGGCAGTAAGACTGACCTACTTTCCCCGTAGACACCCCAGCCGAACTCAGGTTACACTTTGACAAGCTCGGCTGGACCCGAGTTGTTGCCTTCCAGACCAGAAACCCCATGCACCGCGCCCACCGAGAGTTGACCGTCCGCGCCGCTCGTGGACACCAGGCCAACGTCCTCATCCACCCGGTCGTGGGCTTGACCAAGCCCGGTGACATCGACCACTTCACCAGAGTGCGCGTCTACAAGGCGCTGTTGCCAAGATACCCTAACGGCATGGCTGTCTTGGGTCTGTTGCCATTGGCCATGAGAATGGGTGGTCCTCGCGAAGCCATCTGGCACGCTATCATCCGTAAGAATCACGGCGCAACTCACTTCATTGTTGGTCGTGACCACGCTGGCCCGGGCAAGAACAGCAAGGGTGATGACTTCTACGGCCCCTACGATGCCCAGTACGCGGTTGAGAAATACCGCGACGAGCTGGGCATTGAAGTCGTTCCTTTCCAGATGGTTACCTACCTGCCGGACAAGGACGAGTACGCGCCGATTGACCAGATCCCCAAGGATACCCGCACCCTCAACATCTCGGGCACAGAGCTGCGCTCGAGACTACGGAGCGGTCGGGAAATCCCCGAGTGGTTCTCGTACCCCGAGGTTGTCAAGGTGCTTCGCGAGTCGCACCCTGCGCGAGCTGCGCAAGGTTTCACCCTCTTCCTCACTGGATACACGAACAGTGGCAAGGATCAGATCGCGCGAGCCCTACAGGTCACATTGAACCAGCAGGGTGGCCGGTCAGTCTCCATGCTGCTAGGCGAGACGGTACGGTCGGAGCTGTCTTCGGAGCTCGGCTTCAGCAAGGAGGACCGCAGCAAGAACATCGCCCGTATCGCATTCGTTGCCGGAGAGCTGACCCGCTCCGGAACCGCCGTCATCGCGGCACCCATCGCGCCGTTCGAGAAGGACCGAGAGGCCGCCAAGGAGGCCATCGAGAAGTACGGAGACTTCTTCCTTGTCCACGTCGCCACGCCGCTCGAGTACTGCGAGAAGACGGACAAGCGCGGCATCTACGCGCGAGCCCGGAAGGGCGAGATCAAGGGCTTCACCGGTGTCGACGACCCGTACGAGGCCCCCGTCAAGCCCAACCTGGTTGTCGACTGCGAGAAGCAGACGGTGCGCTCAATCGTCCACCAGATCGTGCTGATGCTCGAGGGTACCGGTCTGCTCGACCGCTTGTAAACCACCTATGAAGTGAAGGGATCTTGCTATACAACACGGCTGCCGGATATATGACTGCCGAAGAATCGATCATAGAGATAGGGAAAGACTAAAGGGTCGGGTATTTGAGGTTAAAAAGAAGGAACAGCCGTGGATAGACATGTGGGGATTTGCTGGTTTGCACCCACGCACCAATGTTCGTCAGCCCAGCTACAAGGTAGATGTCAGCTCGAGGCACGCATCTGGAAGCCTTATCTGGGGGCGCTTAAGAGGTCTTTTTATAGAGCCCATCTGTTCGGGCAGTGTCCTTCCATCGTTGGAGGAACAATCAACATACACTTAGCTACCTTATGCACTTGTGAACTGTCAGATCGGCCTGTCGTTCCCCTTCTCTTCGAAGAAACTCTGCCCGATGCCAGATGGTGGGCTACATCGAGCGAGACCTTGTGGCTGTCTCAGATCTTGGTTCGGGCTACGTCTGAATCTACGAGCTTACAATGCAGATGCAAGCACCTACCGTACCTGTGGAGGGAATGTTTCAGGACGAGAACATCTGGCCTGCTTCGAAGCACATGCAGTCCCCGATTCCAGGCCAGCATGAAGCACCAGACAGACAGACGGCAGGAGTATCGCGGGACCTTGCTGCCCGACAAGATGCGGTGTAGGCTCAGGTACCGGTACCCGACACCTCGCATTGCATGCATCGGACCCTAGGTAGGTATAAACATGGCATTCGTGGGAGAACACATCACACGTGCATCATGTCAGGCTGTCTTTAACCTTGCCCGAGCATCGAGGATTTCGAATGCGTTTCAATGTTTTAATGTTCTTCCCGGGCTGTGGGCTGGGGTTCTGTGGTTGGCGTCGCTTCCATTATGGTGCAGCTACTATGCACTGCAGACTGTGTGTGGCTCTGGAGGGCAGGTCCAGCCAACGTCACTTGCACGAGTAGTATAGTAATATATCTCTATACGCAACTTCCTAGGTACCTAGTTAGAGTTTTGGAGGACAAGGGCAACCTGTCTTCTGGGAATACACGGGCGATATGCTTTACCTATAAGCATTACCTTTGGGTAGAGGTTGTCACGGGATATGCTGACACTACGGAAGAAACAAGATATTCTACGAACCTCAAAACACAATGCAAGTGTACATGTAGGCGTAAAAGCATTTGGCAATGCAACCTCATTCCATGTTCAAGATGATCTTTGAGTCGATACCAGTCCGTCGTTCACAGGAGAAGATACAGTATTCATACAACCCCGCAATGCAGGTGGCTCTGCATATTGTAGGTAGTAATAGTAATACTTAAAGTAACTTTAAAGCCAGACAGTGCGGGATCATCCGAGCCCGACTTCAAAGTTGTCTCCAGGGTTATTATGCCTGAGTCAGTGAGGAGGTCCCCTGGGCCCTGGCGCAAATGCGGCACCCGTGGACCCTACCCCTGCAACCCCTGCAACCCTGCACTCTTTTACAAGTGATCGCCGAATCACAGGCGGCTGCGTATCTTGCAACACCACCCAACAGCCGCCGACATCTTCTGCCCTCTTTTGGAGTCGTGCCATTGATTGATTGCCTGCCAGCCTGCGTGCTGCGAGCGCCCTCCACGCCTTCCTCCTCTCAACATCTCTGCACCACCATTTCCATGCAACTCGCCACCACGATAATTGGCGAGCCCGAACCCTCAGCTCAATTCCGATACCACGCTCATTCAACGAGATCTATTTCATCGACCCAGAAACCGACACAGCCATCCCTTGTCAGTCTTAAGTAGCGGTCGGGCCCGTTGGGCTCGCATGGTCCACCATAATGGGTACCAGAGATCGTGACGTCGATGCCGCCAGCGATGACCGCCCGCGCGAGCGCGAGAGCCGCCACAGCAGAGGTGACCGACCCAAGAGCGACAAGGGCGACAAGGACACGGATAAGGAAAAGGATAAGGCACGCCCCCACCACAAGCATTCGTCGCGATCCTCCAAACCACGAACTCCCATGGAAGGCGAATCAAGTACCTCATCACACCGCAGACATCGCACAAAGGAAGAGAAAGAACGGGACCGCGCGAAGAAGGCTTCCTCGATGAGTGACCTGGTGCCCGAGCTCTCGAGAACGTCCCTCTCCGGCAGTCGAGGCAGCCTGCCGTACCCCAGCTTTAGCAAGGCACACAGCAAAGAAGCCGTGCACATACACAGTCGAGAGGATGTAGGAGCACCTACTCGCCGGACCGATGATCCCCTTACCCCGGAGGCCACCGATCTCGGCTCCAGCACCAGAAGAAGGTCCAAATCAAGAGATGCTTCGGGAAGTAGGAAGAAGAGCGCCAAGACAGATGATCGGCCACCTAGCCCTCCCGAGACCGATGTATCAGGCGAGAAGAAGAGACGGAGCAAGACGTCCACATCGAGGCTGAGGGAGGAACACGGCTCCGGCGTGGAAAGACCGAGATCTAGAACATCGGGCCTTTCCCGTTCAACCTCACAGACGGATGAGAAGTCGAAACTGTCTACCAAATCCAAGACCTCGAGCCAAGCTACCTTTGTCAAGTCGCCTACCTTCAAGCCGCCACCCGGCGTGCAAATCGTTGACGATGGGGGATCCTCCATCCTCAGTGACGACCAGACCGCGGGCGCTCGCTCCGCAGCCACGTCGGTTACGCCCAGGAGAACAGCATCGGCCAAGGCCCCGAGGTTGTCAACCCCGGTCGAGGAGGACGACTCTCCAGCGTCCGTACAGGACCCTTCACCGAAAACACCCACTGCCACACCGCAATTTCCACCTCCACAAATCTTCTCCAACGAGAAGCCGAAGCAGGGTCCGCACATCAGGTATGACGACAGAGACCGTCCTACACCCTCGGCAACGCCAGCGACGGATTTCGGTCCCCCTCCACCGCCACCGCCTCCGCCTCCCTTGAGCATACAGGAGGTACCTCGGGTCGACTATCTGCTTCAACATGGTGGACTGATACATCCGGTGTCCAAGCACTTTCTATCTGCTATACCACGCCAGAACGGAACCCGGCCATCGAACCCACCCCTAGCAGGGTGCGAGACCTTGTTCGCGCCCCTGTTCAACATTTTGGATCAGTACCAGTCCGTAATCCATAAGCAAGGCTCAGTGGCAGTGGCCACCGGACACAAGTCAGTTGCTCGCCGGTTACTGGACCGACTAGAGGATGTCTTCTCCAGAGATCTGCCTGTCGAAGGATGTTCTTGTATCATGTGCGAGACAACTCCTGACGAGCACCGAGGTTTAGGATGGGGAGAAGTTTTGGAGAGAGTGGGCGGTCGGGTGGAGCTGCCGTCATGGCCGCCATTTGATCTTGCGTCTCTCGGAGCGACGGCCATCGAGAACACGGCAGACATGCCACCGAGACCGAGTTCGCCGATTAAGCTCGATCCTGACATTGCTGAAGAGTTCCGGGATCATTATTTACGGCAGTCGAAGAAGGTCAGGTCGGCTGTGGACAAGTGGATGAACAACTGCGCCGACTCACCCGCCCCGCCGCCGTCAGATGTCGATGACGAGACGTTGACATTTGCTATTCTTACGAACCTTGATCAGGAAGAGCGGCCTTACTTCAATGCCCTGCTGTCTGGTGCTCGGGAACTGCAACCTGCTTTGCGGGCACCGACGCCACTGCGAAAAGGTCGAACCGACTTTATCATAAAGACAGGCCTACAGCTACAGCGTCTATATCGGTTGCCTCAGACTCCACGAGACGCCGAAACTGCCGTGTACCTGGTCAAGCACCCATTCCATCACGACCTGCTGACTACGATGATGGACATCAGTCCGCAAGAATGGGAGATACTCATTTCAGGTCGCTTTGATGGGTTTTTGTGGTCTGGAGCCGATGGTGATGATGCAATTACGCCTACTGCCGACTACCCACTGTCTCGAGGCGGCACGCCGGGCAACGCGTTCTTTTCTCCACCGCCATCGCGAGGGCCAATGACCCCGGGCATGCCACGAACTCCAGGGTTTGGTGCTTCTCGCAATACCACGCCGTTCTCCGGTGTGTACTCTCGTGGCACGACACCCGCTTCCTTCATTTCCCTGTCCTCGTCGTCGGCGTCGCCGGGCCATAACCGGCAACCGGTGTCGCACGATGAAGAGATCGAGATGGCTGTTCTGGCGGAGGTAGAACGAGAGATATACCAGGGGATGGAGGCGCTGGAGGATGCATTCGAGAAGCTACACGAACGTGCCGAGATGGTGCGGAATGCCCTTAGGCAGCGTAACAACGGGCTGTTGATGAGCCAGCAGCATCGCCGTTCTGGGAGAATTGATGTGCTGCCTCAACTATCCGGCAGCTCGGCAGGCTACGAAAGACCACCTTGGGCTACTGGAGACGATGACGGAGTCACGAGCGAGAGTGACTGGGGTGGGGATGATTTCGACATAGCGCCGGAGGATTCGGCCAGTAACATTTCGAGCTCGAGACATCGACGTCCTAAGCGACGGAACCAGAGGAGGACACCGGCACCCATCGAGGAGGACGACGAGGAAAACTGAACTCGGCGGACTGTGGTGCAGTGCTACGGAACTAAATAAACGGGCGCTTTGACGATTTTTCTGCGCCTCACGACGTTTACGAAAATGAGTTTTCGCGGATACCATACGAAGTTCTTGTGATGTGCTTGATTCCCCATGCTTATTCTCAGCACGCATTGAGCAAGCAGGCGCGCGCGCAGCAGCAGCAAGTCAGTCAGCGAATCAGTCTGTTGGTGGAGAGTATGTGATGAAGAAGGAAAGTCATCGGGATCAGCGGACGTTGGGCATATTGCATTGGGGTCATAAGGAAGGAATTGGCGACAGGGGAGAACTTTCTGGCACTCTTCTCGCTGCTTGGCGGTCTTTACTATTCTAGTATCTACAGTACATTTGCATTGTTATGGGGTCTGGGACTGTTATTTTCCTTGTTTTACTTGAGTGTTTCGGTTCGAGGCATTATGCTGCATTACTTCTTTCTGTGTCCATGTTTTCTGTTGATCTACCTGTTGAGCCGGGTGGATGACGAACGAGGGTTTGTACACTGGTTGTTGGTAGAGGACGAGTAAAGGATGTGTAGACAGGTTGGATGGAGGTGAAAGGTGAGGTCAGTCAGTCAGTTGGTCTTGAAGCCCAGGCTGGTTGAAGATGCTGATATGGAATACAACTTGACACTTGGCCATTGATTCCGGTGTTCTACTCTTGGATTGAATCGTGACGTGCCTCGGACATTCGTTGCACAACTAGATACCTTGTCTCCAATTCGTTCAGCCTGCTCAATATAGTTGACAGACAGGTGGAGGCAGAAAGGAGAGTTCCAGGTCGTTTGAAGACCTTGTCATCGGGCAGGATTGGGCTCTTCGGGTGTGGTTGTCGTCGGGTGGCCAGCCCATTAGGTGTCAGGCATGCATTATCTAGTATTGCGTACGTGTGATAGGTGATACAGACTTGGGTGTTTCTGCGATGTAATAGGTTCGATATGTACACGGTGATGACGGTGACGATCAACTGCTTGCTCCTCGACCATCGTTCGTCCTCTGGTATCCGAGTCTTCCAACTTCCATCGAGCCCTTGTAGTGATCGTGACGGGCGGGAGTGTTTGCTTGTCTCATGATATCATCTAGGATATGCCACTCCGGTAGGGAGACAGACTTTCGTACCTGACACGGCCGAACTAGAGCTGCAAGAACATTGCGGGAAGGCGCCACCACCTGCAATAAGCATCGTGGAAATGCTTGTCGGTAGGGGAATCAGGGGATCATCCTGGCACCATGTCTACCCCACCTGCACCCCTGGCTTTGCGGGAGAGTGAGAGTGGACGTTACTTTTATAAACGTCCGGGCGCTGGCTGCATGATGCACATATGTATCTGCATGTGTCGACCAGCAGTTGGACCAGGGCAGGAGCGCCCTTCCGATCAGAACCATGAATCGCGGTTGGCTTGCAGCACCTCCTCCAGGGCCGCTTTTTCAGGCATCCAATCTCACATCCTACCTGGTAGTGCCTGTAGACGTCCAGGTCGTTACCTTATCTATGCCGGTTACCGAATCGTGTCCCTCCTCTCACTATCTCCAGTTCTCATTCTCACCTCGGCCCTCGTTTGTTGTCAGACATGTCGGCAGGCAGCAGCTTCTGAAGCCCCAACTGCTTGGTTGCTCTGGCCTTGATCACTTCAAATCTCGTTCGATGCATACCTGAGACGTTCCGTAGCACCTTGCGTCTACCAGACTCACTATCTCGCCTGGGGTTCAAGCACCCCAAACGCAATCAATTGCCATAGTCAGATGCCCACCGCGGCCAGGATAATGTACCAAGATGTTGTTTCTTCGTCTTCATAATACGATGCTACTCTCTACCATCGGGCCCCTAATGATAATACCAACAATATGCGCCAGGCAACCCGAATACATGGACGGGTTGGGCCTCGACGGCGTGACTCGGAAGTTGGCTCTTGACCGGACGCCTGCTCTGTTCACTGGCGACTTCGGGGACTGCCTTGGTGGAGAGAGTCTGCTCAACGTCACGCGCTTCGATGCCGCCTTCTACTATGACAACTCGACCATCCTCTTCCATCTTGATGGCTCTACCAATATCCGCAGGGAGGATCTTATGCGTGAGGGACCCTCGACGAACTCGGCGACTAGCACATGAGCTGACGCGTTTGTACAGTCTTCCTATCTTTCGAGGCCTATGGGGAGGGCAGATATAACAAGACTATAGATCCATGTTCAGACAACATCTCGAGGTGAGTGGTTGAGTTCCCTTACATACGCTCTTGATGTTTACGTGTCATGGTAGTATGTGCCCGCTGAACGCTAGTCGACCCATTGAGGCGTTCACATCATTCCAAGTAAACCTTGAAGATGTGTCTGGGATCCCCCAGATTGCGTACGAGATACCCGACCTTGAAGGCAATGCAAGGATTCAGATATTTGCGAACTCAACTCAGGCGGAGATTGGGTGTTTCCAGGCCGTCCTGAAGAACGGGCACACGTTCTCGCAGGTCTGGTCCATCAGTCCCGTGCTAGGCGTCTTCACCATCGTGGCCGTCATCGCCTCGTTTGCGACAGCAGCATACGGTGTCAGCATTCCCCATATGAGGACACACTACGCCCATTCGCTCTCTGTCCTTGTCATCTTCGAGACTTTCCAGTCCATTTTCTACTCTGGCGCACTTTCGTTGAACTGGCCTAGTGTGCTTCCAGCTTGGTGGAGCAACTTTGCCTGGTCTGCAGGCCTGATTCCCGTGTCACATCTGGTACACTCGATCGACTCGTTGGTTGGAGTAGGCGGCAATGCAAGTCAGGTAGGGGCAGCTGGTTCAACGATCCTGAACAATGAAGGTGGCCTCCGTCAACTGATATACGGCCGTTCCCTGGCGATGGACTTCGTCAACGTCAGCAAAAGACTTACTGCGCCAGTGGACACCACGGCCAACCTGCTCTCTAAGAGTCAAGTGTATAATCCGAATAACCCCTATGGTTACAACTGGGATGGAGATCCGGTCAAGCCAGGGATGCCGCTACCTGGAAACTGGACTGGGTTTGCAGGGGAGCTGTCCAAACTCAATATCCCCGCTCCGAATGCGTTCATGGTTGGGCTCATATGGCTGCTGGTTGCCATTGGGCTGGTGGTTTTCCTAATGATAGCCCTGAAGTCTGCACTCGAAGGTCTAGTGAGGTTTCACTGGATCAAAAAGGACCGACTGGACTTCTTTCGATCGCACTGGACAGGTTATCTCGCCCTGGCTGTCTTGCGGACTCTCTTCATTGCCTTCTTCTCGATCACTACCCTGGCCATGTACCAGTTCTCGATTCGCGGCTCGACTGGACCTATTGTCGTCTCCGCTTTCGTGTTTGTGTTCTTCATACTCATTATGGGGGGTATGGTGCTTTACGCGCTACACTCCCGACTGCGTTCGAGCAGTTTCGCCTCCGATCCTGACCGAATTCTTCTTCGTCAAGGGAAGATGATGGGTTGCATACCTTATGTGGTCCCGGTCCGCGTCAGTCAACTCAGAGAACAAGAGCTAAATGAGAAGCCAGCTGGCTCGTTGCCTTTTATTCGCTGGCACTTCGTTGACAGCGACACCACGCGAAGAAGTATACACCAGGATGAGCTTTATGTCAAGCGGTTTGGCTGGCTGTCTGCGCGTTATCGACTTTCGAGATGGTGGTTCTTTGCACTCTGGCTTGCGTATCAGTTCATACGCGCCGGCTTTCTCGGAGGTGCGTCTGGCAGTCCGCTTGCGCAAGTCTTCGGGCTGTTTATCGTCGACATCCTCGCGCTTCTTGTCATAGCAGCACTCAATCCCTTTGAGGGTCAGCGCAACACAGCCCTAGCCGTCTGGCTATTGGGAATCAGCAAGGTTGCGACTACCGGTCTGTCAATTGCATTCCTCCCAGACTTTTACCTGAATCGCACCTTAGCTATGGTGATCGGTCTCCTTATTATCATCGTCCAGAGTCTGCTCACGATCGCGGTGATGATCTTTGTAGTCCTTGGTGGGATATCTTCGTGGATGTCCCTTTACCGGAACCGCGAAATTTCTCTTCAAGGCGGCTGGAGGACGTCCGTATTCGATACTACGAGCACATTGAGCACAGCGCTTCAGATATTGGTCTAGCACATCAGACCACATTAGAGATAATATCTCCAGGATCCACGGAAGGCTTCACCGAACTCCCAAAAGCGCCGCACTTTTCTGTGTCATCTGTTCGACGAACCCCTAAGATCGAGGACGAGGACGAAGATTACATAGCGGAGATGAATCCTGCGCACGTTTCCGGCATTACAGCACTTTCGCCGGGCCCAACGAGACGGCTGAGCCGAACCGGTAGTACCAGTTCGCGCCATTCTGTCAGCAGTTTGCCTCGCGCAGCCCGCATGCATCGTGTTTCTTGGAGCTCGAGGGACTTTTGTCAGCTGGAGCTGGATCGGCCCAGTCCCGCTCTCAAACGGCGGCTGAGCAGTCCCGGTTATGCGCATACCAACCCGGCAAGCATGACCAGTGTGGTAACGGGTCAGCTGTCGGTCAGCAGCTCACAGACTTCAGCGGCGGCGCTCCTGGGAAGTCGGCCGATGACTGCTGCTGACAAGATTTCGGAGGAGCATCATGAACACCTTGAGGGTAATGAGGCGGATCCTTGGCAAGCCGCGAATGTGGAAAGTAATGTCGACAAGGACAAGATGTTGATTAATGGGAAGGAAGATCCAGTCGAGAATGAGACAGATACCCAGGGATCTACAGAAATGCAGCTAAGCAGGGGGAAGGAGAACTGGAGGCCGACACGTAATACATGGTCATGAGCAGTCTCGAATAACGTAGTTCCGAAGTAGCATATAATTAATGAAATAGTACTATAATTATGAACATGAATATGCTTGCACAATAGTCTGGTGAGAGTATCATATGGCCGTTCATCTCTTACGTATACCCAGCACAGACATCCTGATAGACATTCGACTCCAACCCAGCCGCGTCCGTCGGGACGTAGCCCAGGTACGTCGCGTAAGAATAAGTCCAGCGCGGGTCGTTCAGCTCCGTCTTCCAGGTCCAGTAGACCCAGCCGTTCGAGCCGGGCTTCTCGTACAGCTGCTGCTGCGCGGTGAAGAAGGTCTTGAAGAAGTCGGCGTCGGACCAGTCGACGCCCGAGGTCATGCTCCACTCGCCCGTGACGGCGAAGTCCTGGCCGCTGACGACGCGACTGTCGCTGCAGGCGGAGTGCAGCAGGGCGGTCTGGTCGGACGTGCTGGAGAGCGCGAAGCCGATGTAGTTGTGGTCGTCGAACATGGTGGCGGAGTCGGCGGCGACGGCGGCGTTGGACCGGGGGTCGCCAGCGTCCCACTTTGAGGACATGAATCCCACGTGCAGCTTGCGGTCGTCGGACACGCCGAGCGCGACCTCGGCGTCGCGGACGGCCTTCAGGGCGCCCGGGTAGTAGGTGTCGATTAGGGAGGGCACCTCGCCGGGGGCTGGGTAGCGGCCCCCGGCGTCGTGGCTCGACACGGGCTCGTTGAGGACCTCGATGACGCCGACGGCCGCGGCGTACGAGGCCGTCGTGTGGATCCGGTTCTGGTAGCAAATTAGAGTCAGTAATTACTCCTTTCCGACGAGAAACAAAGAGTCGGAATGCGTGTCTCGGGAGCATGGGCTCTTGACACAGGCTAGAAGAGAAAATTCGCGCCCTAAGACACGGCCAGAAGGGGCAATAAGAGACTCGAAAATGTACATACCGTCATCCAGGACAGCCACTGCTCGGCGCGGCCGTAGTCGTAGTCATTGTAAAAACCGGCCGGGTTGGGGTTCTGGCCCGTGAACACGTCCTGCTGCTGGCCTCCGGGCGCGCCGTGCAGGTCAATGATGACGTACATACTCAAGTCGGCGGCCTTCTGGATCACGGCGTCGAGGTAGGGCAGCTGCAGGTCACCGTCGGCGAACGGCTCGCTGGCGCTATCGACGATGGCCGAGTACGACCAGTACCCGATCGGGATCCGGATCGTGTTTAGCCCTACGTCGTGCGCGGCCTGCACCGTGTCGGCGTCGATCCACGTCCGGTAGTGCGTCTCGAAGGCGGCGTTGCCGGCCGAGCGGGATGAGCCGCTGTAGTGGTCGTTCATGCAGTCGAATTCTGAGGCGGAGCTGCCGCAGCCCATGGTGCTCCATTCGGTCTCCATGAGCCAGGGCTCGGAGATCAGCCAGCCTGGGTTGTGGGTGTCATGTCAGTTCGAAAGTTTACATCTACCTAAGGGAGTGATACGGATGGATGGGTATGAGTAGGTAGGTTAACGCACCGCCGAAGTTGACACCGCGGATCTTGGTCACGCCGCTCGGGAGTGAGGGTTCCCAGCGCTTGCCGAGCTGCAAAAACCGCGCCGTCTGGTTGAAGGCCGCGAGGTCGCGGTCTTGCGGCAGCCAGGCGTGGGCGGCGCCCGCGAGGAGGAGGGCGGCGGCCGGGGCGGAAATGGAGGACCGCATCTTGTCGTCGGGGTAGCTGACCGGTAAGTGGTTGTTTCGACTAAAACTCCAGATGCTGGAGAGGCGAATCCCATGATCCGGTCACTCGGGGGAGACCATCTTTATAGGTGTGCCATCGTGTCTCTCAAACGGGCAGGTATTCCAGATACCTACCTAGGTAGCACCCCCCTTCTGCCGTGCCTGCAGCGATGAAGCATGCACCCAGCTCGGTCCGACTCTCGCAATCCCTGCCCCGGCCGCGGGCGGCACCTGCAATTTCCACGCATCGCATGTGAGGATCCGGGGTCGGCTGAGCTCAGCTGACAGGCTGATGACACCTTGGTGGTGAATCGTGATCGTACCTACATGTAGCCCACTGTATAAGGAAGTTCTGCTGCATAGGGGAGTACCCTGTAGGCAGGGAGGGCACCCTGGCCAGGAAGGGCCGTTGTTTCGGCTAACCGCCCCTAGCTGCTACCACCACAGTCTCACCTGCCTGACTCGGTATCGCGACGAGAACAGAGTAACGTTAGCTTTGCGGGGTGGTGCCTCAACCGCTGCTGGGTTGCATCTATTTTTGTAACGTTAAGGTATACACTAGATCGTAGTAGTATCTTGGAGAAGAGGGGCTTGCTTTTCCCAGTTTCGAGCTTAGGCTTTGATGCCTCCCTAATGGGGGAATTCGAGGGCGAGGACGAGGAGGACTAGGACGAGCTGACACTGGCACTGGCTGACTGAAATGCAATCCTGAATACGGCATCCGGCATTCGAGTGTGCTCCGTCGGCTCCTTCTCCTCCTTCCGGCACTTAAGAGGAAGGAATCCAATAGTGCAGCAAAGTGGTGTGTACCAGAGTTCCAATGCTAGAGGATCCTTCTGGCCTCCTCGAGCTTCCAGGTTCTTCGTTAATAACGGTTATGCGGCCCAGTCCCTTGCAAGTTGCTGCTCATCGGAGCAAGGTTGCAAGGCCTGGAGCGTCGAGCCTGGTATACACATGGAAGTCCATGGACTGCGAAGAAGAACACAACCACCCCAAGGGCTCTGGCGACGAAGGTACAAAGCTTCACGAACCCGTCGAGCTTCTTGTTGCTGCTAGAATTAGCTGCGAGATGAGTATCTGCCGCAATCGAAAATCGTCTTGATATTGGTGGCTACGCCACCCACCCCCGCCCCCCCCACCCCCCAGCCACACTGCGCCGTAACCTTACATGTACTGCCGTTCTCAAGCAGAGTGTCCAGCCCCACATCAACTTTCTGTACACATACACACAAAGTTGAGCTGGCGCCAGACAACTAGAAAGTACGTTTATGACAACCACACTTTTGACATAACGTCGTATATATCATTTTATATGTTTTTAAATGGGTTTAATTTGCAAACTATTTAGAATTTCTTATATATATAACGATGGTTTAAAAGCGTTAGTTATAGTTATATGTTAACTGTCACAGCAAGCATACTGAGGAGCTGGGACATGGCTTGTAGCAAGCAGCTATTACTCTATTGGCGAGAATATCAAGACTAGAGAGGAAAAGAAGAGAGAGAGAGAGATAGATACAGCGGGAGGTTGCCCCTTTAAGGGGATCCTCTGGTCAGATCCTTCCCTTATTGGGAAGTATCGGCTTATTATGTGGGAAGGTCTGTGCAGGCCGTCACATTAACGTTAATTTAATATAATAATAAAAGTACGTTATTAAAGTTATTATTACCGTTACAACGTCGTATATATCGATATATATAACTTTAAGTCGTATTTATTAATATATAGTTGAATTAATATTTACGACGTTAATTTAAAAGCGTAATATATATAAAGCGTAATATATACAAAGCGTGATAGCTATAAAGCGTATTTTTATCGTAGTTATTAAAAAATATCGAAATTGAATATTAACTTCATAATGATACCGATAAAAATACGTCTTATAAAGTTATTATTACCGTTAAAACGTCGTATAAATCGATATATATATATAATAATAATAACCTTAAAACGTATATATTAATGTATAGCTAGATTAATATTTACGACGTTAATTTAAAACCATAGCGGTTACAACGCGTACTATTATCATTGTTGCGTAGCAGCTTAACTTTATGTGTGTATGTGTAGAAAGTTGATGTGGAGCTGGACACTCGGCTTGAGAACGGCAGTACTTGCCGGTATCCTGGTTACTGGGCAGTGATGTCAGCCAACTTGGGGATGTACAGTAGGTATGACGAGCCTATCTACATGCATGCTGGCGTCATCGTCTAAAATCAGGCCGCACGCATAATATCTGCAGTGTCTTGCGCTGACCACACTTCCATCATAAAACGTCTCTGCTTGCCAAATCTGATCATACATGGATGGATGGCGCTCGAGTGCAGAGAGCTACGTACAGGGAAAACTGTCGTCGATACGTCCATCCCTGGCAAGAGTGTGAGTCGTCAGATCTTCAGACAGGCTGGCTGGGTCAAGGTCGCGTTTGATCTGCGACAGGTACATAAATAGGCTCAAAACACCGTTGCTTCGATAAGTCTGTAACGCGTTACCAACAAATTTCGACCATAGCTTTGGCCCTTTGCTCCTATGTGTAATAATCCTCCCATTAAATCTCGCCCTCAAGATCCTCGCAAATCTAGATGACCTCAAGCATCGAATCAAGACTCTCGTTAGCTTCCAGGTTAGATGGTCGATAGGAAGACCAATTTCATATTCATTCCTTAGATCTTGTTTCGAATCGCTTCGAGGTAGATTTACCACGTGTAGTGTGGTCTTAACTAGGCTGTATAAGCGTGCAGCGAAAATCAAGATAGATGTGGAAATCCCTTTCAGGAGGTTAGATGGAGATCGAGGGAAATAGCCAAATACCACACATGACGGCAGCGTCGTATTCCCAGACGCTTATAAGATAGTGTACCTCTAATGGTACTTCTTGCACACGCTGACATACCCCTTGAGTATCAGAAGCCATAGCCTACTTTGATCATGTTGCATGTTGGACGATGGTTGAAGTAGTCAAAAAGGCAGACGGCGGGGACAAAGACGTCCAAAGAGCGGAATCGGGAATCGAGTGTTTGTCAATTCTGAAGTGATATGACTGTATCTCGTTTGTGTTACATTTATCAGCAAGAGCCATATCGACACGACGACAACTCGGCTCAAACGTGATACACCCTATCCCTCACAGAATGACACTGAATTTCTTACACAACACAACAATCATTCCTCCTCTTCAGTGGAGACGGCTTCCACAATCAGATTGCCGGACTTGCCAATCTCCTCGCCCAGCGTTGCGGTTTTTTCCGGCTGGTAGACTTTCCGTGGCATGAGCGAGGCAATACGGAACTTGTAGTCATGCGTGTAGCCCTCTGGCTCGGACGTCTTTTCGTTGGTAACGAGGGACTCATCGCCGAGAAGGTCATAACACTCCACGAATGCGTACAGCTCTTCCATAGTGGTCTCGTTGGCGAACTTGCGCACTATACGACCCGTACCGGAGGACTCGGGCATTTTCAGCGCAAGGCGCACGACGTCTTTTGCGCTGGCTTCGGGCTCGGCGGGAATGCTGGTTGCCCGCCACTGCCTCCACTGTTCCTTTTGCTGTGCGCGTTGTTCGGCTGCTTCGGCCTCCTGCTGAGCTCTCTTTTCCGCTGCAGCTGCCTCGGCCTCGGCTTCTTTCTTCTTTCGTGCCCGCTCTCTATCTTTGGCGAGTGAGCGCTCATACGCCGAATCTTGCTCGGTCCGCAGACTCCGCGATACCTCTTGGGCGGTGCGTTCGGCGCGGACTCCTGCCAGATCGGGAGAGTACTTGTTGATTGCGGTCTGAATCTCGGCGAGATAGGTGGACGAGGAAAGCGGGCCGACTAGTCTCTTTGCTATGCTCATCCTAGTGCTACCCTCCTTCGGCGTGAGGCAGATTAGGCACGAAAATGGGTACTTTGTGCAGTTATACTCTGCTGCCACTTGGTACGCCTCCGAGTCCAAGACGTTGCCTCCCCATAATATGATGTTATTCGCCGGGTCGTTGATAAAGCTGACCACTTCGGGTGAAAGTAACGTGTCCCTCGTGAACGACTCGGTGTCATCATGTTCGGGTGACATGAGGACCAGCAAGAGGAACTTGAGGTCCTTCTTGGCTAGGTCCAGCGCTTGCGCAAAGCCACCCTCGTAGAAAGGCAAGCTGGTATTTCCATACTCTTCCTCGAACTCGCGCTTGAATCTGGAGGCTGTGTCTCGCGGCATCAACATGCGCCGTCCGGCCGTACCTCTGAAGCCGCTCGTCATGGTTGTTGTTATCTGTCGTGGTCGTATCGACGGAGGGAGAAACATGAATATGTACATGAAGCTGCGGAAGAGCGTCGAGACTGCTCTGTACCCGTAGCTAAAGGGAGCAAAGAGTATGGCGAGGAGGAAGGGCATGCGGTGTGTGGTAGAGGACGGAGGCACGATTCGCGGGGCGGGATCAGGCCTGCTTCGCGGTGTTGGTCGGCTGAAGGGGCTCGAGGAGGCCATCAAGCTCTCTTGCAGGTTCTCGTGCCTGGCCGGCTGTTGGGGGATGTGGTCCTGGGCGGCCATGGCTTCCGCGACAGGGTCCGGACCTTCCCCATCAAAGAACTTGGCGATGGCTATCTGCACGTTCCATTGCGACCGTTCAAGCAGCGGCACGGCGTCCTTGAGTTCTTGGGCGGTGACTTGAGTGTACTGCTCGAGCGCGGACTGCTGCTCAGCGGAGAGCTGGGCGACGTCGATTCCTGCGTCGCTTGCCATGTTGCCGACGTGTCCGATCTACCAAGGTAGGATATCAACTCCAAGGGTCAGCGATCCATGAAAACAAGTCGGCCAAGGTGTTTTCAATGGTATAAGTAGAAATTCCCAATCTCTGCTGCTCGGACAATGATCTCGAAGGCACTGAAGCTACCAAGCAAGCAAGCAACGATATCGGACGAGAATGATAGCCTCGCGAAGGTACCCAATTCGTCTGACTGAAGCTTATACAAGATGTCTCGGCACTCCCGCTAGCAGACGTCGTGTCGGTGTAGAATGGCGTCAGACGCCAGACTGGAAGGCTGTCGAACAGTGACGGGTAGCAAGAAGCCGTGGACTGGTCGTGTTCAGTTGGTAGTCGGCGGATCCACTGGAGGATGTCGAGTCGCAGCGGATGACGATGGCGGAGCTGGAGGAGAGCATCGAACTTATTATTGTTATCGAATTAGCCGATCCTGGGGATCTCCCGCTTAGTCTGCCACCTTGCCTTTTCTAAAGCTTCAACGCTTACCATATAGAGACTAGCCGCGCGGAATATGATTGTGATACCACCAGTCCGTTACCGCTCACCTAGCCAAAGGGGCTTAAGCACAACTGCGATAGTTAAGGTGAATCGGTGTAATAAGGTTGAAATCATACATGTGATAAATGCAGAGCCACAGCACTCGGCGCCACAAATGAAGCTGCTTCGCACCCGACGCGGGGGACATAGCAATGAACGAGCACAAACACCTCATGGCTACTGATTCTCTGCAAACTGTTTGTTTGATTCCCGAACTACATTGAATGGAAGCTTGAAAGATGACTGGTGATTGGTAACGGGGAGCGATACATACCGTAGGTACGAAATGCAATGGATTTATGCACTGTACCCGACATACAGTAGCGCAATCCACCGTCAAGACTCAATGGTCATCCCACCTCCGCCGGCGGCCGGCCTGCCTCGCCGCTCGCCTGCTTCCAGTGGCAGAGTGGCTGCTTTGTCACTTTGTGACCCGAGCCAACCTCCAGCTCTTATCAACAACGCGAGGTCTGCATAGGTGCCGCATTCCATTCACCTGCACCCTCGACCATTCACCACCCGAGCAAACCTTCTGCGCGACCGATCCCGTCTTTGCACTCTGCCAAAACGAATCGTCTATGGGCGAGGTGTCGCCTCTACTCGCTAGAAAATGGGTGCGCTTTGAGGTCTTCCGTAGGTCCAAACAAGTCTTTTTAAGTCTTTCATGCTAGTAGCCTCAAGCTTGTCCCGTGCTATCGTCTCCGATCTCGAGCCCCTCCACCTCCGTATTCCGTGTCGACAACCACACTCTCCTCGTGTCGTCCACGTCCTTTGCATGTGAACATTGTCTCCGAGTCGCCTCCTACTCGCCTTCTACTCTGATGTCGCCGTGTCTATTCGAGGCTGACCAAATGCCGCACAGGGGCTGTATTGACAGGGCGGCGACCATTGACGACTGCCCAGCCTGACTTCGCGGCGGCTGCATGACGAGAATCTTCAACACCGACCTCCACTTCGAACTTCGATGGCGAGCACACGTTTTGGCACCTTCGACCGAGGCAGCCAAATGGCTTCTCCAAGACCGAAGACGCGTGGTGAGTGCTTGACCTCCCTCTAATTCGCGTCTTACCAAGCCATCGGGGCGCCGGACAACAAGCCCAGTGCTCGTCGCGCCAACGTTGAACCCGAACACGGCCTACCTCCAGCTGCAATGCTCATGCGCCTATAGACACCAAGGACACGTTCTGTAGAAACGTGCTCATCTACGGCCATTGCCGCTACGTGGACCAAGGTTGCGCCTTCAACCACGACCAGAACAAGAGCTCTCCCAGCTCAATGGACAAGTAAGTCCCATCCAGTTATATTTATCTCTTGCTACGCCCGTGCATTCCTTCCTCAACCCATTTGCTGGCGCCCACTGCAACCCACGACCAAGCCGTACCTATCATACCTACCGTACCTACCGTACCTACCGCATCGCCGAACTTTGCCATAGGGCCCAATGACGAGCAAGGACGAGGGGCCAGTGGTTCACGTTATGCCTTATACCGAAGATTGCCCCATCGCCAGCGGACAAGGAGAGCCACCACTTTAGCATAAGCTATCAAACCCCCCTCGGCAATGACGGGTTTCGCGCATTTTAAGATATAAGATATAAGCTTAAACATCAAGACCACCGGCTCCTGCAGAGTCTGGCACAAGTACTCCTCCCTACGGGTTTCTCTAGCTCCCTGCCTTCGACTGCCCGGCCATCCTCTATCACCTTTACTGTCCTTTCACGGGCGGCCATTATAGCAAACGCGAGGAAGGTGAGCGGTACGGTCGAGATCTCCTGTACTGGGAACCCTCTCCCCAAGGTTGTGGCTAGAGGGCGGTATTCCGACAGTGGTAGTCTCGTAGGTGGCATGTTTAGGGACGCGCAATCCCGCCAGCTGTCTCGTGAAAACCCTTGCCCGAGGACTAGCCATCTCTGGGAACGCTGGAATCTCGAATCGCACACGAGGGTATTGCAAGCAAGTCCACTCTGAATTGAGTCGACCGCTCTGTCTGCTCGAGATTGAATGCTCAGACTACTTTGGTAGTCCGCCACCAGAGGCGCCACTTGACCGGCCTTTGCGCGCGGGGTGAAGGTCAGCAAGAGCGCATGAGTTCGAGGCAGTGACGAGTCTGACTCCATCCCTTCTGACTTTGTGGAGCCGGGGAACATCTCTCAAGGACAACAACAACATCTGGCTTGGTTATCCCCAATATCATCACAAGGCAATCTTCGCGTCCACTCGGTCCCCTAAACCCGACGTCGCAATGGCCGATTCAGGAGCGCCAGCTCGTACTAACGGTCGTAACTCTCACTCGGCGGACCGCCTTGCTAACAGACCGTTTCTCAGCAACCAAAAGAAGTCATTGAATGTTGACTCACCATCCTTCACTCCGGCCCAACTGGCGGGTAAAAAGTCCGCTTTCTCAACAAATGCCGCCCCTTTCACCCCTCGAGGCGCTACGAACACATGTGAGCTAGATGAAAAGAAACGTCTATTCTAGTAATGCTCATTCCTTGACAGCTACGAATACAGCTGTGCAGCCAGATGCTGGAGCGTCTGAGTTCAAACCGACGCAATTCCAAGAGTTCACTCCACAAAACAACTATGAAGTAAGCACACCAGAACACCGGTTGGAATCTGTAACGACTGACATGTATTAGGCCCCAGCAAATGGTTCAGCCGATGGCGGTTCGATAAATTATGATCCTTTCAGTTCAATGGCCAGCGTCACCCAGGCACTCCCGCAGAACACTCCATACAATCCATATGCAGAGGATCATAATCCCTTAGCCGGACCCGCGTCGGGCTACTATACTGGCCAGAACGCCTACTCGGCTCAGTCCCAGCCTGTAAGCATCTCGATCTGTCTTCTCCATAGCTGTCCTACGAAGCTCGCTCTAACCTTTACAAGCTGCAATATCATCTCTACTATCCTATCGCCTCCACACGGGAGAGCTTGCAGCCGTATCAACGACAAGTCCATGATCTCTTCATTCCTGAATCCGTGAGAGAAGACCTTCAGAAGAAGTCTGAAGCCGCCAGACAAGTTCTAGCAAGCCAATCGGGTGTTCAGGCCTCGCTCCAGCAGTACCATTCACTGGTCCCCTTAGATACAAAATTTAGGAACGCGCAAAGTGTCTTTGGTCCCCCAACCTGGGTATGGAAAGCTACTTCTCGAAAGAACGGCAATATCTATTGTCTACGAAGAATCCAAGGTATGTAATCTTACCGGCCGCGATGGTATGGGCTTTTGTTGACCAGAAGTAGGATTCCGCTTGACAAACGAGGAAGCTATCAAGGCTGTCAACTCGTGGAAGAAGATTACGCATCCGAACATCGTTACGACGATCGAGGCTTTCACGACCAGAGACTTCAACGATAGTTCTCTGATTTTTGTCCACAGCTATCACCCCCTATCGAAAACACTGGCGGAGCATCATTTCACAACAACTAGATATGGTCGAGTGGCTCCGGTATCCGAGCGAGTATTGTGGAGCTATCTCGTACAACTGTCCAGTGCCTTGAACAGCATACATCGAGCGAAGCTTGCAGCACGATGTGTCGATATCAGCAAAGTTATACTGACCGACAAAAATCGTGTTCGGCTCAGCGCATGCTCCATATTCGACGTGTTGCAATTCGATGCGTATCGCCGCTTTGAAGACCTGCAGCAAGATGATTTCTTCGACCTCGGGAAGCTCATCCTCAGCATTGCGACTAACACGCTCCCAAATAGCATGCCCGATCTTCGGTCGTTGCTCGAGCAACTGGGTAGAACCTATTCGCCCGAGTTGAAGGAGAGGATTGCGTGGCTGCTAAGTCCGCAACAGCCCTCTTTTGTCAAGACTGCCGAACAGCTCGTCACCGATATCGCTCATCACATGGACGATGTGTACATAGCAACTTCTAACGCCCACGACGAAGCCATCAACCAGTTAGGCAAGGAATTGGAAAATGGTAGGGTCGTGCGAATGCTTGCGAAGCTAGGTGCTATTAATGATCGCCCCGAACACGGAAGTGAAGTCCACTTTTCCGACATGGACGGGCGGCGCATCCTGAAGCTTTTTCAAGATTACGTCTTCCATCAGGTTGACGCTCAAGGCAATCCTGTGGTGGACCTGGGCCACATGATCAGTTGCCTGAACAAGCTTGACGCCGGCATCGATGAGAGGATCTACCTCACAAGCCGGGACCTTCAAAACACCCTTGTTGTATCATACAAAGAGTTGAAGAAGCAAGTTCAGATCGCTTTTGGGGATCTACTCAAGCCTGCCGCCAAACAACCGGCGCGCTACTAGGGAGGCGACCCATCATAGCGTGATCGACGACTAGCGGGAGCGGCTCAGGGTAGCAAAATTCCTCGTGCCAAACCATTGAATAGATCAACTACGACAGAAGAGGGAGCATAGGTACAGGTGGCTTTCCCAGCTCAGTACCCCTGCAATTGTCATCACTTCAGCAGCATTACGTACGCATACCTAGCAACAGGGGGACTGTTTGTTTGGCAGTTTCAGGTTACGGGTGTCGATACGTGAAGTGGTGGATGACGGAGTCTATACATATGTATGTATACATCAAGAGCAACGAATAAGAAAAGAAGGAAGTTATATCTATCATACCGTCGATGTGTGCTTTTTTTTTTCTCCGGTTACATGAAAGTTCGCAAGGATGAAACCCTAAACTGACTATGTGACTGCTCTGCCAGAAGTGCCATTTCTCAGGACAGACAGCACCTAGACCGGATTCTACTGGTTCGTCTTGGTAACTTCTTGGAGTAGCTGGGATGATCGCTAGACAACTAGCTAGCTAGCTATCTATCTACGGCTTCAGGAATCTAGAGATTCGGAGGATAGTGGGATATACTTGGATCTGGGACCAATAGGTCTCTTCCCCTTTCTCTCTGAGGATGGAGGGGTGCTTGTTGGGTAGGAGTAGCTTATCGATATGACGATTTGGTTGTCTTGCAAAACGCCTAATGGGCTAGGCAGCTTAGGGGTGGGTATTTTGTCTCTCTCTCTCTCTTTTCTTAGACGAACTTGTAAAGCTCTGCTATCCTTTGTGATTGTGAGTGGACCGTGAGAATGAATGGCTTTGCATAGGTAGGGATATAGATACCCACTTAGTTGATTCTTTTGAGAACGGCCCAGGTACACAAGTGAATGAAGCTAGTAGTGGTGGCTCTCCGAAGTTTTTTCTTCTGCTGCTCAGTCGGTTGGTTGGTTGGGTTACCTTACTTCAAATTCTTAAAAAAACTCAGCTTTATGCCTGCCTGACTGACGGGACTCACTTACCAACATTTTCACGACTGTGATGACGTGCAGTGCAGTGCAGTCAGGGGTACATGTCACTTGCGGTGTGGCTGTGCATGTGGTACAGGCTGGGTTTGGGCTTGAGCCTCATGCTACTGCATGCACACACACGTTGCGGACTGCTGAAATGGCTACGAGGCTGGGCGCGATGCTGGTGGTGTGGAAGGAAATGCAGGAGTCCTTCTGTTCGGCGTGCTTTCACTAACTGAACTGTCATGGCACATTTGGAATATGATCTTGATGCGGCTTGGATGGACACAATCCGGTCGGCTGACATTTCATTGACATGTGTCTCTGCCTGTTTTGCCTGGCCCTGTCTGGTATAGCTTTTGCAACATGAAGTCGACTTCTGTGCGCACGCTTGAGCACCCCCTGGTGAATGGCTTTGGTCTCCTTAAGGACCGTCCATATCTGGTCCCATAACATTTCTGGGAGACACGCCTGGGCTTCAGCCTTCTGGTGAACCTGACAGGCTTTCATATGACCAGTTCAACATTCACTTCCATCTCTTAGTTACTTTCAATCCTCGGCTTGTTGGGCGAACGGATTCTCAATCTCCTCGCTTCCATCCACCGGGCTGATGACCACTAGGAGAGTGCCTCGGGCAACCACGAGACCGAGTGACCGTGTAGCTTCCTTGCCTTCGTCGTCTGTGAGAGGGTTAGCTTGTGCCTACATACCAGAATGTCTGCCGGGGAGGAAGACAAACCTCGCATGACCTCTAGCACGTCATCTAATACCAGGTTCATGAGCGCGTCGTAGCCTTTCAGTGTGCCGGTGACTAGATGTTGGAAGAACAGTTAGCTCTGTAGATGCAGCTTTATAGCAAAGACGTCGTTCTTGTTTATCGCGAGGGTCGTGGATGAATGCATGCGTGTGATGGATACATACCTTCCCGTCCGCCATTGAACTTGACTGTGATCTTCTTGTCCATGTACTTGCTCAAGTCGAGGATGTTCTCCTTCTTGGGGCGCTCCCGCTCCTGATTGTCACCTCCGTGTGCGCCCCTGCCGCCACGTCCGCCCCGGCCTCCGCGGTGCTGGCCACCGCCGCCTCTTCCGCCACGGTAATGCCCACGGTCGGCCATGGTATGCAGTCTGGTGTGGGGTGTTTTAGGTAGTCCAGGTGGGTGCCTGGCAAGGAAGTGGTGAGGTTTTGGGGGTCTGAGTTTGTGCCGAGTGCGGATGTTGACGGCGATGCAGGAAACGGGCTATGGTCTGAGCCAATAGATTACGAGTCGGTGTCGCAGACAAAGCGGTTTGGCTTGGGTGAAGGTATCGTCTGGTGGTGCCACGCCCTGGGAGGTGGTGATTGGGGATATTGGCTCGTGCGCGTTCTTAGTCGTCCAACGGTCGCTGACGTCGGATTGCTCGAGTTTCGTGTGTCAGAGACACAGGTATACGTATGCGGTATTTCCGATTTCGTCACTGCGGTGTTGGCAGAAGGCTGTAGATGTGCTTGGCGTTGCTTTTTCAGGGCCAGCACTGTTTGGCGGGCGTGAATAGTCGGAGACACAAATAGTGGAGAGTGGTCGCGAGGCTCCCAAGGCTGCGCCTGACATTGTCTGGTACTGCTGCTGCGAAACCTGCAGGGAAGAGGGGTCGATATCCCTGGATTTGTTCTGGAACACTTCTCTGCTCTATCGTGGCAGCATGGTCTGTGCTGTGCCGGGAAAAGCCGCCAAGAAGTGAACCCCAGCCTGCCCAGCATAGCCCAGCTCCCCACTCTTCGTAGGGCTTTGGCCGCTGGCGGGGTATAAAGTAGGGGCAATCCATATATCATCACCTCAATGCTCTCATCATCAGAGAATCCCTAGTACCCTATCAGCCTCGCTTTTGTGTAATAGGGAGTTGCGAAACGAGGTGAAAGGGGCAAATTGGCAAGGCAGATCATATTGCATATGTGGAAGGTGTCAAAATCTAATCTGCAGTTGTTACCCCCGTGCCATGCCCGGGTCCCGGGGAGATGGGGTGGGTCGGATTTTGATTCCTGAGTCCTGACTGCCGGCACCAGGAACAGGGCGATAGGGGCCAGGCACGCATCTCTGGTGCATGCGGGGATCAACCATTGCGTTGGGTTTCTATATGCTATCAGCTATCAGCCATCAGGTCGAAACCGTCGACAGTAGGACTTGCAATGCCAAGCTGACGCATCAGGTCGATCGTCGTGGACTGCCTGGGATCCCGATATCTGGACTCGGTTGTCGGCAAAGGATTGACGCGGACAAGGCGCAAGCGTGGCCAAATCTAGTAAGCATAGCAGCCGAGCCTATAGCTGATAGGTATAGGTACCTGCATATACGCTGCATTGCTTAGGGTTATCCATGTTGAGAACATGGCATGTACCAGTCGAGGAACGGGGCCGAGATTCTTCTCGGAGCTAAAGACAAACAGGTGTTGGATCAGTCGGAGGTGGCTGGTGCATCTGCTCCCGTCGTGGCTGCCGTGGTAGCTGCCACGATACCTTAGGCACGAACATTGAGGTCCAGTGTTCCAAGACGATCCGGCAGCCTGGGCAGGTCAAGCGTTCGTTCTTTAATGTTTTCAGGTCCTTGGCATATCCACCACAGAAACAATCCATTTTCTTTTATCTTGCAATGTTTCCACCGCCCAGTTCTTCCGGTTGTTCTCCCCCATGCCCCACCCCCAGTCTCTGCCCCCCATTTCTCCTGATGCTTATTTGATAGGTACATCCCGAGCGTGCGCCTGCTTGCCACTTGACTAGGTACCGTACAGCTACCGTTGTCCCCTACCCTAACCTCCCGTCATTGATCCTTACCTTAAGTACTTCTATAAAGTGAAGTATACGCGCTCGTCTTCGCCCTGAAGTGGCTTCCCTTCAGGTGGTCGCGCGGGAGTCTGGGAGTCTGCAACGTCGTTTCCGCGCTTGTGGCATGTCATCGCTGTGACCACCGGTTCCGCCAACTCATTGAGAAGCTCGGCATTCCTTGGATGCGAAGCTCTTTGATTCCCCCGAATCCTGCCGCCTTTCCGTCTTTCCGCCGTCTCTCCGTCGTCTTTCCTTGTCAGACTTCAAATCATACCATACCATTTCATGCACAGCATCGTCCATTCTTCCTTCGCGCACACACCTACCGGTACACAACTCCGTGTCATCGTCACCAATCCGCTATTCTTGGGATCGCTCTTCGACCTTTAGAGACGGCAGCACCCAGATCACATACCTTACGTATGTCATCGCCTCGTGCATACCAGGTCTCGTGGGTGGAAACGTCGGGCCGTCCAGGGCTGCTAAGCTGCCGGCACTAAAGACTCTCACAAGAACCGACACCGCGCCTGTAGATTTCCACGTGTGAGACATGGAACTATGGCGCACAATCCAGAGCCAGACCAGCATAAACGAAAACGAGACATTGCAGATGACGGCGCCCAGGCACATGCTGACCGCATACCCCAGCCGCCGCCACCCCAGTCAGGTAAGTGAAACGCACCTCACCTCACCTCACCTCAGCAATCAACACAACGTTCGCTATCATACTCCCTGTCATCTTGTCCAACTTGACATATACCTCCTACAGCTTGCTGTTACACCTGTTGTCTTGCTCTGCATCTCCCATCGCCAAGATCCCGTACACCATCTGTTCTTCTTCTCTGAATGGTGCAGAACGAAAGCATGAGTACTGACCAGAGTGCAAGGCAATACCATTCCCATAAACTACCTTTCAAAGTCACATGCCGCCAAACTCAAGCTCCTCCAGGGCGATGGCGACACCTTTTCCGACGTTCTGACGCTTGTTAGCGACTATGAAGGTGTGTAGACCCGACCTCTGACCTCTGTTACCTTCATCGAAACACTGACGCTCTCTGTAGGAGTACTGAACCGCCATGAAAGCCTGGCTTTCAACCTGGGTGCGAAGCTTACCGGGCCACGTCTCCTCAAGGCCATGGAGGGCGCTTTCGAAGGTCCCATAACGACCAGCCCTCCGCAGAATGCCTTCACCTCCGATCCTGTCACCTGGCTCGACATTGTCGATTTTGCCAAGTCGAAACCGGTAGAATTCGCTCTATCCGCTAAGCCAAGCGGTATGCGATCTTGCCAGTTCTCGCTGAAGGGCATTGAGGTCGAGATTGGTGAGGACGACTGGAGGCTCATCGTCTCTGGCGCTTTGGATCGGTTCAGGCTTGTGCCGCCGCAGCCGCTAGAGGAGGACGAGACTGCTGAGCTAGCCACACTTGACATCCTGGAACAGCGTCTACAGGGTTTGATCAAGAAGGCCGACGAAGTGGCACGCAGAGCTCGCCAACTCAACTATCACTTGAGCGGTCGAAAGGCTTCCATCCAAGTGCACCGCTCCGCGCAGTCGACCTCAGGCTCAGGATTCCAGCCTGTCAACCAAGCCAGGCCTTTGGGTGCCAACCCAGCTTACGATCTGCATGCTGACCTTCTCCAACAATTCAACGCTCCATTGCCGTCGCCTGGCTACCGTCTGTCATCTGTTAGTTCAGTACCCCCAACCCCCATCGTAGTGGGAGCCACTTCAACACCAAGGAACTCCGTACAGCAACCCACTCACCTGACTAGCAGCCGACCATCGCCTAGTTACCTGCCTGAACCAGCGGCCAGAGATGTGGAAGAGGAAAATAGAGCATTGGTTGCCTCCCAGATCGACAGATTAACACGCGGAGACGCCATACATCCACCCTGCGATAGGTGTCGAAGGTTGAGGACATCGTGTATCAAACATCTTACGGCTTGTCAGGGATGTACCAAGAAACACACTAAATGTACATGGAAGAAGCTATCAGATGAAGAGACAGCTTGGCTGAAAAGAGAAGCTGGCGGAGATGGAGACGAAGACGAAGACGAGCCCAGAGATCCTAGACGGAGCTTCGGGTCGGGATCAGGGCGCGCACCCCTCGGCCCAGGGGTGTCAAGAGGAGGTTCAGAACGCGGCGACGACCCTGGCCCAAGTCGGGAGGAGCCGCGAATCGCTGCTGGCAGACACGCCGATGACATTTGGCGAAAAGGACCAGCAGTATCAGCGGCCAGCAGGGATGACTCGATGGACATCGGTCCGAGGGATATCCGGAGAGCATACGATTCCCTCGAGAAGGGACTTTACTCTGGAGAACGCGCCCCGTTAGTAGATTCTACGATGAGGCAAGTTGCCTACGCCGCCTCGGCTCGTGCTGACGAGTTGACCAGTCAATTTGCGGGCGAAATCGCTGCTGCAGCTTCGCGTGACGGCCCACCCCGATAGTGTACAACTATGGTTACGACTGGGAGATGTCATGAAAGGCGGCATCACGAGGCAGTATTTTCTGCATTCTGAGCAAAAAGGTCTTTGCCCTGTACATACTTCCCTTGCACGTCCGGATTTGGCAAAGGGGGCAAGGGGGGAACGAGTAAGGGGTCAAAGGTGCACTACACTGTCCACCTTCTCACCAATCGTGGCAACTGTCTTCATAAACAAGAAATGTATAGACTAATTGTAATCATAATTCTGCCATGATGTCAAGCTCATTGGTGTGCACATTTCGAGGAGACGTTGGAGTTTACGCGGCTGAGACACGGATGGACCTCAGCCTGATAAACGACCGATGTCTCAGATCTGACAGCCCACCAACGGTCCGATCGACGTCACAAGAGGCACAGCTGAGACATCCATTGGGCTCTGCCTCCGCAGCTTATATATTGCGTCCCGCGTCCCGGATTCCGAAGGGGCGGAACGCGAACGCCTTCATGGCGTCGGAGCGGCATGGTGGATTACACTTACATGTATAAAGTACATCCAACGGTGGTGTATGCAACGTAGTCTACGTGTCTTGGATTATTAGCCTACACATCACGGTCCACCACCAGTTCATCCTATCGAGGATAACGCACTGCTTGCAACCACGCCACGTGGGGTCTCTCGCTGTCCGTGGCGTCCACGGGAACGGCAGTACAAGGTCAAGATAAGACGATTGCTAAGTAGAATAGAGAAAGCAGAATAGAATTGTCCGGATCAGGCCATGTTATTTGCTCTGCTCTTTTCACGAAGATTAGCCTCCTCACTGACATCGGACCAGACATCCTCGCACCACATCTCGCACTCCGCCCCGGGAAAGATTCGCAGACACCGCACCGGAAACCCTCTCTTTAAGTCTCGCACTCACGGCTCCGGGAGGTTCTTTCGGAAGCGACCAGGCAATTCTGCCGTTGTTGTTTCCTTTCCTTTCGATAACTAGCCCCGGTGCGTTCTTCGATAGGTATCGCTTTGCTTCGATCTCCTCAGGGAGGCGCGGATGAGGAGGCAGATGCCGGGCCTCTTGTAGGCAAGGGTTGCTACTTTAGGTATGTGAGGATGACTGCTGCGCTTCCTCGTTAATACGTCGCGCTTGAAGAACGGCGGAAACTGTGGTTCTGGCCGACGTCTACCGCGCCCGGTGAATTAGGACACCTACCTTCCTGTCCTCGGCTGCCTTGCTCGAGACGGCCAACGCGACTCCCGAAGTCGAAGGCGGAATGTGCGGGATACCTGATACCTGATACCTACCAGTCCTTTTTCCTGCTTTGAGGGAAACACCCCTGGGCAGAGACAAAATCGGAAGCAGTGTGGAAAGTATAAACATCGATCCAACTGTGGAACACATCATGGCTGCCTCCTTCAACGTCACTGTGTCAAGCATGTCGCGCCCAGTGTGGAGATAATGTCCAGCATGTATCCTTTCACGAATAGCCGTTTGCCGCCCTTCGCGCTTGTTCATCGTGTGTACGAGTGAGAAATGTCGGGCCAGGCATCGTCATGGAACTGGGAGCGGTTTCTCCATGGCATGCCGACGCGCGTTACGGGAAGCAGTTGTCGACAGTTCCAATCAGGGACCCAAGACGGTAGATGCAGCGCCTCGTCTCTGCTCACTCGAAAGCAAAGTATCTCCAAAGTTATCATAGAAACTCATGAACATGGTGAGGTAAGCCCCATGCGTATGAAAGGGTTTCGTATGGCACATCGCCCGAAAGGCAGGGCGTGACGAAGCTTGCATTGCATTGTATCTGGTCGCCCGCGATCGAGAAACCTGACGACGGAGGATCCCAGAGGTCGCTCTGCATGTGATGCAGGCATCCTGTTTGTAATAGAGACTTTTCCAGATTCAAAGGGCGGATATCATGATGTTCATCTTCGGGCTACCATAAAGCACGCTGGGTCATGGATGCTCCGGATAAGCAGGACGAACGAAGTCTGCACAGGAAAGGGTTAGGAAGCAGGTGGCTCCTCGTCACCGCTTAATAAGCCACGACTGAGCTACCTCTCATAACCCGATATATGCATAGTACGGAAACAAGAATGCGACCCACCGGGCCGTCACGAGTATGGTCACGAGTATGGTCACGACCCGTCGCCCCTTTTCTGCACGAGATGTTCGCAGTGACGCGTTAGGCTGCACGGCGATAAGGATAGTATGATTAGCGCAAAAAAGGTCACTGTCATACATCCATGATCGATCTCAGCTTCAAGCTTGCACCTATAAATGAACCATTCATTCGACACCAATACCTTGGAACTCTTCGCAGAGAGCTCTTGAGTACCAGATCCATCAATGGCAACACGGTAGCATTTAATCAAAATCGTATCGACCAGTACCGTCGCCCTAATCCTGAGCAATAATCGCCATCGCCGTCTCGGGACGTCATAGGTCATCCAGCTTCCCATGCGACTACGATCATAAGTACGACTTATTCGATGGAGAGCTCCAGAGAACGGCGGGAGGGCGTTCCCGTGCCGCCGCAGTCGCCCTTACCGCAGTCCCGCGAACTCGGCGGCGCAACACCACAAATAGCGACCAAGGAATCGCCCTTTGCCAAATCATGGCCGCACCTAGTCGCTGGAGGGTACGTAAGATCGTGAAGAGGAGTGGTGGAAGGACGCATCTTAAGCAAGGCCGTATCTAACCAAACCCTACAGAGCTGGAGGCATGACAGCAGCCGTCCTGACCGCCCCCCTCGACGTCCTGAAAACCCGACTCCAGTCCGACTTCTACCAGGCCCAACTCCGCGCCGCGCGCGCAGCCCTCGCAAGCCAAGCGCGCCTGAACCCCTTCCAGTCGGCCCGATACCACATGGCCGAGACGGTGCAGATCCTGCGCGACGTGTACCGGATAGAGGGGCCGCGGGCGCTGTTCCGGGGGCTCGGGCCGAACCTGGTGGGCGTGGTGCCGGCGCGCAGCATCATGTTCTACGTGTACGGGACGGGCAAGCGCGCCTACTCGCAGTGGACGGGGTGGGCGCCCGAGAACCCGGCCGTGCACCTCGCCAGCGCCGTGACGGCCGGCATCGCGACCGGCACGGCCACGAACCCCATCTGGCTCGTCAAGACGCGCCTGCAGCTCGACAAGAACGACGCGGAGCGCAAGTTCGGCGACGTCGGCCGCCGCCGCTACCGCAACAGCTGGGACTGCATTCGCCAGGTCATGCGCAACGAGGGCCCACGCGGCTTCTTCAAGGGCCTCAGCGCTAGCTATCTGGGCGTCTCAGAGAGCACGCTCCAGTGGATGATGTACGAGGAGCTGAAGCGCCAGCTGCGGGTGCGCGAGGACAAGATCGTCGAGAGCGGGCGCGAGAAGGGCTGGTGGGACCACACGGTCGATTGGACCGGCAACTTCATGGGCGCCGGTGCCGCCAAGGGTCTGGCGGCTATTCTGACGTATCCGCACGAGGTGAGTAGACATGCCCCCTGAATCACCCCTATCCTCTCCTTGACACAGCTTATAAACTGACACTGGAACTCAGGTCGCGAGAACGCGTCTCAGACAGGCACCCATGGCCGACGGGTGCCCGAAATACACGGGTCTCGTGCAGTGCTTCAAGCTCGTGTGGAAAGAGGAAGGCATGATCGGCCTATACGGCGGTCTGACACCCCATCTTATGCGCACCATCCCCTCGGCCGCCATCATGTTCGGCATGTACGAGGGCATTCTCAAGCTCCTAGGCTCCAAGAGCTGAGCTAGCAGCCAGCCAACCCAAGAGCCGGCTTGAATGCTATCGGCCACGCACCGGTGAGCTACTTATGGCCACTGGACGGATTGGGCGTCGGGAACGTCGATTCGTTTGTATACAACACCTCCGATCCGCCCACCTACTACACACCTTTAATACCCGTCTGTCGCTTTGCATTCTACGAACAATGTCGTACCATCAGGTGTACAGCCCAACAGACAGACACCCAGGACTCTCCACTTCTTCGAGATATAGACATCGTCAGTCGACCATCCGACATACCAAGTGTACTATAGGAAGCCATATGGCTAGGACCGCTTCCACGCACGATATAAATAGGGGAGGCGCATCTCCAGTGGATCTCAGCATCATCCGCACTACTGGCATTAACGGCGTTCACAGAGGGAAGACAAAAAGCATGGAACGGAACGCCCAACTCTTGGATTCGGTTATAGGTACGGGTACAACAGAGGCATTTCAGGCGAGGCAAGGCTGTTTTCATAACACTCTGGCCTGGTTCGCGCTGGCCTAGGTTCAGTCCTGCGCTACTTGGGTGCTTACTGAGCCTCAGAGTAAGGCCGAGATCTGAATCTGTATGTAAGTATATATTTGTTCGGAAAGTGTATGTAGAACATCACAGGAAGAGCATGCTATAGATAAGGTATCATGCCATGTAAAATTGAAGATATAATCAAGATGCTGCAGTACCGCACTGTCGCGTCCGTCTGTCTTATGGATGTGTTTTACAAACTCGCTTCATTAGCGACACACAGATCATCTCGGAAGTGGACTCTACCGGGAAAGCAAAGTGCGAGACGCATGGCGAGATGAGCAGACAAATGCCCCCTATCTTCCGACTTCTCCCACAGCACCCCCTCGCCCCCTTTCACCGGAAACGAATGGTGTCTATTGAACTGAGACCTTCTTTTGCTGTCCGTACGCTATGGAGGTGAGGCTGACAAGTAGGTAGAAAATCGCACGAACGAAGAACCGCATCTCCTCCGGTCGGTCAGCATTGGTATCAGATCCATTCCACCCCTTTTGCCTCCCCCACGTAGCCGGCAAATGCAGATCTGTATGCGCATGAATATCGCAGTAGACGCCAAAGTTCCTCCGGAAATAGCATAATATACTTTCTCTCCAATAGTCACAAAGTCCTTGCCGTATCCGAGCTGCTGCGGTCCTCGGAGTTCGTCGATTTGGTAGCGGCCATCTTCTGCAAGTGCGTTTCCAGCATGTGAAGCTGCTGCTTTGCAGAGGGCCGTTTGCGAAGCTTTTGTGGCGTGCGGCCGGGCGTCGACCCGTTGGCCCACGAATCGAACAGACGCAGTCACCAGGCGTTGCGATCCCAGTTCGGGTCTGGTAAGATCACGACATAGTCAGCGGTGTTCCAAGTTAGTATTCATGTATGAAGTAAACTCACCCTGCACAAAAGCCGCCAGCACCTTGCTCCCCGTCTGCAACAGCGGGTGGCCGACGACGATCTTGAGGAACTTCTCGAGCCCCGCGCGGCGGCCCTCGATGACGTCGTCGGAGAAGCGGTTGGTGAAGACCTTGCCGGGCAGGGGCGGGATGGTGACGCGCGCGCTCTCGCGCTCCAGTATGTCGCGGAAGTACTCGAAGTCGCTGTAGCGCCGCCGCACCGTGCTCTGGCGCAGCTTGAAGGCCGGGATGTTGGTGCGGCACACGATCTCGTAGTCCGTGTACATGTTGCGCGACGTGCCGTGCGTGCGCGGGTTGCGGATCTGTTGGTGGAAGGATTGGTTGGTTAGTCTGCGGTCGTCTTGCTTGTTGTGTTCGTGGCCCTAAGGATCTGGGGTGCGGAGAGGGAGGAGGGCATAAGAGAGGGCCGAGGATGGGCTGTCGCGTGCCGCCCTCGAGGCTCGCGAGCAGCGTGGAGGTGCCCAGCAGATTGTGGGATAGTGGTCGCACGCAATCGCAGATACACATAGACAGGTTGACAGGTAGGCAGAGACGCATATTACACACCTCTATCTCAAGGAAGTTTTCGGGTGGCCCGTATATCTCGTCAAAGGACTGGGTGCGGTTGTCGGGCATGGACTGCATGATGGGGCGGGACATGCTGGCCATGCCGCGCGGCGAGGCCGGTGTGTTCGTCGACATGGCGGGCGAGGTCGCAGATGTCTGATTCGGTGACTTGGGCGGGACGCCGCCGGCCGGGGCTTGCTGCTCGGGGGACGCCGTTTTGGCGATGTTCGGGGGCCTTCGATGACTTTTCGGTTCGGGAATCGCAATCGGGAGGTCGATGGAATGGTATCGTCGGGTTGCTGGCAGTGCTTAACTCGCTTGCTTGGTGGTATTGGGTGCGGAGGATGGGTGTTGATTGAGGTTGTCGGATTTAGTGTGATGCTGCTGGTCTGGGCTGTCTGGCTCGCTGCTGAGGGGAAAAGTAGGTCGGCTCGCTCTCCAGGCCAAACAAGGCAAGTGGGATGGCCAACGACCAATAATAGCGTGGAAGGAGCTACAGGGCACGACCCCAGCCAATTGAATTGAGGCTTATCTGCCGCTACGTAGTAGTGCAGTGGGGGAGCTTTCTTAGGTCTGTGGCTCAGTCAGCAACTCGACCTATGTTCAACTACATTCCATATCTTGTGCGGTTGAACCTGCGATGAGGGAGACTAAGGAATCTTGGTCATGCTCGGAACGACTAGTGAAGAGGCTGTGATATATGTGATTCACCATGTCTAGCTGTCTGATGTAGTCAGGGTGGTTTACAACGTGACACCCTAGGAATCATCGATCGTGACTTACATGAGTCTCAGGGGCTCGAGGTGGCATGGTGGTAAACATATCACATTCACACAAGTCAACATCGTCACATTCAGAAGAAGTGCAGTTCTGAGCTAATATCTGTCATTACTAACAACCGGGAGAATCTCTGACGCATGATACCTAGGTAGCATGCTTCATGACTGATAGTAGCCAGGTTAAGTAATGAAAGTTGATCCTAGGATATTCCTCCTAGTTTTGCGCCGCAGTCCATGGTATTTCTCCTCCTTTGTGAAGCCCGCGGAATGCGATATATGCCATGATGTGTCTTTGCCCTGTGAAAGCCCGATATTGCAACTGAAAGTGTCATCTCAAGGACAGCCAGTGGTTGTGGATGCCGAATAGTCACCATCTCAGTGGTGGCTGTTACTCGCCAAAGCTGTCCAGCGGTCGAAGTTGTCCAGTCGTGGCCCAATGCTAGCCGGCATTGACCCCATCGGCGATGCCGCAATGCGTCAAAAAAGTGTCGACGCCAGACCCCCCTCCGTAGGGAGGAGTCCGACATCGACCACAACTTCATTGAACGCATTACGAATCTATGGCCAGGGGTCTATCTAGGCAATGCGGGCAACGTGTGAGGATCTGGCAGGGCCTTGGTACTGTGTGTATGAGGCAGACGAATGACAAGACCACGAAGAGGTCAGTCCATCAATGAGAGGGTTAGCAAGGGGGTCTGTGAAGTAGTTCCCGCAGCGGGTTCAGAGAGCAAACAGATCCGATCCCGTCCCCAAAGGACATGTATGTCTGCAGCGTGAGTGCTTGTCGCAAACTCCATGTCGGAAGTGAAAGACCTGATCGCAAAAGTGCAGATCAGAAAGACCGGAAGCCACATCCCAGTTGACAAAGGAAAGGGAGTTAGTTTCGCCCTTCGTAGAGGCGATCAGAATGTGGGCAGGCCGAAGAGCCGATCCAACATGAGACTCGAGCATGGACAACAACCAGGAGCCGACTAGTAGTCATTGCGGTATTTGGAGAAGGAGTTGGTACATCGTCCCTGATCCCCGAAGTAGACAAAGCCACCCTGAGCAGCGCTCGCGATGTAGGTCTCGGGGGGAGTTCCTCCCTCAACAGCACGTCGGAGAATCTGGTCGATGGTCTGCCACTCGATGGCGGTGGCCTCAGCCAGCGTCATATTGTCCAAGGCGGGACCGCTAGGGTAGTTGGCCTCGACGAAGAAGTAGCCCCAGTACATGCTGGTCGTCTGGCCCTTGGCCTGCAGGGCTCGCTTGTGCCCGATGGACATGCCGTCGACAACGCGGTTGGTCTCCTCGCGAATCATGGCAATGTAGTACTGTAGGTTTCCATGCGTCGGTCAGGCACGTAGCATATGGGTGATATCAGGGGAAAGGAAACTTACCTCCAGAACATCCAGAGGAACTCCAGCCTTGGGACCAAGGGTGTACATATGGGTCCAGAGATCGGCGAATCGAGGCTGATTGAAGTGTCGACCCTGCTCCTCGGGCATCTCAGCCAGGAAGGAGAGGTTGTCCTTCTGCAAGACGCTGAGACCACAGCAGAGCATGCACGAGGTGATTAGCCTGTTGAAGAGCTGAGGCGTTAGGCGATCGTGGTCGGGATCGCGACGAATCGAGTTGCGGAGCGTCATGACCATCTTGCAGCAGGCATCGTAACAAGCCTGGCGCTGCTGGATGGTGATATAGTCGGCCATGTACCAGGGGCACTTGCGGAGCGTGCTGATCATGCACTCGTAGGGTCGCTCCGGGCACTGCTCCGAGTAGGAGGACTGCATACTGTCGTTAGTCCCACCATCGTCTCTCTGGCGATCGCGCCGACGACTTACTCGGTGAGGGGACTCGACATGCTTGGTTAGCATCGTCATCTCCTCGATCGAGAAGAAGCACTTGAAGTTCTCCCACGAGAACTCGGAGCCCTGCAGAATCTCAGGGCGAGATCCGTGCCAGCGGACGCCGTTGGCAGCGGCAGGGAACATCTCCTTCATGAGCTGCACCTGGCTGGACAGCTCGATTTCCACGGGGCGGTTGCCGATGCGGCCGATACGGCCGTTGTCCGCAGTCTTCTGGAACTTGTCGACGCAGTTCATTGCGTCCGCGGGGTCGACAAACTCAACGAAGGCGTCCATCGTTTTGCTTGTCACACGCTCCATAATAATGTGAACAGGCTCAAGGCTGTCGTTGAGAACTTTGGCGTTGCGGCCCATGAGCGCAACCAACTCCGATCTTCGGGTGCCGAACGGGATCTATCGAGGTAGAGAGGTTAGTTTCGTATATACAGCAGACATATGTCATGAGAGGAATGAAGTGCACTCACGTTCTTGATATGAATAACACCGTGGTCGACTGGGGTATGGAGACTGTACGTCTCCGCCCAGGGGAAGAACTTAGGATCCATAAGATCCTGCAGAGTGACACGCCCATCGACTCCGATCAACGCATTGAGCACATCCGAGCGGGCTCTCTGGACAAATGTGGGCGGGGGGTGGAACGGAAGGGGTCGAAGATGGGCCGTCTGCGCCGACTTCGCGACAGTGATCTCCTGAGCATGAGGGACTACGGCTCCGGCACGAGGCAGGAGCCGGTTAAGAGCGCTCTGGTCGTTATAGAGCAGGATGCTGCTGTCGGAAATGCTGTTAGTAAGGCCTGTGACATATCCTTCGGGGACCTTCTGCTCGTTCGCGGGTGCCTGCTGGGGTTGACCAGTGTGAACAGTCTGAGCCATGTGCTGAACGCCGTTGGCAGCTGGGTTGCCTTGGGTAGTACCGCTGTTCATGGAGTCAACACTGGTATTGGTGGCATTGGTGTATCGACGACCTTGAACATTGCTCTGCTTGACGGTTCCATGAGCAGCAGTGACGTCCCCGCCATACACATTGTTCGCGGGAGCACCAGCTTGATGCATCTGGGCATTGGTACCCTGGGCTTGGTTGCTTCCCTGAGTTGCACCGACATTGGCAGCACCCGGCTGGTATTCCTGAGTGTTGTAAGTAGGAGCTTGATGATCCTGCGCATTGAAAGCCTGGTTTTGAGCAGCTCCCTGAGCGGCACCAGTGTTGATGGTACCAGCATGGTGTCCCTGGTTGCTGAAAGTCGGTTGATAACCTGGGTTATTGGTGGCAAGTCGGGCGAGGTCAGCTCTGAGAGCATCACCCATGTTGTAACTTCCCTGGTGACCCTGAACATTACTGACTTGATCGTTGTTAGCAGCACCGTACTGCTGACCGTTCTGGTTCATCTCGGGTGCAGCACTGGGAAGAGAGCCGTAGCTGCCGGTGGACGGCATTTGCTGCTGCAACTTGCCCAGACCATAACCGCCGTTGATGTTGCCAAACCCTGTGTGCACCTGGTGGGTTACGTTGGGTGCCTGTGCATTTCCCGACTCCTCGAAGCGCATCTCGTTCTGGCCTTGACTGGCATTCTGTCTCCAGTCGGACGCAGATAAGATCCTATCTCGCTTAAGGTGACGACTGTGCGAGTTTGCCTTGTGCTGGTTGTTCGAGGAGAAGGCGTTACCAAAAGCAGTAGTCTGGTACATGCCATTGGACGATTGCTGCGCACCCGCGTTCTGAAGACCCTGAGGAACGGTAGCCGAAGGAGCCTGCGCAGACTGTTGGTATCCTTGTGTGTATCCAGTATTCTGACCCGTGACACTCTGAGGCTGTTGAGAAGTTGCATTCCAGCCGTAGCCCTGGCTGCCACCAGCATGCATGAAACTATTGCCATTGGAATGGTTGCCAGCAATAGGAACGTAGGGATCGTAGGTAGGGTTATTACCAGCAGAGGCATTGTCGTTGTTAGAGGCCTGGGAAGGAGCAGCGCCGTTCTGACCTTGTACTCGAGCATCACCCGCAACACGCTTCTGTTCATAGAGCATCATGAGATGCGCGATGTTGTTCGCCTGCAAGTTGGGAACATTCATGTTAGTATGATTATAGGCTGCATCGGGTTCACTCTGGAGGGTTTTATTGGAGATGGTTGCCATGTTGGGAAGGTTCGAGATGTGGATGGGTGGGAATTCAAAATACCTCGTTAGCCTCCATCTCTGGGGTGCAGACTCTGGCGTGGGAACCATATGGCGAAGCAGTTGGGTTCATGGTAGTAGCGCCGTTGACAGGGACAAAGGGAGCCGAGGTGGCATTCAGCTTAGAGGGTACGCGAGGCGGAGGGGAGGCCGGCTTGGCATCTTCATCGATGCTGGCATTGGTCGCGGTCGGCGAGTTGGCCAAAGCAGCATACGGATTGTTGCTGCCGAGGTTCTGGGCATTGCCGAGTTTGGTTGCATTGATGGCCGAGAAAGTGTTGTTTGCGGTGGCTGGAGCGTCGCTGCCCTGGTTGCTCGTGGCGCTGAGTCGGACACCACCTTGATGATCGTGGTCCGAAGAGAGACGTCCGGGCTTACGGAGCTTCTTCTGGGTCGCAAGACGAGCCGAGGCTTCCTGAGCGAATCTGGACGGCTGTCCAGGCTTGTAACGATTCATGATGATTCGTCAAGGCTGGCAAGAGACTGTCAAGACGTCGTGGTTCTGGTGATTGGAAGTGCTTGAGCTATGAGTGCGAGGTCAATTAGCCTTGGAACGGGTGTGGGATTGCAGGTGGGAGAATAGTGCAGATGGAGAGTGGTGCAGGTTGTATCTCGGATTGAAGGGTGAGAATTGAGAAGTGGGTTTTCAGCATTCGGGCAGTTGTTGCAGTGGTGGGTGTGACTGTAGTTGGAGACAATGAAGGGACGATGCCTGAGGTTGGGAAGTAATGGCAGTAGGTGTTTTGCGGAAAGTGGGTGTGATTGTGGTTGGAGACGATGAAAGGGGAGTTGCCTGAGGCTAGGGAGTTATGGGCAGTGGATGTTTTGCGGGAAGTGTTATTGCACTGGAGGGATGATAGAGCGCAGGATACCAAGATTGAAACAAGTGGTTGCTGGGTGATAATGATGTGGTGCATGTGTGGTAGAATGAAGGTACCTCAGGTCGGAAGAAAAGTTGGTTGCTGGCTGCTGATGGTAGGATGAGTGATTGAAGGAGGGTGACCAAAATCACAAAAAGAGAAATTGGTTGTGGGATAGTTGCATGCGCTTACAGGAAGGCGTGTGGCAACCTTGGAAGGGATGGATGGTTGAAGTTGGATACCAAAGTTGGTGAGAAGAGGTTGTTGCAGGGTGGTGTGTGAAAGAGGTAAACAGATGGTGGAGCAGAGGACACCCGAAGTTGGAAGGAAAAGTGGTTGCTGGGTGATGTGTGAAAGAGGAGAAAAGATGGTGGAGCAGAGCACACCTGAGGTTGGAGATTTCGGAAGCTGGATGATTGTGTGCTTCGCATGGGAAAATTTTCATGTGAGCCGGCAGAGCTCCTGCGTGCTTGACACGGGAAGGGGTGCGATGGTTGCTGGGTGGGTTGATGCTCGAGGTTGAAGAAAAAGTACATACAAGGTAGGATTCGTAGTCAACCGCGGCTGCAGTCGACGTCAATAGATATGGTCTGCTAGACTTTGCTTTGGTTAGGAGGTTATGCAGAAGGGATTGAGAGAACCAATGGCTCAGGAGTTGTGGAAGGTAATGTGAAGATCCTGCTGCTGGGAAAGGTGGTTGGGGTGTTGATGAATGATGCATACCTCAGGTGAAAGTTAGGCTTGGTGCGCAGTTCGCCAAATGAATCTTAAGAAATGACATGCAGTTAGCAATTGTGGCTGTGGAGGAAAAGGGTAAAAAGAAAAAGTCGTGGGGGATGAGGGTTAATCACGTCTGTCGATGCTGAAGTGCCTGAGGGCGGGCTGGGTGAAGAAAAATCGGAATAGAGAGACAAATTGGCGATGGAGAAGGGCGTATTGAGGGAAACAGATATGTTAAGGGGGATGATTTTCTTCGTCGATATGGATTGTGCTCGAAGGAAGTCAAAGAGGGTGGGAACGGCTACGGGAGGGTGTTTCGTACCTGCGTGGTGATGGGGATGATTATGCTTGGGAGAGTGTGTGTTGGTGAGCACCGGATTTGTGGCAGTCAACGTGTGAAGGGGGGAACAGAATGTTGGTGGGAAAGCAGTAGATCGCCCCTAAGGAGATTGAGGTGCAAATAGATGCAGCTATGAGATTGCAGGTATGGCTTACAAGGTCTGCCGATGGCTGTGTTGAAGATGATATCGGAGAAGTGGTTGCAATAGTTGACGAAGTGCATGGAATCAACTGTGGTTGAAAGAAAACGTTGAAATGGGGTGATGGGAGGGCAAGTTGGAATACTGAAGTAGTGGATAGGTTCAGGGGACGGGAAGACGGAATCCTTACTATCGAAGATCGTCGGTAGCTGATCTCATATGTCAGAAGTGTGCGTAGTGATCGAAGAGTGATGACAAAGAGGTTGAAGTTGTGGATATTGGGTTGTCTAGTAGGCGGTGACGGTTGATGATTGGAAGTTGGGTGTGCCGAAAGTGCGTACCTCATGAGAAAGGGATGTTGACAGATTCACGACCGTGTTTGAGAAAGAGGATACATACCGTGAAGTGGTTGTTGATGGGAGAAAGATATGATGGGAGAGAAAGGTCCTGGCGTTAGAGTGGTGCTGTGTGAAGACGCAATTCTTGCCAGAAGGGGATGTTGATGGGTCAAGTTGGTTGCGTAGAAGAAGTGTACCACGGTAGGGAATGGGTATGAGAACAGAGCCAAAGTAGATGAAGATAGGACACTTACCCAAGAAGGGTTGTTCATAGGGGAAAGTCAATGTGATGGCCAAGAAAGTGCATATACTGGCAGGCGAACCCAATGAGTAGATTAACGGGGTGCGTGTCATGGTAGTTTACGGTCAAGGGTGCACCGATGAAGACTGAGAGTGCAGCGATAGAGAGGTCTTCAAATGGCAGAACCTTAATCGCGTCCTTGAAGGTGTGTGGTTATGAGAAACCGATGCCTTGTTGAAGGATTAAGGCGTTAACAGAGCTAAGTATGACGATTCGCGGTATTAGGGTCTTCGAACCAGGTGATGAATGGTAACTGGGTGACATCGTCGACATGGGATGCAAACCATCTACAAGACTTCGGGGTTCTATGTTGGATGGATGATGCCTTTCCGTGCCGTCATACGGGATCATCTCCGATGAGTACTGAGGCGATGTTCGGACCATGTGTGCGGACGGGAAGAGATGATTAATGCTTCACCTGTAGAATGAAAATGCCACAAAGGACACATGCCTTGGGAGCGTTGCCAGGGTAAGTTGGTGAGCTGAGACCTCGAAGACGAAGAGCTGAGCGAGCGATACTGGATGATATATGACTGGGCTGGTGACAGGTGAAGCATCAGCAGTCCCCAAGGGAAAATAGCCGGATCAAGTCCAGTTCTGCAATGATCCTTTGTGAGAACCCGACTATGACGCTTGGGCCATGTGGTGGTGAGAACAGAGGCTCTGCCTGAATGCCAAAGAGTTATATCGGCCAAGATCAATATCACACCACTTGGTACAGCAAGGTCGACTAGTTGGTCCATGGATGGGAACCTAGTTGGGGCAGATTGACCTGCCGGATGCGAGACCGGGACTGGCTATATTGTGCAATCCTTTCGGCTGGGTCTTGATACTGTCGTGGCTGGTACCAGAGGACTCATACCTTGATGGCGCTAGCAATGTTGTGAGTGTGTTGACGGGCTGATGGTGATGGGGATCCGTCGCATACTTACAACGACGCTTCTTGTAAGTATCTCAACTTCAAGACCTGGAAAGGCGTGAAAGACTGACCCTCTCTTGATGCGGAGCTCTGCTGATACCTCTCGAAGCATATTTCAAACGCAGCAGGTGCGTTCCTGGCGTTCGTGAATCGTAAGCCCGCAAGGCCCTCACACACGAAGAAACCTGACCCAATTCGATGTTCTGAGGTGAAGAACCTCTAGTCCGCCCCAGGATTACCTGCGCCATTAGACGCAATGGTAGTCGTCCCGGTGCAGCACAACTTACGTATATCCCGCCATCGTGCTTCGCCTAAAGCACCGACATGTGACAACCTGAAAGATGTGTTCTTTGGTTCAAATAATGGCCGTTGCTGAGAACGGACAATCCGGATTGCCAACGAGCGTCAAGGTTGTCAAAGGGAAAGATAGGAGTCGGTCCCATTGGAACTCAAGGCCGTCCACGAGACTCAAAAGAGGTAGGTGCGAACTTGCAGACCGGAGTTGAGTAATGGTAGGATCGCGATACTACAGGAACGAGATGGTACCGTCACCAGCACCGTATGTCAAATAGTGCGTAGATGGTTCATATGGCTGATAATCGTCCATGTATTCAGCGCTGATGCTGTTGTTCGGAAGTTGTTGTTGTGGCCTTGGGCCCAAAATGCCCTAATGGCCCCCGGCCCTGTTCAGTGCACTGCCACCTCCCTAGCGCCACGGTGGCTTGCGTGCCATTCAACTCGTATCCATCCAGGAGACATTGTAAGAGTCTCAGGGCATCCTGCCAGTTGAAGGGTCACTCTCACTTGAGAAAGACTACTTGATCAAATACCCAATTTTAAAACACCAAACATGCTTGATATGTAGGAAGTACTCTGAGGAAGACAGGATATAAATGGCATTTCTTGCTGTCTCACCTTCGCCATCGTCTATGAAGCTTGGTCAGGTGTTCTTGGACCTGTGCAGCTTCTCAAATACTCCGCCTGGTAGCCCACGAACGAGAAGACAGCTAAGATCAGGTATAAAAAGACACAGCACCATTTCGTAGACGATTTGAATTGCATCTTTGGACCGATTGACTGTGGTTGCGGTCACCGCTGGCGTCACATATTGGAGAGCCATTACGACGAGGGGAGAAGGTACAAGGAGATATTGCGGCTCTACTTAGGATTCACTCCGAATACATCGTCGAGAAGGCTTAGCGGCTCCAGGCGCTTCGAGCCGACGTCGTTCTCAAGTGATGAAAGGTGTAGGGTGGCTCAAGACTACAAGGAGATGGAATTACGCCGCTGGCTGCTACATCTAGCTCTTTGACATGCCGTCCGCGTAAGATCCGTAATGGCGGGCAACATTGAAATGCAGTCTGAAGCTTAGTGAAACGTCTTTCTGCTAAAACATGTTCCATGGTTTTAGCCAAGAGAAAATGACTGGCTTTCCGTGTAGAAGTTTCCGGGATTTTCATCGAAGTCAAAACCTCACTCTTGTAAGATCCTCGAGCCTTTCGGGCTTAAATATGCTTTTCCTGAGTAAGTGACGCAAGTGGTTCAACTTGATCTTGAAACCGTTGTGTTGGTGACATGGTGTGTTTGACAACAGTATCATTGATGATGGGTGCTCATCTAGGACGAAATCATATATGGCTTTTCATACCGCATGAAGGCTCACACCTCAGCCCTCTCAGCTTCTACAACGTCCCAAACGCCGACCTAATTCATGCATCGTCATCTTTATCGAAGCCCACCAGCGACTAGCAGCGGGCCTTTCTGTGGGTTCTCTAGTCAAACTGCGAGTCCAGTCAGCGGGAGGTCAGACGGGAAATTCGTCAAGGGACCTACTGGTGTCAAAAATGACTCAGCTACAAACCGTGCTCTCGCGTTCAACTACTAATCGTCAATAGGGGGGGTCAAAGTCAAGGGCTACGGTCAAAGGGACGCACAAATAGCTTCATTTCCGAGATCTCCTTGTCGACTTCCTCCATGAATTGTATGATGAAGTCTACCAGTTTGTGTTTCAACATCTCCTCCGTGTGGAAGTTCGTTATTAGGAAGGATATGTCATAGCCCTGTCCAACCGTCAGTCGTAAGCTGTGCACAGTGTGGTAGAGCAGCATAACGCTCGCCGTTGTCCGGGGTGTAGTGGTGCATCCGTACCTTGATCGGTTTCCTCCGCAGGATGAAGAAGGCCTCCGCTCGCTGGGTCAAGAAGCGGGTGAACTTGTGGACAAGGATGTTCTCGATCTCGTCTGCCTGCTTGATCTTGATGCTAATGCGCACACTGTTGACACTGGGCTCGATGAGGACCTTCTCGTTTTCGTTGCGCGCAATGACCAGTGGGTTCAGTAAGACCTCGGGCGACGTCTGGGCTTCGATTTCGGGTACGTTGTGTCGTTCCGAAGTTTGCGAGGCGAAGTTGGACAGGCAGAGGGCGGCTGTGAGACTGCTCCGCACGCACTGGAGGTAGGGGCGGAGGGATTGGGACTGCGGAACAGAGTCAGCTAGGGATCTGGGACAGGAGAACAGTCTGACACACCATGATGGATAGAGCCGGCCGTCAAGACCTCGGCTTGAACGTGGCAGACGCAATTGGAGGTGTGTCGTCTTCAAGGAGTGTGGGGTGAATAGGCAAGGTAGGCATGCAGTTGAAGCGATTCCCAATTGCTGCAGCGATTCGACGTGGGGCAGCTAAGACTCCAGCTCCTCCTTCACCAGCCACATCGCCAGGGACTGTAGTCTGTCAGATGCGAATGAGGCTGGAGAGGCACGTGACGTCAATGTACCTGAGGCTTGAACTGAGCCCCTCAGCCTGCAGCCCGCAGTTGATCAGACCCCACCCGCCACCAAAGCGAGACCGCCACCTCTGGTTCAACAGCTTCGCTTCTCTGGCCGTGGAAACAATTCGATTTGGTGACGCACGTCAGGGTTGCCTTGCAGCAACATATTCTCCTACAACCGCGCCCTTACCCTTCCTCTTCAACCGCAGCCGATTTCACTCTCGTTCGACATCGACAACCATTCCACGGGTACAAATACCTTCTACGAATATCACAAGATGGCGACAATACCAGGTCAGAACCACGATATACTCCACACCCGAGAGCTCCATCCTCGTTGAGCATGCTTGCTAATCTAGTTGTCGAACAGTTGTTGTCAAACACCAAGGCAAAAAGTACGATGTCGAGGTGGATACCGAATCGACCGGCGAGGTCTTCAAGTTCCAACTCTACAGTCTCACCGGAGTCGAACCCGAGCGTCAGAAGATCGTCGTCAAGGGTGGACAACTGAAAGATGACGCCCCCATGAGCAAGTTCGGCTTCAAGCCGGGCCAAACCATCATGATGCTTGGAACGCCTGGTAACGACGGAGGGGAAGGCCTTGCACGGCCGAAGGAGCAGATCAAGTTCGTCGAGGACATGACCGAGGCCGAAGCTGCGCAGCAGGAGGGAGCGACACCTGCCGGGTTGACCAACCTTGGCAATACCTGCTACCTAAACTCGACACTCCAGACCCTTCGTGCTATTCCGGAGCTGCACGATGCACTCGTCAAATACGAACCGCAGAGCGCGGGTGCTACCGGCACTCTGCCTCAACTGGATCTGACGAAACAGCTGCGAGATCTTTACAAGTACATGGGCGAAACCCAGGATGCCTTTCCCCCGCACGCTTTTCTCGCCGCTCTGCGAGGCGCATTTCCCCAGTTTGCCGAGCGCTCTCGTACCGGTGGTGGCTTTGCTCAACAGGATGCTGAAGAGGCTTGGTCTCAGATTGTTTCGCAGCTGCGATCGAAGCTCCGCGTCAAAGACCACCCCCAAGCTACGACTGACTCGCCGTTTATCGACAGGTACATGTCAGGAGAATTCTCTTCGGAGCTGCTTTGTGATGAGCCTGCTGCCAGGGAGGGTGGAGAGGAGCCCATTACCTCCAAGGACACCTTTCTGAAGCTCAACTGTCACATTGACGGTAGCACGAATCATCTGCGAGATGGCATTGCAAATGGTCTGAGTGAGAAGCTGGAGAAGAGATCCGAAGTGCTTGGAAGAGACGCCGTCTACACCAAGACATCCAAGATCTCCCGGTTACCCAAATACCTGACGGTCCAGTTTGTGCGATTCTTCTGGAAACGGGAAACTCAAAAGAAGGCCAAGATCATGCGAAAGGTCACGTTTCCACACGAACTGGACGTCGTCGAGTTCTGCGACGACAACCTCAAGAAGATGCTTGTGCCGGTCAGAGACAAGGTTCGAGAGGTCCGGAAAGACGAGGAGGACATCGAGCGTATGCGGAAACGACGCAAGCTGAACGCCAAAGGCGAGGATATTCCCGGACCGTCCATCCTCACGGGCGGAAAGAAGGATGACAAGAAGGACGACAAGAAGGCTGGTACCTCGGCAGATGGCGACGTTGAGATGACCGAGACTTTCAAGACGGACGACGAGATCGATGCGGAGCGCGACGCTGGACTCCTTGCTGCGAAGAAGGAGCTGAACTCCCTCATCAATCCTGACCTGGCTAAGGATGATGGAGCCAATCAGTCGGGCCTGTACGAGCTTCGTGGAGTGGTCACCCACCAGGGCGCCAGCGCGGACAGCGGTCATTACACAGGTTACGTCAAGAAAACGGCCCCTATTGACCCGAAGACCGGCAAGCGGCAAGAAGAGGATGGCAACTGGTGGTGGTTCAACGACGACAAGGTCTCGGAGGTCACCTCTGACAAGATTGATGCGCTGGCGGGGGGTGGCGAATCGCACTCGGCTCTCATCTTGCTGTACAGAGCGATTCCCCTGCCTGCCGCCGATGGCATCGTTGAATGAGCACAACCTGGGATACGGCGTGGTTTCGCATATGGTGTTAAATGCATTGCGAGTGGGGTATCCGGGGTTGATATTAAAACTCGCGTACACCCTCACCGGTCGTAGGAACGGTCTGCAAATAGACCTATTTGCCTCTAATGAGGCTACCGTAAGGAACTTATGGTATAGACTCCTATCTTACACCTGTGATGTGTCATTTTCCACATGAAGTGTGCTAGATTCCAACAATCCAGTGATAAATCTCTCCTGCCGTACAGTTGCCTCCACAGAGAACTCTGCTGTCACCGCACTCTGATTGCTGCCCCATGACGCGACCGTGCAGTACTCAGGATCTTGAGACTCGGCGCCGCCCCGGACCCGGACCTGCGTCTGCACGCTTCAACAGAAAGTTATGCAATGAAGAGCGTAATTCACCCTTTCATAGACGCGTTCCATCGCGAGGCGCCACCTATTAGAAGTAAGGGGTATTTATTTACCAGCGCAAAGTAGCACTGGCATTTTTATCAAGGCTGGTTCTCCTCGGCGTCCTTCATCTCCTTGGCCCGCATCCGAGCCCGCAGCGCATCCAACTTCCACTCCAGCGGGATCTTCTGCGCCACGAGCGTCGCGCGCCGGTCCTCGAGCCCGCGGATGCGGTCCTCGATGGGCGCTTCTTGGATCTGCTTCTTCTCCTGTTATGTCGTGTCGTGTCAGCTCGCTCGCTCGTTTGGGAAGAGAAAGGAAGTGGGTGTACGGTAGGAATGACGTACGGCCTGGTACTCCTGCTGCGTCTTCAGCCCCGCGCCGTAGACGGCGCCGACGAAGGTCACGGCTGCGAAGGCGCCGGTCCATATCATGCGCTTTGTGTTCAGGGGGGTCGCCGGGCCGCCGCCGGCGGGTTTGCCTGGCGGTTGGTAGGCCGGGGCTACGCCGCGCTTTATGGGCCGTGGGAGGTGTGGGATGCGTGAGGGCGTTCTTGGGGGTGGTGCTGAATCGCGTCCTGCAGCCATCTTTCGTTGTCTTCTTCGTTTTCTTTTCCCCCTCCTCTTTCGTTGGTCCTGTGTAGATCGGGTGTCGTCGGTTTAGAGCCAGAACTCCCTCCAGCAGCCCTCGCTTGCCTCGGTCCGCCGACTCGGCTGCGTTCGGCCCTTGTGCCGGTGGTAGTGTTGCAGGTGCGCCGCCCTGACTGGTGTTTCCTCCTCGCTGCTGCTGGCGCTAGCCCAGCTGTTCTTCCGGCTGAGGGTGTAGCTGGCGCTGCCAGAGACGGAGCTGCTGGTTGAGCTACAGGAACTTGCGAATGAGCCCGCGCGGCTGATGGTGCGGATGGAAAATGGTCTTGCCGAGGGTATCGTCTTCGGGGTTTCGCAAGTAGCAGGCGCGGTCGATGCAATCGGTTCTAATTGAGTGTCGTCGATATCGTGTGTGGGGCGTGCAGTTGTCAGAATCTCGTTCCCTCTTTCGTTGATATCCAATTGGTATTCCGTCTTCCGTTGCGCCAGAGTGGTCGATGTGACTGAAGATGTTGAAGTTTGGCGTCGTCGCGGCCAAAGCTCGAGCTCGAAACCCGCAGCGGAAGGATCGGCGCCGGCACGGTTAGTGGACTCGGCAGGCTCGGACACCAGCAGCGCCCTTAGTAATCGTCGTGCAGCGCCGGGAAACGTCATCGTCGGTCACTAAGGTATTATGGAGTTAAGGTAATAACTACAGCTCGAAAAGAGGAGAAGGTAGACAGTGAGGATATCCCGGCTTTGCGCAGTCCCGCTTGCTTGGTCGTTAACTCTAGGGTCGCTTCCTGAGATTTCGGCTTTCGGTGCTGACTTTTGAAGCGAGGGCAGACAGCGAATAGTCGAGCTACAGCGACGACAGTATCTTTTATCTACCTAGATTACGGTCCTTTGGTCACCTCTAGGTTTTCTCCTTTCCCCCTGTTGCAGGCCAGAAACCAGTGTGAGGAGGTATCACAAGCACCAGACGAAACGTGCATCAAAGTTCAAAACTCGTTTCAGGTCACAGCGCCTGCAGCCACCCACGACACCGGTATTACGCCCGGAAACACCAAGCCCAACTTTCAAGAAGAAACAGCATCATCATGACCACACCGCGAATCTTCCTCGTCCGCCACGGCGAGACGGAGTGGTCGCTGAGCGGGAAGCACACGGGCAACACCGACATCCCGCTGACGCCCAATGGCGAGAAGCGAGTCCGGGCGACGGGAAAGGCCCTCGTTGGAGACGACAGGCTGATCGTGCCGAAACAGCTCATGCATATGTGAGTTGTGAATTGCCTCTCTTTCTTCTCTACAAATAGCCTAGCCCTGGGGGCCCGGGCCCCATCTGATTGCAGACAGGGGTTTCAGATCGACCAGCCCGTGTCTTGGGCAGGGCAAGAAGAGGCGATGAGGCTCAATCAAGTGGATGAATTAACATGGCTTCCTGTCAACGCCTTGGCGTCGATCACGCACATCACTTGTATGGGACACTTGGGCTGTCGATCGATCTCCCGGCTGTTCTTGCCTTTTGACCTGTTCTCGTGGATCATGGTTCGATGTCGGCAGTGCATATTGCAAGACACATGAGACCAGCGACACCAACGTCAATAGGCGCCGCTCATCACACCGCTCGTCTCAGTCACGAAAATCAGAGCAACACCAGTGGCTGACAGACTCCGCCAACAGCTATGTGTCCCCGCGCAAGCGCGCCCAGCGGACGTTCGAGCTCCTCAATCTCGGCATCAAGGACCCGCTGCCGTGGAAAGAGCACGGCGAGCAGCCCGAGGCCTCGGACCACAATTGCCAGGCCCGCGTCGAGGTCACGGAGGATATCCGGGAGTGGGACTACGGCGTCTACGAGGGCATTACGAGCCCCGAGATCCGTGAGCGACGCGAGAAGGAGGGGCTGAACCACGACTGGGATATTTGGCGTGACGGGTGTGAGGGTGGAGAGTAAGTCAACTATTTTGGTACTCCCCATGATAGTCATATGACCTGAGGATGGATGCTGGGACTGGACTTGGCTGCTGGTCTCCAACACTTGTATAAGCTGACTAGTCGGTGTTGTATAGGAGCCCCAAAGAGGTCACCGAGCGCGTCGACAGGCTCATCCAGGAGATCAAGGATAAGTGGCAGGCGCCAGTCATCGGAAAACCCAAAAACGAGGTGTCGAACGGGGACGTGTTGATTGGTGAGAAAAATCCATGTTTCGTCCACTTCTCCTATCTTTCTTGTCTGGGGAATTCGGATCCAAGCTGCGGCTGTAGCAAAGCGATGTGCCCTGGCTGTATACACACACTGTCTTAATGAAGCAAACACTGACTTCGGATGCCCCAGTGGCGCATGGCCATATCCTCCGTGCGTTCGCCATGCGGTGGGTTAAGAAGACCCTGCCGGACGGCCCAGCATTCCTATTAGAAGCTGGCGGTGTTGGGACACTGAGGTAAGTCTATCTTTGACATGATCATGTTGCCTACTCCCATTGCCAGCGTTGATTACTTACACCGGGATCGCAGTTATGAACACCACAACATCGACGAGCCAGCTATTCTATTAGGCGGTGCTTTCATAGTCAGTTGATCCTGACAGAGCATTGGGCCTAGAGCCAACAGGATAGGGGAGTAAGGGCGTAATATAGACATGTAGGTATTGCCTAGAAGGAGGCCTACGATACATACAAGAAGCAAGATCATAAAAGCACCTTCTTCCCCCTCTCTGCACCGTGACCAGTCTCAGTCTCGAGATCAAGCCTTTGTACCCCTCGCAAAGAAGACCTGTCTCTTCAAGGCCTCCTGACCGGCATGATCGCCCTCCTCGAGGCTCCCGTGTCCCATAATGACTCCGCCACCGATGACCGCCAGGCCAAAATCCTGGCCCGCTCCAGCGCGCTCGAAGATGCTCCGGATGTGCCCCTCGCTGAACCCGTGGTGCATCACCGTATGTTGCGCGCCGTGCTTGTGGCCGTGGCCTCCTCCGTGGGGCAGGAAATCCCATATCACTAGGGTATTTGTCCGTCAGCTTGTGTTCTCTCTCTCGCTCTGGCTAAGGAAGGACCGGTAGTATAACAGGGTAATGGAACTAGGGCACAGGCTCTACGATGCATCCTCACCATGCAACCCCAGTCCAGCGGAAATCCCTGGGGTCGCTATGGAACCTCACAGCCAGACCAGGAAGCGCCAGGAAATGAGGGACGACGGTAAGAAGATGGGACTGGGATAGAGACAATACCGCTTCCAAACGGGGGGATGAATACTACTCACACAACACGCCGCCCGGACGCAACCGCTCGACCAGCCGCGTAGCAGCCAGCTGCGGGTCGGCAAAGTGGTGGAAGCCACCGCCGACAGCCGCGATGTCGAAGTTGGACATGTGCGGCGCTGACAGCTCGGCCGGATGATCCGATGTGTCGGGCACGGTCAGGTCGCCTATCATTGCGTGCATCTCGGTGGATGAGAGGCCCTGTGAAGGGGGTTAGTAAATGAATGGATTGGTGTAGGGGATGGCATGGGATGGGCGATGGTGTTGGTGGTGTTGGTGTTGTTCTCGTAGGCTGATGATGGTTGGGTTGGGAGGGTGGTTGTGGCTGGGGTTGGGGTTGGGGTGTGTATGCCAGGAAAGGGGCTATCAGCCGGTAGACTAAAAAGTACAAGGGACTGGGCTGTTGGGAGCTGTGAACAAGCCGTTGAGGAAATTGCAGATGGGGACTAGATTGCTTGCTGCGCCAAACGGGAGTATAAAGTACGCACTTGGTTCTCAGCCCGCGCATTGTATGCCGCGACCATGTTCTCCGATATGTCGATGCCCACGCATTGCGTCGTGTAAGGAGCCAGTGCCTATGAATATCCAGTCAGTTCCAGTTCCTAATGATCCCAAACCCCTGATCTTGGTATGCCAGCTGTACGTTGAATGTGGAATCGGCGTAGCAAGCAATCCAGGGCCAGAGGTCGAGAGATATGAGCAAAAGTCAAGAGCCTCAACCCCTGAAGAAACAAAGACCTGACTTACCCGCGATATCATGCCCGTACCACAAGCGTAGTCCAGCAGGCGTACCTCTCTCCTGTTCTCATCAGACCTCTCAGCCCCTTTTTTCCGTCTCTTTCTACTCTCCTTCACCTTTTCATCCTCATCCTCATCCTCATCACTCTCATCCCCCTCGTCATCATCAGAAACCCAGTCAACACCAATGAAGGCCAGCCGCGCCTGCAGCTCGCGCGTGAGCCTCTCATTGAGCTTCCTGTGTTTCGAGTCGTAGTTTGTAGCCTCGTCGCTGTTTCGCGTTGTTAGCTGGATGTACGCATGAAAGCGTGTCAAAGCATCTTGCTAGTGCTCGAAGAGGTCGATAGATGTAGGGTATCAAGTGAGAAAAGGGGCAGCTGTCTTTTACTCTCCCCTATCCATGGAAACCAGGTGGTTGGGTTCGCACATATGTCAAGAATGCACAATACCCCACCAAGGACAAGCCCAGTGAATCCTCCTGTCCCAGATGGGCGCCGCGCATCAGATAAATGCAAGCCCTCAGCCTATAGAGGATATACAACCCGAACCACGTGCAAGGGTGGTCCACTGCCCATGGAGGTGGCGGCGATGTTGTATACTACTGTAACTCGTGTTCATGACCTGCCATGCCGCGCCTACCAGGAGGACCATCAGGGCATCCTGTCCTGTCCTGCCCTGCCCTGTCCTGCCCTGCCCTGCCCTGCCTACCCGACATACCCTACGTACCCTGCGCCATGGTCACGGGACAACCTGACATGATCTGACCACACACACGTGCCGGAGACAAGGTGCCAGAACGGGCAATCGTCCGCGTGCGTAAGGACCATCAGGTGCCACGGGGACGAATCAGGTGAGCGCTCTCTTCCTCTGCCTCTCCTCTTTCGCTCACGCTCTCACCATCTTCTCACGTAGCGCTCCAACAGACACGCACTCATTCATACACTCCGTCCCTTTCCAGAGAAGAAGAACCATCGCCCAAGCAGGAGAACAGACGCAGAAACGGATAGGGGGACGGCAAGCCCCGAATGCGCAGCTCACACAAGCAAGCACAGATGTAGGGGCTATGGGCTATAGCGATAGGAAACATGCTGGGGACGTTGGTGTAGGCATTGGGACTCACTTGAAATACGACTTGTTGACGTGCGCTGAGTCCGCGTCCGCCGCCATTCTTGCTCTTCCCGTCCGGTGTCTTGATTGATGCGCGTGACCGAGATGTTTCTTCTCCTGTCTGCTGGCCCAAGATGTGATGGGTGACGGGCGAATGAGTGGATACGATACGATGCGATGCGCTGCGCTGCGATGTGATGTGAGGCGGCCTTCGTCTCGTCTCGTCCTGTGATGTAATGTTGCTGGCTCCTCCGATTTTCGGCGTTGGGAATAATGACGACTGATAGACTGGAATTGAAATGCTTCGAAGAAGCCTTCCGCGTCGCGTGCCCGTGTACCGTTATATGGCCACGCTATTCACCTCGATATTTTCAATTTCAGTCAGAGGCCCTTATTCTGGTCTTAGAAACGCTCCTTATTACGAACTCCGCGCTGATTTCTCGGATACATACCGCAGTCCACTACCGATACTGCTTAGTGGTAGTAGGTAACCGGCGACTTTTCGGGGACTAATCCTACATATTCTAACTCCCTCACCAAGCTCTCCCCCTCACGCTCTACAACCATAACATACCACTTCTCCCACACCAAGACGTATGCACAGCGCATAGACGTATGCACAGCGCATAGACGTATGCACAGCGCATAGACGTATGCACAGCGCATAGACGTATGCACAGCGCATAGACGTATGCACAGCGCATATAGTCCATACGTAAACATATACTATCAGCTTCATACAGGCGTCTGTCTACGGCCAAAGCCGTCGCCGCCGCTCCGTCTCCAGTGAGCATCCATCGGTATCCGCCATGCCGCGTCCTGTATGCTATAGCCAAGGTACATCAACCAGCAGGTAAGGTGTTGCTGCTGCACACCGCTTCTGTCATACACAGTCATCAGATCATCAGCAATCCACGCCGCATCAGTACGTGTCGTAACATAAAAGCCCGCATGGACGCCTTATCTGCTGCCTCCGGCTGCCCGCATCAAGGCAACCCAATCCAGCTCGTACGGGAATGCGGGCGGGCGGCAGCAAATGTGGTGTGTCACCACGTCTCAACGTCCGTCTTTTGTCCTCTCTGTGCTGCAATCTGAGCAAGATCAGGCGACGTTACTGGCGGGCGGGCGAGCAGGCAGGCAGGCAAGCAGGACGGTCATCAGGATCCAGGCGGGATCGATAGAGGGTCGAGCCGGGACCGAAAGTCTCGTGCATGTATTTCGTCAGAGTAGGGTACCATTACCCACGGTAGGGCCGCGCCGCATGCACATATCGGACACTGCCTCCCGCGGGTGCATGAAGGGGGCAAGGGGGGCGCATGGCTGTTTGGTCCCTGGCTGCCGCAACCCATGCAGAGGGGGATCGTGGCTGTCAGGAGTCCTGTTAGTGAATGAGTTATTATCGTTTGTCGGTAAGGATGGGCATGTGCTATAGGCTGCCTGGTGTATCATATATATGGGTGTGTAGCCACTGTTTAGATCTGGGTTTGTGTATGTGTAGGTTTAGGGGAGGTCTTGTCGTAGTTGGGCCGCCTGACGGGAGCGGGCGGGCAATGGGCAATGGGCAATGGGCAATGGGCAATGGGCAACGGGCGACGGGCGACGGGCGACGGGCGACGGGCACGGGCGAATGCGGCGATACACTTGACGATCCTGCGGGCGCGCCCTGCGACGGAGCTCCTCGCAGCGGTCCGCAGTCACAAGGCCCATCCCAGCTGCGGTATTTTGATGCTGCTGCCCGAATGTGGCTTGAGTCACGGATGCTGTGTACAGTGACATACGTGCGTGCACCTTACTACCTGTCCATCCGATGTGAGGTAGGGTGGGAGGGTACGCATGCACGGGGCCCAAACAAGACGCAGGTCTGGGCTCGAACGCCGGCGGCAAGGCAAGGGGAGCGCCGTTGGGTGACAAAGGTCCCTGCCGTGTCGCCGGGTTCTGCAAGGCGAAGGAAACAGAAGCTGCATGGTGACGAGACGAGGGAGGCTCGAACCCAAGCCAATGACGACGGCAAAGGTGCGATGCGACGGCGGCAGCAGCAGCAGGCCAGCCATGCATTGCAGCGCAGCGCAGCAACAAAGGCCGAGCGATGCAGGAGCAGTGACGAGTGACGGAGAGATAGATCATGTGGTAGCGTCGCAGGCCATTCTTGGATCAGGAAGTTGGAAGATTGCGATGATGGGTGTCATCGCATTGGGCAGCCAAGTAGCCAAGCAAACTCGCTCTGCGCATGGCCCCGTGTCAGCCTGCATGTCGGGTAAATCCATGTATATTGCTTCATGCTCGTGAAGCCGGTTCTGGCATTTGCTTGCCGCCTGGTAGCAAGGGACCAGCACAAACACGTTGGGGAATGCGCAAAGGAATGGCAGTTCCCAAGATAGGCTGAGGATAGTGGAGGAATGGGAGGTGGTGAGTCTCACCAAGTATGCAACAGTGCGTTTGGGTGAGAGACATATCTGACGTTTAACGGGCGGCCACTCTCGGGGCCTAGTGTAGTCGACTTGACGGGACGACGTACCTTAGTTGTAACTTGTAACCGTTACCGTGCAGGTGGCATCGCTCGAGACAGACTTGTTTGGGCCGTGGCCCGTGGCCCGTGGGAGAAGAAGCCGAAGGATGAGGTGAGGTCTCACCGCTGCTTCTCGAATGTCGCATGTCAGTACTTCCATGTTGGTACCACATACCACCGCCTGATGGTGTCTGGGTGTCCGCGTATCAATCAGTACTTCTGTGCCACCCTGTCCAAAGATACCCGTACCCGTACCTACGGTGACATGCCATGCGCTCGCTGCATCGGAGGATGGACGCTCCCCAACCCATCCCATGCAAACGTCTCAGCTCGGCAGCGCGCTTGCAGTCGGCTTCGCTTGGCTCTTTGATCGGTGGTCACAGTGTCATACCCATTCCATGTGCTTCGCTCGATTCAGTCATTCAGTCCCGCCAGTGTTTGGTGTGACAGAAGATATTCCAGCCCTTCACGGCAAACACACATAAACGGCATGACGGTACCAGTCGGCGCCCGAGTCTGTCTTGGACACTCCTCTAGACCATAGTGACCCTGAAGTATCACGAGGCAGGCACGTCTCCATGTTCGAGGGACTGTTCGAACGGGCACTATCAATGACACGCATCCCCGGATTGCCGGTTGCAAACTTGGAAACCACAAGGCCCATAGTAACGCGGGGTGTAACCAATGAGCCTTCATGGGTATCTCGGGAGGTTCCACTGCCCGCCTGCGAGTTCGCTTGTCCGCAAACGGTTGCCTGCTCACTTCCCCCGGCTGCCCGGTCGGCGGTCGGACGTGTCGAGCAGGCTTGGATCTTGTCGTATCCCCCAAGTCGTGTTAGCTCGCTAACAAGTTCTAAAAGATATTCACCGTCTGTGGTAAGCGTGAGGCAATGCCCGTGATCAGCAGATATGACCAGACCGTGCTGACGGTTGAAGTAGAGCGTGGTGGATCGCGGAGATCTCCGACTTCAAAAGTTCTGCTGCAGCTGCGTATTTGGGGCAATCGGTACGATGCTATCGCACGTGGGTTTTGGTCAGCAAGGGTTAGCAGGCCCACCAAGCTGCAAGCCACCAACAGACGACAGGCCTTCGGCGAGGTTCGTTTGTTCGGAAGGCAACCCGTCCAGGCTAGACGTGGCAGATCACGCATCGTGCAGTCAGTCACAGTACGATAGACTGCAGACTCCTCTCGCCGCCGGACACGTCCTCAAGGAGTCAAGGCCGCGCGGAGAGAAAAGCAACAGGCTCCCGCTCGGGCACCAACGAGTCACAAACTCGCTAGAGATGAATAAAAATGGGGATGTTAGCGGAGCGGCTCGCTGCATGCATATTCAGTCACGTGAGCAGTGCGTCCAGATCCGTTGATTGGTGGTCGTCTAGTGGAATCATGGTCGAGTCGACACTCGAGTCCTCAGACCACCTGCACTAGCGAGTTCAGCCCGAAGGGACGGATCCATGCCATGCCGCCGCCGGTATCGTCTTGAAGGTCGCCCCACAAGGCGAGTGTCGGTGTGCCTAACAGGCCTCTAATGCAGCAGAGAGGAACCCCTTCTCTTGGCAGTGCCTAGTCGAGTCCGTCATCAGAGTTGCGGTCTGGCTTCAGCCTTCAACTCCTTCAAGCGCCAGTCGTGCCAGTAGTGGCTAGGGGTATAGTCAGCTGGCATGATACACAGCCGGCAAGAGGCCAGTCATTCAGTCCTTGAGATCGTGGCTCCTCTCGGCTCCAGACGGGACAGTTTGTTGTTGGTTCAGCATAGTCCTCAGATCCGAGATCCCCGTCGATATCGTATCTGCCAACCACTTGAGTTGTCCAGGAGGATTGAGGTGTGGATCACTTGCTGTAGAAATGGCTGCAGTGATACGGACGCGGTGCATGACGGTTCAACTAGCAGGAGTAGATGGTTGTCAATGTATGTAGGTCGGGCACACTGGGGACCAAAGCAAGCTGCAGGAATCGGTAGGAACACGCGTTCTTCCGTACTCGCACTCAGTTCCACACTTCCTGACTCCATGCCGTGCTCACCTGACTTGCTCGGTCGTGGCTCGTCTGGTGCTTGACCGACACCTGCATTTCCAGGGCCACCCATCGCCAGCGCTGCTCATCGCTCCCTACTTCTCGGTCTTCAAGCGTCAGTAGTGCTTGACCAAGGCGTCACTATCCTTGAATCTGCATGTCCGATATAGTGTCCGTTAGACCGGCCAAGCGTCAATAGCTTGACGCCACATTAACTTGTCTACCGGGTTGGTGCATGTAGTGAACTCGGGATTGCATCGTAATGTGTCGGGGGCAGCTGGACATTCGAGAGCATAGCCACGCCTGCTTGATGCCGTTCGACGAAGCATGAATCAATAGGTCTGTAGTGTAACATTCAGACATCATAGAAGAAACCTTGACGGCAAAACGGTTACCAGATCTGATACCCGTACAGTGCCAGATTACCCTCGTACAGATGCTACGTTAGAGTGTCATCGTACCGAATAATGGCAAGGAATGCTTACCGGAAGATGCAACATGGTACCTACAGGGCTTGTCAAGTCTTTCTTCCAAGGTAATC